TGTTTGTCCTAACTGTAATAGTGCCTTACTTTATAATCTGAAATATGAGTCTTTGCCAAATTTTTAGTGTTTCATTACTAATAGTCTGCAGATTAACTGAGAATCTGAGTTAGAATTGCAAGATCAGAAGTATAGACTCTGTTGTATAGTTTATTATGGTGGGTTCCACTTTACTGCAGGTATCATTACAAAAACTGGAAGTGTCTGGTTTAATGATGAGGTTACAACTGGGCAGACTTGTATACTAGAGGGACAAATAGAGAGTATAAATTCAATAGTGCTGACAAAGTGTAGATCAAAGATTAGTTCTGTTGTAGTATATGTTAAAGCATGACTGTACTAGATTGTAACATAGCTAAATGTATGTTTAATTATAAAAATATACAACTGTAATACTTTTGAATGATAAGTGCAAAAAAAGAGACTAAACACATATTAGAAGTATAGGTCTGATAGATATTAAAATCAGGAATTGTCCTTGCCATGCATTAGCATTGGCCCACTCCAAGCAAGTATGAGGAACTTGAGCTATTTGCTGAAGTTCTTTCTAGTGGAGCAATGTCACCATGCCATCTCTTCACTAGCTTTGTGTTAAATATCAACATTGCTACTTATGCACCCAGAGATGTCAAGAACCTCAAGGCCTGCTTAGTGCTGGCAATTAGAGATTACACTAATGGTGAGCGCTGTCTGATGGAGCCTAAAATTATTATTCCTCTTTCTAATAGAGATTTAGTGATTTTTTGCTCTTCTTGTATAACTCATTTTAATCTTTACTACAAGAGGACTTGCACTTCACTTGTTCTTCATTCTGATGATGCAAGCATACAGTACAGAGAGAATATGAGCAGTTGAAAAATAGGTACATGCATTCATCTTCCTCTTCTCTGTTACTATCCTCTTCGTAGATTCAATAATATGTCAAATCTCTGAATATGCTGAAGGAATACATAGTGCACTGAAGTGAGAATCACATCTGTGAAACAATCTCACATTTTGGGAGATACTATATGGCACTATGCAACAGCTCTTAGTCCAACACCAATTGGAAGCTGGTTATCAGAGAAGGGAACACTATGAGCCTGAAGGCTACTTCCAACTCCTCAACTACAATCTGCAATCATCTCAAAGTGTCATCTGCCAACTCACATCTACTCATGATTCTGTGCATAACATTGTATAGTCTGCAGGCCACATCATGCAATGTCTCAACCTGAAGGTGCAACATTTCTGAGAGCAATAAAAATAAGGAATGCAATTTCAGGAGGATAGGGATAGAACAATTGCACACCACTGTCAGAAAAACCATCTGGTGGGTGCCCCAAACCAAAGTCCTCACAAACAGCAGGGTCATCATATAAAAGGTGGGCAGTTAAACTATGAGGAATAACAGCAAAAAGGTGGTCAGTAATCTGAGAGATCATTCAATAATCACCTTTCATAGTGTGAGCTGTTGCAAGATGTATTTCCACTTGGGCAAGGACAGGGATATCACACAGAAGAGGTAGGATAATCCCCACACTCGCCACTTCAGACTGGGCCTGAATCATAAATACCTGAGAGATTTGTAAGGATCAAATAATGAAGGAAAATGTACTCACAGGAGGCCCACCAGCAGGGCATGTATCTGAACTGCCCATGCTTTCTACAGGATCAGATTAAAGGGCTTAATAAAGACCTCAATGCGAAGAAAAGCTTCTGTAAGAGTGTATTTATAAAGGATGATGCTGATGTCCATAAATGGGCAATTGAGTTCAGGATGGAAGATATGCCTCTAAGGTGGGTGGGTGCTTATTAGGCACTAATAAGTGCACACTCGACACAAACACCTAAACTCAACTAAAAACAAATAAGAAGAGCGATCTGTGTATGAGGGAAGAGCATCACAACTGTAAAATAATGCAAGTAGGTCCCAGAATCTCAACTAAAGCCTAAGGGGGATGCAACCTGTAAAAGAACAAGGGCTCACAATATAAATGCAAAGTCAATTGACAATCTACAATAAAGTCACAAAAGTCGTAGAGTGGAAAGCTAAAGTCACAACACAATCACCAAACTCATAGGCAAAGATAAACTAATTGCAAAGGTGAAGGGAACTATCTGTAGAGGTAGAACACTATAGAGAAACACAGTATTCACCATCTCGATGAATTTGCAGTTAGTTTAATGCAAAAGTCAGAGTAAGACTAACGTAGGTGGTATATCGCTATATCACTATGTCACTATCACAATGTTCACTATTACAGTTACAGTCGCAGTTTCTAAACACAATATGCAGTCTCAGAGTATTGTAGTCTCACTATATTATAGTGACACAGTGGGGTATGTCACAGTTTGAAGTTGCTATCACAGTAAATGCAGTTTCTCAGGTGGTATATCGCTATATCACTATGTCACTATCACAGTGTCACAGTTCACTATTGCAGTCACAGTCACAGTTTCTAAATGCAGTATGCAGTCTCAAAGTATTACTGTCTCACTATATCACAGTGTCGCAGTCTCACTATGTCACAGTGTCACAGTGTCACAGTGTTGCAGTGGGGTATATCACAGTTTGAAGTCGCTATCACAGTAAACACAGTTTCTCAGTGATGTGAAGCTAAGAGGAACTCCTCCCTACTGGTCTTCAATGATAATTGATGTAGATACAGCAGGTATTTATAAAGAGGGACAAAGGGAGAGAAAATGCAAAAGTTGTGAAATGTCAGTTAGATCCTGACTTTGGAAAGAGTCGCAATGGTCTAGGACCAATGGGAAAATAGATAAAGTGAGTGGAGAGGTGAATGTTATATGTTAGCAATGGAGAAGGATGGTAAAGTAGAGGAAAATTGAAAGAAAACATATGCTACTTGTCCTAAACCACATGGAACATTTTAATGGCATCTCCAGTCCAGCACGAAGGTAGGAGTCTTGAAGAGAAAGGTTGAATAATAAAGGGGATGAGATTTGCAAAACAAGGGGGTGCAACCATCAAGCGACACTGATAAGTCAGTGCAATGAACTAGCGAGTCAGTGTGACATCCAGAGAGATAGTGCAATGTCAGAAAGGTACAGACTTATAAGAAAATTGGCCAGGACGCATCAGATGAGACCAAAGGACAATGGGTAAGTGGTATCTGACAGTAGGGAGATGCAAGAGTGGTGTATGAGTGATGAAAGGATGTCAAATCTCGATGAAAAGTTGCAAGGAATTGAGCGAAGTCGAATGGAGTCACATGAAGTCAGAAAAGTTTGCAGAATGTTGTGAAAGGGTCAGATGCATCTCAGAGACTAAGGCATAGAGTAGTGAGGTCTGAATGATCGCTGAAAAATGCATTTTCAGAGGCTAGAAGGTCTGGGAGCATATCAGCACTCAGGCGGGCCTGATGATGGACAACTCCTCAGATTGAGTAGGAGCATGAGCAGACAGGATGGCAAGATATGGCATGATGGGCAGTGATTCAGTGAAGCAATTATTAAGCAGATGTGGGCAGTATCAGGAGGGCAGAAAAGGTCAGGACCAGTTTAAGTATGATGGTGAGGAAAGAGGTCAAAGTAGAACCCACCATCCTGGAAGGTAGGCTTGCAAAAGCCTCATTCACATTCTCATCTCATCCAGTTAAAGCATCTTTGGGCAGTCTTGCATTTGTGCATTTCTGGGCAGTCTTGTGTTTCTGCATTTCAGAGTTCTCCTTAAAGCAGTGCGATTTTACTCTGACATGTTTTCAGTGATCATTGCAACTACAGAGATTTTCTATGTTATCAGGCTACTCACCTCATACCTCTGAAATAGACTCTTCTCCTTCCCTGCACCTCAGCTCGTACTCCACCTTTCCTGCTTACAATGAAAATACAATCTCATCAATGTATTAAGAGACTCCAAATAAAACCTAAATGCACTCTGAGTAGTGTATAAGTGTACTTTAAAAAAAGCTTAAGTGCACTCTATGAATAGCTTGAAAAAAACAAGAGTTAAAGACGAAGAAGAGATAAGTCAATGACACAAGTCGCATCAAAGCTAACTCATCTAACCCAGCTGGCAAGTCCAAACTAACATTGAACTGAACTGATCCTACTCAACATTTGAGGCAGTTTAAATCTACATTTGTTGATCTCAATCCAACCAGTCCACACCTCAACTCGCCCTCATAAGATGGCTACAAGCTGAGCCACAGTAACACTAACAGAGGCGAAGTTGCCCATATAATAACATGTACAAACATGTGATATAAGCAGCATGCTTACAGCCTCTTCTCTAGCCCATCAATCATTGACAGTGATCTGCAAATCAAGATGAGATGTGAACACATGATGGTAGTGAAAGAAGAATATACGAGAGAAGGTAATGACCTTAACACTGCTTAATCTGCATGAACTAGATACTGCATGAGCACCAGGTCTCACAGTATAATCCACAAACACACCTGCCCTGCTTAGAAGCATGCTTCCACAATGACACCACATGCCAGGAATACATACATCCAGGCAAGGGTATGAAAAGAAAACAACAAATGCTCACATATGGCTCATACTTGGCATTGAAAATAGTGTTGTTCATTGCAACACGTTGGATGAATGAGCAAATGCTCACAAGACACCACTCCGATGCTCACATCCACTCTTCGACATCCGCAAACAAGGATGTCGAAGATTGGTCATGCGCACGAGAAGAGTGCCTTATCAAGCACCGGGACACTCCCCTCAGAGGCCTCGTCTCCAGTCCATCATCCATCGACAGTGATCTGTGAGTCTGAATATGAATAAATGACGGTAACGAAGAAGTACACGCAAGAGGACAATGACCCGACCGCCGCTCTGACTGCGCGCGAGCTCACGGACCAGCAGTTCACCTCGTGAACACACCTGCCCTCCTTGGAGCCATGCTTCAATGAAGACATGTGTGCGAGGGTGGCACTGCGAGACCGTGAGCCAGCGGCAACATGCGGAATCTTGGGGGTCACTGGGCAGCGCATGCTGGTTGGCGTTCTGGTCGGCGATGTTCTGGAGGGATGGTGGATGTATCAGCGGGTCGAGGAGACTGAACGGCGATGGACTGGTGTGGATGGGGTTGATGAAAGAGAGGGAGGGAGCGAGATAAGAGGGACTAGGTACTCGGAGATGTTCCGAGCGCTGACACCGCCGAACTGGCGCACTCGGCTCATCAGAGGGTTGATCTCGCCGAGTGCGATACCTCCGATGGGCCTGGCGTCCCGAAGGGGAAACGCAGGGATCCGCGCTCTCGTCCACCTTCGCACTTCCGGCATCCGTTGATTCGAAGGGAGATGCGTCGAAGCGGCTCGTACCCTGGAAGAGCCATGCCATGGATTTGACAGCCAGATGCCTCCCGCGGGCGAGAGCCCAAATGTTGATTGGGCAGACGAGAGAGCAGATGTAGGATAGGATTCGGGGTTAGTGGGCACAGGGTTGATGCTGTCGCACATGCTCAGGCCTCAGGATATCGTCGTGGAGGGTAGCTTGGGCTTAGAGAGCGCGGGAGCGGCCGAGCGATGGGACGTAGTACTTACATACTAGCTAGCCTCGTGTTATGATGCCGCGCTCGGGGTTAAGGTCGAGGTCGCTGCGATGAGAGCCAGGACCCCTGATCGTCCTCATAAAGACTACCGATGCGTCCGGACCAAAGTTGGCAAACAACTTCGTGAAAACCACGGCCTGATCCTGGGCGGACCACCGAAGGGGGGAGGGCTCGTAAGGGTGAAGAGGTGCGCTGCAGAAGCGGTGGAGAGTCCAAAGATCAGTGTCCAAATGACCCCAAAACATGCAGAAAAGCAACGCGCCGCGCAGCACCAGAAGACCTGTGATTGGTGGAGAACTCTTCGGCCGGACCAAACCAGCCAAAATGGAGAGGATTGAGAAAAAGTCCCCAAAACTGTCGGAGGTAGCCTTTATGAGAATTATCAGGGGTCCTGCACGTTCCAAGTGGCTGCTACTCGTCTTCTCGTCTTCGGGCCTTCGCGCGCGAAGGACGGTGAGTCAGGTTCGGCCCTGTGACGGTGGCCGTGTGTGCAGCGATCTTTCTCGTCCTTCTCATTCGCGAGAGCGAAGCACCGACGATCTGGTGTGCGCAGCTGCCCTTCTTGCTGTACTTCTGATACCCAGTGAGCAGAGCCTAAGCTCGTTACGGAGCTTGTAAGGAGAGAGATGGAGATGGGGTCGAGCTCTGAGAAACGGTGCACGGTGAGTGGGCGCTGTAAGCTCGGATAGAGGGCTCACGAAAGGCGAACACGTAGGAAGGGCGTGCGTCGGCTGGCTTGACAGGGGACGTACACGAGCAGGATGCAGCCAGCAGCAGCTCGAACTGATAAGCTCTCGCGCGAGACCTGCGCCGCGGGGCTCGAGCTGCCACATTGGCGGGCGCTCCCCCGGATGCCGTACGCTGAACGTCAGCGTCGTGTCCTCGGGCTTTGTTGGGCCCGTCGGTGTCGGATGTTGTCCAGACGTGTTCTGATGCGAGCTGCACGACGCAGGACGTGTCTGTACGTCCTGCGTTGAATGGCGGGCTGTTGGAGCGGGGATTGGGCGCGGGAAGTGGCGGTGGCGGGAAGAAGGAGAACACGCGAGTGACTCCATATCGGGACGCGGTGTGACGCGTTGGGCGAGCTCTCGGAGATCTCCGAGAAGGGGCTATTAACGGAAATGACGGGAGCCTGGGCCGTGGGTCCAGAGCGGACGCGCCGAGATCGGGGCGAGATCTCGCTGGGAGGTGTCGGTGGAATGGGAGCAGGAACAAACAGCTCTTGGACATTACACTCACCATGGCCCACTCTCCCAGCGACTGGTCCACTGACGCAAACGAGGCTTTCCGCCTCTCCCTCGGTGAGCTACCCGCTACGTCGCAGTCCACCTACTCACCCCGAGCAGTCCGTGCACAGGATGACCGCGCGAGCCTCACCGCCAGAGAGGCCTACGAGGGCTTCCACCCGACGTTTACTTATCCAGTGCGTCTCTTATCAATTGCCACCCAACGCTCGCTCACCCGCCCGCAGTTATTCGGCGAGGAGGAAAAGCTGTACGGCTACCGCGACCCCAAGATCGACGTGCGTCTCCCCGCACCCCGCTTTCCTCCTCGCTAACCCCGGCACAGCTCAAATTCGCGTCCGGCTCCCTCGAGCAGTACTTCCACCTCTCTTACACAGCCAAGCTCCCCTCCTCGAGCGCCGTCGACGACATAGAGGGCACCGTCGCCAAGTTCATCCCCGCAGGGTATTACACCGACGAGGACGAGTTCAAGAAGCGCGTCGAAGCAGACGCTACCGCCTTCTCCCCGCTCGGCACGCGCATCTTGACCTACACGCGCCCGGCCAGCACCCTCAGCCGCAAGGGCAAGCATATCGTTATCCCCCAAGTCTTGTCCCCGGAGGACGAAGAGACGGTCGATTTCGAGGTATATCATGTACGTCACGCTCTGACCTTTTCTCTCTCTGTGTTCTCCTTCGTTTGCGGCCTTGTGCAGCGTCATGCAGCCGTTGTCTCGCATCTCGGCCCCTGCGTTGGCCGGTACCGGCGTACGGCGCTGTGGCGCGCAAAACCGCGAAATTGGGTCGTGCCTTGCCCCGCTTCCCCGCGTCCGCATGCAGCCTTCTGTTGCCTCGCGTTTCTGGTGTCCCGCGAGCGTGTCGGCCCGCTCGTCCCGTCCGTGCCACCGTGCCCGCGTGCTTTGGCCTCGCGGCATTGTGGAGAGACTGGATTTTGCAGTCGTGCGCCCCCGTCTCCGATTTGGACGTTGTCGTTGCGGCTATTGCTTCGGGGCTCGTGTGTATTTTGGGTGTAAGAGCTTTGTGTGCTCCTCCCCGACGTCGGCTCTGCTGCGTTCTCGTTGCGGTGTCGCGTGGTGGAAGTAGTTTTGTTCTGCGCACATCTATCGCACCGTCTTCGGTATTGTCCCCATTCGCGTGCGCTCTTGCGGCGTCCGTTCCACCGGGGTTCGCGTCCAAATGGCGCGGCCAGCCCACAGCATCTCCTGCGGACGCCATCCCCGCGAATAAATAACGTCTTCGCTTCCGCACGCATGCCCGCTAACTGATGTCTTTTTACTCCTGCAGTGCACATGGCAGACCCCGGGGTTCCGCGAGTACCACCGGCGGATGCAGCTCTTCATCCTGCTCTACATCGAGGGCGGTTCGTTAATCAGCGAGGAGGAGGAACTTTGGGAGTTTGTCGTGCTGTGCGTTTCCCCTTCTTCCGTCTTCCTCGATGCGAGACTGAGATGTGAACGGGCGGGCAGGTTCGAGAAGCGGAAGCGCCGCCATGCGCCGGAGATCGCTACGTACCATTTTGTGGGGTACTCGACGCTGTACCCGTTTTATTGTTTTCCGGAGCGGGTGCGCATGCGCCTTAGGTGAGTTTTGTCATTGTTTTTTTTTTTGGCTTTTGCGGTTGTGGTGCTGGATCATCGATGCTTGATGCTTTCGCTGTACTCTGAGAATGCTTGGTGTTCCTCCTGCTATCTCCTGATATCGTGTAACAACTTGCGGGCGTGCTATGCGTGATTCAAGCGCGCGCACTCCTAGCGAAGAATGCTCGTCTTGGAGTGCAGCTTAGTGAGTCCTGACTCGCTGCTTGGTGCTTGCGTCTCCCTCTACCCTACTGCGGGGTGTGTCTCTTGGATGCCCGCTCTTTTGGTAACGATTTAGCTGCATCGGGATCGCGTCTGGCGTTTCGTGGCGGAGTTGCCGCGATTATGCAATGGTTGTGCGACCTCTGTGGGGGCGTCTTGCTAGGTTGTATCCCTACCTGTGGTTCGCTTCAGCCCTGCTGAAAGACAAGATCGGAGTGCAGGCGTGCCCGGTCTTCTGGCTCTAGAGGAAAATGATGGTGTACGTTCGTTGTGCTTTTCCCGCTATTTCAGGATGACTTCGTGTCGTGCCGACTGGCTTCGTACACTTCGGCGTGTCTTACTGGGGCGCCAGGCCTTTTCAGGTTACTGGCCTGATTGGCTTGTTCTTCATCTTTGGGCGCTCTCTCAGTGCTGTATTCATCATAATGACTTGGGCGATATTGACAATTCTTTCCCCAATCTGCAGCCAATTCGTGATCCTGCCGCCATACCAGCAAGAGGGACATGGCTGTGCGTTTTATCCCCGTGATACCTTTCGCCCTGAGCCCCAACTGAACTACTCCCCTTCTTCCCCCGTCCTGCAGCCGCGCTCTACATGGCGATATACCAATACGTGCTCGCGACGCCGTCGATCGCGGAGTTGACGGTGGAGGATCCCGCGGAGGCGTTCGAGGACCTGCGGGACCGGAACGACCTGAAGATGCTGCTCGCGGACGAGCGCTTCATGCGGGAGGCGCTCGGCGAGGGCGCGGCGAGCAACGGGGGCGGCGGCGGCGGGCGTGTTGGCAGGAGACGGGGCGCGGGCGTGCCCGTGGGGCTTAGGGCGGCGAAGAAGGGTCGCTTGGGCCCACCTGCGGACAAGGCGTGGGTGGAGAAGAGGCGGACCGAGCTAAAGATCGCGTCGGTGCGTTTGCGGTTTGCGGTGTTGCGTCTGGAAGAGGTGATAGCGTGCTGATTGATGACGGGGGCTTTTTTTGCAGCGCCAGTTTTATCGGCTCATCGAGATGCTGATGTTGAAGCACCTGGACCCGTCTGATCAGCGTGCCGCGCGCGCGTACAGGCTGCAGGTGAAGGAAAGGTTGTACCGCTTCAATTACGTGCGTGGACTTTCGTCTGTGAGGTGTTTCGGTGCTGATGCCGGGTGTGGGACTGATAGGACTCGCTCGTGCAGCTCGACAAGAAGGAGCGGCAGCTCAAGCTGGAGGAGACGTTTCAGAGCGTGCGCGCGGACTACGTGCGTATCCTCGCGCTCGTGCCCAAGTAGCAGTGCTCTCCGCCCCGCGCTGGTTTCTGCCGCTCGTTCTGTTCCGCCTGGCATCCTTCCGCTTCAGCTCTTGTTGTGGTAGATCTGCGTGAGCAGGCAGGACTCCGGACTGATCCTCGTTCCTCTCAATCCTGGCTGCTTGTCTCTCTCGTCTCTCTCGTCTTCTCATGTTGTTTGTGTGTAACCATGCCCCATGCATATGCACATGGATCGTCTCCCTCTCCCGTTCCGTTACCTGACCACACATACATGGCGACTCGACTCGGCTCGGCTCGGCTCGGTGTGCGTGCACGTTGTGACTACGACGACTTACGCTTTCGTCTCTTATATCTGTAGCGAATTTTCAGACCTCTAGTCTCTCTTTTGTGATTCAGTGTGCACTGTGTAGCTTGCGCGCCGCACTGAGAACATGTAGATGCTTAGAACTGCGTCGGTGTTGGCACTGTTGGGCGGAAACTTGGAAGTCCTAGTCTGTCTTGGGCGGCCCGCTAGCTATCGATATCCTGGATTGGCCTGCGTTTTGCGGCATCGTTACTGAGGCGTGGGTTGCGACGTTTGTTATGGGTTATCGGATGGAAGAACGTCCTCAATGATTGCGAACGACGACACCTTCCATATATAGTAAGACACCTTCAAGTTCTTGAACAATATTCCTCCTCGGAGACGCTGCGATGAATTCCGTCTTGTACCATGCCTAGGTCCTGTCGTGGATGCCCGAAAATACCTGCGCGGTTTCGCCGCGCGCACTGCCGGCGCCTCTATGGTCTCCTCGCAAAGCTCAAGGTTCGAAGGTGTTGACGGAATTAGAATTAACAACATAGTTGATATTCTTCTTTGTACGACATATCCACAAGCAAAACAAAGTATCAACATGCAGAGTATTCACATCAAACAACATTCCACTGGATTGCAGCCACTGTCAGGAGACTTATTCAAAGGATGCTTTCGCTTAAGGGATTTCCACTCATTTTTGCCCAGAGTCCAACCATTGAAAGTGTCGCCTTCAAAGAGGAACAAAGACAGTTGTAACGACCCTCGGTGATACCCTTCTAGGATAGATGTCTCGGTGGCCACACCCGCAGAATGCTGGGACTCTGTTTGAGCTTCAGCCAGGTGGAATTTGACGACACTTTCCTTCTCCTGTGTCACCGTAAGCTTCCAATACCACATGTAGTTATGTGTGAGAAGATACACGCACCTTGTCGGACAGGTTCTGCCACCCCTCCTGGCTAAGCCTTATCTCTGGGTTTTTTGCAGTGTACACGCCAATGTATCTTATTTCTTTGTCCCCGTCCGCTCGCGTAGCATCCGTTCGGACGAACAGATAGAACTTATCCGTCTTAGAGAGTTCCAGCAGTTTGCGTGATGCCGTATACACGGAGCCGCGCCCGCCAGGAGCCATGCTGACAGCGTCGTCCTCGAGCTTGTCGCGCGCGGAAATGTCTTCGAAAGGTATGATGACGTTCTCCAGTGACAAAAGCACCACGGGGAAGCAGGTGGAATGAAGCTGCGCGGGTCTTAACAGAGATCACGACAATTTTCAGGACGACAACGCACCACGTCGTAAACCTGGATATCCCCACGGAACGAATCGGCGGTACTCTGTTGAGTGTACTCCTTCTCTGCAAGTTCTTTCAGAAATTCTTGCTCTCCGGCGGTGTAGATCTGGCGAGGCAGGGTGTTTGCAATTCTACCAAGCGCATTCCTCCTTGTGGACCGGTCCGACGCGACCCTGTTCATCTCCTGACCAGCAACGTCAATGGGCCGGCAAGGTTTCAATGGGCATGTCCGTCATTTAGATACCTCATACAGAATGGCCACGACGTACCTGATGATCCATTTCACAAAAACCAGACAAGTATTGGTGTGTGCAGAAGGGAGTTTTCGAATATCGCAGTATCGCAGCAGGTTTATATAGACGTGTGGCGCCCGAACAAGGAAATCTCGCTTTGACGACTGTTGTCGTGGACTTTATGTACTCGTGAGTGGTGCAACAATGGCTGTGCGGTGTGCCTGTCCTCTCCCAATTGTTGCATGTGTTGGTCCAAGCAACAGTTCTGAATCTGATCCACGCTTCCGCGACCCAAGCTTCGCAGGAACAACGTGTGCGCCACGAAGTAGACAATCACTGGCATGGCTTATTTCTGGTGTCAGACAAAGCATGGAGAATATACGAAATCCAGTTTGCAATCTTGGAGAGATGAAAATGCTGAGCATGACAGCAATCACAGTTAGGGAAGCTCCGAGTCAAAGCGCAGTGACAGTCGGGGTACTAGCTAACGCCCAGTTTGCAGCGAACACGGTCAGAAAATACCGGTCTTAGGTTGGTTCCAGGAATTAAAAAGGATGTATCCAACAGTAATACCTTATGGCTCAGCCTGTACGTGACCCTTGTACCCTACGGCGCCACCTTTCTACCACAGCCTTAGACTGCATTTCGGAATCACCTCCACCTCAATCCTGATACGCTTGCGGTGTTTGTTGCCATACGGTGCGCTTCTCTTCAGCCCCTTGTCGCTGAAATCACCCACATCCTGATGCAAAGAGTGCAGGATCACATCAGGGAAAACCTCCCGCGCAAATTGGTCAAAATTATATGTTAATTGTCAAGAATAGTCGAGATTCTACGTGTTCCAGCGATTATCAAGATTGTTGAGAATTACACGAAATAGACGGCCCCTGCCGATTTCACTTATTAATTCTCAACATTTCTTAACATTACACACATTTGTTACAGGGTTTTCTCTTCAATTCTTGCTATTATACATGTTGTGACAACGAATCAGGCCTCATTTACTCAATAATACAGTAGGAAAATGAGCATGTTATTAGACAGTACAAAGTATAATACTTAAAGAGATATGTTAGTCATCGAAAGGGCACTTGCATACCGCCTGGGCAAATAAGGGAGAAAAATCGCCAGCATACCATCCCGTATCCTAAGAGGCCGTGAGGGTTTCGCAGTCACGTTCACAAACACACGGTCGTTGGAGGTGCCCCCTCCGATCGTACCAGCGGGTGCATGCGGGGAAAGCTCGAACCTCTCGACATAATAGCTCGGCAAAATTGCAGCCGCGGACCTCCTGAGCCAGCCGCCCCTTCTCCGTGCATCATCTGTACCGGCAGAGACGAGATCATTGGAATTGCCGTACTCATTTGGCAGTGCACGATCTGATGGACCAGGAGGGGAGCCAGGGGGCGGGTGTGCGTAGTCATAGTCAACGGCTTCGAGGTCATATATTCCTGGTGTGGATTGTTCGTGCGCAGATGACGGCTCGGGGTCATTGTACGCAAGGGGGTGGTAACCGCTGCGGGGGTTTATGGGGTGGTGCGGGTCGACTCCAGTGTCCGACTAAATTTGATGTGTTGAGGGGGGCCGGAGTCGGAGCATCCATAGATGCCCTGCATTTTCATTTTACTAGTAACCGAGTTAGTCTTTCAGCGAGGCACATAGAACGTAGTGACGCGCCTCGAGTGTTGCCCTTGTGCTACTACACAATACTATGCCTAGCATTGCGTGCCAATATCAGCTTTGTTAAATGCATCCGTGAGGGGTGACAGAGAAAGCACGTACCATAGAATAAGTGTTGCGGGTCAACAAAGACGTGAATATGAAGCAGAGAAGACGGACGCTGCAGTGAACCAGTGCTTGCTCTTGTTTGGTCCAATCAACGTCATCACGTGCCGTTGGACTTAGCAATTCCTGGGCGATGACTTCAACTCACCCTTGCAAGTTGCATCGTCACTGGTTGATCACCTATACCCCATATCCCGCACTTATCTCGCAGCTCATATCTCCTGCCTTGCCTGGCATCTCCCCACCTTACCTGCCTCGCTGACTGCATCTGTCCAGCCTCCACATGTCATCTCGCCCTTGCATCTTGCCTCCTCCACCTCTCTCGCCTCACGTCTTTGTACACCTTGCATCTGCTGTCCCGCATTCTCGCCTGCCTCGCGTTCTTACCCATGCTGCTCAGTTGGACACATCGGCAACATCTAATACACCATTCGGATCGCTTCGAACCGGCTGCTGCATTTACAGCCATCTTTGCTGAGTGTCGAGCCGGTGCTGTTTCTGCTTTTGCTGTGTGATCATGGTAAGCACTGGTTCAGCTGATGACTCTCTTCAAGAGTGTTCTGGAGGAACTGTTTTCCAAGATCCCAGTAGAGTTTCTGATTAGCATACAATTTACATGTAATTATGAGGTTTTCAAATCAGATTATCATTGAAGTCGAGATATTGAGTGACTTTCCTCAGTGCACGATGCACTTCAAATTTTCTCGTTCTTGTGAATTATCCACAATTATCATACATTTCTTCACAATTGTGCTGGGTGGTTTTTCCTGATGTCATTGAAGTTGAGAAATTAAGTGACTTTCCTCACAATGCACTCCAAATTTTTTCATTCTCATGAATTATCCACAATTATCATATAATTCTTCGCAATTGCGCTGGGAGGTTTTTCCTGATGCACCATCCATGGCTTCACCGAGATTTTCATCTGACAAGTCAACTCTGGCGGAGTCAACTTTTCAGAGCAAAATCTCTGCCATGAATACATACCAGTGAGACTCCCTGATATCGTTCCTGTCCAATTTTCAGCCTCCTTCACCGGACTCACCCTAATATTGAACGTTGAACATGCATGAATATGACAATTTGATTGTGCTTTCACCATTAATGCGCCGGTTTCCTCATTCCATCTATCTGTGCTGCTCTACCACTTGGGAATCTACCCTGGATGTTTATTAGTGCGTACAAATTATGACGATTGCTATTACATCCGAGAGCGTTCTGCCATCCATGAACAGGATAGTACATATCTTGATTGGCAGGTCGTCGTGGTGGCCTTACCATGGCGTGTCTTTTCTCATCTTTCATCCTATGCCATACATGCAGTGGTTACACGGAATGAGATATTGACTACGGAGCATACTGGTAAGTCACATTTGTACATATACCAATCAGTGCAGTGCATCAACAAGCTCTGACAGATCCAGAAGAGTGAAACGCCCGGAGCCCCCTCCTGCAGCATAGTGGGTTCCATGGCACGCAGATGCATCCTCCGTATGAGCCCGTTTGGAGCCTGCAAGCCAACACAACTTCTGTCCCGACTCTTTCAAGATGAGCCATCCATCCTCTTCCGCAAATTTCCTACGCTCCCCGCCAACGCCTGCGCCCCAGTCATTGGCAGCGTAATTCAGGATCTCTCCAGTTGAACAACTCCATATATAAGTCAGCCCGTTTATCGTCTTTGTGTAAATCTTGGTACTGTCAGGCGAGAATTCGAGCTTGCTGACCATGTCAATCGGTGCCTTCTTGAAATCGATTTTGATCTTTTTGTGGAGTGTACCGTCAGATGCATTCCACAATCGGATGCTCGGCTCCAAATTATTCGCCCCCGATGCAAATAGCGTGCCGTCGGGAGAGTATGCCACGGCCTCAACACCTTTCTTGTGGCCCTTTAAGGACATCACCGACTGTCCGCTCTCAACGTCCCAAACACGAACAACATTGTCCCAACCTCCGGAGACGATACGGCTACCGTCGGGTGAGAAGGCGATGCTCTGGATACGTTCAGTATGTCCTTCCAGTGTGCGTACTTCTTGGCCGGTCGCTGCATCCCAGACAATAATGGTGGCATCCTCAGAGCTTGATGCAACGCGCGTTCCATCATTCGAGAATACAATGCAAGTAACGGTGGCATCGTGACCGACAGAGCTTGCTCCACAATCTGCGATGGTGAGATCCCAGATGCGAACTGTTTGGTCGTCGGATGCCGATACTAGCCGATTTCCGTCCTGCGAGAAAGAGACCGAGAGGACCCAGCTTGTATGATCGCGCAGATGGTACAGGAATTCTCCGGTCTGGGCATCCCATAGACAGATCGTGTTGTCCACAGAGCCTGAGGCAATTCGGTCACCTTGAAACGAGATGGTGACACAGAAGACGCGTCCATCATGACCTTCAAGAGTTTGAAGACACTTCTCCGAGTCCATATCCCAGATGCGCACTGTTTTGTCGCTTGCGCCTGACACCACCTTGCGTCCGTCCGGGAAAAATGCCGCTCCCTTCGCCTGGTCTGTATGACCTACAAACTTCTTCAGCATATAAAGGTCCTCTACGACCCATGCACGGACTATGTTATCACTGGAAGCTGTCACGACCATAGAGCCATCACGGGAGAAGCTGACGGAATTAATGCAATTTGTTTCGTCTTCAACGACGTCTAGTTTCTTCCCGCGCTGGGCATCCCAGAGATGGAGAGCGTTGTTATACGATCCTGATATGATGTTGTTACCATCGGGCGAATACTCCACAGCGAACACGTTGCCGTGTTTAGCACGCAACTTGTGCAGTGGTGCCCCTGTTGCGGCATTCCATATGCGTAGGGTCGTGTCATCAGAACCGGAAACTATGTACTGGTTGTTGGGCGAATAGTCGACGTCATTCACATTGTTGTTGTGACTGCGCATGATGTTCATTGGGGTCCCAGAGGCAGCGTCCCACGTTCGCACTGTGCGATCCCAACAACATGATACAACCCAGCGACCATTGGGAGAGAACTTCGCAGCTCCGACGCGACCTGAGTGCCCTTCAACCACACGCAGACAGGACCCCCACTGTGGATCCCGCGCAGTCACAAGGCTGACTGCTGTTTCACTGCCAGGTAACGAATATTGATCGAACAGCAGGGAGGAAGGTGTCATGGGTAAGGCCGAGATGTAAATGTGCTCGGGACACCGGTTGATGGGGATGAAATACTCCAGCACAAATCTATACCCATCACTGAGAAGGTTCAGAGTATCTGCATCCGAGGTTGACTAAAATGGACATGCGTCAGAAATGGTCCTTCATCCCACTCTGAACTCACCTGGTACCAAGTGCGGACACTAAGCAGCGCCTGGACTGCGATATCGAGCCGATCCATCATGCTCAATGCCTCCAACCAAACGATTAATTTGTCTGAACAAAATGTCTTCAGCAGTTCATGCAATCCGGGCGAATGATCGGCACTGGAGAGATGTGTCGCCCAGTGGACGCATGCGTACTGTACATGTAGAGGGATGTGGGCTTTGACGCGCTCGTGGAGGTCGCCGATGCTATCCTTGAAAGTACTAGGAACCGACAACCGACAGATATTCCTCCGCAGGACTCCCTTTGCAATCAGAATAGTTAGGCACGCTGAAGCCAGATGACCGTGGTGGCTGACGGGATCAATGTAGAAACTAGTGTCCTTGCATCGCTGCTTGTCGACAAGGAATTGCGGAAAGCTAGCGTGCAGGGGACGGATGTGGTCGTCGGGGTCATCTTCTTCGTTAAGACAGATGACAGACCCAAGACGCGCAAGAACGAAATGGATACTCTTGATCCCGACATTCACGAGTGACGTCAGAGTTTTCGGTGAGAGATGGTCTTGCAGTAATGCCACACACCCCAAAACCTGTTGAATCCATGTCTTGACATCGGGCCGGTCAAGAACGTATTCTGGGAATGCATTCTTAAGAACAATTAGGTATAGCTGGTCCAGAGTAGTGAGGCCAGGCGCCCCATCGGCCGTTGATTCAGCAAGCAAGAGGTCCAAGTTTTCCTCGAGATGTTCGTAGTCCCCCCGTAGAAAGTTGACTGCAGTGGTGGCAAATATGAACAGGCCTTCTGATTTCTTTGTCAGATCATGGATCATATTTGGACGTGCCTTCAGTAGGCGGTCACTGTTCCGAATGGTTTTGACGTTCACAATTAAGTAGTGTGTGATATCTGCATTGATTATAGTGCGGGGGATCTCGTTAAGCTTGAATGGCCTGGCAACATTGGCAAACTCCGTCGACTGGAATGCATCCTCGATATGCATCTCTGGCCGCGTGGTGATCAACACTCGAAGAGGGAACTTGACTTCGCGTATTCGCTGCAGAATGAGATGTAGCATGCGCGGAACGTGGTCTTGAGCGAGTTCCGTGCATTCATCAACGGCGTCAATAACAATCACAACAGGAGGGTGATCTGCGGGGACATCTTGAAGAGGCTTGATGATCAGCTCGTCGAGCTCGAAGTCCATTTGTTGCTTGGTTCCCCGTTTTAGGTGATCACGAGCAGCCTTGACAACCAGAGGGTAGAAGGTAGGCTGCGAAACTGCCAGTTGGTATGCGATTGTGGGAAACACCAGTCGCGTAGTATTTAACCCCTCAACGCCTCGCACGAAGAAGAAAGATGCACCGAGGCGCCTCTCATTCTCGAGTCGCTTCGCGAATTCGTAGGCAATGGTAGACTTGCCAGTTCCTGCCGCTCCACTGAGGACGTAGATGGAGAAATCCAAGAAGTCAGGGTTGGTCCCCTTTGCCCAGCCTTCAAGTTCGTCGAGTAGTTCCGTCCGCGTTCCAGGTAGATAACCGTTCTTGAATTCGTTGGCAGAGGACCGATATTGAGCATCAGTACGATGAGGCAAGTGCTGCAGAGTTTCATCATCTTCTATATAGAGCATAAACAACCACACAATGTAACTGATTTGAAGCTACTTACTGCTAAGCTGCTGGACCATCTCTAGACGCTGGGTATTGTTAATACTCAGAATGTTCGTCAGCAGCTACAGGGGCATCAGCTTACCACTACTGTCTCCACAATCTCATCAACCTTCTCCACCAACCCATTGATCAACGCTTCGATTGTCACCTGGCCCTGGAACTGTAAACACCATGTCATCAGCCATGAATGGGTGATGACAACCGCGAGTGAGTAGCAACGAACTGCAAAATCTTTTCTGGCTGTATCAATCCCCTCTTTCAAATCACTCAGGATGCCTGCATTTCGATCTCCTCGGAGACACCTTAGAAAGAATGAACCTTCCGAGATCTTCGCAGCTTCTCTCTTCAGATCTTCGAGCTTTCTGCGCAAAACGTAGGTAAGAATCGGCACAAACATTGCATTGCACTTACGAATTCAGATTCTCAATCCGCTCGTTCAATTCAAGTGACGACTTGAATCTCGATCGTACGAATTTACGCTCGCTTGCGTTCGTCGCCCCGACTCGGTCACTGATCTGCTTATGCGTCTTGTCAATGAGATCTGCGAGTGCCTTGATGCTCTTAGCTAGATCTTTTGCGGCTTGGTCGTTGCCCCTGGCTGTCTAATGTTAAGGAGACGTGGTCCAGCAGAATCAAAACGCCACGACCTCTGTGAATGAGAAACGAGATCAGGTGCGGGCTGGTTTCACTCACCATGACCATCTCGATGATTGTGGAGAGTGCGGAGGCAGCAGTGTCCAAGCCGCCAACTGGTGCGGCCGATAGAGCATCGCCAGCTGTGTCAAGAAGGAGGTGGACGCCATTGAGAACATCATCTACCAGCTCTTCGTGAGCGTGAACGTTCCTGCATAGAACAGAGAAGCAAGACATCCTGGCGGTAAACCACGGTGAAGAGCAGAGTCGTTACTCAAGTGTTAGAAATGCTGAGATAACGGGAAGGCGGTATGGACCTGGCGAGCACCAGTGGGGCAAGCGCGAGAGCGGTGTTGGTCAGAATGCATAGCATCGGCGAAGCCTTCGGATTCAGATCGCCTTTGAGCGGTTCCCTGCCAGCGCCATAGGTACTTTATGGTTCAGAATTCTCCCAGGGTGCCATCTGTCCTGGAGGTAATGCAGCACTTCCATCCTAAGATCCTCCAGGAACAAAGGCAATAATGCGACTGGCTTAAGAATCTACTAGGTCATTCGCGTGCTGCAAGCGCACCTCTGCTACATGCGCGTCACAGAGCTGAGAAGGTGTCATGCGAAACATCTATCGGAAAGCGTGTGAATGCTTAGTGATGGGCTCCAGGAGAGCAGCATCGAAACAGGGAACTCGTTGAGGATTCTAAGACCGTGCAGAGAGGACATGAATATCTAGTAACCTGCTGATGATCATATACAGAACGTACAGTTGCTGGCGTACACCGTGGAAGAACGACTCCGTCAACACTCAGTAGGCAACTGCGTCTTCACTCACAGGAAACATGCCCTGCGACTGAACACCGTGACCTGCCGCGAGCCCTACCAGGGCCGCCAACTCCAAGAATGTCTGACAAGTTGTAAGGCTAGTAGTATCTGAGGCCGACCGTCGTATGCTGTAGTGTTTCTGACAATTTGATAATCCGAGCAACCAGTACCAGACAATTTGGATAGTGCTAGAAACTACCTAGAAACGTAACAAAGGTCACTAGATATCTACCAACTTAATACGGATTTCGGCTCAGCCACAGGGTGTTACTGGAGATAAATCTCGATCGATCTCTAGTCGGTGCACTCAGCCCGGCTGCGGCGCGTGCGCACAACGGACTCGGCCTGCATGCAGAGTTTGGCATTGAGTCACATACCGTGCACCGTGACTGCTGGGAATGTGAATATCTTGGCTGATGGCACTGTATCTATCCCCATGATCGCGGCACTGGACTCGGAGGCGCGAAATAGAACGCTACAACTTCGTACGCGTGTGCGTGCTTGAGGTGCAAGCCCGGGAATTCTCAAAGCCTCTCAATTTTGATCCACTATGTTTACTCTCTTCAAGACTGTCCTGGGCCTGTTGATCTGCGCCACAGTCGTGCATGGTAATGTGCAGCATCCGTTCCGCGCACGACTGAACACGGTGCAGCCTCCTCCAAGGATTCACCCCAGCAACCAGCTGAGAACCCCTCTCGCGGCCGAGTCTTACGATACAGGCTCATTCTCCGCTGTGGGGGATCCTACCCTGCTGTCCGTCTCACACTTCACTACTCTGAGCCATCCGGCGTTTCCGAATCACAGCGTGCGCATCAAGAAGGCCAATATATGCGATGGAGACGAGTGAGTCTTCGCCAACATCAAGCACCTATAGTATTATGACTACGTGCATGTTCAATGAAGAGCCTACACTGGATACTTCGATATCGAGGCACGACACCTGTTCTTCTTTTTCTTTGAAAGCAAGAACGATCCCGACAATGATGATGTCATATTTTGGACGAGCGGCGGTCCGGGCTGTGCTGGCTCCCTCGGGCTATTCATGGATTTTGGTCAGTCTTGCTCCTAGTCTTCTCTGTCACTCACTATATTGACGTCTGATTCTGGTTTTTGTGTAGGTCCATGCAAGATCACCAATCCCAATGGCACGGTCCATAACCCTTACTCATGGACGGAGAAGGCAAGTGTATTCTTCGTCGACCAGCCCATCGGTGTCGGGTTCTCGTATGCCGATTACGGTGAAACGGTGGTGAGTGCATCTAATATAAGCTGAAGAACAGAGCAGATGATGTGTCTGCTAGAGCACGACCGAAGAGGCTGCCAAGGATATTGCGGCGTTCGTAGCTATATTTTTTGAGCATTTCACCAAGTTCAAAGGGAATGCTTTCCATATGGCTTCATCGTCGTACGGCGTAGGTATTCTTATGAATTTCATTGAGTGATGCTCAGACAATGATCACTTCATAGGGCCGCTACATACCCGTATTCGCGTCCGAGGTATACGACCAAAATGCGAAACTCGTCGAAGCTGGCATGACCCCAATCAATTTGACCTCTATAATGATAGGTTGTTACACAAGCCTGCATCACCCGACTAATCTCACTAGGGTTCTCCACGTAGGAAATGGTTGCACCGATGTGACAACCATGTTACCTTCTTACTACGACATGCAATGCACGGGTGTTACGGCGCCGCCCAAAATTGGGATCAGGTCCACACCCCTTTCTCTGTTTCCCCAGCCCATTTTTACGTGTTCTCATTTGTTTCTAGCTCGTGTGTCCGGCAGAAATTGGCGGTAAGTATTATTTGGATGCACTCGTCCTACTGGTAGTTTATCAGCTGAATTGGATCTCAGCTTCCCCGGTGCGAGAGGTGGTTGAAGGAGTCCTGTAGGGATTCATATGACGCGATGAACTGTCGTGCAGCAGTTGACTTCTGCGGGGCCGAGATAGAGGAGCCTTTCAATTCTGCTCGTACGTCATCCTTTTTCCAAACACTTAGACAACCGATAGACACCCTTCCACCAGGCTATAACCCGTATGATATCCTCAAGCCTTGGTTCGTTCACTTGTCTATTCTTGCAACTTCTCCTAATGTGTCATATCACAGTGACGGAGACATTGAAGAGACATTGTGCTATCCAGTCACAAAGTACCACCTTCAGACATCTTTATTCTCTCATTTCTGACTTCTATCTCTTCCACAGCGCTATTGAAGCCTACCTTAACAGACCAGATATTCGGACAATCTTAGGTGTAGATCCTGCAATCTCTGGCAATGTCAGCGCCTGCAGCAACCGCGTAAACGATGACTTCAATTCAGCCGGAGACTATCACTTCCCGACGCAGTACTACCTCGCCGCGCTGCTCGAACGCGGTATACGTACTCTGCTCTACGTCGGCACAAGAGACTGGATTTGCAACTGGGTGCGTTACTGAGCCAATTTGATGGATCGTGCCCGGCTGATCGCCAGTGGCACCTGGGTGACGCGTTTTAGGTGGGCAACGAGCGCATGACAGTTGCGATGGAGTGGACCGGACAGGAGGCATATACGGCTGCAGAGAAGAGGAAGTGGTATGTCGACTCCGAGGTTGCTGGCTTGGTGAAAAGCGTCGGACCGTTCACCTTTGCCACTGTCCATAATGCGGGACACATGGTGAGCATCTTCTCAAAGTGGTGCTCAAACACTACCCTGATGTGTTTTGTTTGGTAGGTCCCGTATGATGTTCCGAAGGAGTCGCTGGCAATGATCAATCGTTGGTTGGCCGGGGAGGAGCTGTAGAGGTGCATTCTAACTATTTCCTGCCATGCAAGATGCAGCATGCTTCGTCCGTCAGGAAGGCAAGTTCGAGATTCAGCAGGATAGCAGATAATTTCAGAGGGGAAAATATGGCAGGTTCATTAGTCTTCCACTCCGTTTGCGTTGTTGCATTTGAGCCGCTCAGGTATTGCTGTTCATATTGGCAAGTCGACATATCATGATAGAGTTTTCCAGTTCTGATAAATGGCTGACTACGCGCGACGTCAGGGTGCCAGAAGCCCAGCCATTCCTTAGTCGCGACGACACTGGCTTAGCCATCCTTGCGACCGCAGCCGTACATTTACATGATGCCATCGTCGCCCCGACCTGACAAGATATACTTGTGTGCGTCAAAGGTGGCTTCTCAAGCATGAATGCCTTATTCTATGGATAGTTTGATCATTGATGATCACACATGTACCACCCTTGGAACAACAGTGGGAGAAGTCCACCGGCGAAGGTGCATACTTATATCCTTCCAAGTCATCCTTAGCTTAAGGCGGTGGCGAGCTACGATCATAGTATATAGCACCGTATCACGGTAGCATAATATTCCGAGTTCAGTCCTCCGAGTCCTGACCTTCTTCGATCGAGCCCAGCTGAGAGGTGTTCAAATCCGAACTTCCAGTAGCTCTTGAGCGAGATGAGCGAGCACCCGACTTCGATCCTTGCGTCTTCTGTCGCTTGGCTGAATCTTCGGCAAAGTCATCTGCCTTTCCTTCGCTGTCTACACTTGTGCCTGTTTGGAAAGATTTTTCTAGTGATTCTCCCTTCGTAAACGGTTAATTCGTTTTCAACCTTGTCCATAACCCAGAAGGGCCCATTGTCTCTCACGACGGCAGTGAAAGCAAAATAGACTGCATCGTGGTCGGCCAAGAGGAGCTGCCCCTCAGAAAGCCGAGGAAACAAAGCTGCGGGTGTCACAATGTCAAAGCCGGGTGGGAGTTCAGCTCGATATGTAACCGGTGCGGAGGGAGTAGTAGTGGTTGCTCCATGGACCGGTCCCAATGCATCAATGCCAATGGCAGCATAATTTCTACGACAAAGTTCGATCAGAGAGTGAAGAAGGTTACTCAACGCGGTGTTGCCTGAAACATTGAATGGCACCAGTCCTGCCTTGATAGTCGAGAATTTGTTAGTACCACCGATGTAGTAGCCAGCAAGTGTGCGATCACATTCATTGTAGGTTGATTCAATGTGGGTCCGGAGAGGCGAACCTGAAATATCATGCGGGTGGTACTTGAGTGCTAACCAGTGCACCAACTGAACAAACGATTCCATGTCATCAGAAACTCCCTGCCCCTTGACCGTCGGATAACAGAGTAACAGAGCAGACATGAATTGCCAAGTGCCCTGACGGTCAACAAGGTTAGATTCCACGAAACGACAGCACACAATCATGATACATGCCGAGCGACTTTCTGCGAGGCACCTTTGCCAAGATGTTCCTTGTATTTGCACATAACCCAATCATTCAAGAATCCGGGCACCAGATTTGCAGATGAAAACCATGAGGCAAAAGAGGCGGTGCTGGCGAAGGAGTATCTGCACCGCATGCTCGGTGATCTGTCCCAAGGTCCGTAAGCCATCGTGCGAATGAGCGCGAAGAAAATGTGCCCCAGGATCATTGAACTCGAAAGCTGATTTCTGATGGTTATTCTTGACCTCTATAGGTACGCAAGTCCAAGCCCAGGAGACTCTCGCCATGTAGTACTTCCGGCGTTGAGCCGATTTGCCCCGCATCAACTGTTTCGTCGGAACAGAGTAAGCTTCCTTCGCAGCGGCGGTTGTAGGATAGATTCCAATGCCGAATTTAGTGATATTCTCGTCGCTTGTTACTTAAGTACCAGTCACGTCCGGGTATTCGCCAGTGTCTTTAGCAGAGAGGCCACTCTGAGGGACGGCGTTTATAACAGATTGAAAGACTGTACACTATAAACTAATGTGAACAAAAGAATATGGAAAAAGAAGACACGCACCAAACCAGGATACATATCAGTCTCGAACCCGTCACGCTTTACGCATTCAAAATTCTCGAATTTGGCTCTTTCTTCATCCGACGGATCAGGACCGGGGACAAGCTCTGCCATGAAGTCTTCAAGGCCGATCTCGATAATATAGTTTGTCGTTTCGTCCGCCAAGTCAATGCGCAGGTCCTCCACGTCTTTCTCCGGCACGTATGCAAACCGTTGTCGACTCAAGAATTTGGCGACGTGAGGCGTTACCTGCGGTGGAGCAGTAGGAGGCAGAGCGCGCCGTAAAGGCGGGGTACGAGGCTGTTGTACGTCCTGCCGTTGGCCTGCAGATCACGCGTCTGAAGTAACCTGGGGCGAATTTGGACCAGAGGACGGTGTCCCAGGCTGTGGTAGGTCCGGCTGTTCGTCTCTAGGTGTTGTGTAGAGTGTAGTATCCTGAAGAGGGCACGATTCAGATGGTCAGCAAGACATTGTAGAAAGAAGGAGACACACAGAAACAGTATAGAAAAGGCCGCGCCTTATATATAAATATCGGTGGATGGACGGAGTAAAATTACAGTATTCTGTATCGTACCGCGCATGAGTCATTTCCGGAAATGAATATGGGCCAACACGCTCACGGCGGCCAGAGGGCAGGTAGACAATGGTTATGGCCAAAACACCTGAAATCAGTGAACACATTTCTCCCACAGCATCCAATTTGGCCAATTCTCGCCACTTACTTACTCAATTATCGCATATTCCAGCTACTGTATGCCGGTAGGAGCCTATGGGAGTTCACATCTCGGAGTACAAGTCGAAGGTTTCCACAACGGCGCGGACATGTGACCGACGCGTCTAAGAAGCGCCCGTGCTCCATGGCCGAAGTAACTCCGGTACTGGAATGCACAGGTACTGTATGTTCAACCCATTCTGTCAAACTTGTCTCGTTACTCAAGTACTCACCTCGCGCTGTCTCTCGCATCACATCATCACGTTCGAACGTGCAAAACCCGCCGCAGCGACTGTGCCCGTCCCCCCCGTCCTGAGATCCCGTCGTGCTTTATCGCAGGAAACGTCGCGCGCGTGTCCGCCCGCTGGACCCGCGGCACGCAAACGGCGTCTCAAAGCCTGCGCTCCGCGCCGCGCAGCAGAATTCTGAATTCTGAGTTTATAGACGGGCCCAGTGACTGCGCGGAGCGCCGGAGATGCTCATCGCCACGGCCCCAAACTCCCCATTTTGGTGGTGCGCGCGTGCGCCTCACAGTAACGTCGACCGCGGGGCGAAAAAGCGGCCGTGCCCAAACTGCCTCTAATATCAGAAGCTCGCGCCCGGTGCCATTAATCGTCGACGGGTCACGGTCGTGGCTACGATACGAGCGTTCTGGCGATCCGAGTCTCCTGATGTGACCGCGCGGGGCGGCGTTGGCCAGGGAAGGTTCACCTGTCTCGGGACGGATCCGTGGACCACTACCACGGTAGGTATATTCCGGCGCGCGTTCTACCTGATCAATCGATCGAGTCAGGCACGGATATCCTGCAGCAGCAGGAGGCCCGAAGATGGCCATCGAAGCAGTGTACGGTTTGCCTTTGGAAGCGTACGCTTTGCATGTGCAAGCCAGACGCTGTCTTACGAGTATGGCTGCGGGCCTGCGGCTATCCGCGCAGCCATAATAATACGCACCGCACAACTTGCCTAGTCGATCGCCGGGTCACATCAATGCAGCCAGCCGTACGCGCGAAGCAGCACCCTACCAATCTACACTTCCATGTTCTCACCATCCACGAAGGGACATCGACACGCGACCGCCTACCGGAATCACTCATATGCCAATCAACGCACCGCTCAACTAAGCAACGATAACCAGCAAGTACAGTACCGACGTCAATCTCGACATCGCACGAACAATCCACCGGGAGCGCAGTCGAGCCCGGAACGCGAATAAAGTAAACTACAACCACACAAATCGCAAGCAGCAATCGCAACGCAAGCACGTAAAAAAACACAGTTCGCCGAGGCGAGCCAGAAACAGCCAACGCACGAGAAAGGGAAAAACGAACGGACGGAGATCAAGATGGTTGGTAGGATAGGAACGTCAAAGATACGAAAAACGCAGAACGGAACGCATTAAAGAGAGTGGGGCACCGCGATGTGCACGGGGCGACAAGATAGGAAAAAAGTATCTGTGTGTATGAAAAGTACGAGAACAGCGGCACAGTCCTGCTCCGCACACAAACGGGCACGGGAGAAGGACGGTATCCACCGCGGTATTTTAGGGACATGGTGTTATATGGTGTTATATGCGATAGCTCGTCCAGAGCCAGAACATCGGGCGGGGACAGGACGTCGACCGCAGCAGGTTGCTGCCCATCGAGAGCGGCAGAGCAGCGGCGGGGGAAGGAGGAGGCGAGATTACTGGACGGGAGTGTACGATAGGATTAGCCGGCGCACAGAGCGCACGCTGCGAGGGCGTAGATTAGCAATTAGCCGACGAGTCGGAGGCACCATCGGCGCACAAGAACATGAGACGAGGCGAGGTGACGGCGAGCAATGCGTGGAGCTATGTACAACAACCGAGAGCGGGAGCACGAAGGCGACAACGAGCTTTGTACACGTGTGTGTGCGCGAGAGCGGAGGGGAGTCGAATATGCACAGCGAAGATGAATGCAAGATGTGATTGTTGAGGCAGGTTGGCCGGCAGTTCGATGACTGACCAGTCCGTTGCTGCCCGTAAAGCGAATTGACAGAGAAAGGTAGGTTTAGCGGGATGGATGGCGCAGAGGGCCGAGTGACGTTGATGCAGCAGCTGGACGGGAGCACGCATTGGTGCTGGCACATACAGCGGAGCCCGCGTGTACAGCGACGATGACGTCGCGCGGCTGTGTCCGATGCGAGCGGACACCCCGTCGGCCACATACACCGGCGCCTCCAGCCCAACTCGCCACCACGATGGTTGGGGCCCCTCGCGTCCGCGCACCCCAGGCCTGCAGGCAACTGAGGGCGACGCCCCGAGCGCACTAATTCGACGCCACGCTCGCACTCTCCTTGTGTCTGCTGATCTTCTCCACCCCCGCGCCCAGTGCAGTCAGGCGGGATCGCTCCTGTGGCCACACGGAATCAGCGCCAGCCGAGGACACACGATGCAACGAAACAACAACTCACCTCCATTTCGTCTTCCTCTTCGTCTTCCTCCTCGCCCTCCCCACGCGGGCTCTCTTCCTCGTCCTCACCCGAGCCATCTTCGGCCGAGCCCTCAGCACCTGCACCGCCCACGCTTTCCTTGCTCGCAGTCCGCACGAGCTCCTCAGACTCACCGGTAACGATGATCTGCACGCCATGCGGCGGGTCCAGAACCACACGCCCGTCTTTGCGGGGGTGCGCCGCGCGCGCGGGCACGGTCACCGCAGTATACACGTGTCCCTCCTTCTGCTCCACCTTCTCCTTCTCCTTGCCCTCCCGCTCGCTCGCAGACGGCGGGCCAGACTCGGACCCGCGCATATGCACATCGCCAACCCCGGGGGGCACGGCGACGGCCCCCGCCCCCGCCTCCTTCTCCTTCCGTTCGCGCTCCTCACGTTCTTTGCGCTCCCGCTCGCGCTGCTCCCGCCTCTTGCGCACCCACGCCATTCCAGTCCCGTCGTCGTCCGAAGCGCTCGCCTTTGCCGCGCCGCTCGTATTCGTAGAGTTGCCGAGCGCGCCGTTGCCGGTGAGCCGCCCGTTCGCAGTGCTCGGGCGCGAGCCCCAGCTCTGGGACGAATCGTGTGCCCCGACGTTGATAGCGCCCGAAGACTGCACCTTGGACCAGATGCTCGCGTGGCCATTCGAGGCCTGCACGCTGCCCATGCCGCCGTAGCCCCACTCCACGAACTGCGGGTCCGGTCTGCGAACGAAGCACGATCAGCGCCGACTCTTCCAAAGGTAAGCGGAAAGCCCACCTGGCGTTCGCAAACGGATTCCTTTTCGCGCCATAGACGCGGCCATTCAGCATGCGCTGCTGCCTCCGCCCACCGTGATTGCTACTTATCCTCCCCAGGCTCGCCTCGAGCAGCTCCTCCTCCTCGCGATCCAAGCTCTGCGTCCGGCCAAACTCGACGCCCCGGTGCCCCTTCTTCGGCGCGGGCCCTCGCGGCACATCGTCCGACTGCCACCGGCCCAGCGGCATGCCAAACTCCTTGACCCAGTCGGGCGTCGTGTCGCGCCCGCGGCTGCCGCTGCGGTCGCGCTGGCGCTTCGACGGCGCCTTCGCCTTCGCGTCCGCCTCGTCGCCCGCGCCCGCGCCGGAGCACGGAGCGCCCTTGGCGAGCGGGCCGAGCAGCGGCTTGAACAGCTTCTTGGACCACTTGTGCGCCGCCTTGCGCGGGGCGGCGGCGGCGGCGTCGCGCGAGGGCGTGAGGACGTCCCACTCGCCGTCGGTGTCGGACGGCGGGGTCGAGCTCGGGAGGGACGCGGACCCGCTCGGGCACACGGTCGGCGCGGCGGGGCTCGAGTCGGTCGAGGCCGGGGGGGAGTGTGCGGGGCGGGGGATGTGGGGGGTGGTGAGCGTGCATGAGGACGCGGCGGTGGCGGTGCTCGCGAGGGTGGGTGTCGACTCGGACGCGGGGGGCGCTTTGGCGTCGTAGAAGAAAGAGGGGGAGAAGCGCGGGCTGCGGTCGCCGCGCGGTGAGCGGGCCTTGTGGTCGTCTGCGGGCGACCGGAGACCGAGACCGAGGGCGTTGAGAACGGTGGACTCGGTGATGGAGGAGGAGCCGGAGTCGTCGAGGATGGCCGGGGGGAGTGCGAATGGCTCTTCGTCGCGGCGAGGGTCTGGGAGGGGTGCGAAGCGTATGCGGCGGGAGGTGGCTGCTGGAGAGTCCGAGCGGGTGTTGGAGCAGTGGGGGGTGGTGGAGTGGGTGGGGAGCGGTCGGGGGACGGCGAGGGCTGGAGAGGGCTCCTTGCTGTTGCTCGTGCTCGAGCTGCTGCCGAGGCAATATTCAGAGTCGGTGTTGAGGGCGGATGAGGACGAGGACGAGAGAGACGTGTTGGATGGTACGAAGAGCGGAAGAGGGGAAGAGTGCTGGTAGGGGGAGACGGAGGGCGAGGGGTTGAGGAGGATGCCCTGGCGCGGGGTGTATGCGAGATGGATGATGGTGGTCATCGTCGGAGACGTCGAGGACGCTCAGAGAGGCGGTGACGGGAACTGCGGAGAGGGTGGTGGAGGAGGAGGAGGAGGAGGAGCGCAAGGACGAAGGTCTAAAGACGACGAAACTTGGCAGGGAGTGGGCTACTCTCGGAAGCACATAAACGTCGTTATTACATCCACCGATCCCGAAGAATCCCTCTCCCTTTCCGGACATACCGCCACCATCTTGGCATCTGGCGCTCTCCGGGGTCTCTGCAGCACGTGAAACTCGTCACCGATCTGGAAGGAAGCTCCCCGATATGGGATATACGCGCTCCGAATGTTCTTCTCCAGCTGACCTCCGGACTGTCTGTGCTCCGGCCCATGCTCGATGACAGCTCGCGCCTCCCGCCCGCCCCGCCCAGCCAACAGCAATTGCCCCTCGACGCCATCGATCTCGACGCTCCTTTGTCTGTCCCTTCACCAGGCCTGGAGGTCACTCTCCGTCCCAGACCCCTCTTTCCTCCATCTCCGCCAGGCCCAGGCGGCTGTGCTCCCCAGCGCCCCGCACCCAGTGCCCCACGCCAGCCTCCCGTGCGCTCCTGCCTTTTCTGCCCATCACGACCCCATCAGCATCATCACCCGGCCGACGCCGCACGGATGACGCGCGAGCGCCGAGACTGGGTGCGCTGAATCCCTCTCCCGCAGCCCCCGCGCCGGTTCCGCTCGTGCGCCGCCGCCCAGCTTTTTCCATTTTTCCTCTGGAGCTTCTAGCTGCGGACTGCGTACGTATACGTCTAGGTGCGCACCCCCCTGCAGTACGCCGCAGTACGTGTGCACCCGCGTTGCTCCTCTTGGCCGCAATCGAGTGGAATCACCACCGATCGCGCCCGTTTTGGTCGTTTCAATCGCAAACAACACAACAACCCCGTCAGGTTGCGGCGGCGGCGGCCTGGTCACTGTGTTTCACTTCCATATGTATATACCCCTGGCCCTCCCCCTCAGTTCCCGTATGAAACCTCGACCCAGCTGAGCGCATTCTCCATTCCACCAGTTCCCTCTGACGCTCGTAGAATTCCTTCCTTCGCAAACCGCATCGCCCGAGGCGCACGCGCCACTCGCATGCGTGCGATTGCTAATCATTAGACTCTGTTACTGTATCATCAGATCTGATTCTGACAGGGCGCCTGACGCAGCCTTGCCAGCTGCCCATCGACGCTCGACGGATGCTCTCCCCCTCCCCACGGGGCATCGATAAGGATACAGGTGCGCCGGCGGGTACTCAAAACCAGGACCGAGGCTTATCTCCGTCGCGGGCAGCGCTCGATGTTGCCCGAGGTGGTCGGGAGATGCGAGCGGATGATACGCACAGTTCACCTCCAGCGAACCTGGTCGTGAAATCGGGGAGCCCGCCGGTTCCTCCGCTCGCCCGTCGTCGCAGCTCAGCGCTCAGGCCTCAGGCTCAACTCCCATCAGCACACGACCACGCGTAGCGCCTCTGCCGCCGGCTCGTATCGATCCCAACTGCGATTCCTCTCTTGAGCGGGCCCATATCGACGATTCGCGCTCGCAATAAGTAATCCGATTGCCTGATCGGGATCGTGCGCTGGGGGCAGGAGCATGCCCCAATTCGCGCACGACGCGCCTGAAGGCGCGCGGCGTGCGCACCCTGCTCACCGACATCCCCGATCCCGATTCGCAGCCCCCGAAGTCACGCGTGCAGGTGCGCTATCGGCGTGCTCGCTCGACGGACCGCCTTTTCATGTGCGCGAGCGTCGAGTTGTGTGAGCTGTTTGTCCGCGTGCACTCGGAGAGGCCGTGCAGACTCGGTGTTGGTCTTCCCCGCCCGTCCGCTGGCCGAAGGGCCGTCAGTACTAGTGTCAGAACACTTCAGTGTTGCGGTCCATACCTGTCGCTTTCTTCGTATGTGTCAGTTGCGGCCCATACCTGTCGCTTTCTTCGTATGTGTCAGTGCTAGTGAAATTTGTTGATTCTGCACCGCAGGTCTTCGCTTCTCGTACCCCGTCCACCGGTTACTATCCATTCGCCATCGTGCGGCCCTTGCTTCGTATTCGTACCACTTTTTACCGCTTGTGCATCGCCAGGCACGCCCACCGTGCACCGGGCGATCAAGCTGGCCGATGGGCAGCCCCCTGTCATGCACTGCGTCTTCTGCGTCTTCCCGCTTCTTCGCTACGCCTTCCTTTCCTTCCAATATTCGTATAGGCCTAGCCCTGCTAGTTATCGGGCCTGCAGAGTTGGGGCAGGGACCTCTCCTGTGCACGCTGAATCGTCTCCTGTACCAGGCTCCGTGCCGTTCGAACTCGACCTGGCCGGGTGCAATCGACGCCCTTGGCTCGAGTGAGTGCTCTACCTACCCACCTCTAACTTAGAGTTAAGGTGCGTGTTCTGCCCGTAAGGACATCGAAGCTCCTGAATGTCATACAACGCCGCTCACGCCACCCTAGTGCGGATCCTCGAGCTCGTCCGCAGCCTCGCCCATAATGAACGTTAATAACCCCTCTGTCTGGAATTTTTGCACCTCCGCTTGTCCCCCGCCGTACGACGTACGTACAGTCCCATCATCGTGTTTCCGCACCCGCCACCATAAACCGTCATCCCGCCCAAACCAAGCAGGCCAAGCCCTCCTCTGGGAACACCGCTTGACGTTCCCCGCAGCCCCATGGCTGGTGCCTGCCGCAAACTCTACAATAAGACGGTGTGCTACGGGAATGCCGTAAGGCTTCGCTCCAGCACTGACCGCACCCAGGGTAGATCTCCGGGCGCAGGACCCCGGAGCGCGCCCGCCCCCTCCCCCCCGGCCGGCGCCGGCCGCCCAATCTGGAGAACGCGTCTCTGCTTCCCGACGCGCGTCTGTCGCCGCGGGCTGTCACTGCGCGTTTTCTCACCGTGGTCGCACGTTCGTTGTGCCGTCGCGGCCCCCCCTTGCGCCGGGCCTCGCTGCCCATTCTCGGGAGTCGGGACTGGTGAACGCGCTCGGACGGCTTTGAGGGTGAAGTTTTCGCGCGTGTGGCCCATGCGTGCGTGTGCGCTGCTGGGATGTATATGGTGGCTGTGGCGTCGCGTTTCATGTTGTGCGCGGACGCCCCCTCTGTGTGTATCTAGTCGGTTGCAGGTTCTTCCGCCAGCACCGTTCGTCCGGGCGTGAGGACTCGAGAGGTGCGTATTGGTATTGCCGCAAGCATTAATTGCTGACGATGTGCAGATCGTCGCTCGATTTCACGCTTGGTTACACGTCGTAGTTTGACGTGTTTCTCACTGCGGTTGGCGTGGAGGAGGGCGGTGGGATCGCTCTCCGACAAACGTGTTGCGGATCTCCGACAGACAATTCATGAGGTGCCAGTACTCGCACTGCGTCCGACCGAAAGTTCCTGGCTTAGTCCGACCGACGCTAGTTCGCCCTACGTGGATGTGGGTCCTCGCGCTGTGGTGCAGTCGCCGACTCTCCTTCCTCCTGCTCGCAATCAACGATAAATGAGCTGGATAACCCATGGCCAAATACGCACGCATGAAGGTGTTTCAAATCCTCTGCTGACTGATTGTCTACCGCAGGTCGTTCGCCGGTTACGACGGAGATTGCGTGTCGTATGCGCAGGCGTTCCGGCAATGACTGAGTGCAGGTTCGTTTGTCATCTGCTTTAATTCGACCATCTCAGCGAACGCCAGCGCGGTTCTTACTCATAGACTTTGCCCCGCTTCTCACCGTCAGACAGATGCGTCGGTCGATTTCTCCTTTGATTACACGTCGCAATTTGGCGTCTTTCTCACTGCGGTTGGAGTGGAGGAGAGCGGTATCGCTCTCCGACAAACGTGTTGCTGATCTCCGACAGAAAACTCGGGAGTGGGCATGTTCGACGGAATTTTCCTGGCCCAGTCTGACGTTAGTTTTCCCTACGTGGATGCGGGTCCTCGCGCTGTGGTGCAGTCGCCGACCTTCCTTTCTCCTGCTTGCAATCAACGATAAATGAGCTGGATAACTAAGTACGCACGTGAAGGTGTTTCAAATCCTCTGCTGACGGATTGTCTACCGCAGGTTGTTCGCCGGTTATGACGGAGATTGCGTGTCGTATGCGCAGGCGTTCCGGCAATGACTGAGCGCAGGTTCGTTTGTCATGCGCTTTAATTCGACCATCTCAGCGAACGCCAGCGCGGTTCTTACTTACTCATGGACTTTGCCCCGCTTCGCACCGTCTCGTTCCCAACTGCCATCTGCCGTCCTCTCTCGGCGACGCGCCGCAGGGATCAAGGCATACGTATGTCTTCACTACACGGATCTTTCTCGCTAACAACATTCCGCTTCTCGATCTCCGTCACCGCTCAGTTGCGCGTCCCGAAGCCGCGATGCTCGGAACCCGCGATTTCGAGACCAGTGGGCCCGGACAATCCCTTGGTTTCGCCCTCTCGAACTTCGCGGTGCATCACGACCCCGAGCAGCCCTCGTTTGCAATCTCTGTCTCCGCTGGCATCGCTATGGCATCCACAACAGGCACGGCGATCCGTTGCACATGTTCGCGTACTGCGCCCGACGGGAAGGAGACTCTCGTCGATCCGCTCGCTTGGGCCCGATCTGCTATCCTCGGATGTAAAGCCGCCGGGCGCTAGTCTGTAAGGCTCCCTTGTTCAGGCGCTAGCTAGTGCTGTGCCCTGCTATCCAGCAATGGACTGGCGTGGGCGTGATCACCGTCTGAATCATGTCAATGGGTCCATCATCTCTCTGCCCAGCGTTTGCGTTTGCTTCCCCCGGATTCGGACGCCGATGCTTGCTTGTACCACCGCGCGCGTGGGACGTAATAGAGCTACCCTCTTTTCCGAGCTGGTCGACAGTCGGAATCTGTTGTACACTACGACGCCGCTGCGCCCATATCTTATCGCTGCTTCGCGATGTGTCGGACGAGCACGAGCGGTGGCGTGGAGAAACAGAGGAACAAGCTTGGACATGGGGGGTGTGGCGTCAGCGTGCGTGCTCGGCCCTGACGCAGCCACGCTCCACTGTTCTGCCTATTTTCTTGTCCTCTCGAACCTGAAGAACGTTCGTCCAACCACGTCATTCGGTGGTGGTTCTATGCAGCTATCTCGAGACCGCTGTGGCTTCGTCCGATGTTCGAGCGAACTGGATGTCACCTGGAATTAGAGCGGCCCACCTCTTATCGGGATGCTATCTCATCTCCTCGCCATGTCCGCGTTGTCTTCTGCGTGCGCTATAGAATAAACGCAAACCACCGCGCAGCACAGAAACAAGCTAATTTATCGTGTAGGTCTTCGTTGCTTCCATTCTGACGACAAAGGGAACGCTTGGCAACATCTTCGTGGTGCCTTCACCTAATAGGTCAGGTCGCTCTCGCACCCGCTTATCTTGTCCTGGCTTCTGCGGAGGTTGCCCCAACGTCGTCGCAAGTTCTCTTCTCGCTGTTCTTCCCAACTAAGGACTGCATCTCCCCGGTGGCAGTGTGATTTCTTGTTCTGTGCCCTTCGAGACGGAAAAACCTCCCGCGTCCCTGGTCTTGCGTGCAAAGCTCGAGACCGTCGGGTGTAGTGAAGATCTCGCGTCCATTCAGGGGTTATTACGTGCAAGACTGCCGTCCTGGTTTAGCATGCTGCAGATCCGCCAAGCCCAACGATCTCATATTGTGCCATCGCTTCCAACTACGGGTGGTTCCACCACTTGGATTGCGTGTGCCGCGGCGACCGGGGCGCGCATCTCACGACGGGACGAACGTTCGTCGCTCTGATGCGACGAAAATGGGGTTTCTCCGGTTCTCGCGCGAGGAGGCTCAGCTGGCGAGATGGCCGACCAAAGATCCTGTGTCGTGTGTCCGGTTTGTTTTTGGCAAGCCAGATTCCTTGAACATGGAATTGTACGGCCGAACTCAGGTTCGCTGCTGCGTGTGCGGACCGCGATACTCGGAGCTGGAGGCGAGCAGCGCTGTACTTGCGGCGTGGTGTGAACGTGGACTGCAGTAGGTTTTCACGTTGCAGTTGCCTTGCGGGTTTCTGTCGGTTCGATGATGGCTTTGTCGAGTGAAGAATGCAACCTGCAGATTATTTCCCCCCGTCATTTTTGTCTCAGCAATTTGTGTGCGTGAGGGTCGGGCGTAACCCTTGTCACTCTGTCATCTGAAGGTCTTCATAGGTATATGGATTGCATGCGGCCTCTGCCGTACGTCGTACGTCCTTTTCGACATCCCCCGCGGCAGCCTGCTCTGATGGCGTACGCAGGATGGTTAAGCAGGCTCTGAACTATCCTGCAACGCACATCTTGCACATGCACTCGACGGGTGCTCGAGTGGTCCCGCTCAGATGGATCTGATCCGTAGCCGTCACGCCAATCGTCGTTGGATAGAGCCTGAAGGCGGTGTTCTCTTATTCTCGGCTCCCAGAGATTGACAACTGACAGTAGAGCTCACACCGATCTTGCGAAGCCACCTCTCCGCCTTCGTATCCTCGGCACCTTGGACTACGATACCCGACAATCTTCAGACATCTCGGTCTTGCCCATGTTCTGTCAATTATCGTTTGGTTACCGGGACTACGGACGGAGTCTGCACCTGGGCCGTTCAATCTCGCTTCTATCTGAGGCTTTTGTGCTACGTGAGCCGTTTTCGCTGCTTGCTTTTCATGCGCTATATGTGCGTGCATGCCTCTGCTCACGAATACTTCGCTGGAGTCACTATTTGAATGTGGACTGTGCGTTGTGAAAGGGGTTTGGCTCTGTGTACACCTGCGTCTTGCGATGCCCTTTGTCCTGCTTTACGCCCGAAGCTCGCTCAGGTTTCATCTCTGGCTCTTATAGTTTTGTTACACTTTCCATATTCGTACTTATTCTGGTTGTACCAGTGCTTCTTCGCACATTCTATTGTGAGTCCGCGAGTACTGCTTTACTCTCAGAGGATTTATCAAATTTATCTGGTTTTCGAGCCCTCTCATGGTTAGCTGTGTTTTCAAGGTTGGGGCGGATGTTTATCGATTTTGCCTGCAAGATCTGTTCACACATTACCTTCACTCCAACAAAGCTCGAATGCTTGTAATCTGCTCGCCGCAGTCCCAGTGCGCAGCTGCCTCGTTTGTTCTTTTCCACATTCATGTCCGAACTCCCGGCACAACTCAGCGCTCCCTCGGTCCCTACAGCTGCCTTCGCGTTCCCAAAAACTTCTCCGGCGGTTCTGTGGTAGACCACGCACTGTACTTCTAGTGTACCGCGGTGGCCCCGCGGCGTCTGGTTATTATTCAATGCTGGCGCGAGGGCAAGCAGTTCACGCCTCTTCGTCCTTCTCTGGTTCCCATTCAATGCATTCTGCGCGCTCACACCTGATAGACATGGCCTTCTTCACGAATAGTACATGCATGGAACAGGCAACCAGCTGACAACTTTCCGCCTCTCACTCGAATCTGTTCAACCCCGTGACAGCTGCCGCCAAATGCGTTCAACAATGAACTTACGAAAGCCGCCCACAGTGCAGCCTGTCATCTAGAATCCCATGGTACCTGTCCCAAGCCTGCCCATTGGGCCCGCTAATCGAGATGACCTTGCTTTGTGGTTTGGATGCGCCCTCCCGCCCTTACTCGGTCTCGTGTCCAATTCATCTGGTGCGCTATCGATCCCACTCCGCCCTTCCTAAGTATGAGAGCGTGTGAGTGATGGCCCCCGGACATCCTGCACTGTATCAATCTCTACCTTCTTGGGCGTCGCGAGCGCATTAATTTGTTCTATCGAGAATTTGCTCCTCTGGTCGTGGGCGTCGGACCTCTCAATGTGGCGTTGGAGCGGGCAGATGGCGAAGAATTTACGATCGAGCACGAACGCTATCAAATTACTGTAAGGAGTTCTTTTATTCCATATTTTCCCCTGCGGACATTGCTGACGCGTTCTTGGAATGCAGGTAATTATGGCAGGCCGCTGTTAATACGATGTATCGTAATCGTTTGGATGACAGTCTCAACGAGACCGCCTCTCACCGTTGCATATCGAGACATGTGCCCAGAAGGCGCGTTCAGCGTTCCCCATCGCCCCGTCTTCCAATACCAATACGATGAGAATCGGGGCACATGCCCGAGCCTGCCCCGACAATCGATGGCTTTTGCTGGAGTTCCGATGGCTTCATGCATCGCGAATGCAGATAGTTCCAGACGCAGCTACTTACTGCGACGCATCAACCTGGCTAACGCGGGGCGCTCGAGATTCGCGGGTACAGCCTTCCGCGTTAATCGATTTCTCAGACGGGTCACCTGTACGTATCATGTCCATACGGGTCCTTGACTGCAATTGCGACTTCTCTTCGTGGAGTCTGCGCATGTGCAAGCTCCTTAAGCTTGTCCTCGTCGCTGTGGCTCCGCGACTGCAAAGCTCCTTCTGATGCAAGAACGGTGATCATGATTCTTGGTCCTGAGATCCTATGATCAGCAGCGGCACTTGCAAAATCCGCGGTCTCATTCAGATTGTATGCCTTCCGGTCAACAGTATCGGTCCAAATCTCATAGAACAGAGGATATCTGTTTAATAGCATCCTTCGCATGAGCCGCTTGTGTGTCTGCGAAGCTCCGGGGGCTTGTATTTCATTCGTTCCGGTGATACGACTGACCCTCGGAGCAATCTCAATGGGTCCTATTTTCTAGATCAAAAGTCAACTATCAAAACAGGCATTGCATCCACATACGGTTTTGACTTATTGGTGTGCGCGTTCGGCCAGGTTCGGCCAGGTGAAGGTGAGCCCATAACCATCGGTCTCTTTCCATTCGCAACGACGGCGCTCTGTGTGCAAATTGCGGGGTCGCCTACAAATTGCAAGCACAAATATTACCACTGAGATAAGGAGGCGGTGCTAGATGACTGAGCGATGGGGCCCTTTGACAGTTTACATCAGCTTCAGAACTTCGCGCCATCGATGCACTTTTACTCCTGGCACCATTGAGAAATGAGCCATCTTGACGGATATAGAAAGAGATACTGTACATACTCATCAATCTCAATTGTATCATCCACTGGAATGCTTCGATATGACTCGAGCGACGTCGCCGGTCGGTACCGTCGGTGCGAGTAATTAATATAGTGAACAGCTGCAGGAGATTCACCATCTCGCGGCCCCACCTTCACCGCACAGACATCACAGCGGGTTTGTTTACTTAATTCCTACGGTCTCACCATTGTTATTCTAACCACTTCCTGAATTACCTCGAGGATGCAGACTCCTAACTTCATTCATTTGAGCGTGAAATATGTCTACCGAGACAGCTCATTATATCCACGGGTACCATGAATCCGTACTGCGCTCACACTCCTCGCGTACCGCGGCCAATTCTGCGGCGTACTTACTCAGCTCGCTGCGCCCCGACATGCGCATCTTGGACGTCGGGTGCGGCCCTGGCACGATCACCATCGATCTAGCAGCACTCGTCCCGAACGGCGATGTCATCGGCGTAGAGCTCTCCGACGATGTCCTGGAAAAGGCCCGCGCAAATGCGGCCGCACGCGGAGTGAAGAACGTGCAATTCCACGTCGGCGACGTGAACGGGCTGACATACCCCGACGGCACTTTCGACGTCGTGCACGCCCACCAGGTGCTGCAGCATGTCGGGGATCCCGTCCGGGTTCTGCGCGAGATGCGCCGCGTCACGAAGCCTGGCGGGATTATCGCCGTCCGCGAGGCCGTCTTCGCAGCCTCGACGTGGTACCCCGATCTCGAGGGCATCACGGAGTGGAACGCGCTGTACGTGCGTGTCGCCCGCGCGAACGGCGGCGACCCGTATGCGGGACGACGCCTGCATGCGTGGGCGCGCGAGGCCGGGTTCGATCTGGCCAACATCACCAAGACTGCGAGTGTCTCGTGCTACAGCTCTCCGGAAGAACGCGCATGGTGGGGAACCCTTTGGGCCGATCGTGTCGTCGCTTCAGAATTCGCGCGTACTGCGATCGAGAAGGGCTTTGCGACGAGGGAAGCTTTGGAGCGGTACGCGCAGGTGTGGCGTGATTGGATCGCTGAGGAGGATGGCTGGTTTGCTTACATCCAAGGTGAAATCTTGGCAACAGTCTGAAGAGCTTCTAGTACACATACAACGGAATAAGCAAAAATTGACTTGTACCATGTACTTCTAGATGTCACATACAAAATAGCATGTCTTCCGAACCCTTGTGGCAACCAGTCATCTAGTAAGTGAAACCCCAGATGGACCGCATCATATTTCCAACTGAAGGACTCATGGGAATGCTCCGTCAGCATCAATCGCGTGAGTACTTCCAAGGGAGCGTTCACAATACAGTGAGTGGACAATCGGAAGATATGTCGACTGCCACTCAACTGATCCCAAAGACCAGAAAAACTAACGTGAAGGAAGAACCACGCACCAAAGATGTTGCAGTGGACCCAATCGGTCTAAGACGGCTTTGGTGTACTTTGGTGTGAATGCACAGTATTCATGATCAACTGCGGTGGGCCTGCGTAGCCTACAGTTGGGTCTGTTAGCCATTGGAACGTTAGTGATTGAAATTCGTGCACAGACAACAGTGTCGGTGTATCACGTATGACTGGCTTCATTCATGTTCGCGCAATCTCACACATGCTACATATAAGACTGGAGGCAACACATTTACTGGGATCACATGTACATGCTCGATCGATCGATTCTACTGCCGAACACCTTGTCTCTTCCAAATGACGATGAACAAAACAAAGGAAAAACAAGTCCACAACTCTCAACGCAAAGTGACCAGCTCTGCGTAAGCGAATTAGTACGCGTCACTCAGCAACGCAGAAACTACTTACCCTCTCCTGACGTCGGGTGGATCGCGACAGTGCTGTCCAAATCCTCCTTAGTCGCGCCCATCTTGACCGCAACCGCGAAGCCCTGCATGACTTCGTCGCTGCCGAGCCCGATGATATGAATGCCGACGACGCGCTCCTCCTCGCCCACACAGATCAGCTTGTACATAGACGGCTCCTTGTGTTCTTCCGGGATCATCGAGAAGTAGAGCGCCCGGAATGACGACTTGTCTACGAGGTGGTCAATGAGACATCTATGAGAAACACAGCAGCACTCACAAATCTTCACGGCAGAGTCGCCATAAACCTTTCGCGCTTCAGGCTCCGTGAGACCGACCGTGCCAATCGGGGGATGCCTATGTCAATGTGTCAGAATGAGGGGCCGAGTAAGAACCAAGAAACGCACGAGAATACGACAGTGGGGATATCTTCATAACTGAGCTTGTCCTTCTGGTACTTGGCCGGACCATAAAGCCTGTTAGAGAGCCGACGTCCCGCAGCGATAGCAACGGGAGTGAGCAGCGCACGACCGGCGACATCACCGAGCGCATGGATGCCGGGCACACGCGAGTTCTGGTACTCGTCCACGACAACGTTGCCATGCTTGTCCACCTCGACACCGAGCTTCTCCAGCCCTAGATTCTCCGTGTTTGCGTGACGCCCAATCGCCCACAGGACTTCGTCGACCTCGATCGTCTCGCCCTTGTCCGTACTCACACGAAGGCTCTTCCCGCGCTCACCGTCAACCCGCTTGACGTGCGTTCCCCGATGGAAGTGGATCCCCGTATGCTCCATCCACTTCGTGAGCACCTCCCCGAGCGTCGGGTCGAACGTCCTCAGCACCGTCTCCCCGCGTATGAACATGTGCACCTCGCTCCCGAGCGTGTGGAACACCCCCGCCAGCTCAACCGCGATGTAACCCGCGCCGACGACCGCCACGCGCCGCGGCTGCTCCTTCAGGTCAAAAAATCCGTCCGAGTCAATGCCGAGGCTCGCGCCGGGGATCGCCTCGTCGCTGGGCATCGTCGGCCGCCCACCCGTCGCGATCACGATCCTTCCTGCCTTCAGCGCATACTTCGTCCCGTCCGGCCGAGTGACTTCGACCTCAGTGGGGGAGAGCACGCTCCCAAACCCATGGTGCAACTCCACGCCTTCCTTCATGATGTTCGAGTCGTAAATCCCGTTCAGCCGCCGAATGTATGCGTCGCGCTGCGGCTTGAACGCCTCCCAGTCGAATTGCGGCAGGCCGATGCCCGGGCCTTTGAATTGGTAGCCTTCAGCATGACGGATTTTGTCTGCAATGTCTGCAGCGTGCCACATAATCTGCAATGCATTAGAACCATGTAGTCGGAAAACGACATCTGCTGACCTTCTTTGGAACACAGCCTATATGCGCATGTTTAGAAAACAATAGAAACAACAGATCAATTTACGCACCGACGTTGACGCATGTTCCTCCCAGACGATCACTCGCTTCAATCAGGGCAACTTTCGCGCCGAACGATGCAGCCCTACGCTATTCAAGGGAGAAGTCGGGTCAGCGATCGTCGTTGAAGCACCGTCGGAACCACAATACGAGGGAGTCATGCCATCGACGTTTGGCACCCCGAGAATACAGTCCAATATTTGAGCATATTCTTTCGGAGACATCGCTATAACAGGGTCGTTCTTCTCCAAGAAGGTAAACTGTCCTCCGTACCACGTATACCTAATTTCAGTATGTCTGGGTTCAAGGATGCGTAATTAGCGTGTCCTTGACCCATGAAAACTATATGATACCCTTGGCGTACGCCATATTGGTGCGCATGTCGGACAATTTGGGTGAGAGCTGGCCCGTCTGAGAGTACTCAGGTATCGCGTCGCAGCCCGATGTCACCGACAAACAACTTCATCGTGAGTTCCCTCCAGCGGGAACGTCTGACGCATTACTTGCACATATGATGTCATAGACCACTTGAAAGAAGGGCAGAGCGCGCATCAAGGTGCGAAGGAAGTTTCAACGAAAGGTATTGTGCTGCAGCCCTGCCAATGCACAATGCACGCACACATCGAGCGTTAGGGGCCTTTCGAGCCTCGCAGAAGTCACACTATGCGGTGATACCAAAGCATCACCGCGCATATACCTAGACATAGTCTCGCAGAACCACAACACGTGCGAACGGTACAGACATAAACCGTGTACACGGCTGACCGTCCGCGCGTGATATACGAACGCACAGACAGGATTTCCAGACAAAAGCCCACTCACCGAACCAGCAACTCCTCCACTTCCTCCTCCAATCCACACAACATCGTATTTCTCGTGCGCGGGCTTCGTCACAGGAGGCATACTGTCTGTCTTCTCTTCTTCGTTCGCACTAGTGAATTCTTCTTCTGCTTCAATCTCGGTACGGTCGAGGACGCTAGTGCTAAACGCTCTTCTTATCTATGTATGCGTCATGCATCAGTCAGCATCGACTTGTATCGATCAAAGCAGGGGTGCGGGGTGGGAGGCTTGGCGAGCTTACCTGGTGTAATCTCTGGTGCGCAATCGCAACTCTGTTCGTTGTGCTCGTGTTCGCGTTTCTCGTGATGACACTCGCTTTCGTACACGGAAAAAAATTACGCGAGAAAATAGCGCGGGTGCTCCTAGCGCAAGTGAGGGCGGGAGACAGGATGGAAGCCACGGCTACGACGTTGGCAGACGCTGCTTATATACGAGACGATCGATGTGGGTGGATGTGAGCGTGATGGTGCGCAATACGGGAAAGTTGGCGCTTGCGTTGTCATTCAGGCGCGGTCACGTGTGCGTCTCTTGTCAGCGAAGGTCGGCAGTAGCACATCTTGTCAGGTCGGGGCGACGATGGCATCATGTAAATGTATGACTGCGGTCGCAGGGATGGCTCAGCCAGTGTCGTCGCGACTAAGCGAATGGCTGGGCTTCTGGCACCCTGACGTCGCGTGTAGTCAGCCATTTATCAGAACTGGAAAACTCCATCACGATACGTCGACTTTCCAATATGAGCAGCGTGAGTAGCTCAAATGCAACAACACAAACGGAGTGTAAGACTAAGGGCTGAACATTGACTGAACCTGCCATGTTTTCCCCTCTGCTATCCTGCTGAATCTCGAACTTGCCTTCCTGACGGTGCCCACTCTCTTTAATGTGTTCCATCCTGCGACTTTTTTTCGTACCTTTGGATCCGTTCGCATTAAGTCGCCGTCCTATCCTACTTAGCATCTTGATCTCCGTTCGTTTTTCCCTTCTCGTGCGTTTTCTGTTTCTGGCTCGCCTCAGCGAACTGTGTTTTCTACGTGTGCTTGCGATTGCTGCGCGCGGTCTGTGGTTATATAGTTTACTTTATTCGCTTTCGTTCCGCTCCCGTTGGATTGTTCGTACAATATCGAGATTGACGTTGGTACATGCTGGTTGCTGTTGCTAGTCGAGTACAGCATATACGTGACCGTGCGTTGATTGGAATATGCGATATCGCGTGGTTCCGGTAGACTGTTGTGGGTGGTCGCGTTTCGATTTCGCTTTGTCCCTGCGTGGATGGTAAGAACATGGAAGTATGGATTGGTAGGGTACTGGTTACGCTGTGCTGCTCAAGCTTCGCGCGTACGGCTGGCTGCTGCATTGTTGTGACCCGGCGATTGACTAGGGAAGCTGTTATGATCCTCACGAAACAGTGTCTGGCTTGCACATGCAAAGTGTACTCTCCCAATAGCAAGGCGTACTCTCCCAACAGCAAAGGGTACTCTCCCAAAGGCAAAGAGTAGCAGGCTGCTCTCCCAGAGGTGAAGCGTGCTCTCCCAAAGGCAAAGCGTACTCTGCTTTGATTGCCATCTTCATGCCTCCCGCAAGATATCCGCGTCTGACTTGATCGATTCATCAGGTAGAACGCGCGCTGGAATATACTGTACATATACTTACCGTGACATCCCATCCACAGGCAAGCAGCTCACCGTAGTGGTCCACGGATCCGTCCCTAGACCGGTGAACCTCCCCGCCCGTGCGGTCACATCAGGAGACTCGGATCGCCAGAAGGAGCAGTGCGAGCACTCGTATATCGTAGCCACGACCGTCGACGATTGGCACCGGGCGCGAGCTTCTAATACTAGAGGCAGTTTGGGCACGGCCACTTTTTCGCCCCGCGGTCGACGTGAGGCGCACCACCAAAACAGGGAATTTGGGGCCATGGCGCCCAGTGGCAATGAGCATCTCCGGCGCTCCGCGCAGTCACTGGGTCCGTCTACAAACTCAGAATTCAGAATTCTGCTGCGTGCGGAAGTACGAGCATCAGCGCGATTCGGATAAGGCGGCAGCGGACCGCGCAGGTCCAGCCCGCCTGCGAGGCCGCACCGGCGAGGCTTCCTGCGATAAAGCACGACGTGATCTCAGGACGGGCATGGATGGAACATACCTATGCATTCCAGTACCGGAGATATTTGCAGAAGTTAGTCACACCGGAGACGGGGACTAATATCTAAGTTCCTTACATTGTGGGAACATCCGGCCTAACATTGTACATGTATGACGGCCCGTATGTAGCTCCGACGGTCGAAAATATGTTTACAATGTAAGGCCTGATGTCTGGGCATGCGATACCCAAATCACACATTGATAATGTGTGATATTGCGACATATACAATGTTCGCAAATGGCTATGTTACCATATAACATTCGTCCGAAAATTTTAGGTCTCGTTCGGCATGTCCGGCGGGAAGAAATTCTGATCGACATTATGCCTTTCAGGGCAGACAACAGATTAAATATCGAACTAGTATAAGGGCGACACAAAGTTACAATGTATGATCATTTGACATTTGACATTAGAGTCTATATATGAGGTGAGATGTCAGGGCCTCACACCCTCGACCTAATATTCAAACTGTAAGGAGGTCGGACACCCATAGCACCGCTAAGCGGCTTGACGAGTGGCACACTCGATGGCCGCTTAGTGGTCATTGGATCGCCAAGTGTACCGCTCAGCGGCTTTTCAACTGGTCGTGGGAGATCGCACAAGCACAAGCACAAGTTCGATCAAAGGAAGTACATTAACTGTATATAATGAGAAAGCGGCAAATGACAGGACATCGACAAACAGCGCAGGATGCAACGACGAGGGGCAAGGGACAGGAACAGCATGTAAAATTACGAGAAAACCACTTATTTGCACACAAGCTGGGCCAAGTCATCCCTATCCACCCTAAGCGTCCTGCCGCCTTCTTCCAGTACTAGAACAAGCGGGTCTGCCACGCCCCACATCGTTTTGCCGTACGCTCCGAAGTTGGGGCCACGCTTACACACGATCACATAATCGCCAGGGCCTGGTCACAATATGGCGAGGTCTTGGAGAGAGACATCGGCATATTCCAGCTTTCGCGTCCGGTATTCGCATCGCACCTTGCCGTTCACTGGGGAGGCTCCCTTCACCGTGGTCATCAGCTTGTCTCGGAGTTGACCGGCTGTGCACATGAACTTGAAGCGATAAGTATGGAACGCAGGTGCCACAGCCGCATCCAGCATCCATCCATTGGGTCCTGATGTGAATTCAGCGGACATTTTGTGTTGATGATGAGGCTACGCACCATTAGGTTCGACTGAAGACATCGATCCATCGGGTCCTAATGTGGATTCAGCGGACGCTCGGTAGTGGCGGCACGGTTACGCACCATCAAGTTCCACCAAATACGCCCATGCTGAATCTGTGTTGTGTGACGCGGGTTCTAATTCGTGGCCCAATGGGGTCCGAGGCTGCTCAGGGAGCAGACCACGCTCCGCCGTGTCGATGTTGCCCCTGCAATGAGGCAGTTAGATATGACCAGAACTACAAGTAATGAATCTTACCTTTCTTCTGACCGGAATGCGATCTCGGGCTTTTGGAACAAGAGGACGCCCCTCGAGGTTAAAAGCTTGGCTTCAAGCTCAACCTCGTAATCGCCGTGGTACGTGACGTTTCGCAATGTGCCCACAAATCCCTTCAAAGGGCCTTTGATGACACGCACCGCTCGCCCGATGTCGGGATTCCGTCGGTCAGGATGCTTGAGGGCAAGCTCCATCTCCACCTCTTCCTCTGTTTGCGTCTCAGAGCGTGAGGGGCGCTGCTCTCCCGGCCTTGATACTGTCACCGACGGCTGTATCGAGGTCCATTCCGCCTTGGACTCTGTGAGTAAGAGATCCCAGGGTAACACATGATGCTATATCGAGTTTTGAGCATCGATAACGTCGCAGTTGGTGGGACATACCTCAGAGGTTTCCAACACAGAAGAAGTATGAAAGACTCCTGTTATTGGGTTTCTAGTTCGCTGAGAAAAGTTCAGTACTTGGAAGCATCGTTGTAGGTAGAACATACATGCTGAGGAAAGTTCCGCTATTAAGGATTGCAATTGCATGAGAAGTGCACAACATACCTCGACTTTGTTCATGTGAACAATTGTGACATCGAAATCATCCATGGCAATCACTTGCCCTTCCAAGCCCGCATGGAGGCCCGTCTTAACTTTGACCGCATCGCCAACTGCCCAAAGGGGGTGTAACTGAGTTACAGGTAGCACGAGAGACGAAAGTTCATCATCCAACTTCTCGTGGTAGAGATTGGTTAGCGTAGCCTGTCCATTAATGACTGAATGCACGACACCAATGAGGCTGCATTGCTCGCCCTGTATAACGATCACATGCGTGCCTGCAGCCGGTTCGAAGTCAACACAGAATAGAATGAGCTTCGCTATCGCTGTCTTTGGCACGAATTTCGCCGCATTAAAGACGAATACGTCGTTTCGAGTCGCGTGGACATCGAAAGTCACCCGGTCCAAAGTGAGTTCGAGCTGCAGGAGGCCGCCTTTGAACTTCTTGCCCTTGAGAATATGTATCAGCCGATCACCTTCACTTTCTGTCACAGCCTCTCTGAACAACTCCTTCAGTAATGCTGGCGGCATTGGTTGCTGAGAAGTTCTTCCGTGCTGCCGCTTTTTTGTAGTAGGCAAGCGCGGAACCACCCAGACGTGGAGGAGAGAGTCCTCTCGCGACTCCACGAAGGCCACATCGTGCTTATATGTACCACGCGAGATGCACACCCAAGGAGAGAGGAAACCATTTTCCGTGGCTTGAAGGTGGATTCCATCGGGGGCAAGAGAGACGACTGCGCCACCCGACTGCGAGGCCCGCTGTGCACGTCTAGCCGCCATGTCTCTCTCCGTAATAGACCGGGCCATGGCTTCTGCGTCAGCAGCATTGTCGCCGACACATGCATTATCAAGATGCGCCCGAGCTTGTTGAGTGCGTTGGACGTCGGCGAGCAACTCGGCTGGAAACAAGCTGTAAGATATATCCAATAACGCAGCTGAGACACTTACCCAGTTCCTCCTCCTCTTCTTCTTCTTCCTCCTCCTCCTCCTCCTCCTTGTTGTCGACGATAGCCTCGATATCCAAGTATGGGTTCTTGGCATTCCATGCATGAGGATTGAAAATGTAAGAACCGACTGCAGTACTTACCGCTTTCCGCGCATGCTTTGAAGACATGGCAGCGTCAGTGGTACTGAGAGGTCGGGATAGTGTCCATTAGATTTGAGCAATCGTATCTTATGAGACATCGCTTGGAGTACACGAGGCTTCGACCACGAGGCGTTCATCACCAATCAGCCCACATGTACAATTACTTCCGAGTAACACGCGCAATGTCCTTCAACGTCACACTGCTGGTGATGAGGTGTCACTGAGAAGATTTCCGATGTAGCAGCTGCTCCTGCAGTTGTGCATGAGCATGCACAAGCGCCGCATTCTCCTATACATTGAGAAACATGTCAGTATAGCTACACCGCCCTTCGTCCATATCGTGCACATACATTATTGTCAGCCTGTCAGCCTATCAACCTCAGCGTGTACAATCGACCTGGCGCGATCTGGCTGTAACCGCACGGGTGCGTTAATGGCAAGGGTCTTCAGAAATTTTTACGCGTAAGGTAGTCAATAACCAAATCGGCTGCAATTCGATTGTATCCCACTCTGGTATGCAACCGGCGCAAAAGGGCGATGAAACAAACCGTCCGGCAGCTTGGCTACCTATACTATAGCTAAAAATAATGAGGACCCCACAAGAATAAATAACAATGAAACTACAAAAGAGAGTGAACTACACTACAACGTTACTAAAGGCTCCAGGCCACATAGCGAATGACAAGCGCTACGGCCGAGAGATGGTGGTGGAACAAGAACAAGAGGAAAGAAATGCCCATTCCACCTCCAGCGGAGTTTTGACGCATCCCGTCGCTTTGTCCCTCACAAATAAGGCAGCCACACATCACGGGCCACTTGTCACGAGCCGCTTGTCATGAGCCGCTTCTCAGCCTCTGTTTGTCTTGCACAAATAGACCGCGTGCGCCATCTGGACGCTGTCCAGAATTTGGGCACCTTCTTCCTTGCCTTCGAATTTCCATCATCCCTGCGATATCGGCCAGTTCTTCCGTCACCGTGTCTGCCTCCTCCTCCTCGCCCATGCCCTCCTCGCTGTTGTCGTTGTCGATGCCATCGCCCTCTTCTGCTCCAGTGCCGTCGTCACTGCCCTTTTCCTTGCCCACTTCGATGCCCTGAGGGCTTCCTCGTAACGCCCTCTTCTGCGCAGGTGCCCTCTTCCTCGCTGAGCCATTCTCGTGCGCGCCGCCGCGTCTGTTTGAATTAGGGGCTGATGGTATACATTGTATTAGAACCTGTATCATAGCCATCCGAGCCACATCTCTGATGATTGAGCGCCATATTGGGTTTGTACCAAACATAAACATAAGAACCGCAAAAACGCACCATTAATTGGTGCCTGAGCCGCTAGAACAACCCACAGGCCAATATTGGCTCTGCTTGAAAGCCCGGAACCGTATGTTGTTGCCCATGGATGCATCGTCCACAGCTCACTCTGGCTATACAGATATTACAGATGCTACATAACGATCACTCGCAAATACCGGTCCTTTGTCAAGGTCTCGACGTCTCCGCTTTCTACAATACCTGGCGCGTATTCATGGAATGGTCGGAAATTACGAGGATCGACCACCTGAGCGTACCATGTGAGTGCTCTAGTCCCACCGCGATGCACCCCACTTACATGACATTTGCCATGTACACCGAGCTGTGCTGCGACCTGAAGAAGATTCAGGCTTCCGTCTTGGGAGCAGTGGCATTCAATTTCCCGTATAGCTTTCCAGTCTTTAACTTTCGCAAAGAGCTTGATATGAACGACTTTGGCCTGCTCATCGTTCAGCTTCCGTGCTGGGATCTTGATGCACAGGACTACGTTGGGCTTCTCCGCGATAGGTGAGTCAGTACGTTTTCTCGTCTCACCGCAATTCAAGAGGTCATACCTGATCTTCGCGAGCCTTCTTGTTAGTTCTCGCATCTTTTTCCGTAAACTCTGCGGGAGCCAATCGTTTACCGATCGTGGAATAAATACACGAAGCGTCTCGGTTGCGAAGGCCTGAAGGGGCTGGAGGAGGCATGCCAGAGGGTTGCAGGTGAGCTCGTTTAGGGCTTTGCGATCGCTCCCGCTCTCCCGAGAGAGCACGTTTGCTGGCTGGCCGCGCCACCGTCCCGCTGTCTGCGGGTGCATTTGACTATAACATTGGTCACCACATGGTTGAACGTTGCAATCATAGGCTTACATGCTTGTATGTCAGACGTACTCATTTTGCTCGTCGCTCCGCGTTGCGCTCTTCGGGCGATTTATGCTTGCGTGCGATCTCCAATGTCGACTTCTCAAGAGGTGCTGAGGCCGCGGTATCCTCGTGTGTGTAAGGACCGAGCATTGGAGCTGCAGGGCATGTCGCTGACTACTGTAAGTGCCTTCTGCTATGTTCGCTGTGAGATTTACTCACATATTTCCAGAGTGCATCGATGTAGTCATGCTTTACTGCGTTCAACTGGCCAGTTGGTGTGACCGTTAAATTGTGCTTGTTGCAGAGTTTCGTAAGTATGTCCACCGTGTACCTGCTGAAAGTTGATTTACTGTACTTTTTCCATAGCAGTGTCTGTTCAGCTCGTTTGAGGTTGAACATGGTCAGTGGTCTACGGTTGCCTGATTCTTTTGTATATGTCAGTCGCCTGCAATCCTTATGGAGTGTGCGACTTGAATTGGTAAGACTATTGTTCTATTGTCCACCGCGACTTAGCGTGAAGGCGCGACCTCTCCCGGCTTTGAGCTTCCCCATCCACGACCAGCATGCCCCAACTGCCGATAACGAAACATTGCATCCAGCGCCAGTACCAACCCTCATCGGGATGCGTGCATTTCGATGCTGAATGCCTTCTCACTCCTCCTCCCTCATCGGCAAGGTCGAAATTCCACCTTATCAAGCCTCAATCAGATGTTCAGGCTGGCACACGCCAAAGCATTGCTAGCGACGCGCATTCCCCAGGAGCTGATGCAGCAGCATCAGAACCCGTCATCCCTAAGCCGGACGGCCAAGTAGGTCGCCCAGGCTGAGGAGGTTACACGCTTAGCGATGAGTTAGGGAGACACGGGTGGGATACCGCGAAGTATGACAAGTTTCTGGTATGAAGCATATCTTGCAATGTTTTCAAAGACTGTAGCTGACTAGCAAGTACAGAAGGACATCGGTAACTTGGCAGTCAGGTATTTGGAATTGGACAAGACAATCTCGAAACAGAATCAGACGATGTTGGACGCAGTGTATACCCAGGTACATCGGGTAGTTGCATACGCGATCGGCACTGACGGTTACAGAACTTCATCAGGCTACGAAGCTCTATCCCCAGCTCGTGCACTACGAGAAGAGTTGGCCGGTCAGAGACGTTCTGAAGACCAAGTTAGGAAACACGACCTACATGACCAAGAAGGATAGGGGGAAGGAGCAGGAGGCCCGCGCATCTGTAAGTATAGTTTGAACCTCAAATGACCGATGCTTATTTGTCTGCAGGTTGCACCGGCCGTGTTGTAAAATATCCTGCATTGTTGTACTGCTCTCGATTTTAGTCATGAATGTAGACTCGATTGTTTGGATTCGAGCGGCACTCTACATGCGCTCATGTAGCGTTATCCCATATTGTTTCCAGATCTGCGCTGTACGAGTCGACCCCATTTGCACCAATGGTCAGTAAAGTTATAAGTCGGCTGTCCTGGGCTGCTGCCTGAACGAGGGATACTAAGGCTCACAAGATCGTCGGCATGCCCAGTCAGCAGTAACACAAAAGTAACGCATATGTCACAGACAGTAACGCGTGCCGTTTTGTTACTCCGCTCAGCAGCCTAATGCGCGAAGGTCGTGACCGTGTCATTGTGAACGCCACCACTTGAAACCCCGCTGCCGACGCTCGCGGCAGACTTCGGCCAGTGACTAGCCAGCGTGAGTCTGCGTTACATTGGAGGTCAAGAAGGGACTCCTCCAATACCGATCCGTTTGAGCTCGTTCAACCTCAAGAATGTTGTAGTACTATAAAATCATACATTTAAGAGATAACTAAGTGGTAGAGGCAGGGGAAAGGGCTAATTGAGCGAGGTGCCGACTTGGGGGGCATGCCGACGATCTTGTGAGCCATAGTATTGATTGCAGCACACATTCACCTCCACCTTCACCGAGCTTCAGTCTTTCCACGACGGGAGCAGACGATACATTGAATTTATAAGTAGACAACAAACACGACTGACAATCTCCATACGGTCCCTCAGCGAAACGCCCCATGCACAGCCGACTGCCTCCCAACAGCCTTATGGCACCTACATGCACATCTGATCAGTCAAGTAATGTACTGACTCGTCAAAGACTTACGTTAGATGCCAGTAACATTGCAGGAGCGCGGCACGGAGGAGAGCAATGTACCTCCCTTGCCGCTGACAGGGAAGACCTCGCAAACGAGCATCATGGACCGGTCTACATCCTCGACGAGCTGCTTGGCCCGATATACGCTGGCCCTAAGGGTCCGAACCTCCTCCTGTAAGTCACTAATGGAGGACACCGAGGCCATGTAAGTGCTCTCTGTAAACAATGTTAATATCGATTCAAGTCAAAATGTATAATCATCACTTACGACCACGACTAGCCATGAGGATCAGTTTGGACAGCAGTGGGGGAATGGTGGTGGTGGTGGTGGTATGCTCCGAATGTGAGATGGGGAAAGACTCGGAGACACCACAAAATATATAGGCATAGTCATGAGACCCTATTATATAATTATAGGTGGAATACTATTAGTGACCGACATGCCCCAAAAGGGTGATACTTCTTTCTATGCAGTTTGAGCATTCCATATGCTACAGAAAAAATATCTGAAGCCGAAGACAGTCGGGCAACATGGCACAATATATTTCCTCCGATCATCGGCATGTCGCGACACTTTTAATACAAAATTTTATACAAAATCCCACTATCCCGATTCCTACTTAGCTGTGAAGCTTTGAAGGGTTCTAGCAATGACAGAAGCAGTGTGAAAATCTAACCCTTTTTTTCAATGGCCGGGAAAGAACTTATTTTATAAATCTTTACCTTAAATTCACAATGAATTGTGTGCTGGGTATGGGATAGTGGAAGAGGGTCCATATGCTTTCGAGTCTCACGCGCGAGCTTCGCAGGCTTCACCAGCGCCCACATGATGAAAGAACTTGATAATGAATACATACATTCTCCGATGACAATGCAGCGCAAGATAACAATGAATACATTCTCGGATGACAAACTATACATGACCCAACACACGAACAGCTAACCCCTAAAGGTTGCTCAGTGAACTAGTGGAGGAAGTGAATAAAGACTACATCAGTACAATGTTGAACGCGTGTATGCACTGTCAGCAATGACCTCTGCACAGAGAGAGTCCGCGGCATCAGCTGTGGCATCTACTATTTGGCTGAGCTCCTCCGTGTGTTGTTCTGACTCATCTAAACATTTCCGCATCGCACGAATATCCGCAACTAACTGCATTGCATTCGCTTGCATACGCGCATGCTCACGCTTCAGGTCCTCGATCTCCTCCAGTAAGGATGTGCACGTGTCCGATGAAGGCGGACGGGATGTGCTCACCACGTCCGTCTCGGTACTAGATTTTGGACATTGGACCGGGGACACGGAGACCTGTAGGCGAGTAACGTCAGCAACTGAAATGTGGACAGCGAACTTCCGCATCCACCTTGTCTGACATATTTGCAGCCGACTTTTCGAAATTCTGAGGGAGTAGCGTGGACAGCGAAATCCGGGACGGATGGCGATGGGTTCGCATTATCAGCCTGGCAGCAGCAGGCAGGATATATAAAGGCAACATACCTGGGATTAGAAGCATTGTGCCGGATGGTTCCATGAATACCTGTCACGGAAGTCAACGAGAAGCACGGTGTCAGCACGGAATTCATGTAAGCGATGTGCGTAGAGCACTCACATGGTAAGCATGGAATTCATGTAAGCGATGTGCGTAGAGCACTCACATGGTACGCTCAGGTGGTCGATCCTCGTAATTTCCGACCATTCCATGAATACGCGCCAGGTATTGTAGAAAGCGGAGACGTCGAGACCTTGACAAAGGACCGGTATTTGCGAGTGATCGTTATGTAGCATCTGTAATATCTGTATAGCCAGAGTGAGCTGTGGACGATGCATCCATGGGCAACAACATACGGTTCCGGGCTTTCAAGCAGAGCCAATATTGGCCTGTGGGTTGTTCTAGCGGCTCAGGCACCAATTAATGGTGCGTTTTTGCGGTTCTTATGTTTATGTTTGGTACAAACCCAATATGGCGCTCAATCATCAGAGATGTGGCTCGGATGGCTATGATACAGGTTCTAATACAATGTATACCATCAGCCCCTAATTCAAACAGACGCGGCGGCGCGCACGAGAATGGCTCAGCGAGGAAGAGGGCACCTGCGCAGAAGAGGGCGTTACGAGGAAGCCCTCAGGGCATCGAAGTGGGCAAGGAAAAGGGCAGTGATGACGGCACTGGAGCAGAAGAGGGCGATGGCATCGACAACGACAACAGCGAGGAGGGCATGGGCGAGGAGGAGGAGGCAGACACGGTGACGGAAGAACTGGCCGATATCGCAGGGATGATGGAAATTCGAAGGCAAGGAAGAAGGTGCCCAAATTCTGGACAGCGTCCAGATGGCGCACGCGGTCTATTTGTGCAAGACAAACAGAGGCTGAGAAGCGGCTCATGACAAGCGGCTCGTGACAAGTGGCCCGTGATGTGTGGCTGCCTTATTTGTGAGGGACAAAGCGACGGGATGCGTCAAAACTCCGCTGGAGGTGGAATGGGCATTTCTTTCCTCTTGTTCTTGTTCCACCACCATCTCTCGGCCGTAGCGCTTGTCATTCGCTATGTGGCCTGGAGCCTTTAGTAACGTTGTAGTGTAGTTCACTCTCTTTTGTAGTTTCATTGTTATTTATTCTTGTGGGGTCCTCATTATTTTTAGCTATAGTATAGGTAGCCAAGCTGCCGGACGGTTTGTTTCATCGCCCTTTTGCGCCGGTTGCATACCAGAGTGGGATACAATCGAATTGCAGCCGATTTGGTTATTGACTACCTTACGCGTAAAAATTTCTGAAGACCCTTGCCATTAACGCACCCGTGCGGTTACAGCCAGATCGCGCCAGGTCGATTGTACACGCTGAGGTTGATAGGCTGACAGGCTGACAATAATGTATGTGCACGATATGGACGAAGGGCGGTGTAGCTATACTGACATGTTTCTCAATGTATAGGAGAATGCGGCGCTTGTGCATGCTCATGCACAACTGCAGGAGCAGCCGCTACATCCAAAATCTTTGCGGATTTGATCATGAAGCAATTGAAAAAACCGCAGCGCGGTCGCCATTTGTCTGAAATTGGTATAGACGTGTTCAGGTGATGTGATGCCTGTGTCTATTCATTCCAACGGCTTATTGTCTGGGTCGGTTTTATATCTAGGATGACGTGGAGTGCTTGCTGGTAACGACACCGATCTGGAGCGTGCTCTCCTCCAGTCAATCAGTGGTGTATATGGAGCAACTATCGCAGACCCGAGGAGGAGAGATGGCTTTGGAAAGAACACTGTCTGGTCATTCGAAACCAGTCAATTCTATGCTTGTCGCCCAGGATGGTAGTTTACTTCTTAGTGCCGGTATGTTGTGTGTTAGTGCATTTCTGGTATTCACTTATGTTGCTTCATTCGCAGGTGACGATGCTGTGCTGAAGATATGGAGTTTACGATCGGGAGAACAGCGGGAAGAAATTTTTTGCACGTTCCACGGGCCTATTGGGGCGATCGCATGGGTTGATCTGGGGGGCGGATTGGATCGAGCCTTCGTGTTCGGTTGTGGCGATGGGTCAATACATTTGTATGTGCGAGATGATGCGACTGTAAGCTATTCATGAAGTGTCTTTTCATCTGTTTCATCCGTTAGCAGGATGTCTTTCTTTTTTGTTCGCTTGTGTGCGCTCACGAGGGATACGTGGAGGATATTCGATTCGATCCCAGCCATGGTCGACTAGTCACTATTGGACAAGGAGCAGTTCAAGTGTGGAGGTTTGAATCGGAAGGTATGTGGTACGATGTCATTCCAATGTCGTGCATTTTGACGGTGTGCGCAGGTTCGATATCTGCTGTATGAGCAATGAAGCCTCGTAAGGATTACATGGCTCGAGCAGTGCGCTTCTGTGATGAAGGCGCAAGTGTTGTAGTTTTTTATGTGGAATCACATGAGATGTAAGTCACGCTATTGCTTTTCAGGGAATGTATAATGATCGCAGTTAGTTGCTGCTACTGCATAGAGCCGTTCGGATTAAAGTGGTCGAAGATCTTGCCCACTCGAATGTGAGTCTTAGTCCTCTGTTGGAGCATGGATTTAATACTTCATCAACAGCGGATATGCCGATTTATCCATCAATGGAAGAAGTCTTGCATGACTAACCTATGTGATGGGCTCGACCAGTATCGATTTCCGTCTATGGAGCGTGTTTGCAGTTATCCCTACCGGATCGTGAACAATTATCCTGTGCATGTCGTGATATATGAATCGTCAGTTGTGGTAGGCGGCGATGACGGTGTCGTACGGATTTTCGACACAACGAACTATCACAATGTTGAGATGCTGCACCATGGTGCAGGTATGGCTTATTTTATTTTTATTGACATGTGACATTAATCTGACGTTAGCAGGGCAATTGGTACAGGTAGTAACAGTGAGTGGCATTGGGGAGGCATGAGGCTGCACTCATACTTGCAAAGGCTTATAGCACGGAGAGTGAATTCAAGGTAGCGACAGCTTCTTCCGGTGAGGGTTCATGCTGTATCAAGATATGGCAGCGGAAGCAGGTGAGCTGTGCTGATTATCTCTAGCGGGCTCCGCCAACAACATCGTTATTCACAGAAGGTCGCTCATCGTCGAGATGAGGCGCGAAGGTGTCAGACTGATGTCGGACTCGCATGGTGACACCTCGTAATCACAGTCATCCTCACGATTGTGGTTGTCAATGCAGCTAATTCTGTGAACTGGGAAGCTGTCACGGGTAGCATGTTTGACCAAGTCAGGTCGAAGTCACAACTGGGAGCGTCTGTAGTGCCGACGAGCGCATTCAGCGGGGGGGCAACATCGGTAGTAAATTGCAATTGGTTAGATGCAGTGTGTGAAGATGAGGATGATGACGGAGATGGTGATGATGACATGTAATATTTGTAGCAGTGTCAAGTAGAATCACTCAAAGTGGATAGCGTGGAATGTATAGCATAATCATGAAAGTGCTATTTATAGGATGTTCACTGATGCGAAAGCATACCGCTTCCCGTCCCAAGTGGTTCAAAATCGGGCGATCCTGTCTGCACTGCATCGCCTCAATACTCCTGTGACCAGTGCATATGGTACGTCAGCCTTCAGTTACGCGCTATAGATGCTGAGTTACCTTCTGCAGGGACTTGAACACATAGGTTTCCATTGACCATTCCATCCAGATCGCGTGGTCAACACGTTCTGATGCTGAGATGATGCTGACTTCCTCGGTACACGTTTTACTCCAGATACTTGCTCCAAAGTCTGGATATGCACAGAAAGGATCGAGCGCGGAATCTGGCAAAGGTAAGTACTGGTGGATGGCCAGAAATGCGTGCTGAGAATCTTTCTTGTTACCATCATCTTCATTGTGACCGACGACCGAAAATATCTGCCGGATGACACCTGGTACTGGCGGCGCCGTGGGAGACATTTGGAAGAACACGAGACTGTTCTTCTCGTTGGAGTGGACAGTCGAATATTGCGTGCCACAGATTGTGAGATGGCCATGAAGCAAGCAATGTCAGGTGAGTCACCAGCCTGGGACCAGAATGTTCAGTTCTGCTGATCGGGCTGCGAGGACATCGTAAAATTCGTGTTCCAATCGGCGGACATTAGTCCAGTCAACAGTTGCACCGGTGTCTGGCGAAGGGCCGTCAAGAATTTGTTCGCCCAAGGTACGGATGTCCGTCATCAATGTGCCTCGCTGATCGCCTCCGAAGCATGACTGGACGATGGGTGCGCAGTCCTTCAGAACTTTCGGGCAGTCATCCTGCTTCAGAAATGCCTTGACATTGGCCGCGGCGCAGAAAGATTCAAGCATAGTCTTCTCGAATTGCCCTGCCAAACAAGTGAGTGGATATCTTATACAATTAAGAGGACAAATGCTCACCCTGCTTGTAGTTTGTATTCACTTGCTGCAACACTCCGATGAGGCGCTCGAAGGGGAACATCCACCAGCCATGGACTGGACCGAAGTGCATGAGGAAGTCACCGAGGTGAAGTGCATTGTGGTGATTGGGCACCAGGGTGAGCCTGGGCTTGAGCTCCAGGATGTCGGAGAGGTAAGCGTGCATATGGATTGTATATCTGGTGCGATGATTTTCTGTAGTCCGATATGAAGTGGCTTGACGAACTGCACAGGCCAGCCGCATCGTGCAGTGAGCGAGATCATGACGGTGCTTAGACTCGTCTGATAAGTTGTCCAGTCGTTCGCGGTGCCAATGCTTCATGAGCGAGACAGGTAATTTGAATTCTATTGCAGCTTTCCAGTGATCGGCTTTGAGCTTGCCTTGGCCTTTCATACCCATGTTCGCAGGTGGTCCAATGGAATAAATGGGGCAGGATGTCTCGGCAATGTCAGCCTGTACGTGTTTGAGATCTCGTTTGCGAAAAGCCCGTATTGACAAGCTGTCCACTTCATCCTGTCTGTCTGCAAGCTTCGCTGTGGCTGCATGTTCAGCTGCACATTCTGCTGTGTACGCTTCTCCGATCAGAGTCTGAGGTGCAAGCTCTGCAGTATCGGGGGTGCTTGTCAGTGGGGCGCGGTCTGTAGCAGAAGCGGAAGGGCAAATCCAAACAGCAATGGTCGCATGCGTCTGTGTGTAACCCGTTCACTGAGTCTGATGTGAGATCAGTGTTACCATTCGAGCTCAATGTGAGTGCATACCAACACATCGGCGAGCACCGATTTTTTCATCTCGTGAACAGGGCGAGGTAACCGGAAGCCGAGCTCCCCGCACATGTGTCCCAGGGTGACTTTATTGAAGCACAACAACAAGCGAGGCTCGGGGTCCTTCAGCAGGAGGCGTCGAAGGCTGATCAAGTCGTTCTCCTTGATTTTGCACAAGTTTCCAGCATCCTCACGGTCCCCTATAGGTACGTCCATTCCAATCACTTTTCTGCTGTGGAACTGGATTACTCCGAGAAAGATGTTATGCATCCTGTCGATGACTATGCGCCGAACGGGATCCCAATACGGTAGGTGATTAAGTTCAGACCATCGAACGCCAAACTCCTTAAAAATGTGTTTTCGCTCTTCCTGCGTGTCAGCGTCGCGCCAGTGGACAGCGGCTTCCAAGATCTCTTCAGCCGTTTTCATCTTCCAAGTCGTCATGTCAATGTTATTGATACTCTGCTTCTTCAAATGGCACTGCGAGCAAAAGCACCCTGCGCTATGGCTGGCTAATCTGCCAACCTTACGAGATCCTGGCAAGTCAGTGATGATGAGGGCGAGCGCTGAGCGTACACGGCGACCGCGAGGATAGTCGTAAGTTCTGTTGTACCAAATGCCGCGCTCCCAGGAGACTAACAGTTGGTCGACCAGCGGGCGGAGGAAGTGATTAGTGCGCTCGAGCTTGGGCTCCTTGGGTCCGGGAATAATGCCCGCGAGATATAGATTATCGGTTTTGTATCGCATGCTCGGCGGAAGGTATAAACACGACATAGCCATCGACCCCGTCGAAATCGACAACCCTGCGATTTTGTTGAGATATGGGTTGAACCAGTCCACCGAAAGGGCCCAAAGTAAGCATAACTCGCTCTCAGCTGCATCGGCGAAGGGTTTTCCGTCCGGTCCCTGCATGTCGGCGACGGCGGATCCATCGGTGATGTCGCGTAGATTGTAGCGATCTTGTATTGCCTTCCCCTGTCAGAGGATCTCCTCCATTCCCGGTCAGCTGATAAGCCCACCCACAAATGTATGGAAGTCTTGAACGATGAAAGGGCGTATAGGAGAGCGAACACTTTCGCTGTCCAGAACACGAGTAGTCATCAATCGTGAGTTGCAAGGTTTGCTGCGTGGGCCGCTGCGATGCTGACAATAACTCGGATAAACAGGTATATCGTCTTGATATGAAGGCGCATATGTGCAGCAGCATGACGGACAAGTTGTGTAAACTATGACAACAGCCTCCAAATCGAAGGCTTTCCGCACGCCACAAATGTCACGGGGGAAATGATCTAAAATCTGCTCCTCACGGTAGGATAATGACCGTGTGCCTTGGTGCAGCGCAGTGTCCAGCAAAACCTTCAACATCTGCAATGCGAAGTTACAAGTCGTTCGCGGCACCTGACCGAGCAGCTTCAGGATCAGTACTATGAACACCGCCAAGAGCAGAAGGGGATCTCCGTGCTGCAGCGGGTGGTCGAAATAGCGACCTAACGTCGGTGAGTGATACTGGCTTGAGTGAGCAAGAGAGACCACTAACTTGTGGTGATCGCATCTAGCGGTGCTGCAGGGCCCTTCACCTTTTCAATCCATTCTTGCACGTCTGAAATGTTCGAGGTGAGCCGTTCTAACATTGCATCGTGCAAAATGATCGTTGATTGGTCGCGCAATGTCAACTTCTCTAGCTTGGCGCAGGTTTCCTGAAACCAAGCCAGCTCCTCGCACAGTGTAGTGCAGGCAGCCGCAGCAGCTTTGCTGTCTTGGGGGGCCACAATACCCTCATCTTTTACACGCGAAGTGCTCAAGAAACGGTCTCGGATCTCGTAATCGACAATCCAGAGCCCAGGTAGGGAAGTGAGCGGGGGTGGAATGGGTGGAAGGGGGGACACTGTAGGCTGGGAGGGGGGCACTGTTGAAGATGGGTGCCGGGCCGGTGGTGGGGGTGGTGGCGGCAGTGCAGACTCTGCGGTAGGTTCATCCGTGAGTGCGTCCTTCAAAGTTAATTCAAAGATCCGGTCTGCTAGTTCGTCGCCTTCGAGCACAGAAGACGTCTGGTAATTTTGGAAGTAAATATTTCTTATGTGTTTTTGTTAATTGCTTACCTTCTTGCGTCTTCCGTCTGCTCTCTGATGCATGCAGAGCATATTCCAATCTCTAAACTGACCCTGACAGTTGAATGTTTTGCAGTAGCATGGCCGTGCTCGGCCTGCACCCTTTGTCGCAGGCATGGGATCAGGGCTGGATCACTAAGGGGCAGATGCTCGTGATATTTATAGACATGTGTTTATAGACAGGCAGCAAATATAGCGTAAGTTTTACATGATTGCATTGTGATATGAAAATCGCTAATCTCGTTACATCCATTGTTCACGGAGCGGCTGAGAAGGTCGAATAGACATGCGAACTTCCGATAAGTTCCCCATTGTTGCATTGTAGTTTGACAGTCGCTGGTCACAAGGCACAGTGTTGTGGTGCGAGATATGAGCAGGCGAACGTGAGAGGACGGGCAAGTCACCTGCAATGTCGCAGCCTTCCAGTGTGCTCACTGCCAACAAGGACGGCTGGTATAGGCCAGCCGTCAATACAGATGCAGGAGTCCAGTCAACTTTGTGAGTGTAGTCGCATATCGCATGGGTACATTGGCTTACATTCACGATAGTATGGCTCTGCGGAATGACTTGGCAGAGGAATTCACCATAGGTAAGAATATTTTTCTTCTACGACCTTGTCGAACTTAACGCTGTTCGCCCCTGGTGTAGAGAGAATGCTCTGTCCCCACCCTACAATTCCTGGGTCGTTCATAGATTCTCGTGAGGGACTCGCCGCCAGCACTCATATGGACGAAGTGCAGCCTGCTCCCCTTCAGGTGGACAAGGCACAAGGCACTCCTCCTGGCTTGGATGGTTCAGTCCCTCAGCTAGGGTCTGTCGGTCCTAAATCCCTGCCTTTGCTTGCCCCTACGCATCACATTGAGCCGTGGCAACCTACTCCGCCCCCTGTGAACATTGGAGGAATGGCAAAGGAATCCCTGGCACCTGCACCGACAGTTGAGGTCACAGCCATGCAACAGCTGGTCGAATTTATCGGCCTCGCTGTCGATCAATCGGTGCAGAAGGCACTTTCCAACTTCACTCTGGTACTCGAACGCCAGAATGAGATCATTAGGCAGTTGGCCCCTCTGGCTACACTTTTACCGTCGGCACGGGCATCAACATCTGCCAAGAACGAAGGGCGGTCCACTGTCTCCCACTCCACACCGAATGATGAATATGATGGCGGAGAGGAGGATAACGATGATTGTGACAATGCGCCGATCTCGCGTGTCAAGCGCTCCAGAGGAGAACGTGATAACGTCTTTCATGTGAGTAGCACGCTTATAGCTTATTCTCATTCTGAATTAACCTACAGGATCGCTTTTGAGAATACCTGAAGGTGAAAGGTCTTCTACCGAAGGCTCGAGACAGCCCCCTCTCTCTGGTCCTGAAGCCGGAAATCATGCAAGCATGGCACGATGGTGAGGGGGATGGTCCCAATGTCGCTGCTCCCCTGATCGAGTGGTCGTTGCCGCTGAGTTCTGCGTGGAACAAGGAGGTGATCCACATCGTCACTGAGGAGTTTCTCAAGCAGGTAGCAGGAGGCGAGCACCCACTGCTTGTGTCTGATCCAGCATGGACAATCATGACGACATCACAGTGTTGCCTGTGCAAGCTGCAGAACGGGCCTCACAAGCGATTCACAGAAGTGGAATTAATGGAGGATGAAGAAGTGGAGTCAGCGAGGAACACTGTGAAGAAGCAACGTAGGAAGAACAGTCGCAGGGAGATGGTACGTCATCTCAGTCTTTGATTTCGATTTGACTTATATATATTTGAAGGTGTATAAACGGCGTGGTGACATCATCGAGGTCAACCTTCAAGACAATCTGGCAATCTGGGGAAAAGTCAAGATTATCCACATGGCCTTAGGTCAAGGAGGCATGAGTTCGGATGAGACCGATGGCGAGTATACTCGTCGCAATGACAAGAAAGTTCGACGTGTTTGCTTGCCATGGTGCCATCCCTCTCTTGCTGCATTTTACAGGAACATCGATTCTTATGAGGATGTGCACCCACTTCATCTCACGGAACAAGGCAATTACTCGCTGTCTCGCATCTTTGAAGCAAATGCGTCGTCATCATCCAAGAGAAAGCCAATCACGCAGTTGCCGAAGAACTTCTACAACCCCGACTGGATGAAGACTATCACTCGTGCTCAGCGCAGTACCCTATGGTTCAAACTGGCATTCAAAATACCTGACCTCGTAAGAAGCGTCTTTGTGTGTCGTCATTTGCTGGCTCACGTGTGAACCATAGCCAGAATTCGCGGTGAGGAGAAACTAATGATACGGACTTAGGCAAATTACCTTCCACGGTGATCGCGGATGTGCTGACAGATCACATCGGTTGTAGTAATTGATCGAAATACTATTGTCATGTGTAGCTCCGTGCAGAGAATTCTGAGTTCTGAAGCTTCCCGAGCTGCCAAGCTAATCCGACGGTCAATGATTCTGCGCGCATCGCCATCTCATTATCCCTTATCGGTCCCGTCCAGATATGCAGTGTTATTGTTCTCGTCATTGGCTGAAACACGATGGTGGATCCCCAGGTGAGCTGATGTGCCTGTTCACATGCTCTGTTCGTGAACTAATCATTCGGTGCCACCATGGGCACTGCTGGACCGGTTGTGCATTGTCTGCGGTGAATCAATGGTAAGTCTTCCATTGTCCGCTTCAGATCTCCATTGTTCTCACTGCTTCGTCACTCACCCTGCTGAAGTCTCGGATGCGCTATGCGCTGGTCACTCTCGAGCATATTTAACTTCGAAAGAATCTCCATCCCACACTGTCCCATGGGCTCGAATTATAGCACGCTTCGCTCCGGTTCCCCAAGCATACTTGGGAAACGGTCTACTCTCGATGATGCTCTTGACGCACCGCCAGCGAAAAGGCTCATGTCAGAAGTAAGCTTTCTGCATCCTCTGACCTGCAAGCACATATACCAATGATCACAGTTCTTGCGCGCCTTGAACCGTTGCACAAAGCAACAGTGCTGTGGATTTGTCGAAGATGCCCAGGTATGAGTTCTATGCTTTTCATGCCGGTAGTGTACTCATTGTTTAACCTTTAGGTTTTGTCCAAGCGTCGCCATGAGGAGGACGATTCGCAGCGTCACAAGAAACTTAAAGAAGACGATTCCAATTCACAGACTGATAAGAGGGTTGTTGTGCATGCGGTACGGTCTGCATCGTGCAGTCAGTATTCAGACTGATGCACTTTCTCAGACACATCGTCCAGTCAATTCAAAGCATGTATTTCCCTTTTTGATGCTCCCGGTCGAGCTAGGCAATATCATTCTCCATATTTTGGCGAACGATCGTGACACATTATACACACTTTCACTTGTGTCTGGGCTTCTCCGAGTCTACGTACTGCCGCTCTATCTAAAGGCCGCAGGCTTCATTGATTCCTCGAACAATGTCGGTCCAGTCATAACTTATGAGCACACACGGCCCATCATCATGTGGCGCGGCATGCAAGGCCTTCCTACTCCCCCATCTATGTGGATCCGTATCATCGCGAATGCAGCAATGGCCAAATGCCAGCTTTACGGGTTGGCGAGATTCTTCATCTCGAGTCGTACCCAGCTCGCTATATCCAACATTGTCATCAAGCTCCACAACGCGCGGCTCGCTCTAGCCACATGCAAGTTCCTACAGACCGTGGCCGCATCAGGGGTGTCGCACCTATGTCTGAAGTCGCACTTGTCTAGCGATCTTCGAGCTATCGAGTCTCCTGAAGACATCCCTGTCGTCAACTCCGGTCTATTTTATCCTCGTCTGCAGAAGATGCAGGTCAAATCTGCCGTATTCTTCTCTGCGGAGTACATTAGTTGGACGGTTCACACCCTCAACAGCGCAGCGCTCACTGCGCTCGATCTCCAGCTCGACAACAGAGGTTCACCATCGTGACATCTTATTTTACCTCACCTCCACATGGAGCATCTGGAAACCCTCTACATCGATGGTGCGCTACCCATCAACACAATTTTCCGTTTCCTCCTTCATCATCCCAGCATACATGAGCTCCGGATTGGTCACTTTACTCACCCTGGTTTCCTCCCCTACGCCACCCGTCCACCTAATATGGACCACCTCGAAGTCCTCGCGGGTTCTCATGACTACATAATCCCCTTACTTGCGCGGGGTCTTCCTGCACTGCAGCGTCTTGCGGTCATACCGGATCATCCTTCCGCGATTGGCCTATTTCTCGATTCCGAGCTCCGAGGGGTGATAAACAGTGCTCGACGCTGTACGCGTCTCCAAGAGCTCGACATCGCCCTTCCCTGTGGTTACATTGCACAGCCAGAATCCGACTCATTCTTCATTGTAGACGACCCACAACACCTTCGCACGGAACGTGGTCTTTCGAACGTGCACACGATCACCATCCGCGCTACATGGGATGCAGACGAATTTACCTTATCTTCAACTCATCTGAGTGTTCTTGTAAGTTGCCCATTTCATTCGTTGCTTCGCCGCCATTCACATCAGCACAGAACAGCTTACCGGGGTGGCTAGATCTCTTTCCTTCAGTATGACACTTGCGTATAGTTGAGGGGCGCAGCGTCAAGTTAGACACCGATTGACATGCACAAGTCACTCAATTGTATTGTGCTTGTCCTTACCTAGAAGATATATCCATGTATGTGGGGGATAGGCACCTGGCGGAGTGTTGGAAGTGCGAGATCTGATGTATTTCCATGTCATGTATGTGTAAAGAAGTCAATGCCATTGAGCTTGCCGACGATTGTCTTGCGAGATCAGCCTCCAACCTGAAGACTTTCCACGACTTCCGAAGGTCATTTCAGGCACAGTAAACAAAAGTACAACAAACGCGGCCGACAATCATACAGAACCCCCGCGGAATGCCCCACACCTGACTGCCTCCCAGTAACCTTGTGCACATCTGATCAGTCAGGTTATCTACCGATATAAATCACTCATCTTAAGGACTTACGTTAGACCGCCTCAGTAACATTGGAGAAGGGTGGCGCGGAGGAGGGCGGCATGGTGGAGGGCGGCACGGCAGAGGGCGGCACGGTGGAGGGCGGTGCGGAGGGCGATGCCCCTCCGGTGTTGATACCAAGGGCCGCACAAATGATCTCCATGGCCCACTGCACCTTCAGTGCGATAGCCTCAGTCTGACTTACGTCGGCGCTAAGGGCCCGAATCTGGTTCTGTAAGTCACTAATGGAGGGTGCTGAGGCCACAGCAGTGCAAACAATGTTAATATCGATTCACGTCAAAATGTATAATCATCACTTACGACCACGATTAGCCATGAGGATCAGTTTGGACAGTAGTGGGGGGATGGTGGTGGTGGTGGTGGTGGTGGTATGCTCCGAACGTGAGATGGGGAAAGACTCGGAGACACCACAATATATATAGGCATACCCCTCATGGGTCCCACGTGCCATGAAATTTATAATCTGACAGATCCAAAACAATAGACGCATTTCCTCGAATTTCGCATCACATACTCTGGGGTAAAAGAGGGTTCCCCATAGTACGCAAAGCGAAATTCGTGGAAATGCGTCTACTGTTTCCTCGAAAGATAGCTCCAGACTTATGGTGGCTTCAGACTTATGGTATAGTTATGTCCACTTCAAACGAATTTATTTTCAGCAAGAATTATAGAAAACTTATTTAATCTATCTTTAAATGTCCACATCGCCGAGCGGCACTTTGCGCACGCATGTACCTTGCCTCGCCCGTCTTCTCATCGCGAGTCACACAGATGGCCTGGCAGAATAAATCGACGAGGTCCTTCGTGGTCTATACTTATCCTGTCGAGTCTCACACACGACCTTTGCAGCCTTCGCGGGTGCCCGCCTAACGGAAGGACTAGAGATAATTCTCCGTCCGCAAACGGAGCGCAAGATACATTAATATTGAGCGAGGTACATGACATGAACAGCGAAACCAACGCCCCCCGCAAGCAGCTCAGGCACCTGGGAATAGTGAATACAGGTGTCATCAATAGGATTTTGATCCACGTATGCACCGTAAGGGGGAGGAGGAGGGGTGCTCAATGATCCTCGCTCGGCGCGGACCAGCGCAGCCAGGTCGGCTGTAGCCTCTGCAAACTCTCGAACATGAACTGCACGTCGTTCTGACTGTTCGACTCGGAGCTCCATGGTCTTCACCTCCTTCTCTAAGATAAGGATCAGCTGCATTAATTTTTGTTGTTCACACTTCAGGTCCTCGATCTCCTCCAGTAAGGACATGCACGTGTCCGATGAAGGCGGACGGGATGTGCTCACCACGTCCATCTCAGTACTAGATTTTGGACATTGGACCGGGAACACGGAGACCTGTAGGCGAGTAACGTCAGCAACTGAAATGTGGACAGCGAACTTCCGCATCCACCTTGTCTGACATATTTGCAGCCGACTTTTCGAAATTCTGAGGGAGTAGCGTGGACAGCGAAATCCGGGACAGATGGCAATGGGTTCGCATTATCAGCCTGGCAGCAGTAGGCAGGATATATAAAGGCAACATACCTGGGATTAGAAGCATTGTGCCGGATGGTTCCATGAATACCTGTCACGGAAGTCAACGAGAAGCACGGTGTCAGCACGGAATTCATGTAAGCGATGTGCGTAGAGCACTCACATGGTAAGCATGGAATTCATGTAAGCGATGTGCGTAGAGCACTCACATGGTACGCTCAGGTGGTCGATCCTCGTAATTTCCGACCATTCCATGAATACGCGCCAGGTATTGTAGAAAGCGGAGACGTCGAGACCTTGACAAAGGACCGGTATTTGCGAGTGATCGTTATGTAGCATCTGTAATATCTGTATAGCCAGAGTGAGCTGTGGACGATGCATCCATGGGCAACAACATACGGTTCCGGGCTTTCAAGCAGAGCCAATATTGGCCTGTGGGTTGTTCTAGCGGCTCAGGCACCAATTAATGGTGCGTTTTTGCGGTTCTTATGTTTATGTTTGGTACAAACCCAATATGGCGCTCAATCATCAGAGATGTGGCTCGGATGGCTATGATACAGGTTCTAATACAATGTATACCATCAGCCCCTAATTCAAACAGACGCGGCGGCGCGCACGAGAATGGCTCAGCGAGGAAGAGGGCACCTGCGCAGAAGAGGGCGTTACGAGGAAGCCCTCAGGGCATCGAAGTGGGCAAGGAAAAGGGCAGTGATGACGGCACTGGAGCAGAAGAGGGCGATGGCATCGACAACGACAACAGCGAGGAGGGCATGGGCGAGGAGGAGGAGGCAGACACGGTGACGGAAGAACTGGCCGATATCGCAGGGATGATGGAAATTCGAAGGCAAGGAAGAAGGTGCCCAAATTCTGGACAGCGTCCAGATGGCGCACGCGGTCTATTTGTGCAAGACAAACAGAGGCTGAGAAGCGGCTCATGACAAGCGGCTCGTGACAAGTGGCCCGTGATGTGTGGCTGCCTTATTTGTGAGGGACAAAGCGACGGGATGCGTCAAAACTCCGCTGGAGGTGGAATGGGCATTTCTTTCCTCTTGTTCTTGTTCCACCACCATCTCTCGGCCGTAGCGCTTGTCATTCGCTATGTGGCCTGGAGCCTTTAGTAACGTTGTAGTGTAGTTCACTCTCTTTTGTAGTTTCATTGTTATTTATTCTTGTGGGGTCCTCATTATTTTTAGCTATAGTATAGGTAGCCAAGCTGCCGGACGGTTTGTTTCATCGCCCTTTTGCGCCGGTTGCATACCAGAGTGGGATACAATCGAATTGCAGCCGATTTGGTTATTGACTACCTTACGCGTAAAAATTTCTGAAGACCCTTGCCATTAACGCACCCGTGCGGTTACAGCCAGATCGCGCCAGGTCGATTGTACACGCTGAGGTTGATAGGCTGACAGGCTGACAATAATGTATGTGCACGATATGGACGAAGGGCGGTGTAGCTATACTGACATGTTTCTCAATGTATAGGAGAATGCGGCGCTTGTGCATGCTCATGCACAACTGCAGGAGCAGCTGCTACATCGGAAATCTTCTCAGTGACACCTCATCACCAGCAGTGTGACGTTGAAGGACATTGCGCGTGTTACTCGGAAGTAATTGTACATGTGGGCTGATTGGTGATGAACGCCTCGTGGTCGAAGCCTCGTGTACTCCAAGCGATGTCTCATAAGATACGATTGCTCAAATCTAATGGACACTATCCCGACCTCTCAGTACCACTGACGCTGCCATGTCTTCAAAGCATGCGCGGAAAGCGGTAAGTACTGCAGTCGGTTCTTACATTTTCAATCCTCATGCATGGAATGCCAAGAACCCATACTTGGATATCGAGGCTATCGTCGACAACAAGGAGGAGGAGGAGGAGGAGGAAGAAGAAGAAGAGGAGGAGGAACTGGGTAAGTGTCTCAGCTGCGTTATTGGATATATCTTACAGCTTGTTTCCAGCCGAGTTGCTCGCCGACGTCCAACGCACTCAACAAGCTCGGGCGCATCTTGATAATGCATGTGTCGGCGACAATGCTGCTGACGCAGAAGCCATGGCCCGGTCTATTACGGAGAGAGACATGGCGGCTAGACGTGCACAGCGGGCCTCGCAGTCGGGTGGCGCAGTCGTCTCTCTTGCCCCCGATGGAATCCACCTTCAAGCCACGGAAAATGGTTTCCTCTCTCCTTGGGTGTGCATCTCGCGTGGTACATATAAGCACGATGTGGCCTTCGTGGAGTCGCGAGAGGACTCTCTCCTCCACGTCTGGGTGGTTCCGCGCTTGCCTACTACAAAAAAGCGGCAGCACGGAAGAACTTCTCAGCAACCAATGCCGCCAGCATTACTGAAGGAGTTGTTCAGAGAGGCTGTGACAGAAAGTGAAGGTGATCGGCTGATACATATTCTCAAGGGCAAGAAGTTCAAAGGCGGCCTCCTGCAGCTCGAACTCACTTTGGACCGGGTGACTTTCGATGTCCACGCGACTCGAAACGACGTATTCGTCTTTAATGCGGCGAAATTCGTGCCAAAGACAGCGATAGCGAAGCTCATTCTATTCTGTGTTGACTTCGAACCGGCTGCAGGCACGCATGTGATCGTTATACAGGGCGAGCAATGCAGCCTCATTGGTGTCGTGCATTCAGTCATTAATGGACAGGCTACGCTAACCAATCTCTACCACGAGAAGTTGGATGATGAACTTTCGTCTCTCGTGCTACCTGTAACTCAGTTACACCCCCTTTGGGCAGTTGGCGATGCGGTCAAAGTTAAGACGGGCCTCCATGCGGGCTTGGAAGGGCAAGTGATTGCCATGGATGATTTCGATGTCACAATTGTTCACATGAACAAAGTCGAGGTATGTTGTGCACTTCTCATGCAATTGCAATCCTTAATAGCGGAACTTTCCTCAGCATGTATGTTCTACCTACAACGATGCTTCCAAGTACTGAACTTTTCTCAGCGAACTAGAAACCCAATAACAGGAGTCTTTCATACTTCTTCTGTGTTGGAAACCTCTGAGGTATGTCTCACCAACTGCGACGTTATCGATGCTCAAAACTCGATATAGCATCATGTGTTACCCTGGGATCTCTTACTCACAGAGTCCAAGGCGGAATGGACCTCGATACAGCCGTCGGTGACAGTATCAAGGCCGGGAGAGCAGCGCCCCTCACGCTCTGAGACGCAAACAGAGGAAGAGGTGGAGATGGAGCTTGCCCTCAAGCATCCTGACCGACGGAATCCCGACATCGGGCGAGCGGTGCGTGTCATCAAAGGCCCTTTGAAGGGATTTGTGGGCACATTGCGAAACGTCACGTACCACGGCGATTACGAGGTTGAGCTTGAAGCCAAGCTTTTAACCTCGAGGGGCGTCCTCTTGTTCCAAAAGCCCGAGATCGCATTCCGGTCAGAAGAAAGGTAAGATTCATTACTTGTAGTTCTGGTCATATCTAACTGCCTCATTGCAGGGGCAACATCGACACGGCGGAGCGTGGTCTGCTCCCTGAGCAGCCTCGGACCCCATTGGGCCACGAATTAGAACCCACGTCACACAACACAGATTCAGCGTGGGCGTATTCGGTGGAACTTGATGGTGCGTAACTGTGCCGCCACTACCGAGCGTCCGCTGAATCCACATTAGGACCCGATGGATCGATGTCTTCAGTCGAACCTAATGGTGCGTAGCCTCATCATCAACACAAAATGTCCACTGAATTCACATCAGGACCCAATGGATGGATGCTGGATGCGGCTGTGGCACCTGCGTTCCATACTTATCGCTTCAAGTTCATGTGCACAGCCGGTCAACTCCGAGACAAGCTGATGACCACGGTGAAGGGAGCCTCCCCAGTGAACGGCAAGGTGCGATGCGAATACCGGATGCGAAAGCTGGAATATGCCGATGTCTCTCTCCAAGACCTCGCCATATTGTGACCAGGCCCTGGCGATTATGCGATCGTGTGTAAGCGTGGCCCCAACTTCGGAGCGTACGGCAAAACGATGTGGGGCGTGGCAGACCCGCTTGTTCTAGTACTGGAAGAAGGCGGCAGGACGCTTAGGGTGGATAGGGATGACTTGGCCCAGCTTGTGTGCAAATAAGTGGTTTTCTCGTAATTTTACATGCTGTTCCTGTCCCTTGCCCCTCGTCGTTGCATCCTGCGCTGTTTGTCGATGTCCTGTCATTTGCCGCTTTCTCATTATATACAGTTAATGTACTTCCTTTGATCGAACTTGTGCTTGTGCTTGTGCGATCTCCCACGACCAGTTGAAAAGCCGCTGAGCGGTACACTTGGCGATCCAATGACCACTAAGCGGCCATCGAGTGTGCCACTCGTCAAGCCGCTTAGCGGTGCTATGGGTGTCCGACCTCCTTACAGTTTGAATATTAGGTCGAGGGTGTGAGGCCCTGACATCTCACCTCATATATAGACTCTAATGTCAAATGTCAAATGATCATACATTGTAACTTTGTGTCGCCCTTATACTAGTTCGATATTTAATCTGTTGTCTGCCCTGAAAGGCATAATGTCGATCAGAATTTCTTCCCGCCGGACATGCCGAACGAGACCTAAAATTTTCGGACGAATGTTATATGGTAACATAGCCATTTGCGAACATTGTATATGTCGCAATATCACACATTATCAATGTGTGATTTGGGTATCGCATGCCCAGACATCAGGCCTTACATTGTAAACATATTTTCGACCGTCGGAGCTACATACGGGCCGTCATACATGTACAATGTTAGGCCGGATGTTCCCACAATGTAAGGAACTTAGATATTAGTCCCCGTCTCCGGTGTCACTTCGGCCGTGGAGCACGGGCGCTTCTCAGACGCGTCGGTCACATGTTCGCGCCGTTATGTGAGAATTTGAAACCTTCGACTTAAGCTTGTCCTCCGAAGCCTCAGGCTCCTACCGAGATATCGTAGCTGGCATATGAGATAATGGTGACGCGACCACGTTGGATGCCGTGGGAGAAATGTGCTCACCGATTTCAGATGTTTTGGCCACAATCATTGTCTACCTGCCCTCTGGCCGCCGTGAGCGTGTTGGCCCATGTTCATTTCCGGAAATGACACATGCACGGCACGATGCAGAACATCGTAATTTTACTTGGTCCATCCACCGACATTCATATATAAGGCACTGCCTCTCTCAGTCCTGTTTCTGTGTGTCTGCTTTCTACAGTGTCTTCTTGACCATCTGAATCGTACCCTCTTCAGGATACTACACTCTACACAACATCTAGAGGCGAACAGCTGGACCTACCACAACCTGGGACCCTGTCTCCTGGCCCGAATTCGCCCCAGGTTTCTTCATCTGACGCAGGATCTGCAGACGAACAGCAGGACGTACAACACAGCCTCAGACCCGCCTTTACAATACGTTTACCTCCTACTGCTCCACCGTAGGTGACGCCCAACAAAGTCTGGAGTCGACAACAGTTTTCCTAAGTCCGGAGAAAGACGTGGACCTGCGCATTGATTTGGCGGACGAAATGACAAACCATATCGTCGAGATCGGCCTTGAAGACTTCATGGCAGAGTTTGTTCCCGGTCCTGATCCGTCATATGAAGAAAGGTCCAATTTCCAGAGTTTTGAATGCGTAAAGCTTGACGGGCTCGAGACTGATATGTATCCTGGTTTGGTGCGTGTCTTCTTTTTCCGCATTCCGAATCTTCTCTTGATCTGACATTGGTTTATAGTGTAAGGTTTTTCAATCTGTTCTAAACGCCGTCCCTCAGAGTGGCCTCACTGCCAGAGACACTGGCGAGTACCTGGACGTGACTGGTAGCGAAGTAGCAAGCGACGAGAATATCACCAAATTCGGCATTGGGATCTATCCTACAACCGCCGCTGCGAAGGAAGCTTACTCTGTTCCGACGAAACAATTGATGCGGGGCAAATCGGCTCAACGCCAGAAGTACTACATGGCGAGAGTCTCCTGGGCTTGGACTTGTGTACCTATAGAGGCCAAGAGTAACCACCAGAGATCAGCTTTCGAGTTCAATGACCCTGGGGCACATTTTCTTCATGCTCATTCGCACGATGGCTTACGGACCTTGGGACAGATCACCGAGCATGCGGCCCAGATACTCCTTCGCCAGCACCGCCTCTTTTGCCTCATGGTTTTCATCTGCAAATCCGGTGCCCGTCTAATCCGCTGGGACCGCGCTGGCGGAATCGTCTCCAAAAGTTTCGACTACATTCAGGAACCAGAGACGCTACATACGTTCATGTACAGGGTCGGGAAGATGAACGACTCTCAGCGGGGCTACGATCCTACTGCCATCCTTGCCACACCTGAAGAAGTGGCGGAGATGAGGAGTTGCGAGAGCCGGCTGAACGAATATCACAAAGAATGTTTGCGAGAGGCCATGTTGGACGGTTGGCCTATTTACAAGATCGAGTTCAAGGCGGACGATGTACTCAGTGAAACCGGTAAAACTGTCTCACCTCCATCGACGTCGAAGAGGCACTATCTGGTAGGGCGTGCACGGTCCTCAAGCAGTTCTCTCACAGGCCGCGCGACAAGAGGTTATGTGGCATATGACATGGCCACGCAACGACTAGCGTTTCTCAAAGATACTTGGCGCACTGACTCGGACAAGGTCAAACCTGAACGAGAGGTGTATGAACGATTATATCAAAAGGGAGTCCGGGAGAGGATCGCGACCCTCATTTGTGGTGGCGACGTTGGCGAATCGGTTCAGAAGACTCGTACGCAGGAATTTAACGCCCGGATAATGGGTCGGATTCACTACCGGATCGTTGTGAAAGACGTCGGCCGTCCGCTGGAGGACTATGCTGATGTTCGAGAGATGATCTTGGTTGTTCGTGATGCGGTCATAGGTCAGCTCTCCTTTTTTCAAGTTTGATATATGTGGTCCTTTCTGACGAGATGTTTTGATAGCCCACCGTGATGCATGGGTATCAGCTGCGATACTCCATTGTGACGTCAGCGCCAACAATATCCTGATTTCTCAGGACCCCGATGCCGAAGGATATCTAACAGGCACCTTGTCTCCTGCCGGATTCTTGAATGATTGGGACATGTGCAAATACAAGGAACATCTTGACAAAGGTGCCTCGCAAAATACTCGCTCGGCATGTATCATGATTGTGTTGTGTCTTTTGCTAGAATCTAACCTTGTTGTTCAGGGTACTTGGCAATTCATGTCTGCTCTGTTGCTCCGTTATCCGACGGTCAAGGGGCATGAAGTTTCTGATGACATGGAATCGTTTGTTCACCTGGTGCACTGGTTAGCACTCAAATACCACCCGCATGATCTTTCAGGTTCGCCTCTCCGGACCCACATTGAATCAACCTACAATGAATGTGATCGCACACTTGCTGGCCACTACGTCGGTGGTACTTACAAGTTCTCGACTATTAAGGCAGGACTGGTACCATTCGATGTTTCAGGCAACCCCGCGTTGAGTAACCTTCTTCGCTCTCTGATCGAACTTTGTCGTAGACATTATGCTGCCATTGACATTGATGCATTGGGACCGATTCATGGAGCAACCACTACTACTCCCTCCGCACCGGTCACATTTCGCACTGAACTCCCACCTGGCTTTGACATTGTGACACCTGCGGCTTTAATTCCTCGACCTTCTGATGGGCAGCTCCTCTTGGCCGACCACCATGCAGTCTATGTTGCTTTCACTGCAGTCGTGAGAGACAACGGGCCGTTCTGGGTTAGTGACAAGGTTGAAAACAAATTCAAACCGTTTACGAAGGGAAAGTCACTACAAGAATCTTTCCAGACAGGCACAAGTGTAGGCAGCGAAGGAAAGGCAGATGACTTTACCGAAGATTCAGCCAAGCGACAGAAGACGCAAGGATCGAAGTCGGGTGCTTGCTCATCTCGCTCAAGAGCTACTGGAAGTTTGGGTTTGAACGCCTCTCAGCTGGACTCGATGGATGAAGGTCAAGACTCGGAGGACTGAGCTCGGAATATTATGCTACCGTGATATGGTGCTATAGACTATGATCGTAACTCGCCACCCCCTTAGCTCTCGTGCACTCTGGAAAGCTAAGGAAGGATATAAGTATGCGCCATCGCCGGCGGACTTCTCCCAGTGTTGTTCTAAGGGTGGTACATGTGGTCATCAAACTAACCATAGAATAAGGTATTCATGCTTGAGGCGCCTTTGACGTACACAATGCCTTGGCGTGTACGTGCTGTGGGGTTAAGGAGGACATTGAAGTTGACAAAGATCATCGTTGTGAGTGCTTGCTTCTCGGTGTAACCTTGCCCGAGCCCATACTCGAGCCTTTATCGAGGCTCTTTCATATGGGAAATATCATTGACCACCATCTAAGGCCTGGATGGACCTCTCGCAGAACCGTGTTGATTAGTTTGTTCAATCATGCCACTTGCTCTTCCGTGCGAACTCGTCGCTTCATCGCATTTCTCGAGAGCACGACAATGTCCTGACCTTGTATCTTGTTGAACAGCCCCAAATCATGGCCACTGAAACCGCTGTGTACACTCACGGAGAGACCGAATCAGTGCTGCGTGCGCTGTACTGGCGTACCGCAACCAACTCCGCTGCGTACCTGATTCCTGCACTGCGCTCCGACATGCGCATCCTGGACATCGGGTGCGGGCCTGGCACAATCACGGCGGACTTGGCAAAGCTGGTGCCTAATGGTGATGTCGTCGGCGTGGAGCTCGCCGGCGATGTTCTGGAAAAGGCGCGCGCGAATGCGGCGGCGCTGGGGGTGAAGAACGTGCAGTTCGTGGTCGGCGATGTGAACGGACTGGCGTTTCCCGATGGCACGTTCGACGTCGTGCACGCGCACCAGGTGCTGCAGCACGTCGGGGATCCCGTGCGGGCGCTGCGCGAGATGCGTCGGATCACGAAGCCTGGCGGGATCGTCGCCGTGCGCGATACTGACTTCGACACCTTCACGTGGTTCCCCGACGTCGAGGGCATGGCCGACTTCAAGGAGAAGTATGTGCACGTGCAACGCGCAAATGGTGGAGAGCCATTGGCGGGACGGCGTCTGCATGCGTGGGCGCGCGAGGCTGGGTTCGATCCCGCCAAAATCACCAAGTCCTCTAGTACCTGGTGTTACGGCACCCCGGAGGAACGCGCGTGGTGGGGCGGCCTTTGGGCTGACCTTATCGTCTCACCTGGATTGACGCGCACCGCGATCTCCAATGGCGTTGCTACGAAGGAAGAATTGGAGCAGTTTGCGGCAGCGTTATGTAAGTGGGCTGGTGAAGAGGATGGCTGGTTTGCCCTTATGCATGGTGAGGTTCTTTGCCGCGTTTGAACAAGAGGGCAAGAGAGATGTCAATGAGCGAATAAAGAATGAGTCAGTGGACTGACGATTATACGTGGTGCAAGGGCTATTTGGATACATATTTCGATCCTGTAGATGTATATACAGGACGCATAACCACTTTTTTCCATTGGAAATAACGTGGAAAAAAGCATGGAAATAAATAAAGTATTTTCGGATGAAAAACCAGGAGAAAAACGTCAGAAAAAGACAAAAGATTCTCACAGTTTTTTTCCCTTGGAAGTTGCCTACCATACAAGGCAACTGGACGACATGACAGGACGTGCCAAAATCTGGACAAAATTGGCATATTTGGCCACTAACTTCCTGTGGAAAATTTGAGGAAATGCTCTGTTCTTTTACACGTTTTCTCCTCGTGTTCCTGTAGAATAACATTGTTGATTTCCACACGCTATTTCCTCGGGAAAAAAAGGTTATGCGTCCTGTGTATATATAGAGCTGAATTTACCAGCATTGACTATATCGGGATTGACGGTAATGATGGAGTACTTGGGATCTCTCAACTTAGGTTCCTTCATATTCTCCTTTCTTGGTATCTCACCTTCCCCATTCGGAATGTTCTCCGTCCCTGGCTGCGGTGGTGACCCGTAATACACTCTATTTTTCGCGAGGACAAGGTGGTTCCATGAACTCAGAGTAGACTCTGTCAAAGAATCATCATATTCAAACTTGCACCCTGGGGATGTCATGTCCCTTCGTCTAGAGCCGCTGCCAACAACCAGTGTACGACTTTATCTATCAAGGCAGGACTGGTACACGCACATTACAGGTACGTATATTCAAAGTATAGAGTGATGGCAACAACTCAACACCAATAAAATCAGTGGGATCGTATCTCAGGCAGCAACATTTGCCCGCATTTGCGACACCAAGTCCACAGCCGCCTTAGATCGTGGTAAAATCGAACATCGGAACGGTGCAGGACAGCTTGGCACTCTTAGATAAGCACCCGCACCAGGAGGAGTATGAGCGTCACATACTTGCTGAATCCACCACTGAAGGCCAGTGGAGGCGTGATGTCTTCGCCGTGGGCATCTCGAGCCTTAGAAATGTTTAGGGTTGCTACAATGTTCGCTATGGCAATCCATATTGCCTCATCCGCGAATCGACGGCCAGAACAGATTCTGTTCGATGAGGTAAGGTTAGGCTGTACGCGAAGGGACGAGCGGTTGAGGATCGTACCGTCGACCAAATCCGAAGATGATATGCCACGGGTCCCTTAACTCCGCCGCATTCGCGTCCATTTCCTCAAACCGTTCCGGACGGAACCTCTCAGGATCTGGGTAGAATTTTGGATCTTGTGACATCGCCCTGAGGATAACACATCAGTAAACACACTCTGTAGCCGACGTATGTTCGAACCATATATTCGGGAAAACCATCGTGTCCCCTGGGATGTGATATCCAGAATATTCGTCGTCGTGCATCAGCTGATGGGGAATACCGAGAGGAAGTGGAACGTTCCACCTGCCCGCAAGACCGTCACACAAGACCTTATAGCAGAGAGTGATGGGCGTACCGATAGACCTCTTTCAAGACACATTCTAGATATGGTAGGGAGTCGCGATCGTCGAAATCCGGAAGACGCCCGCGTCCGACTACCCGGTCCACTTCTTCTTGCGCCTTCTTGTAGACTTCCGGGTGAAGCACCATAGTTAAAAAGAACACTGAGAGTGTGGTAACTGTCTGCGATCGGCAGTGGCCAAATTTATCAGAACTCGCACAAGAATTCGGTCCAAATGATTGCCTACCGTTTCAGTCCCCGCTGGTGCTATAAAGTTAGCTTGTATCAGTCGAAGTGGATAGGCGAATGCGCACCTCCGAACAAGACACCTGCGGTACCCTTGATATCCTCTTCCTCTTCATCCGTAAGTTTACCCTCACTGATTGCCTGCTCCCCGGCCGCGATGTTCGTGGACTTCTTCCCTGCATGTAAGCCACATAGTACTCTTGCCGAATCAGTGCCGCTGACGAGAGATCGTAGTGAAGTTCCTGCCTTCCTGGATGCCTGGTGATAGCTTCCAAAGGGAGGCAGCTGCGGTGCGTATTCTAGTACGAAAGCTGCTGGACGTGCCATATGACATGGTGAAGAGTGCATTGGTGCGTGTCTGGAACGGCTCCCCGAATCACATGTGAATGTTTGCCTACAGGCCACTGGTACTGCGGTCCCATCCCTCACTTCATCTCTACTGCTTCCGACATCTGATACTGCGGTGGTCGCCTGCCGAACAATCTGCACATACTTGTCGTCGGACGACCGAACGGTATGCCCGTAGGCTACTTCCATGACCAAGGCTCCCATGAACCTGGAAGAAGGTCAGCCTCCGCGGGCGGACGGAGAGGATATCACTTGCTGCTCCATGTGTGTGACATAGTCGTCGGGCCTCTCGATCAGGTTCGACAGGAGTATGTACGTCTCTCGCTGTCTCATCGGACGGAAGGTCCTGACCGCGTCCTTATCTTGCACGGCATTGTGGATCCACCGGCGTTGCTTGCGGAAGCGTTCACCGTACCGCATATGAGAGGTCATGGAGTGGAGCCCCATCCTGTCAGTCATGCGGCGTTGAATGGCCTAATAGATACAGAGTAATTGACATACTTGCAATTCGACATGTAAGGTGAACCTTGGTCTGTCAGAATAGATCGAGCTCTTCTTGTCCATTAGATCTTGAGCTGCCTGTAAGGAATTGACGACGAGCACGCGTGTGCCAAGGAATCGAGCAAAGACCACATCGCCTGCATTTCGTTCAGAGACCGAAAACAAACAACGAAAATGCTCACCATACTGCACACCCCACGCCCTTAGGGCCTTCCATATCTCATTTTTAGGAAGTTGGTGGATATTGCCGAGGAGGGGGACTGGCGTAGGACCAGGTGGAAGTAGGAGAGAGCCTCTGAAAAGTCCGTGCGCATACACAAGTAGAAGGGTGAATAATGAAAGCAAGGCAACAGGAACAAGGAAAGTCATAATGTCCTGGTGGCTCTGTGGGGGAAAAGGCCAACGAAGTGAAATAGGCTATGATCCTGACTTTATACCATAGTGTGTTCACACGCCGTCTGTACGCCACAAGCCTTCCATAGCATCAATGTAAATGCATGCGATCCAACCGGATGAATTCAGTGTAGAAGTGCCAGGGAATGCGCCATAGATTCCCTTTCCGAAGTGACAACTGACCTGCAGCCTGTGACAGCGTAATCATTCGAGGCACTTCTCTTCGTTCAGTGAAGGTAGCCCGCAGCCGTTAATTCATGACCCTTGTGTATTGACCGGAGTCAAAGTAACCATCACAAGATGGATTGTGCCTTGCCTGGACCAAAGTGAGTAGTAGTCAGTGAACTTCCGGATTGCGTCGTGGCCCTCTGATGAGAGCATACTAGGTAGCTCACATCTCTGGAAAATGCTCACGTCCCGTCGGCCGGTACGACTCCAGCTAGCTCAGAGACCGTTATTTCGAGAACTAGATGTTGGACAAGCCGCATTCGTGAGTACAGCTTCTCTTCTAGCAATGACTTGATAACGAGCACAGACCTGTGGAAGGATCGCACAAATTCACGTCACCTGCAAGACAATGTTCAGCCCGAAATGAATGCAACCAGTGAAGAACGGTACCCTATCACGCTCCCAGGTCGCAAAAATCTTCTGCTAGTCGCCCGGAGGAAGCCGGTGGATCTTCCCGCACAGGCTTCCGGCCTGGAGGGGCTTGGAGACCACTGCCCGCACTGCGCCAATGCTGGTACAATTGCCAGCCCAGTACTAGTAGGACAACCAAGGGCATGGCAGCAACAGCTTGGACTTGGACCAGTCGAGGATAGTGCCAAACTTCTATTACAAAAGGAACGACTAGGTCTTCCTGCGGGTAACTAGAGGCTATATCTACGAGCCTATAGCTATATATCGGCATCAGTCCTTCATGCAACAACTTCCTCCAAATTTCCTTTCTTGGTATCTCACCTTCCCATTTTGGAATGCCATCCCGTAGCGTAAGTACTTTTCTGTCGTACCAATCAAAATCTTGAGAGTGCGAACGGATTGAATGTGGAAATGTACAGCGTGTTTCATTTATACTCCGTAACTTTTGAGATCTACCTCATAGTCATCTTCCGTAAGCGTACAAACACCTCACCTGAAGTACCACATTGACAGAAAGGCATTTATCGGGATGTCAAGTGGTTCGACCACATTAGCTGAGAGAACTCTACCGAAGAATCATCACCTCCCAATTTGCACCATTGGGATGTCATGTCCCTTCATCTAGAGCCAGACACTGTGAACAATCAGTGCAAGACTTTACGAGATCGCCCGAGACAAACTTACACGGAACTCGATGAACGCACTGGCACCGCCACCTCCTCCAGCTCGTGACTTTGGCGACGGCATGAGGAACTGCAGGCTCAGTAGCCCTTCCTCGTTGATCCGCAGCGAGGTCTTCGAGGAGCTCTGCAGCGCGCGCAATGTCTTAGAGATATGGCTGAAGCGGTAGCTGGTATTATCCCTCCTCGTCAGAGATTTTGTGATTTCCTCCAACGGGTGGTAGAGGTACCTGAAGCTGACCGTGTTCTCGCACTCACATGTCTCGAGCACCTCCTTGTCGCTGGGGTAATCCATCTAGACACAGGCGATATTGGTTAGTGAACTGGGAAGACCTCGTTGAAGCACGGACAAGAACAGCACCTCAGTACTTCCGAATGTCCCCGCAGCTTGGAGTCGTAATCTGGGTTGTATTGACGCTCGAGCAGCCCTCCCGGGAGGTGGAGGGGGATTGCCTGTAATTGTGAGTTTCTCGCATGACGGATCAAGCTCAGACAGTGCGTCGCGGAGCCATGAAGACTGTAAGCATAACGTTTCCAGCAAAATTAAGCCGCTGTGATTAGATAAGCCAGTAAACTCTCGTACCTTCAGGATTATTTTCAAAACTCTGCGATGAGGAGCAGCGTTCAGTAAGGGTGGTGGTGAATCTGGACGACGACACTGACGTTTCCGTGGTCTCAAACGGTAACTCGAGGTGAGCCTCCGGATCGAACGTGGTGACTTCGCATGTCGCAGTGGGACCCTTGGAGTCTTCTGCTCTGAAAAGACGCATGTATCAGGGGGATGAAGCATCAACTGGGGCGCATTACTCACACTAGCATCGACAGCGGGTAACCTGCCCCAGCATACGACATGCGCATCCCCGTCCCCTTCTCGGAGTCAAAAAACTGGTCAATGCGCGCATTTCCAGAAGCTTTCGAGCGTGCGCGATCTGACGGCCCTGCTTCGTCGTCGTTGCGCTCATCCCGATCCAAGTCGTCGTCACGCCGCCACTGCCGGAATTTCGGAGTCGTAGCTACTCCGCCGGCTGTGCCGAAAACATTGAGGCACTCAATGAACGTATTCAGTGGTATCTCGAACGCGGTGTTGCGCTGCTCCTCGTCTTCATCTTCTTTCTGTGATGAGTCCTGCGACGAAGAGAGGGCTTCTGGGTTGTACGTATAATCGTCGAAAACATCACGGAATATATATGCAGTCCCTGTGGAATATATTGAGCACCTGCTTCACCGTCGTGATGGCCTATGCTCACCTAGTAAAGTTCGTGCGTCTTCCACGCTCACCGTTAGTCCGACCTCGCTGATGTTCACGGTGGCGCGCTGTCTGAAGAGTGAGACACCATGACTTTCAGTAACATAATTGGTGGCTACGTTTCCAAAGTTCACTCCGCGAAGAAGTGCCGCGAAATATCGCACATCGCGGACCGATGCTGCAAGGACCTGATCGAAAGTTCAGCGCATGAGGATTGGTCAATCGGCTACTGACTTGACTGTTGTCTCTTTCATTCTCATCAGACATGATTTTATCGAAATAACGATGCGATTCTGGATAATCGGAATGAGAAACGAACACGGAGTCTGGGAGGAAGGCGGCTAACGCGACGCGTCACGTCCCAGACGCGATGTGACCGTCGTGACGTCGTCGTGACCCCGCTTCAAGAGCGCAGCTAGCGTGACTGCGGACTGCGGTACTACCGTGACACAGCCAGCGGAAGCTGCGAAGACATTGTTATTCTTTCTCAGATCAATTACGCTCTCAAAGTGTCATCATCAGAGTATCGATTCTGACACTTGATGAAACGGATATCTCTCGTGAATCACACCACCGACGTGCTGGTATGGGGAAGTTGCGACTTGGTAGAACATGAAATCCTCTCTCCTTCAGTTTCGACATCGATCTCGCTCTCCAAGTTCCATACGTCTGTGACCATTGCTGTCGTATCAGCCTCGGCCAATGTCGACAAGGAATGGGCCGTGCCCGCAAAGGCATTCACGATACGGTTACCATTGTCGCTGGGAGCAAGCTGGAAAGCGGTGGAAGTGGAGAAAGGTTGTCCGTGGCGGATATATCAGAGCAGGGTATTATGCTGTTGCTGTGCTCACTTGCGGATACCGATGGTGCCTCCTCTAGGTGTCGAAGAAGCACCACAGGTTACTGATCCTACCCCGTCGGGACATGTCGACATTCCTCGCGGAGATGCCGGACTCTCTACCTCTATCCTCGCTGCTCCTTCCTGGTGGGTATGAACTGCTATTGTGAGGCCATTCCCGACTTGACATCTGTGCACAGGAACACACGACACGTACGTATAATTATACTCAATGCAGGCTCGTAGTGACAATGCAGACAGCATGGCTTTTTATGGCTGGCCAATATCGCAATGCCAATCTCTCACCACGCCCCTGGCAGTGCAGCTGCAATTCGGTATCAGGGTCCTCGACATCCGCCTAGCTGTGATCGAGAACCGGCTGATATCCTACCACGGCGCGTACCCTGAACGCGCGCCCTTCCAGGAAATCCTCGCGACCGTGCACGCGTTCCTCACTGCTTCGACAACTTGCCACGAGACAATTGTGATGTCAATCAAGCAGGAGGACTTCATGAAAACTTCAATTGTCCTGTTCTCTCAACTGGTGCGCGACGAGATCTTGCATGGCCCCGGAGGTAGAGATATGTGGTTCTTCGAGAACCGCATACCGCACCTCGGTGAGGTTCGCGGGAAGGTCGTGCTATTTAGTCGATTTGGCGGGGATGGCTCGGACTGGGAAGGCGGACTCGAAGGCCTCGGCATACACCCTACGGCATGGCCCGACAGCTCTAAGTGGGGATTCACCTGGCAGTGCAAGGACACACTTGTTCGGACACATGACTGGTGAGTCTCGCTGACCTTCATCGAGGTGTGAAGCTGTCTCATGTCTTTTGGCACAGGTACAATATACCCTCGTTCTTGTCGATACCCGAAAAGACAGAACTCTCCACGCAGATCCTTCAGCCCGACGATCCGCCTTTCCCCACACTATCGATCTCCTATTTTTCCGCATCCTCGTTTCCGCTGGCGTTCCCCCCGACTATTGCACAAGGGTTCGGTTGGCCGAGATTTGGCCTTGGCGTCGAGGGCGTGAACACGCGGGTGGGGAAATGGCTCCTCGATTTGTTCGGCGGGAACGTGAGGAACACGGATAAGGAGGGATCTGCGGGAGATGAGGTGCGCATCCGAGGGTGGACACTGATGGACTTTTTCAAGGACCCGGGAGACAACGCCCTCGTGCCTTTGTTGGTTGAGTGCAACTTCAGAGGGAGGAAGGAGGGTGAGGAGGGCTGGTTATGATCGGTGCATAAAGTTACATCAGAACACGCCGCTGGTTGCCAAGGGCTTGCGCAATTCCCGGGGGGGGCAGCGTAAGAAATATATCGTTTGAACGACATACATGTGTATCTCACTCGCTCGCCCCAGATTGCCCCCGTTGTCACTAGTTTAGGTCATGCCCCTCGTGCCCACTGTCTCCGCATATGGATCCATGTAATTACCCCAACTCCAAGAAGCTTAAGGACATTACTACAAGTCGGAAGTTAAATGGTGAAGGCACGCCACTGCAGTGCAGACAAGGAATATTAACTGCAAGGCTCCTATTCAAGAAACTCTGGTACAGACGTACACTGGCTCTCAAATATGCGGTTGGTACGAGAACCGCAGGAATGTCACGCAATAGTTCCTCATGAATATATTTATCTCAGTTCGGCAATGTCATTGTCGTCGGGGCATCGTGAGGTGGGCCGCCCTGCATTCCTTGCCACGATATCGACCTCAGCATTGGAGCTGCGTCGTGCCGAATGAAGCTTTGAAGTACTGAAGTTGTCGATCAGCATGTCACAATACGTCATATGTGTGTACTTTCCGCTCTTCTCCCGCGTTCAATAGCTATCAATAGCATAAGAATTGTACAGCAATACAGGACGTAACGTGCGGCGATCAACTAAAAGAGCTCAAATCAGCATGTAAACGGACCCTCTTCCGCGTATCCAATAATTGTGAATACCCCGAGACAACTCAGTACAACCCGACAGTCATCGAAAGCCCCAGTGTTTACTACCTCGTCTTATCCATCACAAGTAGCATGTGCCAGTAGATCGCGTAGGATCGTCTCGTGCAGCGGTCGTAAAGGAGACATCCGGATTTTGCATGGACCCTGTTTCTCCGCGACGCTCCGGGCGATGCAGCACGTTGTGATACCATGAAGTCATCTGACGGTCGCGTCTGCTGGCCGGGTGATGTTGATATCTCGTATCGCGTGAACGCGGCGATGACTGCTTGTAAGTTCTCGCTGATCGGAAGGGAAGTACGTAGCGGACTAAGCCAGAATGAGTTGAGTAATAGGATGTATCATTAGAAGAAAATTGTGGAAGACATACCTGAGTTCCCCCCAGACACCTAGAGAACACTATCCGGCCGCGAATGATTGACTCGGAACGCGAGTTCCGCTTGACGAAATTACGTGGGATGTGCTCTCCCCGGCAGAAATAGCGGTCAAACCTCTGACCCAGTCGCGCAGCCAGGTTTGCTAGAAGAGCTGAGCAAGCGTAGACAGTACAGGTAGGTGATATGTGCACTTGTTCGATCATGCTGGCGCCGCAGGCAAGACGAAGGTTGTGTGTGGGGAAAGCAGTGATCGCAAGCGTTTGCGTTGCGAAAGCGCAGGATGTCTGGTCAGAACGACGTCCCAGCTCAGACCCGTACAGGTTCCACTCCTCGGTGTACCAAGAAGCATCACAACCTGCAGCTCGAGACGGTGACGGAGAGGAAAACACCACCTAGAAGGATGGGACATAGTCGACAAATTTCCCATCCACTGCAGCAGGCCGTCGGATGAGCTCGGGTGAAGCTGACTACGGATGTAAAAGAATCGAGGAAACAGCAACCCTTGATATCGCGGCTCCGATGGTGCTATCGAACATTTCCAGAATGTTCAGGAGGCGAAACAGATATGCGCCAACACGAGGCCAATAAATATAGACCAGTAGAAGGCAAATTGAGGGCTAGAGATTATTGAGAGAGGGACGGTGAGGGAAAGAATTGAAAACAAGTTGTGGATGAATTTCATATGTCAGACTGAGTGAGAGAGAAGTTTCGAGGGCATGATGCTGGATATATGCTCGAATTGTGATCTGCCAGGGATTTCGGGCAACTCCTGATGTCATTGTCACCTACAACCATGCAGGCCTCTGAAGAATCTGAAGCCAATCCAATTTACGCGAGTCATCATGCAGAACCCTCTTTAAAGGAAATACATGCTGCAAGATACCCCGTGCATAAAGCTCTGGAAATCCCATTCAGCGATATCCTCGGCGGTCCAGCCTGGGGTGATTGAAGGGCACATGTTCCGCTGGAATACGACCTTCGTGAGAGTGGCGAACTGAGGACGTGCCAGTAAATCGCTGATTTCCGTGCAGTGGCTGTGTGCGTTCGACATCTAGGCAAATTAGTGGGATATAAAGAGACACTCCCACGCAACGCAAGACGGACCTGCAGATGCCCACAGATGCCCCAAGCCCATGTCCATATCCGTAACAAAAAAATTCGCTAATTACGATGATAGAGCGAAGGGAATTGTGTGTCATGGCGGCTTCCTACAATTTAATGGAATCGACTGCGTAGTGCAGCCCCAAGCCTAGATCTAGCGATTCGACATCCTTCATTTGCACGGCGAAGCGGCGCAACACCCGGAAATCGTATGAGTAGTTATCCCATTTGAGAGATCTGCAAAAAGGAGGAGAGGGAAGGAAGCGCGCACACAATTCTTCCGAAGTCACACAGACTGCGAAAATGGACGCGTACAAGGCGGAGAGTGGTGACTGAAGTGAATTCCAATAGGCTCGTGAAGAAACTATTGTGAGTTGTGGTTGTTATCCAGTCGGTGTCAGTTAGTTTGAGGTGGATTAATCTTCTCAGCTTTCCGGCAAGCAATAAGGGGAATTCTGCATTATGAAGTTCACAGGCAGGGAAGCAAACAGGAATGGATGGTCGGAGAATAATGTCTCTCACAAGTTTACCCAAGTAAGGTTTTTTTGTCATCAACTTTGCAAACCCAGCCAGCTGCTCAACTTCCAGGAGAACTACGAAGCTGACAAGGTTCGCAAGGCTCCGGAGATACCACGCAGTGCACGTTGCAGCGCAAGCTATCAAGTCTCTTCTTGTGTATTGTATCATAGAGATGTGATCATCGGGATGGCGCAAAAATATGAGATCCCCTACTTCGTCGATTACTTGCTCGAATACTATGGGTTACCACTCGGCGAATCCTGTAAGTCGGCAGCCCCCAAGCCCCCATATAAGGAAATAATCTGGGGTAGGTGCGCATTCTCAGGTCAAATTCCCGCCGCTTAGAACATTTGACCCGAATCCTCCCTATACATGGGAAAACTGCCGACTTACAGGGTCCGCCGAGTGAGTGGTAACCCATAGTATTTCAACGGTGGAAGACATAATATCAAGAAAATCGCGATCGTCTATGATGATCGATGATTGGCATGTCACGGTCATGTACGCGTCACGCGTACATTACGATCAAATTGGTTGTTTGCACCCCAGTGTTTGGCAAGAGCTCTTGACGAGTGTCCCGAAGCAGATACTCTGCTTCAACCTTCGCTCCTCGCGATATCCGTAGACTTCACTGGTGGGCTTTCAGCGAAGTCAAAACCGATAGACACATTTTATCGACGAAACTCCCTTCGATCATTTTGCCTTCGGACCACATTAAATGCACCGCTCTGGCCATGGGTGGAAAAGGCCTCCTCATTGGCTTACCACTACAGTTTTGAGGTGATCTATAAGTACCTGAAGTAAGTTTCGTCGAAATGTGTCCAAAATGTGTGTGTTGAAGATTTTTGTTTACTACGCTTCTAGTCAACTGCTAGTCACTATACATCTACACCCATTAATATGGCTCCTTGCTATATCTTTGCTCTTAGCGTGAACATTTTGCTGCACCTACGAAGGGCCACCATACAGTGTGAGTTGCAGAAATCCTGCATTTAACCGAGGTCACGTACTTATTCAGAGCGTTTCAGGTGTGCCAGTTGCGAGCACATTTATCTCCGTTCGGCGAAGAATTTTGTCATGACACAGGTTTCAGCCTCGTCCCAGAGTTGCAGGACAGCAGTTCATTGACCGGTTGGCTATACATAGCCCTAAGGACTACCGTTAGCTGATTCCCGAGGTCAAAGAAGTCCTACAGGCACTACTATTCGAGTTTCTAACGCCTGAGCAACCCTGAGGCTTCTAGGCGTCGATCCTAATAAGTAATTTACTTGAGGGCTCGCGCAGGGAGCAGTGCTCGTGTATAAACCCCGCTTTTTTGAGGTACGCCCCCCGATTCACACCAGACATGCCGCCGTTCGCGTATCGCAACCAGCCAGCGAGGACATCCTATATCGTCTACACCGTCTCCACGATGCTGCTTGTGCGGCTTCCGTACTGGACCTTCACGAACCTGCTCCCGTCGTGGCGGCCGTGCCCGGCATGGAGCCTGTGCCAGACGCTCGTCATCAAAGTCGGGCGCGTCATAGTGGACATGTTGTACGCGACACGCCCGCCCGCGGTGGAATCGCTTGAGAAGATCGCGCGGGACGCGAAGAAGCGGGGTTTCGTGTGGGTCGAACCTGCCCCGGAGCCCCTGGTGGGCGATCTCCGCGAGATGGCGGAGGTGAACGGCGTGAAGGCAGCTAGGACGGGTGGGTTCTGGTATGGAGCAAGGGATGCAGATGGGAATGTAGGCCAGAAGGCGGCCTCAGGAGAGAAGGTCGTATATCATATGCATGGTGAGTGTCTCACGTGGATTTTCAATTCAGATGGATTCATGAGGCGGCGTGTTTGCAGGCGGTGGATATGTGGTGCGTATGTCGTTCGGGATGCATGCTACTTCCACACTGAGGGTCTGTACACTCTGTCCACAGATGGGCTCTGCCAACCCGTCTGCTCAGATGGTCACCACTTGCTTGAGCGGCTTCCTTGTGCACTTCCCGACCGAGCGCATCTTCGCGATCGAGTATCGGCTCTGTTCTGCTCCGCCCTTCGAGTCGGCCAACCCCTTCCCCGCCGCGCTACTCGACGCGCTCGCGGGATACCGCTACCTTTTGGACCTAGGATTCGCTCCGCAGGACATAATTATCAGCGGGGACTCCGCGGGCGGGGCCCTCGCGTTCGCGCTTGCGCGCTACCTCGTCGCTGCGGCTCTCCCTACCCTTCCCGCACCCGGCGGGCTGCTCATGCTGTCGCCCACGGTCGACTGGGGTGACACCCACACCGGCCCGGACTCATCCATGGTGCGCAACGCGGGCACTGATTGTGTAGGTGCCATCTTCGAGAGCGGATACACGAAAGCGGGGCTCGTGGGGCGCCTCCCTGCCTCGATCGCCGCAACGAGCGCCTGGATCTCGCCCGGCTCGCTGAAGGCGGAGGTCGTGCCTGGGATGTTCGCTAGCATGCCGCAGACGTGTATCGTGACGGGCGAGGTGGAAATGACGCTCGACCCGATGCGCACACTGCGGGACAGGATGCGCGCGGATATTGGTGAAGAAAGGGTGGTTTATATCGAGGGGCCGGGCATGACGCACGATTACTTGACTGCGGCGTGGTGTGAGCCTGAGCGCACGGATACGCTGCGCGAGATTGCAGCATGGGTCAAGAAGCTGTGAGGCGGTGGGCCATTATTGTTGAGCGGAGGACTCGGATTATTTCTTAACCGTTGTTGGTCGTTCTGGCTGGAAACTTCCTTCACATTTCGTGAATTGGCAGGACAAAATACTCTATTGTCTCACCGTGATGATTGCTGTGATTGCTGGTGCTCAAAGACATACACTGGCCTACAGGTACAAGGCGGAGTTGTTATTCCACGAAGTACCCATAATTTCGGTTCGAGTAGCACAATATAAAGCTGGAGTGCTATCACGAAGACTAGTGTAATCCCTCGAGGTACCCAGGATCTTTCTTAGATTAAGACTGCTTAGAAGAGGGAGCAGGAGTTGGAGCAGGCTTCGCAGGAGGCAGATAGTCACTAATGATGGAGTCGAAATCCGCAGGGGGGACTGCATAAATAGTGCGTCAACTACGCAGGACACATCACAAACCGTAAACGCGTACCTGGGAGTCCCCGCGCCTTCAAGGATGCTGCCAACATATTGCCAACAATCAACCTCCTTATAGCAGGGCCGTCGAGCGCTTGCGGTTCCTCCGTTTTCTGCGGCGGGGGTGCGGTAGCAGTCGTGGTCGCGGCCTCGGTCGCGGTCGCAGTCGCAGTCGCAGTCGCAGTCGGCTTGAATGTGGGCTTAGCCTCCTCCTCCTCCTTGAAGGTGCCTAGCGGCCCACTGGCCTGGCCGAGGTATGCGAGGACGTCGCCCTTGGTGAGCATCCCGCGTACGCCGGTGCCTGTAATCGCGTCCGCGTTCGCGATATTGTTCTCCTCCAATAGGCGGAGGACGGAAGGGAAGAGCGGGCGCTCGGACTCTGGCTGGACCGTTGGGGACGCAGGGGCGGCAGCTTGCGTGGGGGCCGGGGGCGGTGGGGCGGGTGTGGGCGCAGGCGGAGGAGGTGCAGCAGCGGGCTTTGGAGTCGCTGGTTCCTCGGCTGGAGCCTGCAGGTTAGAGATGTCGTCGCCCTCCTCTGCGAGGAGCGCGATGACCTTTCCGACGGGGATGTTCTTGGTGCCGTCTGGGGCCTGATATACTTAATATTGGAACAAGAAGAATTGGTAAAAGCGATAGAAACAGACAAAAATTTTGCCCATGACACCGTCATCCTGGGCCTCCACGTCGATCGTCGCCTTGTCCGTTTCCTGCACACAGAGAAGTAGCGTCAGTACATACGCGTGCAGTCACCGAGCCGACGCACAATCTCGAGGAGCACGTCACCTGCAGAGAAGGCCTCGCCCTCCTTCTTCTTCCACTGTGCAATGCCCCCTTCGGTCATGGTGGGTGACATGGCGGGCATGCCCAGGTTGGTGATTGCCCGACGCACAGCCGAGGCGTGCAAGCCTGCACAAATGGGGTAAGCGGTGTAGCGAGCGATACGCGTCGCACTCACATCTTCGGGCGGACGTCGAGCGAACGACAGCGTAAAGACGGCGGGCGGAGAGCATGACGGGTGGGGAAGTGGGGGTGGAGAGCTAGTACGGGTTGGCGGAAAGTCGGACCAGTAGGGCCGGGAAATCCCGCAATGGCGTTGACGTTAACGCGCCTCGTCCGTCGTTGAACAGTGCAGCCGCGGCCTAGTACTTGTTGTGGGAAAGACTCTTAGCAAAGGGGCCTCGCCAACAGCGAAACTGCACAGCGAAGGCTGGCCCTCAGCAAGAATTGAGTGCTAATACTGCTCTTTTTGGGAGGTAACTTACCTCCCGCCAGGCATTGCCACCTGCGCCAACCCGGTGCGAGAGGGAACGTCGAATACACTGTCTGTAGTATTATCAACCTGGACATGAAGTTTCTATCCACACTGCTGATAGAGCGGCCCATGGTGACCGGAACAGATCGCTGAAAGGAATACTTCAATTAGACCTTGTCCGTCAAATTTACTGTACGTTTTGGACCAATCTGGACAAGTTTTGCCTTTTTCGGATATTTGAATAATCTTAGAAATTCTCATAAATAGAGAAAATATTACAGCATTGTGGTTGAAAACCCTTGTGATGCGTGACCGTCCGGATTGGTCGTAAACCTTCAGTACCCAAAGTGTTCTGTGGATTCAAACTGAGGGGTTTGGCAGTTATAAAAATTCAGAGCTCAAACAAGAACATGCAAGCACGATGCTGCAGAACGGTCGTTTTGTTGCGTCTCTCGACTTAATTTTATTCAATTCCTGTCACTTGTCCCACGTCACCGCGTGTAGGTCGACATGTCACATGTCACACAGTCGTTTCGCTCAGTTTCCGAGTCGCTACAGTAGTTTCGCCCTCGTCGTCTCGGCCCTCCAGAAGATGCAAATCTTTCGCAGGTGACGACTCCTTTTCTCCAGCATTATGGGCTAGCGCGTTATGACTTAATTCTGTGCTCTCACTTCGCCATCATCCGCGTTGGATTGTTAGGTGCGCAGCATCTATTCACGCACCGTGCACGCGTGTTGACGTGGTTTACTCAAAATTATTGCCAGTGCACAACACGCATACCATTCTCTGTACGTTATCTAGGCATATACAGACTCTGAACCGCAAGTTCTCCATGGAGATGTCGGCGCGCATACCCAGCGCGATCCTCCGGCGCGCACGCGCCTTTGGCACCAGTTTTTTCCATCGTTTTGGCATGTGAGTACCCCGTCGAGAGTGCCAGCAGCATATGAACTCACGCGCGCTTCCAGCCACTGCGCGACCCACCAAATCCGTCTCATCCTCGTGTCTGCCGTCGTCATCACCGCTCTCCTGTTTCCCGCTATCGCCATATACACATCTCCAGAGACCCACTTCTTCGACGGCTTCACCCTCCGCGTCCTCGACTCCTTCCTCACCCCGGACGACATGTCCACCTACTTCGCCCAGCACGACCTCCGCCACCTCTGGGAGGGACACGCCAACCTGCGCGTCCGTGAGGACTCCGTTGCCCGCGCCCGCTGCGGCATGGACGGCATCCTGCGCGCTGAGCGCCTCCTGGTCAGCGGCGTGTCCCAGGAGGACGGGCTTTCAGCCCTCAACCACGATACCCTCCTCGCCGCACTCGAACTCGAACGCCGCATCTCAGCAACGCTCACCACCCGCCACGTCCGCTGTCTCGCGGAGCCAGACGGAGGGTGTTTCCATCTCAGTCCGCTCGCGTACTGGAATCATAATGAGGAAACGCTGCTCGCTGACCGCGATGTCCTCGACACCCTGAATTTGTTGCATAACGTATCTGTCTCCGGTATACCCATCGGCCCCGAGCTCGTTTTGACCGGTCGCGCCCTTCATGATTCCTCGCCCATGAACATCGATGCTGCGATGTTCCTGGCGCTCACGTATTTCTTCCCCGACAAAGATTGTGTCGGGAATGCTGGCCATTACCAGTGGTTGCATGTACTCGAGGAGGTCGCTGGACACAGCGGCGACCTCGTCGTGCAAGCTCAGACGCCGAGGCTAGTAGCATTAGAAGTGAGCATTGTCCCATTTTTTTGTATTTTCTGTGCGGTGTCCTGACTCAGAGCAGTACAACAAAGAGTCGTCGACGAGAAGCCGACTCTCGGTTCTTTCCGTTTTTTGTCTCACTGCGTACTTCCTCTTCTTCGTGTACTGTGCCATTACAATGAGACGCATGGATACCGTTCACTCGCGTACTGGTCTCGCAGCCACAGGAATAGTCGAAATTCTGGTCAGTACTCTCACGAGTATTAGCGTTTGTGCACTTGTAGGATTTAGAGCAACCATGGTCCCATGGTATGTTCTCTTTTGGCAGTTATTCTTACCGCAAGCTCAGAAGTAGTTGACAGGGAGCTGTTGCCCCTTATCGTCATCTTCATTGGAGTTGAGAACATGTTCCATATCGTAAGTTCGCATCATCCCATAACCATCTCAGTCTAGATTCACCGGTTTGTGTAGGTGGATGCTGTGCTGAAGACCTCGGTCACGCTGCCCGTGAAGGAGCGTGTCGCACAGGGGCTGAGCAAGGCGGGCACGTCCAACACGCTCAAGTCCGTGTCATACAACGCCGTCCTCGGCGTCATCGCTTTCTTTTCCACCGGCGCGATTCGCCAATTTTGCGCGTTCTCGATCGTGGTGCTTGTCGCGCACTGGTTCCTCGTCCACACGTTCTTCGTCACCGTCTTGTCGATAGATATACAGCGCCTAGAAGTAGGTGCTCCCCTTTGGTCCCGGAAGCCGTCGTTGAAATCTATCCCTCTCAGTTAGATGAACTTATCCGTCAGGGCACACCCCTGATGCCGGCGAACGTACCGCAGCAGAATAGCTCGAAGCGTCCACGCTCGCCGTGGGGCAAAGCGGTAGCGTTCGTTCAAAGCACCCTACGCGGCCGCCCGGCAAAGAATCTCAGCCTCCTTCTCGTACGTGCGCATAACACCCGACGCCACGGCGCACTCACCCCTTCCCCTTGTAGCTTCTCGCGATTACCGCGACACTGTACTACGCGACGTACCCGAGTACCGCACGCGACCGGGAGGACGTCCGGAATTCGTTGCACCACAGCGCGCTCGCGAAGCTGCGCAAGGCGAATCTGAATGCGAATGCGGACGCGGCCGACCGTATCTCCCCCGCGTTCCACATCTGGCAGATACTTAACCCCGCGGACGACCCGCGCGTGCACATCCGCATTGAGTCTCCCACGATCCTTGTGCTTGCTCCCGACAACGACGCGCAGGCAGATGAGGCTACACTAGCATTAGACTATGAGAAACAGTACCGCGCTCGAGGGACCCGCCTCTCGCGCCTGTGGAAGCCCGTAATGTGGCTGCTCAAATGCATGGTCTTCCCGATCAGCACGACAGTGCTGCTGCTGTACGCGCTGCTGCTGTACCTCCTCAAAGACGCGGAGCTGCTCGAGGCGCAGCGCAACCGCCCGGAGCCGGACATGTCCCCGCCCGCCTCAGACGAGGTGCCGTCGCTCGAGGGCGCTTGCGCATTCACAACGCTCCCGCGCGCGTTTCCCACCGACGTCGACCTTGTTGCGGCCAGCACGGACGGCGGGGTCGTCGCCGCGGTCGGGCTGCAGAACGAGCTCGTCGTATGGTTCGTCGAGAGCGGGACTCGCGTCACAGTGGACGTAACGGGTTTACTCCTGGGTGGTACGAGCACACCGTCAGCAGCAATGGCGCTCACTGCGGTTGCGGTTGACGAGGCGGGGTCGGTGTGTGCTGTGGGTACGGGGTCGGGTGTCGTCGGGATGTGGGCTGTAGGAAAGGACCAGGTCAGGCCATTGCCGAATTTGACGCTCATCAATAACTCCTCGTCGGTCTCTGCGCTGTGCTTTGGGTATGTGCCTGACTTGGTGGCGGCTACTGCCTCGAAGGAGTTGGCTGCGAGTTTGTACGCCACGTACGAGAACGGGACGGTCACCAGGTGGGATCTAGAATCACCTGTGGGCCCGCATTATATCAAGCCGTCGCTCCCTGCCTCGGTGGTTAAGTCACTGCTCCTTCCCGTGCACGCAGATGAGCGGCTGCTCGTGGGATTCGCGCTCGATGATGGGACGCTGGAGCTCTGTGACGTCGGGGGGTCCGACCGGCTACTGTCGAGAGTGTGCTGCCTCGCCGCGGGCAACCCGACCGATCTGGTGATGCGGGCTCACGTGTGTGCATTGAAGCTCGACGGGCAGCGTCGCCTCGTCGTGGGCGCGGCGACGCGGGCAGGCATCGTCTCGCTGTGGGACGGTGGGACGGGCGAGTGCGTCGCCATCCTCGACGAGCCGTATGGCGATATTGGCAATTTGCGTATCACACCCGTCCGCGCGCGGACATGTGCCGTGTGCGGGGAGTTCCCAGTCGAAGGGTTCCTCACGACGTTTTCTGTGGGGAATGTGGTGCTATTCTTCCGCGGATACGTTACGCTGCCGACGCGTCACTGCTCCTGTCCTAGAAACCAGCCGCAACAGACACTGGGCACCAGTATCATCGGGCACCGGTCGCGCAGCGGAAGCGCTGTCTCGATTGTGTCTTCTACAGGCACGACGACGCCCACGCGATCCCGCTCTCGGGTCTCGTCGCTCTCAACTGCCCCAGCACCAGATATATCAATGTTCCGCGTCTCTGCGCACGGTGTGCACTCGCGCCGAGTGTCGGAGAAGGACCCGCGGCGGAACTTTGACACATTCTTCGTCCACGCAGACTGCGATGACTGCGACGTCCATCCGGTTGGCCCACAAGATGTCACGCCGTTGTCAAGCTTCCTCGCGTCGACCGCTCCCCCGACAATTTGGCAGAACCTCTCCATCTCGCACGTCGCGGACGCCACGTACGAGCGCGGCTGCTGGGGTGCCTTAGATGACAAGATCGTTGGTGTCCGCCGCAGGCCCCGCCCGCCGTTCAAGAGCAACGGTGAAGCGCACGTGCTGGGCAAGACGATGTCCTCCCGTGGATTGCCCACGTCCGCACTGGAGCGGTGGGAGCTGTGGACGTTTAATCCTGCGGAATCGTTGCTGCAGGCGTCGACGCTAACTGTGTTGAACCGCGATCCTCCGGATGACCCACCATCTCCAAGGAGGTACGAAGCAGCGCTCGGGCTCGACGGCACGCACGGCCGCGTGACGGTCCCGCTACCGAAGCGCAGGAAGGTGGACGCGGTCATTCCGCGGCTGCACTTCACTCGCGTCTCGCCGCTAGTGAGCAGAACGTCGGTTTGCTTGGCTGGCTTTGGGAATACCGTGGGGGTGTTCAAGTTCGCTTCCGGATCTGCCAACGGGCATAGACATTCCGCCGCAAAGGACTTATAAGGGTAGTGGTAAGCCCGTCGTTGAACGTCGGGCTTAGGATGCGTATTCAAGTCTGTGAGCGGTTTTAACATAACTGTATCCATAATCGGGCATGTACATGTCTGACATTTACTCCGCTGTTTCCACATCTGTTACACAATACAGTGCATTCGGGCAAATATATCGTGAGTAGTGGCAGGTACGCTAGCTTACCCTCAGGACTAAGTAATTAACGTCGATGATCTAGGTGAACGTGATGCAACTGTCGTCAGAGTAAACTCTGAGTACGAAAAGACAGCGCAGTCGTTTTCCTGATATGCATCGCTTTCCGACGTTCAGCGCTTCAGCATTGACCCTGTACTGGCAAGTTGGGATAACATCTGGCTACTTGGACCCGAACATGTAACGCCATTGGTCTACTGAGTCCGCCGGTGTTCTGGTCAGCTATTTTTATATCGTAAAAGGGGATTGTAGATTGACCCAAGGTACCACTTTGAGTACAGGCTCAAGCGCTCATGCTTCTATCCATTCTTTTACTACGCTCTGCATTGATTAATCAGGTCAATTCAGTCTTGGCGACGCTACAATGGATATTTCAACTCGGGGCAGTCAATTTCATGTACTGGACGAGTGAGTGCTAGTCTGCCACGCAAGTGAGTACAACAAGCGCTTCGATGCTACTGCTTTACTGGTCAGAATTTTAATTGATCGCTCGGGGCTCTAGACCATCGTCTCCCACCTATAAGGGTCCAACGAATGACTCCCTGAAAACATTTATACGGATCCCCACTGTGGAGGAATTTTGTCAACCCTCCATGGTCCGTGACCGCCGTTGCTTCACCCCACCGCTCCACTTTGCATCCTTCCAGGATCGTCCAGACCCGCTCGATGAATCTCTACTTTGTTCCGAATGACCCGGAGCACACAACCCTCGTCTCCACGAACGGCATTGCCCACTACCAGGTCGCAACAACGAAGGGGAGCACTTTCGGCGGGCCTGCGGTCACGGTGATCAAGCGTCCAGCGGACTCCGAAATGGACAGCGTTGTGGCGGAGGTGGAATGGCGGAGGTGGGGCGCGCATCCGGTCGTGCGGAGCAATGTCTTTGACGGGCAGATCCAGGAGTTGAAGGTCTGCGATTTCCTGTACAAGCTGGGAAGCCACTTCAGCCAGTGAGTCTGCCGTGCCAGAATCACTCTGACGCTGTTGGGTGGACTCATGGGCATGCAAGCACACGCCATTTCCTGGGAAATGACGACGAGGAGTATCGCTGGAAGCTAGTGAAGGGCATCGGTTTCGTCGTAAGTGGTGCTTGCACTCTTGATTATCGGAACCTTTTAACGTGTCATTCCAGCTCACCGACAACAAGACACGCAGAGAAGTCGCACGTTTCACCCAGGACGTAGTCCGGGAAGGCTTCTTTCGTGGCGAGCGAAAGTGGCTCCTCCAAATCCAGCCGTCGACGTTAGACATCGATATGATTGTGGTCACTTTCCTCATCATGGAGAAGAAGCGGCGGGACCGCGTTGCTGATCATATGTCTGTCGCTAATCGTGACGAGGACCCGGGGGACGGCGGAGGCTTTGACGTAGGGATTGCTTCATGACTCCGGACTTAGAGATTGAATTTTCCCTTTGGGTCTTAGGCTCTTTGTGGCGGCTTAGATTGGGTTTTACGGTGTCGACGACTTTCTTTTACTGGGATCTATCCTCTTTCCCTGGATATCATATCAGGCTTGCAGTCAATTTTACCTGCGGTGGCTTCCGTTTGGCAGTTCCTACAAATCAGTACGATGATTAATGTTAGCTGGCAGCAACTGCTTTAGCTTCATCGATAATGCTTGTTCCCACTATCACGTCGTACTACCGTTTATTTGCATCTACGTCAACGGAATGGCGGGCTCCGTGACTTCCATCTGTGAATCTGATCCTCAGGTGAATACACACCTTATCTGTTCGAAGGCCAGCACCACCGTGACCATACGACAAGTGCTCAAGCTGACTGATTCATCAAAGGTACCGTAAGTTCAGGAAACGGCCCCAGCATCCACATTAGCGTCTCCAGGGCTCTAACTGTGCCATCATGTTCATGTTCTCGCTGAGCCTGCTTTGCCTAAGCGTTGTGGCTACCAGCGCAGCTCAACATCCGTTCGTCCTGAAGAACCGGCTTCCTCTCGCTTCAGAGAGATACGATGCAGGATTATTCTCTCCCGTGGGGGATTTGGGTGTCCTCTCCACCTCTCGTTGGACGACATTAAACCATCCAGCGTTCCCAAACTACGATGTGCGTATCAAAAAGTCTGACTTCTGCGACGGTAGCGTGGGGTGAGTGCGTTTTGCAGTCATTCATATGATCAAACCCAAGTCAGACCCTCATGCAAGATCCCGTCGATCAGGGCATACACCGGTTACATTGACATCGAGGCTCGTCACCTGTTCTTCTATTTCTTCGAGAGCAGGAACGACCCGACCAATGACGATGTCATATTCTGGACGAACGGAGGACCGGGTTGCTCGTCGTCTCTGGGCCTGTTCATGGAGCTTGGTCAGATTACCTTCTCTGTAGCTCTAGTTGTGACATTTGTGCAATTTTTTTAAATATTCGGAACAGGTCCTTGCAGGGTGACGAACCCTAACGCCACTTCTTACAACCCTTACTCCTGGAACGAGAAGGCAAATGTTTTCTTCATAGACCAGCCTATCGGCGTTGGCTTTTCGTACGCAGATTACGGTGAAGCTGTCGTGAGTTCTTACTACGTCCATTTTAGTTTCGCTGTTGATTCGATTCCTTTCAGAGCACGACCGAGGAGGCAGCTAAGGACATTGCGGCATTTGTTGCCATATTTTTTGAGCACTTCAGCAAGTTCAAAGGAAATGCTTTCCATATGGCAGGAGAATCCTACGGTGTATGGGTGTACATACCTTCGTCAGTGTTGTCCAAACCAATCATGCCTTCCAACAGGGCCGCTACATTCCCGTGTTTGCTTCTGAGGTTTATGACCAGAACGCCAAGCTCATTGAAGCTGGCATAAATCCCATCAACCTCAAATCGGTTATGATAGGTACGTCTTTCACGACCCATGCTTCAGCTAGGGAGCTCAGAGTTGAACGTCGTTCTGACAGGCAACGGCTGCACTGATTTTGTGACTATGAGCCCGTCGTATTACGACATGCAATGCAGACCCATGTCGGCTGAGCCAATAGTGGAGATCAGGTGGGCTTCGTGTTCGACAATACCGTAAACTTGGCGCTTATGCTCGCTTCCAGTTCCTGTGTACGACAGAAACAGGCAGTATGTCCACTCTTTCTGTGCGTTGATTGACGGGACTGATGCTGCCCCAAGCTGCCACGCTGCGAGAAGTGGTTGAAAGAGGGATGCAGGGACTCCTATGATGCTATTAACTGCCAGGCAGCCTATTCATTCTGTGCATCAGAGATAGAGATGCCCTTCTTCCAAACCGGTTTGTGATCAGGCTTGTCATTGATCACTGTGTGGATGCGCCTAACGCCCTCACGCCGACAATAGGCTACAACCCGTATGACATCAGCAAGCCCTGGTAAGTCCATCTGACGTAGCTGCGGGAATAGCTTCTTGATATCCATTGTGCCGCAGCGACGGCGAGCTCGCAGACACACTCTGTTACCCCGTGACAAAGTACGCTCCCGTCATCTTGCACGCGCCTATGGATTGATCATGCTCGCTACAGGGCTATTGGGTCCTACCTCGACAGGCCAGACGTCCGTGCGTTGCTGGGCGTCGACCCCTCCATCGTCGGGAACTTCAGCAGCTGCAGCGAGGTCGTGGGCCATGCCTTCAACGACGCGCTGGACGCCATGTTCCCTACGCAGCTCTATATCGCAGCCCTACTCGAGCGCGGCATACGCACGCTCATCTACGTCGGTGCGAATGACTGGATATGCAACTGGGTAGGGCGATACACCGTGCTCCTGCAGGATGAAACGCTAATTAGGTCGTAGGTTGGGAACGAGCGCATGACGCTCGCACTAGAGTGGACGGGACAGAAGGACTTTACGTCTAAGCCTCTCACAGAGTGGTCCGTCAATGGCAAGGTAGCTGGGCTGACAAGGTCTTCGGGCCCGTTGACCTTCGTAACGATCTACGGAGCCGGACACATGGTAGGGGACTCAATCGTATGGGGGAAAGCGCTGAGTTGATGTACTTCTTTTGATGCAGGTCCCTTACGACAAGCCTGTGGAATCCTTGGCAATGGTCAACCGCTGGCTGGATGTTTAAACAATACTTAGACGAGTAGGAGGTGACCGTCAGCTTTTGCCGTTATAGAGTCTTTCCCCATTATTGGTGTATCCGGAGCGGGGTGCGATGTAGAGACGTTCAAGAACGGAATGAATGAGATCTATCAATGCCTCTCGTGTAAATCAACATCATGATCTTGGGGATGTAACCCTTGCTGTCACCTGCATAAGAAGAAATACCTTCGACAACTCCGCCGGAGAAGAGCGGTCAGAATTCAACATCAGCCAGTACCAACACCGATCTTAATCGACATGTCTAGTTCTACAACATGACCTTGAACTACTTCATATATATACTCCTCACCTAAGCGTTGGTCGCGATTGCCGCTTTGCTCTTGCCGAATGTTGGCACAATTTTCCGGTTGGGATCCATAAACGCCCGCAAGGTCTCCTCCGCGACTTGGGCTCGGCGCTGTAAAGTGAAAATGTAATCAGATTAGCATTTCCGATCCTCTGAGTGACGAATGTTCGCGTACCTCTTGGAAGCCCCTTACGAACTCCTGCAAACGCCGGATGCACTGTGCTTTCAGCTGGCCTGTCAGCAAGCGACCTGCACGGTATTCCTGTGGAGAAAACTATCGTCAGATCGCAAAACAATGCACACAAAGGTTCATATGGCCCACCTCTCCCATCTTCGCCCACTCCTCGTCGTCCTCCATGAAGAACCCAAGATACTGATACGAAACATCGACATCCGGGTTCCCGCCCAGCCTGCGGTGCTCCTCCTCGGTCTCCTGCCCGCCGGAGAATCCGTGCCTGTTGATCTTGTTCTTGATCTGGTTCGGTGTGTCCGTCATGTATATACTCGAGTTGGGGTCCGACGCGCTCATCTTCGTCTGCGGGCCCTGCAGCGCAGGGAAGAACTTAGAGAAGAGGAGCGTCGGCTTCGGGTACTTGAGCTTCACGGCGACATCGCGCGTGAGCCGGAAGTACGGGTCCTGGTCGATCGCGCAGGGGATCAGACAGGGTATGTTGGAGGTGGTTCCGAAGATCTGTGGAAAGGAGTTCGAGAAGGAGGGCGCGGCCTGGATAGACGCAAAGTGTATCTTCCCAATGTTGTCGCTGCGAAGGAGATAAAGATAGCTGTATGCGCGCGAGCGAGCGTACGCACGAGTCATTGAAGCCAAAGGTGGACTTCGCCTGGTTTATCGTGATCTGCCGCGAAATCTTAGAGACGTTGCGGTAGAAGGCGCCGCCGAGGTATTCGAAGTCGCTGAATATGAACGTCTTTTCGAGCTTGAACCCCGCGGCGATGATGTCTAGCGCGTTTTGCAGTGCGAATTCGTGTGTCTTCTCTGGGGTGAGCTCGTGTTTGAAGAGGAATTTCTCGTCGTCTACCGCGCATATATCGATGTTCTGAGTGAATCAAGGGTAAAAGAGGCAGCTCACCCGTCAGCTGGACAACTAGTGGAACGTCAAAGACGTCCTGTAGCCATCTCCAGGACGGTTAGATGTATGCATATAACTGAGAATTTGTTGACACGCACTTTGTAAACAGGAAGGGCACCATATGTCCCAGATGCATACTGTCGCTACTCGGACCCCGCCCAGTGTACAAAAAGAACGGCTTCCCCTGCTCATACCGGTCCAAAATTTTATCAAAATCCCTGAACCAGCTAGTCAGCTCCCACTCAAAGCGCAACGCAGGTAAAACGCACCGATGCGAGAAGAACATCCCGCGGCGGAGAAGGATATGTGGGCGGTGACCCGTGAGGCGCTCGAAGCGCTCGAGCATGGCCTTGTCGACCATGCGCGTGCCGAACTGCGCGACAAGCTTGTCGTAGTCAATCGCGAGCTGCTTGCCATCTGTCGAGACGGATCCTTGCACGTCCCACGGCGTCACGACTTGCTCGTGCGCGTGCACCTCAGGCGCAGGTTTCACCTCTGGGGCCGCAGGAGTGGCTGCTGCATGTTCAGCTCTGAGTATTACACAGATGAGATGAACTGATGTATAGAATAGGATACGAATGGAGAACACACTTGAGAGAAGTATTAGCGATGGTAGAGGTGATCGCCTCGATCACCGTAGATGCTGAGGTCGCTACACCGTCTGGGATGCTGCCAGTGCTCATGGTTGTCGCAGAATAAATGAAGCAGATAATAACAATGACTCTCAACGAAATGTACGAGGCTCAGCAGCTGCCAGGGTATGATGGCGGTGTGCTGAGTGTGATTGCAGTTTTAATGAAATCTGAGTCACATCTACTTAAATCTCAGATCATATCTGTCGCAAATTGTACAGCTTCAGAAATGATGGAACACGCAAAACAATGTAAGAATTGTAACGATAATGTATTGAGTACGATGCTACAGTGACAATAAACAGGATGCAGGGTTAGGAGGATCGTATACTATGGATGTACGTCATGTCGTAACGGAGGGTGATAACGCGTTCAACTTGCATCGTAGTCCATTATTTTCTACGGCACCTGAAGCACCATCGCCCCTGCCGCCATCAGGAAAGACCCAGCCATCCAACGGCGACACATAATGCTGTGGACGAGCGAGGATACAAGGAAAAATGCGGTCTATGGTTTCCGGAACTCGCACAACACGGTGTATATCGTATTGAACGCCGTGTAAATCTCTTCTCTGACCTATGCGGTCAAAGACAAATGACAGTGTCAGTAAAGGTGCAACATACGTTCCATCGCAGTAATGGAACATGAAATCTACGAAAATGTGGAAGAACTGACCTTTGCACCGGTGAGCACAATCTTGCCCGACACAAAGATCAACAGTACGACTTTGGGCTTGATCATGCGGTAGATCAGACCAGGGAATAACTGGAATTCGTGTCAAAAACGAATGTCAGGACGAAGAAGAGATTACGCACCTCTGGTTCGTAGCTGCTGAATTGTCCGTGGCTATACGCAAGTCCTTCCAACCGTATGGGGAACTTCACGTCACAACTGCCCACAATGTTCTGGATCTTGAATTCAGAGAACTTGGCGTCGAAGCCAAGCTTCTGTACGATACGCGCGTACTTGCGCGACGCCAACCGCGAGTCATCCTCTGACTTCGCACCCGTAACGACCATCTTGCCCGACGCAAAAATAAGGGCGGTGGTCTTCGGGTCGCGGATACGCATGATGACGGCGGCGAAACGCTATAGTGCGATGACGGATGTAGGTCCGACACTCACACAATGTCACAAAGCAAGAATACAAACCTTGGGATTATACTCCGCATTCCTCGCGTGTAGCGCAATCGTCTTGAGGTCGAGTCGGCAGTCGAGGTTGACCGTCGCGACAATATTTTGGAGTGTCGGGACAATGCCCTCGACGGCGGTAATGTGCTGCTGCTCCAGCGTCAGAGGAGCTGGTGTCGCAGGGACAGCTGTCGCAGTGGGAGTGGAAGGGCCAGCGATGGCAATGGTCTGGCTATTGCTCGCCGGCGACTGCAGGTGTCGCGTCTGCTGTTGCACTGACGCCTGCTGCTGTTGTGGTGGCTGATATGCAACGACCGGTTGCGCAACAGCCTGGGGGCCAGGCAAGGCAAGGCTGGATGGTCCCGCAACATAGGAATTAGGCGCATACGGAAGAGCAAGGTTGGTTTGCTGTGGCTGCGGTGGCTGGTACTGCTGCTGCTGGGGTGGGACATGAGCCGAGCGGCCGAAGGTGACTTGGCGAGCAGGGAGCGCGAAAGACATGACGGAGAGTGGTATTAATGTCGTTGAGTCGTGCCCAAAAAAGCGCGAAATTGATTGCGAAAATGTGCGACCGTGGGAAAAGCGGACGCTGGCACGGGATGGGGGAGGGAAATCACAACCACCGCACCACCCCTCCTTATATACCTTTGCTTTCAAACTCCGCTTGAAAATTTTGCATTTGCTTTATAAGCGCCTCGACCGTCCACAATGACTCCGTCTTCGACCTTGGCCTCCTGTCCTCGCTGCTCGTGGCGGCGCCGTCCTTCGTCGACCGCTGCTCGCTCGCTCGCTGTCTGGTTGTATTCTCTCTGTCCTGCTGGTCGACGCTCGACATAGCGGAGATTTTTCAATCAGAAGCTGGGCGCTTGCTAGAGATAAGCTTCGCGTTCCTTGACAACGGCCTTGTGGCAGATTTGGAGCATCTGCAACAGATTTTTCTCTTCGGATGTCTTGACATGGCAAGGAGGATGTTCCTCGACTTCCTTTCTGGAGAATCGGCTTGAGATGTAAAAATGGCCGGTAATTTGATTGACCCCAGCTTCGTGCGCGCGTGTACACGTCGATGATAACGTAGTGATTGTTCGTTTCTGCGTAGGTCTCCAATCTGTGCCTTGTGAGCAAGCGACTATAATCATCTTATATGTTCACAAGTATCGTCACTATTGGCGCACTGGTCAATATATAGTTTGGAAAGCTCAGTATGCATTTCCGTACCCCAGCAAGAAGACGAATGTCAATACTAAGGTTGGGCTTATGTACACCGTCACATCTAGCAAGTCGCAAGGTCCATGGAAAGCAGTGTGTTTCCAGCCGTTACGAAGAAATAGTCACCTGTATAATGATTTCCATAAGATCACCGGACAAAGTTAGCTGTTGGCACGATAGACACGCCGACGAACCGTACACAATGCCCGTGAGGTTTTCTCCTGCCGGATTATTGACGGTGCCATTCGCCAGCAGGCTCTGCCATGCAGGGCGCCACGCCAATTCTGTATTGTCCCGCAAGACCTGCATTCGCGAGCAGTGAGTCTCGTTGAAATCCCACTTGCGACGCGACGGTACACGTACCTGTAGTGCCGCGTGGACGTAGTACGCGGAGCCCGTTACGTTGGGTGGGTTCAACAACAGCTCTTGTTGAGACAATAAGAGAAGACCGTTCACTGCAATCATCGCTGCCGAGGAGTCTGCAGGTCGGGGAGGATTCAGCGGCGCATTGAAGTCCCTATTCGACGCAAGGCATGAGAGATTATGTTGTTTCTAGTATGAGTGAATACGTACCACGGTACGATGCCATCAGCTGCGAGGTGGGTCAGGAAGTACGAAGCCATGCGACGCGAGGTGTTCAAGAAGTCCGTCTCCCGAGTGTGCATGTACACTGCGCAATAATCAGAAATTAGAAATCTACTCCATATCAAAACGCACTATTCGCAAAGCCATATATACCCCAAGCTTGTCCCCTACTCCACGTGCTACGGGCTACTTAGTGAACCTTGGTGCAATGCGAAATTCACGCGCAGCATACCTGTTGTTCGCGTATCCCTGTGCTGTGAAACGTGCCACGACAGCTCCAGTCGTGGCATTATACTCTACAACGTGGAACGACGAGCCTGCAAGAGTTCCACTGACACGTAAAGATCAATTATGATATAGACATACCGTCAGGCCGGATGTGATTCTCCATTGTCTTCGTGGCATGCGAGATGGCAATTTCGCGCAACGTGTTGTTTCCTGTCAGTGATGCAGATACGAACAATACCTTTAACAGAAGTTAGCGGCGCTAAAACTGCACCGGCCAAGCAACCATACTTCAAGATTCATCATGTTGTCGATGATCACCTCGAAGTTCAGTCAGGGACATCGCAGAGACGCGCAAAGCGCAACAGACACACTTCGAAGTCGGTCGGATCCGCCGTATCCCAGCTTCTCGTGCAGCCTACGATGGGGCTGAAGCGCAGTGCCAAATCCGTAGCGAATGTGTTTACAGCATTTATAGCAGTCTCGTTCTCCGGATTTCTAAGCACTGAATCAACATTCAAGCACACAGTGTAAGCGGATAGGAACCGACACGGCAAGCTCCTCCACAAACGGGTAGCTCAGGAACCCGACGTCGTGACCAACGGTGTTGTTGTGTTCGAGCGGAACCTCTGCCGTACTCCACTGTCGCCCGAGTTCAAGCCATTGTGATGTATTTCCGGCTTTCGAGTGGCAGAGCTTAGCACGAGTGTTCATAGCATACAGTGTAGCAGGGAAGAAGCCGGACGTCCAGAGGTCGGGCACGAAGTAAATCCAGTCCCCTGCGGTGCGGTCGGTATACTGAGGGTATATGGCAGGCTCATGCTCCGTGAGAGCTGTTCTCAAAATTTTCTGAGCGACCAGGGGAGAATATAGCTCTGCTGGTGGCAGAACAGGCTCGCATTGTGCTGCATGAACCTTGCAGAGAGACAGAACTAGCACCAGGGCAGGGAGTACAAGCATTGGGGGGCTGAGGGGGTGAAGTCTGAACATACCAGGTGGAAAGTAAGACGAAACTTTTGGAAGATCCATTTGTTCTTTTGTACTCGATGTTCTTGAAACCGGTCCGCGATGCATCTCGTGCCAAAGGAGAACGTGCGATGTTGGGTAGGTAAGAATCGTAGCGACAAAGGCAGCCTGACTCCCTGAGTTATCGCGAGCCAGACAAACAGGTTAAGACCTTCCCGGTTTCAGTGCGCGAGCCCTTGCAAACGCCGTTGCGCGACGGGGACGTAAAATCTCTGCACCACCAATCTTGCGTTCGATAAATGTCATGAGGTAGGAGAAGACCATCCGACGTGGGGACCGAATACGTTATGTAATTGGAATCGAATTGGCCAAAGCAGTGACCGCAGGGAGTCCGCAGGGGCGCAGCCGCAGCGCGTTTACGTACGCATCTTTGGCCAAGTTTGGTGATAGTCCGAAGCGCCCTGCTGCACCTCACTCCCTTTCCTCGTTGTTCTCTGCAGGCTCTCATTTTTACGACTACACAGCACTCAGTCAGAACATGGCAACGGCGGGACTTGGCACAGAAATTGTCTCGGTCGTCAACAAACTCCAGGATGTGTTCACCGCCGTAGGCTCATCGGCATCCCAAATAGACCTTCCGCAGATATGTGTGCTCGGAAGTCAAAGTAGCGGCAAAAGTAGCGTGCTAGAGGTATACGACCGTCTATGTTCCTCGTTTGTGATTGCTGATCCTACCACGTCCTAGAACATTGTCGGGCGAGACTTCTTGCCTAGAGGGACGGGTATTGTGACGCGGCGTCCATTGGTGAGACCTGCGTTCTTCATCCAGTTCATTTGCTGACACAACGACGTTCAGGTTCTCCAACTTATTAACCGCCAACCGCCTCCCCATTATCCGAATGGTAGTGCTGCTAGTAAGTTCTCGCCACCTTCGTGTCAGTACGCCGCTAATCGTGACGTAACGCCCAAAGCCAAAATCGACGGGGACGATAAGCACGCCAACGAGCATGAATGGGGCGAATTTTTGCACCTGCCAGGCGAGAAGTTCTACGACTTCAACAAAATTCGGGCAGAGATCGTTCGCGATACTGAAGCCAAGACGGGGCGCAACGCGGGCATCTCACCACAGGCCATCAACTTGCGCATCTTCTCCCCCAATGTCCTCACATTGACACTTGTCGATCTTCCTGGTCTCACAAAAGTGCCTGTAGGAGACCAGCCGCGGGATATTGAGAAGCAGATCAGGGACATGTTGCTCAAGTATATCTCCAAACCGGCGTGTATCATCTTGGCGGTAACAGCTGCGAATACGGACTTGGCAAACTCAGATGGATTGAAGCTAGCTCGGGAGGTGGATCCAGAGGGCCAAAGGACTATCGGTGTTCTGACCAAAGTTGACCTGATGTGAGTCTCGGTAGATTGATCTGGTAGCACATTGTACTTATGTATAACAGGGACCAAGGCACTGATGTCGTAGACATTCTTGCTGGTCGGGTCATTCCCTTGCGGTTGGGCTATGTCCCTGTAGTCAATCGTGGTCAGCGCGATATTGATAGCAACAAGCCCATCAGTGCCGCATTGGACTTCGAACGTGAGTTCTTCGAGAACCACCCGGCATACAAGGGCAAGGCGCAATACTGCGGCACACCCTTCCTTGCGCGGAAACTGAATGTGGTATGTTCCTTCGAAGCGCCCGACCAGCACGCGCTCTTACGTGCCCTCAAATTTCTGTAGATCCTCATGGCGCATATCCGCGCGACCCTTCCCGACATCAAAGCTCGCATTGCACAGCAACTGTCGAAATTTAACGCCGAGCTGCAAAGTTTGGGTGGGCCGCTTGGGGACGGCAGCTCCTCCAACGTGGTTCTTTCTGTTATCACCGAATTTTGCTCTGAATTCCGCACGACAATCGACGGTAACACGAACGACCTGTCTGTGAATGAGCTTTCCGGCGGTGCCCGTATCAGCTTCGTGTTCCACGAATTATTCAACAATGGCGTGAGGACCATTGATCCGTTCGACCAGGTGAAGGACGGTGACATTCGCACGATCTTGTACAACTCTTCGGTAAGGCTGTTGTCGTTATTACTTTAATCCCAGAAACTCATTGTATGACTTTAGGGCTCGACACCATCGCTATTCGTCGGTACCCAAGCATTTGAAGTCATTGTGAAGCAGCAGATCAAGCGGCTGGAGGACCCAAGTCAGAAGTGTTGCCAGCTCGTATATGACGAATTGATCCGCATACTCGGTCAATTGCTGGCGAAGATCGTGAGTTTTATCTCTCGACCTAGGGAGCTCTGCTCATCTGGCAATATGCCTGCAGCAAGCATTCCGGCGCTATCCTGCCTTGAAAGATCGCTTCAATCACGTGGTCGTCAACTTCTTCAAGACTGCCATGAACCCAACGACAAAGCTTGTGTCGGACCTGGTTGCGTGCGTCTGTACAGTCCTACGGTCCAGCTGGCTGCTCATGATCTATTCTTATTCCAGCATGCAAGCGTGTTACGTCAACACAACGCATCCAGACTTCTTGAATGGCCTCAGTGTCAGTCTAGTCTATGCAGTGACAATGTTCTTTGACTTAGCTAGGTTCTACAGGCTATGGCAATGGTTAGCGAACGCATGAACGCAGGCAAGCCGCCACCACAAGATGTCAAGGGCGGCAAGCTTACGGCCGCACAAATCAATAACAACCGCGATCTTGATGTTGAGGCGAAGAAAGACGATCAGAGCTTTTTCGGGTCGTTCTTCTCTGCTGCTAAGAACGCGCCCAAGAAGAAGGGTGTCGCAATTATGGATGCAGTAAGTGCAATCCGGCCATATCTCAATGTCCCGTAGGAGTTAACCACGCTGTAGCCACCGGCGAACATCCGACCGCAGGCTGCGTTGAACGAGCGTGAGACCATCGAGACGGAAGTTATTAGTGCGTTCCCTATGCATTCAAGTCATCCCTGTGCTCATTTTGTATCACAGAGCTTCTTATCCACTCATACTTCAACATCGTCAAGCGCGAGATGATTGACATGGTGCCGAAGGCCATCTCGCTGACACTTGTGACTCACTCTAAGGACGACCTCCAGCGAGAGCTATTACAGGAATTGTACAAGCCTGAAGTACTGGATGACCTCCTCAAGGAGTCTGAGTACGTTGTCAACCGCAGGAAGGAGGTCATCCAGATGGTGCAGGCGCTTAACAAGGCGGAGGAGTAAGTGCCCTTGCTGGATAGTCGACTATGAGCTGTTTCCTGATGTCTTCATCAATTTTGCAGGATCGTCTCTGGAGTTTGAGACTGAGTTGTGCCTCGTCGAGCCTTAGACAGGCGTCGTAGTCGTTCGTTGATTGGTGTTTTGTTCCATATGCGTATTCTATAATACCCCCTATACATGGATTCTGGTACACTAGATGTTACTAAACGGTAGCCCTGCAACTTCTTGGACTTATGATTCGATCTGCAGATGCTGTCGTCGTGCTCACACCTTGGCTGTTGCTAGTGTGTCTTCGTATCTGTATCTGTTCGATGCAACCCCGCACAAAATCTGTGCAAGAAACAGAAGAGCAACTCACCCTCGGAAACGTAATTTATACTCCAGCTGCAGTATCTGGGGTGAAGGTCATCCGCATCCAGCCACATGGAGGATCCCATTCATCGGCAGCCGCAGCCTGAGCCTTAGGCTCGCCTTCTCCGTCGCTGACCACGAAAAGGCCCGAACGTTTTCCTTGAACCAGTTACGGTGCTCGTCCAACAGCGCCATGGCCGTGCATACATGGACCTCTTCAATTGCAGTCGGTATTCCGACGCCTATGAGATCTGTGTAGTCTGCAAGGCTTGCTACGCGGCGATTTTCCACGGTCCGACGAAGTAACTCGACAGAGATTCCATCGGTCTGATTAATTTCTATGGATACCAGTCGAGGGAGGCATCGCGACCAATGTAGAATGGCACAGTCTTCGCCACCCGCGCGTCCAATGAGCTCGGCAATGTGGTCGCCAACTGTGTGACAATCAGAGCCTGCGACCTCGACAACCCTGAAATCTTGGAGAAAAAGCATCAAAGGCCAATCTATTCTGAGCACCATGCCGTACATGCAACAGATAACGAGGGTGTGAAGCCGGGGGAAATAGGTGGTATGGTCGGCGATGTATGTAGAGCGGGGATAAATTTTATGTATGCAGGGACAATATAAGCGCATTTTGGACAGCCGCGGAGCCTTGAACATCAACAAGAATTGGCAGATATCATCAAGATGCAAACCTTCGAAGGTGATTTGTTCCAAGGATGCCAGTGTCACCGGGTTGTAGTGGGTTTGAAATGACAACGCAGACCCAGGTTCTAAGCAGCACAGATGAAGGCTAGTGAGATGCTGCAAAGGGGCCACGATCCGGATGACTTCCATGCGCATCCCATCTGATCCCATGAGCTCTTGGAGAGCATCTCCTTCTACAGTTAAATGTTCTAACGCAGGAAAATGTTGGGCCAGGAAAAATCCCTGTGGAAGAAGGCACGGAGCTTCTCGGAGGACCAAGGTGCGCAACTTCGGAGCATGAAGATTAAGGTCGAAGTAATTGCCTTGCTTGTCGTGGCAAACCAAGCACATTTCTTCCAGACTATCTGCGAGGCCACCCCAAAGGGCAGCCGATGTACGGGCGGTCTCGATACTCCACATGTCAATATTCATCGACTGCCAGGAGCTGATGTATTCAACCAGTAACCGCATGACCCCAGAGACCAATATGCATGGTTAAGGAGGACCTAATTGTCTGAAAGGCTCTGCTATAACAATTTGGAGCTTCCGGCTTTGAGTCCGCTGTATGGTTGAACCCAGGGCGCCGAGCGAGCGTTCGCGATCCAAAAGAATGAATATAGCTGGCCATAGCAGGGATGTCTGGACCGCGACGTCTCTCCACACCCGACACACTGACGCAATGCGTATCGAGAACGACATGCTCTCCCAGACTGGGTTGTTATTATGTATGTCCCCAGCATCCGCGAATCCAGTCTCGAAAATAAGGCGTAAAACATCAACAGGAAGACGACGGATTGGGGCAGTCCGAGCAGCAAGACGATCGCGATGAGCTACCAAGCGCGACTGGAATTACTCTGGAGGTCATTTAGACCTTCGTTCCAACTAGAACTTCGCTGTCTGGGTGGAACAACCTTTCACTTCAGCACCTAGGCTATGCCGGACGACCTACACGCGGTTGTTTAGTGTCGAAAGACATACGATCTGGTGAAGGTCACGACAAGTACCACACACTTCCATGAAGGGGGCAATCATATTACAGCGACAACAAAGTACTTACTGTGGAACAACTTCTCCTTGGTCAACGATCGCTGATCTACGTCGTGATCATAGAGAACTTCCTATCTTACTAGCAGCCTACTAGAACATACGAATAGCAAATCATCACAGAGTCCATCTCGATTTATGCTCCGTAGTTGAGGCGGAAGATGTCATTGAACCTGCCGTTGCAAATTGCAGTTTAGCATCGCGCACAGAATGGAGACATTAGAAGGAGATCCGTACACGTAGTAACTTCCGCCGTCTGGTATAAGTTGGAAGACCTGACTGAATTGCAGAGGATTTGCACCGTCATCAACCTGCACAAGATATGTACTTCATGGAGAAATGGGTCCAATAACAAAGCTTACCAGCAGTAGGCCGGTCACGCTAACGATGAGACTTGCCACAGTTGGTGAAGATGGTTGTGCATCGAGTGTCACGACCTTGTGAACGACCTTGTCGAACGGCAGTCCCTGCACGAAAAAGACTGCGATTCGTGGATCCTGCGGGCAACTTGGATATTTCATGCTCACCGTCAACTTCTCCGCTATGCTGCTGGCACCGAGAATCTGGGAGCCCTCCCATGTCAGCATGGACACGTCACGCTGCACCGAGGAATGTCGAGGTGATCAGAGGGGCGGCACAGATCGCATAGATCATCGCGAGGACGAACGTAGAGATTCTGCAGGCCGCCACGATTGGTGTCAAACGTAGTATAGTAGAAATCCGTAAACTGCTTTGCGATGGTGTTAATGTCGGCCATGCCTGCGTCACACTATAGGTACAGAGAGGATGCAATAGATGGAAGTTCGATGACCGGATGAAGTTGCAACAAACATTTTTGCGCACAGGTGATCGCGCGCCGATCATGTGACTGAGTGTCACAGTTTACAATTTATCCTTGTAAGTAGTTCTAGGCTGTCCGCGCGGAATTGACCCAAATTTGTATGTTACATGCCGTAAATCTGTTGTTTCCCGCCTACCTGCTAATTTTGCCGCCGAGCGCCGGGTACTCTCACTCGCAGAAGGGAAGACGGCGGCATTCAACCCTGTCATGAGCATGGCCCCGCCGGAAGGTGTCCCACACCGTCCAACCATGCGGCGAAAGTCTTCGGCACAAAATCTCCTCTCCTCCTTCAAAACGAGCAGCAACACCACACAGGCGCTGCCATCTGGGAGCCTTTCCTCCGCAACAGGCATGCAGTTCGCGCCCCTGCCTACGCCGGCAGTTTCGAGTGCGAGAGATTGGGACGTACAGTCGCTCCAGTCGGAATCGGTCGGGTCGTCGGGGGGAACGTCAATCGCCACGAATGGGAGCGCTTCGCTCGCCCAGGGGACGTCGGTCGAGATGTTGCGGGAGCTGGTGCGCAAGCGCATTATCACGCTCACCTATCTGCGGAACGTGCACGAAGGGTACGGCTCGCTTGCGGTTTACTTGTCAGGAGACGAGAGCTAGCGTGTTGACTGCGTCGACAGGCGGAGTCATTGGTTCCACACGATCATGATCACACGCGCCGAGCTCGACCGAGTGTTTGCGAACAGCGTGATGAAGAACAGGTGCGTGGGGCAGCGTCGTCCGACTCGGAGTGCGCCTGCACGCGGGCGAGTACGGGGCTGACCCAGGGACTCGCAGGACGTACCGGTTCGCGATGCTCGGCATGGCGCTGGCCAACCTGTTCGACGTCAAGGAGCCGCAAGACCTTCTGCGGGGGCTGTCAAACGCGCTCAACGAGTACGACCAATCGAAGGAGGACAGCGACAAGCCGAAGATGGTGCGCCCGCTTGTCCGCTAGAACGTCGCACGCGGCTGAACGAAGGTTGCAGCGTCTGTTCAGGACGAAGCCACAGAAGCGGCAGCCCGGGGTGACGGACTACGCGATATCGACGTTCGCGGACCCGTCCGAGTCATCGTACATGCAGATGCCTCATGTCGTACGCGTTGCACGTCTCCTTCTCCCAGCGTTGTGCTTATATAGACCCGACTGGACCAGCCTTTCCCGTTTGATTACCATCAGACGCTTCTCTCGCTGCTGGACGTTCTCTCAGAGGTGTACAATAAAATCTCGAAGATCCTCGGGCCGTCGCCATTCCCCAGCTCCGGGCATCATATGATGGGGCCCCTGGGATTACTCTCGCCCCACCCGGGTGTGTCGTACCTCTTCGCTGGGGCAGACGCTGCGCCCACCAACGATGGCGAGAGTAGTCTCTGGGGCATCGCGCACGCCACCGGGCCAGGGCCGGGAACACCGGGGCTGGTGGGGGCAGCTATGTATGGGGGAGCGTTGGGCAGCCCGCCGCCCAGTTGGAACTCAGCGCTCGGCGACACAGTGAAGCAAATTGATAACAGGCTCAAGGTGCGTCATGTCGGCGATACTTGCTCCATATACTGAGTGTGTTTCCAGAAACTCGTCGCGATGCTGCTGAAAGAGCTTGACGATTGTGCGCGAGCGGGCATCAAGGACGAGCTGGCCTCTCTGGATCCTCTGCTACGGCACGTTGCTGTCCCGGAGGACGCCCGCGAGTATGACCTCGAGCCGTAGCACATACCCTGCAATCGGGACGACGTTTATGACTGACACGCATAACTTTATGGCTGTATCTAATCTGTATAATTCTCTAGTGTAGTAGTAGTCCCTGTTGGTGTTCCTGGGCCGTCAGACCGGCGTGCGGTTCTAATTCAGTTGGGAGGTGTCGATGAACAACGCACTGGCGATATTCAAAATTTATCGGCTCTGCATACGAACCTACTGAACGACCTTCCAGTAGTCCCTGCCGAGTTGATGCGTAAGCCATGAAATTGTGGTTGCGTCAACAATGTGCGAAACGGGTTGATCTACGTGTCGTGAATAGTGATCTGAATTGTCATCGAAGTGCTATGTGCCCTATCTTAGCGGGTGCTGTGACGCGTGAAAATAGTCATGAGCCAAGATAATGGAGAGTGCAAGATTAAAATCACACTTTACTTTAACAAAGTGTTCATAGTCAGATTACGTTACTGCATTATTGTCCTGTTATTGAGAGCAATCACGATATGGCATAGCTGACAAGAATTGTGAACGCACAGTCAAACATTCGCCCGGTGCCTTTTGCAGGCTATGGCATCCTGCCGTAGCAATTCCTGATAGCGTCTCTTGGACGGAGATTGAGGCGGAGGCGCTGGAGGCGCAAGCACCCTAATCTCGCTAATATCGGCGAAGTAGTTGTCAAAATTCTGACTATCAAAATATTGGTCGACGATGCCCGCTTTGATGTGCACGATTGCACCTGACAAATGTGACTTGTAGTCCTTGGGCAGAATTGGTCGGCCATCGACCCCAATGACAGTGAGTGGTTGGCCTTCATATTTCCCTTCTGCTATAATATCCTGCAACTCTTCTTGGGTAGCTGCATCTTGGCAAATCCAACGCTCCATGGAGGCCTCCAGGTTCGAAGGATCTAACTTTAATGTGAGCCTATCCAACTGGTCAAGTGGCAATCAACAGACATTCACGCCCTTCTTCATCCAAAGGCTACAATTAACAAAAGCTCAGCAATGACACTGCGCACAGTATGAAACTGGTTGACCTGAAAAATCGAGTGTCTGACTTTCACACCGTCAGTGTCGACAATGGTATGCCTGCACGCTGCACCTTCCGTCGATCTCGAAGTCTGAATTCTCTGGAACCCCTCGAGGATAGAATCCCAGACATAGTCGCTAATTATTTTCTTCCACCTGGAAGTAGTCGGGGCAATGATACGTCCTCTAGCCTTGGCATTGGTGAAAGGTTGCGGCTTTCCAGACGGGTGGAGAAAAAAACCACTCCTCCATTTCCCGCAGACGTATAGGTAAAATGTCGCGGGGGATGCGTCAATCTCTCCAACCCATTCAAGCTCGGCTGCTAGTTCATCTGAATCCTTCCGTACGAGGATGCTCATATCCTTGTACCTGCGCCATTTCACGTTCTGCGTGAGTGTCGGGGACCCGACGTAGTAGTCAGAAACGAGGATTCCTTCTAATGTATCACTATCGTCAGGAGTCGCTGCTCTCTTCTTGCGGCTCCAGTCAATTATCAGTACGTATGAGCGACGTTGTGCATGGCTGATATTCACCTCAGGCTGGGGCTTAGCGTCAGCATTATGTTTCAACAACTATAAAGTGAGCCAAACAGCAAGATGTGTTTTGATGACAATCTGCGCATGTTTCGAAGGTGGAAGCGAACTCACCACCATCGTCGTAGTACCAACCACAGAGTTGAGAATAAGCGCTCAGGAGTGCGAGCCTCATGTCTTATCACGTGATGGCGTAATTAATAACGTCGTCATACCGTGACAGAGTCGAGCGGGTAAATTGCGTTTTGAGCTCGATCGGCCATGTCCACAGAGATTTTCAATCCAAACCCGACTATCTTTGCACCTGCAAAATCCACACGTGCGGTCCCATCATATGCGAAGGGGCATGGTCTGTGGCTAGACGAGGGGGTACGCGACGTGCAGGAGGAGGACGATTCGCCTGACGTGGAGGTGATTGATCAGGACGAGATTTTCGGTGGGTTGACTCCTTACTAAGTACCTTGCAAATGTCTGACGAGCACTTTTGAATGTATACGCATATTTTTTTCTCTCGCTGTAGAGCTCATCCGTTCTATTTCTGACCCCGAGCATCGAAGCATGACGCTGGAACAACTTGCAGTTGTCTCTGCACCTCAGATTTCGTTTGACCCTCAAGTTCCTGATCGGTTGATGGTAGAATTCACGCCGACCGTACCACACTGCGGAATGAGCACATTTATTGGTACGCACTTCGGCCCATGTCCCCGTTATCGACGATACTAACAGAAATTTGTCTCAAGGGCTTTCCATTAGGGTGAGGCTTTTGCGGAGTCTACCACAGCGGTTCAAGGTGGACGTACGCGTCAAGCCAGGGTCGCATCAGAGCGAGCATGCCCGTGAGTCATCTTGAATTTATTTTCTCTTTCATAGTCTCACTTCTCATACTGCCCAGTAAACAAACAGCTGAACGATAAAGAGCGTGTTGCCGCTGCCCTGGAGAATCCCGCTTTACTCGAAGTACTTGAGCAGTGTCTTTCGACTGCAGGGCAGGGTTCCGATGCCATCGTTGTATGAGCATCAGGTTTAGAGCCTCAATCTAAGGCCCCAGCATGTAGGAACTATTCGTGTATCGGTAACATCTGTATCGCATATCTATCAAATAATGGGAACGGCAAGAGGTATCGGTTTTTGATCTAGGTCGCATGGGTCACCATCTACAAGGAAGAGGTCGCATACTAGCCTGTACATATACTAAGCAGTATGTGATAACGCATTATCGAAAGCGGTCAAGAACAGAACGGAGTACTCAGGTGATGCTACAGCAATGAGGAAATGAGTATACGCATATATGCTTATGCTACAATGCTTGTGTGGCGGGAAGGATCTGGTGTAAGTAATCGACAAATCAGTGTGATGATACAGTTTCAGAGCAAGCACGGGTAATCGCGGAAGCGTGCACAAATGGAGATGAACGAAGTTTACCAAGAAACCGAATATAGAAGATCGAATGCCTAGAGGCTTAGTCCTCAAGGAGGAAGTCCCAGTCGATAGCGACCTCGGGAGCGCGCTTCGCACACCATCCGAGGCCGAACACGCGCTTGCAAGCCTCCCGGCAACGCGCCTCGGGCTCGCCGCGATGGATGTCCCACATGCGGAATGTCACATGGCCCGCGGTGTACACCACAACCTCGTCCTCGTCGAAGCCGCCGCTGGTGAAGCCCATGTTCTCTTTCTCCGAGTATGACGGGACGTCGGCGGACACGTAGAGGTCAGTGAAGTGGTGAATGCTGCGATTGCCCATGGACACGACAGAGGGACGGCGGGACTGCGTCATACAGGCATTCTGCATAATGCGGTTGGTGAAGCCTGAGGAGAATGACGTTTTCTTGCAGTGAGAAGAGCGGTGGATATGCCCTTTGAAGTCGGAGGGTAGCCAGATAGTGATGTCAGTGTGAGCCGCGGAAAACACCTCCAGACGGAATTTCGTCGTGCGCGAGGGCATGAAGCTGCGGCACTGAAATGGGCGTCCGCTTGAGTACACGAATGACATGATCATTCGACGCAGCACTTACAATTTTGACTTTGATGGAGGCGCCTTGCTCGCTGCCGACGTACATGCTCAGCCTATGGTTGAGCGGCTGGTTGCGGGCCCGGTAGTGCGGCAGTACGAGCGATACATCGACTGGGTTGTGCTCTGTCTCCAGCGCGTAATCATAAGCGATGCGTTCCCCCGCTCCCCTGTATTTGACACGGTGCGATCCATTGGATTGCTCGAGCAGACTCTCGGTGCCAGTAAAGAACCTACGATCCTACATTTCTGGTCAGTACGTTAGCCGCACACTGACCGTTGGAGAACATACGGGCGAAGAGCAATTAGACATCACAAGCGAAAGAATAAAGTAAGGAACGAGGGGTGGAACAACGAATGGGGGCACCCGCGGGGTAAAGTGTAGAAGATGACTATAGCCCAGTGATTATAACTAGAGCGAGTGTGAGGACACTGTGGCGTCAGTGCTGCATGCAGCATTGTGCCAGATATGGAAGGCATTGTCCTCCTCTCGCGGCCCGCTTTCCCATGAGGCCGGCCTCGACAACAAAAGGCTTCGATTGTTGTGCGACAATAACATCGCCTTTTCTTCCTTGTGCGTGGTTTCCTATACTTTCTCGTGGTGATGTTTTACTCCCGCGCGGTGCATCCACAGTTACTCATCCCGCCCGCGGCGCATGACCCTCAAGCGTGTCCGTGCACCACTGCTTTGTTCCGAGTCGCTCCTATCGGAAAGCACTCTGTCAAGCTGGCCGTGTTGTGCCCCTGGAGTGGTTACTCGGGGTGCCCTTGATCGCTAGACCAGCGCTAGGATTTTGTTCGTTGCAAGGTCGCTTGTATCCACTCAGTGCGGACTTCTGATCTGTAAACTCACACGATTATTCGTCTGCAGATGAAGCACAAATGGACTACAGACGCCATTCAACAGTGGACCAATAGACGTGACGAATACCGCCAGAGGAAGAATTTACCGCCATTGACGGACTTGCGCGATTCGCTGGACCCCAAGGATCAACAGGCTTATCGTACAGCGCTTACTACAGAACGGACGATATTGTTAAAACGGTTGGATGCTCACGCTACGGAAACAATGTCTTGGCCAGTGAGTTATCCATTTTTCTCGGGAATAATCAATTCGTGGTATAACGTTGGTTAGATTGAGAAGCACCCTTTTATACAGTACGGCGCACCGTTTTCTGGAGTTTTGTATCTCCCCTTGAATTTCCGTCAAACTCATGGCACTACAAAGGTCATTATCTTCTCATGTTGTCGATTTTGGCCTGTAATTAATCCGTCCTTATCAGCTCGGGTTCAGACAAGGTGATGATCTGAATAGAATAGTGTTTGAATTTTACAATGAAGAAGTGCAAAAGAATTATCCAGGCCCTAATTTTATTGCGCAAGATGGCCTGCGACCAAAACGGTGAGTGCCAAGGGAATGATTTTATGGTGCTTCTTATTAGCATTGTATCGCAGCTACGAATACCTTGGTCCCATGCCATTCGTCGTCGGATATCAGTTATCAGAGGCGGCAGGGGAAGCCTCTATCGAATGGTGGGACCGCTACCTGCAACTGAAGTGGATCAACGATGGCACTTGGAGGAATGAAGTTGATTTTGACGATAACGTTCAAGGTTGGGTCTCAAAATCGCGCGGTGACTACAGCAGGAATCTGGATATGTTCGAGTACACAGGCCTTGACACATAGTCAGTGTGTATACGGTGCCATGGTTAGTTTTGTGGTCTTCTATTTCACGCTGTTGGTTAAACTTACTGAATGCAGTGGTTATTGTTTTCTGAGAACAGTAAATTGAAGGGGATCAGAGAAGACGGAGTTCGAGACCTCGTCGTACGTGTTTCCGGTCCACTTATCGACCGTGCCGTAACGGAGACGGATCAAGAACGGCACGGAGTATGTCTTACTCTAAGCCTACAAGGGAAATTCGTTGTCCGATGGCTCTTATTGTCTTGACGCCCACAAGGGTTGAAGGTTGCTCACGCGCTTGATTTTGCACCGGGGATGGCATTATCTGCGTGGGAGGGAACGATATATACAACCTGCAGAACACCAATCCGACGAGGCGGAACTTGTCCTGACATCGAGTGGAGCAGGAACCGCCGACTTCCGTACCCCGCCCCCCTGTCTCTAGAAAAATAGCGGAGCATTGGCTTGCCTACCTACATAGCACTGAACATGCCGTCATGATATCAAGTTTGTGGATCTCAGTAACGCATTATGTCGATCTACTACATTCTGGATTTGGTTCAGCGCTTGTTAGATCACCATGGTTAGGTTGTACAGCATGGAACAACTTCTCCTTATGCGCTACTCTTGATGGTGGGAGAATCTATCGGTGGGTTTACTCAGCAATTTATGCGCGACAGCCTCGGACAGTAATTTCGGTGGGCTGGCCGATATTTGATAGGATTGAAACACTCGCGCACAGGCACAGCAATTAATGGGGTTATATCCAGCGATGTGAGCTCGGAGCATCCCGATTATATATGACAACACACCCCGATCAAGAGTCACTTGATTATCGGAAACTCAGGATCTATCACAGCACACAATGGTGTACTGCTTGAGTCGTGGGACCTCGTGGGTGCGCATCGTTTAGGAAGATGAGATCAACTCGCAAAGGTGTGGTCGTCTCCCATAGACTAAAGCTAGTTCGTTCAGATAGTGGGCTTGCGCCGCGAATCGCGGACCAATGCTGAGTAAATCTGAGCATGCAGTACCTGGTGTTACCAGGTTAGGAAACTCTGTTGCCTCTTTGAGATTCTCACCGGGGATCTCCGAAAGGCACGTGCTTCAGGCTGTCGCGCCAAACGCGTGGATTTCTGCAGCTCTGTTCAGTTACACCACCTGCACCTTTTTCGCGTCTCTCTGGGAAGGCGATGCCTCCTAAAGTATGTGACTATTGCAAGCCACTTCTCTCGAAGTCTGTCCAATGATGATTGTACAGAGAAAACGGGCGGACGAATCCGTGGCTACTACGACACGGACCACCCGCTCGTCGGCTCGCGCAATGAGCGTGGATACCGCGCCTTCGGTCGCGTCTGCGTCAACCCCCGTGAATACCATGTCCACGCTTTCGGAGGTTGAGGGCGAGGCAGATGTACGTCCCGTCCATTTCGCTCGCAGCAGCCAGGAGTGATACACCATTTTTTCCTGGAATATGCAGGAGCCACCACCTCCAAAGAAGGGTAGGGCCAAGAAAGGAGGCACTTCCAGGGCGAAAGGGAAGAATAAGATACAACCTACTACGTACGTGTGTGACTTTTCCTTCCTGCTATTGTAGAGGACCCTAACCCCATACTATAGCGCTAATGAAGTACGATTCCTTCCAAATATGGGCATTTTCTGGACGTTCCGTTGCTGACTCATCTATGCAGGCCCAGTCCCAGGATGTCAAGTGAGTGGTCTTGTCGACAATCTCACATTTACGTGTCCTTGTGCCCGCAGGCGTACAGCCTCGTTCCATTCACTTCCCTGCTGCGCGGAACTGTCGAAATTCTGTTTCATACAGGCGGAAAACGCGTGTTTTGGCAGCTCAGGTCGGCAGCCTTTGCGCCGTCTTCTGTTACGCTCCTGCACACCTTATGCCCATTACTTCACTCTTCTGCTGCATTCCTCATAGAAGTTCTTACAGCGATAATGAACCGTCTACGTCCAATAACACAAAATCTAAGAAAAGAGCACCTGAACCGTATACTCCTGCGGGAGCGGCGTCCCTATTCAGCAGTTACACTGACCCGGACGATCTGAACGTAATAGGCCCAGAGGGCTTTGAGCGCCTGTGCTCGGACATGGATATTTCGCTGGAAGGCGCTCTGCCTCTCGTACTTGCATGGCAGATGAACGCAAGTGAGATGGCGAAGATCTCTAAGGATGAGTGGCAAACGGGGATGGAAGAGCTCCAGTGCGTTCGTTTTCTGTAATTTACTCAGCACAGAGATGTGGCTTACACTTGGTGTCATTCTAATATGCAGAATTGCGTGTCTCGAATATTTGGCTTTAGCTCTGCACGACGTCGAGGATATGCTGCTGTTAAACAAACCGCCCCTGAAACATCCTGCAGTCACCCCTGCACGTACCAAAAAGAAGACTGTTCCGTCGGAGCCTTACAACCGTGTGCGGTATTGGAAGTACGCAGCGGATACAAACAAGGCGTTCTCAGAATTGTATTCTTACTGCTTCAATCTCGCCAAGCCAGCGTAAGCTTACGAATTTGTCACTATTTGAATGTGACTTACCCGCATGTTCCAAGTGGAGCCAGGAATATCGACATGGAGGTAAGGCGTGCGATCCACACTCTCGTTCCAATAACTTATTCCATGTGGCCGTTGTTCAGACAGCGTCTGCATTTTGGAGTGTTCTTGTTGTACCGCAGTATCCCGTCATGAAAGAGATGCTAGAATTTATCAACGTGTGTTCCTCCAGCAATCTGCCTCACAGTTTACTGATAACGTGTGACAGGACAAGGGAACCTACAAGGGTGTCAATAAGGATCTCTGGAGCATGGTGCGTTGTTCTTTTTTTGGTTGTCATTCTCTTTGTCTCGTCCTGCTTATTTGTCTCCTGATACACCTTCAGATCCTTGAGTTCTGCCGAACAATTCAACCGGATTTGTCAAACTACGACGCGGACGGTGTAAGTATATATTCACACCAGTGCTTCCGTTCTATTAGTCTAACATGTAGATCGTCAGGCGTGGCCTACAATGATTGACAATTTTGTCGAGTGGAAGACCAGCAGGAGTAAGGTTGATAGAGAAGAACCCGCTGCACCGATGGATGTGGATGAATGAAGATCACTTATCACGACAATGTCATCAGCATTTGTGGTTTGGTTATGCTTCATTTTCCCAACTGCTCTCCCGTGTCCCAAGGTCATTCCTTTGCTGTTTCGCTGTATCGTGCACAATTTCCGCCACTGTTGCATGTCTACGTTACGCTCCGACATTCTACACCCTCACACTTTACGCTTTCACATTACGATGTGCCTTAGTTCCGAATACCAGTGGTGTCCTGTGGGTTCATCGGTCAAAGGTTCAGCGGGTTGCGGATTTTTGTCAATTATTTACGTAATTACGTGTTGATAAGGGTCATGTAGGAAGAAATTACTGCAGAAATTACTGTCACAGTCTTCCCACTACTCCCATCCGCTGCAACATGTCGAGTAGAGCAGGCGGGCTCTACGGAGGAATCCAATTCTCCTCTACTAAAGCTTTCTCCTCTTCTACCCCTCAAAATGCCGTTCAAACGCCTGTGACTGCGCCTGTCGAGAAAACAGAAGTAACTGCAACACCCTCTACTGATCAGCCCTCGACAGTCCCGCCAGTAGAGAACGCGAGCGCAACGGCGAGCATAAGCACTACGTTTGATGCAGGCGCATCAGCGAAGGCTACAGCCGGTATCTCTTCCTCTCCTGCAGCCTTGCCGATGTAGACGTTGTTATTCACACAATCATCGTTCATGCTTCTCCCACCTGCCCCGGACGCATGGTGATCACCAGGATGGTCTGCCAGCCTCGCATTCGCGCCCATCCGCCGCAACCAAGCGCAGAAGGCGAAGCCTGCCGCGCCGCGTCTGCCTGTGGGGGCGGCAATGACCACAGCGATGGGCGCGGGCGCTCCTGCGGCGATCTCGAGCACGGCGATCGTGTTTGCGCCCCCTGCTCTTGTGGAGCCGGCCAAACCCGCCGAGACTCAGAATCAGCCGCAAGGGCAGGGATGGGGCAGGAAGGTCAAACCGCCGTCTATGGTTCTTGACGAAGATGTGAATGGGTTCAAGACTCAAAAAGGCGGAAAGAAAAAGGGAAAAGGCAAAAAGGTCAGTCTCTTCAACAAGGTATCCGAGTGGGTGTTGACGGCGTGACATCGTAATGCCAATAATTTGCACAGCACAAAAATGCACCTATTGTCGCAGTATGGGATCCCACGGAGCAATACAACCCCATGCGTCCAAATGATTATAATGAGTACAAGAACCACAAGCGTCACGAACACGAGGAGCGACGGGAGCAATTGGCCGAGAAGCGCCGCGCAGAAGAACGGAAGAGGAACCGACGGAGTAATAGCTACTCGGACAGCTATGGAAGTGGTTCCGACGACGAGCGACCGCGGAAAGCAGGTGCGTGTTCTGCTGTTGGGGGCTACAAACGTCGCTATGAGCTCTATTTTTTCCTCGCAGGTCGTTTCGACGATCGTGATGATTACCGCAATGAGGAGGATTATGACAAACCCCGTGGACCTGGCAGTGGTCCTCCTGGGCAGCCCCCGCCGGCAGCCATGCCGATGAACCTGACCGGCGACGAGGCCTATCAGCGCCGACTTGCAATGTCTGCTGCCTTTCGCCGTGCAGCATCCCCGGGTCCCCCTACCTCCTCCACAACGCCTGTCACTTCGACAGAGTTCGTTATACCTTCATCTTCGTCTGCCCGCTCTTCGGTATCCTCCACAGTTCCTCAGGCTCCTGTCTCAGGTCTCCCACCTAGTTTCTCCCCCGCGGCTGCCGATGATGAGGACGAAGATGTCATACCAGGGCTTAACGTTCCTTCGGCTCCACGTATTCTGCAAGGAGAGACAGGTGAAGACGCTTACTTGCGCCGCCTGGCATTGTCACAGGCATCTCCACCTTCTGCGCCCGCCCGCGAAGAGCGTGATGGTTCACCGCTGGCATACAATCCCTTTGCCCCGCCATCCTCGGTGCCTCCTCCGCCTACCCTTGCACCCCCGATGGGCACAACGTTATCAGAAGAAAAGGTACGCAGCAGCCAGCAAGTAGCGGCTGCTATTGCTGCGAAATTAAGAGCTCTCGCTCCCCCTGCTGGATCTGATTCTCCTGAGCTATCTGCGGCGTCAAGCAGCCAGTCACCGGTTCCAGAGGCTGCTCCGAAAAGGCACGTATTTGTTTCAATGGTATGAACGCTTTTCTGAAGATTTGCGCTTTCACGTGTGGCAGGCCTGACCCGCGCGGTTTCGCTGAACGCCTCATGGCTAAGTGGGGACATAAGGAAGGCCAGGGTCTCGGCGCTGATGGAAGCGGGATTGTGCACGCGCTCACGGTAGAGCAAGTCGCGGGTGGGAAGGGGAAGGGGAGGGGCGGTAAAGCCAAAGAGCAGGGAAACAAGTCTATTGGTGTGGGCTCCAAGATGGGCAAGATCGTGAACTTGAATGAGGACGCAAAGACGCGGGAAGACCGGGAGCGGTTCGGCGAACCGAGCCGCGTCGTGGTACTCACGAATATGGTGGGGCCGGAGGATGTTGGGGACGAGGATCTCAGAGAGGAAATTGGTGCGTGCAATCAGTTCGGAGTTGCAGGCCGTCGTACTCATTAACTTCCCTGGCCAGGTGACGAATGCTCGAAGAACGGTACTGTTGAGCGTGTCATCGTACACCTCGTACAACCGCCGCCCGAGGAACCAGAGGATGCTGTTAGAATCTTCGTGCTATTCGCAGGGCCCGTGGGCGCTTGGAAGACGGTTAGGGAACTGGATGGGCGGTACTTTGGCGGCCGCAGCGTGAGGGCGCGCTATTTCCCGGAGGCGCGGTTCAACCAGTTCGCGTTTGACGCGCCATTGTGATGATAGTCTTCTATGTGTTTTGAAATGTTTTATTGCGTCTGTTATCTATAGCTCGGTGCTTAAGGTAAGGAAGGGTACCGACATACGAAGGTGGGAACCAGCTAGGTAAATCAAATTTCCACGTTTGACACAACACATCCATTGTCCGTGCAAGAAAAAGGCCAATGACAAAGGAGTCCCATCATCCCGTGAAGAAATGCCCACCCAGCACAATGATCTAACTGCGTCACAAGATGTTCTACAAGAACAATAGTAATCGGCAATGTTGTGCAGAACGAAAGAACACGTACCTTGGATGGCACTTATTGGAGCACCGCGGCAGGTAGAGGGAGGTGGTGCTAAGTCGGATGCAGGCATCATGGAGACCATAGCGTCCCGTGGCGTACTACCGGTCGTTAAAAAACAATGACCACCGGAACCAACCATTATTCTGAAGCCGATCAGATTGCTAAAACCACATCGACACTGAGAAGCTGGTGTCTTCACTGCGCATGGCATGCCACCATCCAGGAGGGAAAAAAAGTAGTTCTCCGGGTTCGAGTGTCACCGCCATTGCCTGGGGGACGGTGTTGTCCCAGAAGAGCGGGTAATCACCATGGTTGGCTGCAGTGTCTGAGAAGACATCTACGCGAGATGTGTTGCCCATCGATGGATCTGTGCTGTTCGCAGCCGGGTTGCGCGCTTGGTTGGAGGAGACTGAGGGAGGAGGGTAAGGGTACATGGACGGAGTCGTGCTTGGAGGAGCTAGCCAGACGGTTTTTCGTCCTACAACTTGCGCTGCGAGAAGCGTGAGCAAAATTGTGGGAAAATACTTAGCTATAGCTCACCGAAGAAGTTGAAGAACGGATCCTTACCGTCGATAAGTCAGAAGTTACAATAGTGCTCCTACCAGAAACATGCACGCACCGTATGCGCGGGAGAGATGGTGCCCGCGGGTCCTAACCACGTATTCAGGACTAATTGGTCCTCGTTCGCCGGTGGTGTATATGTCGGAAAATCCTCCGTTGGAGATGGAGAGGTATATACATAATCCGGAGGCATCATGTCATCTCTGAGAGCAGGAAACTGCTTGAGGAGATTGTGCTGAGCCAGGTACAGCGTCGGCCGTTGCTCCTGATTTGAATCACGACCCAAAGAGTCCAGGAACTCATCCCAAGGCATCATCTTCTGTGTCCAATCTGCTTCTGTATAATCCCGACCAATTTCCACTGGAACTACCCGCCCAGGTCCAGTTACCGCTCGCAAATAGTCCAGAGATCGCCATGGGTGCTCATTCATGGCAGGCCAGTCGCAAATATAACCAGGCAGGACGAAGGGTCGTCTCGACAATGACGTGGCAAAAGATGTTAGAGATGGGGGTACATCTAAGCGCGGCACAGCTTCCGAATAAGTCCTCAGCGCAGTAAGCGGGAGAGTCGGAGAATGTGGAGTGGTCACTGGAACGGGAACCAACATCTCACCAGCTCCGGGAGACCGAAAGCATTTAGACTGGACTTCTGCAATAAGATCAATGGTGAAATCCAGTCGGCCTTCCCCCGGAGCCCCTGCGATGATGATAGCATGGTCAAGTCTCGCGATGCAGGACAGCGCATACTTTTGAGCGTTTGTTGAGTTGAGGCTATATATGTCTGCTAAAGACCGTAGGATGCAGGCGTCAGTATACAGCCTCCGCCATCCAATCTGTGCTGCACTCGAGGACACTGCCATTTCCTTGTGTGCCAGCTGGATGAGTTTGTCTAACTTCAGACAGAGCTCGGCATCAGGCGATGGTGTGTCCGACAGGCGAGCTGCAGCGTCCCGCAAGGCATCCACGTTTTCTGCTCCTTACATGGATCAGCGCTCTCTGCGCTCTTCAGGTCTGACATCACTCACCCTGCGGTGTAGGTCCAAAGTCATTCCCCAAGCTCTCCGAGACTGCGCGTGCGGCACCCTGAGCCCATGCGATTGTTGTCATGCAAGAGTTGGTCTACAGAATTCTCTCAACGCTTCGGTCCGTGATGCAATGAAGGCGACTCAGTGGATCTCAAGATTTCTCATGACCGCTTTGGGTGAGAGAATGACTGGTCAAACCGAGGTCAAACGAGATTGTACACAAACTACGGATCAGCAGGATATCTAAGCGGCCTCGATATGGTTCACTCCATCTTTCATCAAATTGTGCGGACAAACGCTCGGCGAATTCCATTTCTTGTCATTCCGACTCTCCGAGCGCAGAGAAGGGAAAAAAAGGTGCATTAAAGAGACTTACAGCTAGTGGACAGCGAATTCGCTGAGAGGGACGTCGAAGAGGGGGTTGGGTGATGGAGGACAAACGAGAACATAGGTGTGACGAAGACAAAGTTGATCAGTCACGCGGGGGAAGATTCGCAGATGACCACAGGGGTCACCCGTGACATGATCAATTTTCTGTCACAAGGGCGAACTTGATAAAAGGTGCAGTCGTCGTGGCCGGTGGGCGTGAGAACAACCCCGTTTGCTGTCTTCGATCTCTGTGCCGGCACGTGCGGTCCGGCTCTACCCTTTTTACGTTATGACCTCTAGGTATGCACCCTCCTCCCGTTATGGCAGTCGTAGTAGTCATCCCACATCTTCAGGTTGGACCGGCTCCTCCTTCTTCTCGACACCGGTTCGTCGACCTCAGTGAGGACAACAGCAGCAAAGCAAATCGCACAACTAGCAACCAAGAGCGTCGTCGGAGATGCTGTATTGGTCGAAGAGGATATTAAGACAAACCGTCAACATGTTACTCTCAGCGATCAGTCGGGCTGGTCCGAGCTAATGGCCGTGGTAGCTCGGGTGTGTTGCACTTTCTCTTCTTCATTCATATCAGGTTTGATATTGCTCTCTAGATCCTACCGTACCTTCATTCTAGATCTCATGAAACACGCTCCGCCGCATCCACATCCCTCGCCCAGATCTGCGCTCTCATTCCGTCATGGCAACCCGCGTCAGGGGAAGAGGTGATGGCCTCAGATGACATGGTTCCTCCCTCTCCCCCAGAGTTTCCGCCTTTTTCTGTTCAGGAGCTGATGGAGAAAGGCACCCTACTTTTAGCATCCTCTGGCAAGGAGTTCACCAAACCATCGGGAATCCTGTCGAGTTCTCTTGAAGTCAAGAAGGCTCGAAAGGAAGCCATGGGCCGCCTAGGACTCGACTTCCTTGACAGCGTCGGAGGCGCGGACGATATGGACATCGAGAAAGAGTTGGCAGAAGACATCGACCAGGACGTGGAGATGAGCAGCGTGAAGGCTGAAGAGGACATACATCCGCTCAGTCCTACTGATGAGATGGTCGATGTCAAGATGAAAGAGTCTTCTCCTGCTGGTCGGTCTACCTCAACCACCCCCGCCGCCCCATCTCCTGGACCATCTGCGACTGCGGCCGCGCCGATCGACGAGACGGCGGCTCTGTCAGCGCGGGAGCGTAACCGTCTGAAGCGGAAGCGGAAGGCAGGCAATGGTGCGTTCGTAGCAGCACCACCACCTGCACAAAGTGTCGGAGCCAGATATAGTGCGACAGCTGCTGGTCTATCAAAGTACGGATACTCATTCTATTGACATCTGAATATGTCCTGACAAATACCAGAGCTCGATTAGTGTCCACGGATGATCGCGCAGGACCCTCCAGCAAAGCGGAGCATCCACAATCACCAGCGGACGGTCCTTCTCGTGACCGCGTTGTCATCGATCCTTCCAAAGGTGGCGCTGTCTCCCCAAAGGTTGAGAAGCAATCAAAAGCATTGGAAGTCCAGTCAGGTTGCTGGCCGTGGGATGGCGTTGTGAAGGTGCTGGAAGTTGACTTATTCAGTCCTGCATGGGAAGTGCGACATGGAGCGGCGTTGGCCCTGAGGGAGTTGCTCAAGATCCAAGGAAAATGTGGCGGCATGCGAGGTACAAGGATTTAACAGGTCGAGTCTTATTCTTTACTGATGGCCTCGACCTCTAGTTGATTCCTCTTGGGGAGATAATCAGATCGCTCACGAAAGATGGTGTAACGATCTTGCAGTCAAATTCCTCTGCATATTCGTGCTCGACAGATTTGGAGACTTCGTCTCGGATCAGGTACGCGTTTCGCATATCCATCGTCGAACAGTGTGGCTCAAGCTCCCTGTCAGGTCGTTGCTCCTGTTCGAGAGACGGTATCGCAAACTCTAGCCTCGCTCCTTATCCACATGCCTCGTAGATCTGTTTTACATGTCCATTCAGTCCTTCTGCAGATGATCCGGCAAGACTTTCCCATCACTGTGAAGCCTTCCCAAGGAAAGCTCGCCGATAGACATGCTGAGAAGGGCCATGTTTGGGAAGTTCGACATGCTGGTCTACTCGGGATTAAGTACGAAGTGGCTGTCAGGAGTGATCTGGTAAGCCCAGATGCGTCGCGAGGCCATCGCGAGGTTATCGAAAGCCAGAAAGAGGTGCTGCGAGGCGTGGTCGATGCTGCTGTCCTAGGGTAAGTGCACTTTGCATCCGCATCTCAATGACCACAGATTGACAATTGTTTCAAGACTGGGCGATCGGGATGATGACGTTCGGTCGGTTGCTGCGTCGTGTCTTCTCCCCGTGGCTGCACATTTAGTCGAACAATTGCCAGAGGAGTTGAGCCGCGTGCTCGCGGTTCTCTGGAGCTGTCTCGGTAATATGAAAGATGATTTGAGCTCCAGTGTCGGAGCGGTCATGGACCTTCTTGGTTGGCACTTCCTTTATATTGTTATAGACGGTGTTATTAATATCATTTTGAAGGCAAGCTGGTCACCTATAACCAGGTAATCGAGATCATCGCTGATCAAACGCGGTCGTACGTGCCTACTGATCAGTCAATATCCTATTCATTAATGGAATCTTACAGGCATCCGATCTCGGTGCTCGCCCCTATGCTGTTCCCCTTCTTCCGTCACACGATAGCAAATGTCCGGCTCGCTGTGGTGAAGACGCTTCAAGCGTTTATGACCGTTTCATCACTCCCCAAGGACTGGATCAAGCTGCCCTTCCTCAAACTACTATTCCAGAATTTAATCGTCGAAGAACGCTCGGATGTCAGGGAAAGCACTCTCTCAGCATGGCGGCTCGTCCTGTCTATCTTGAGCCCGGTCGATGGGTGGATGCATTCTCTGATCCAACAACAGGTTCTGCTTGACTGGTATGCGGTCTTGATGACACCGCTTGGTCTGCCCCTCGATACTTCTACGTTCTATGATCCGACTTTGGCAGCCAACCATGGTGTGCCTCCGGAGAGACATAATGTGGATAAGAACATGCTTGCCCAAGATATAGCTCTGGTGACAGTGGAGGTTGTACTGAAAGCTCGGATTGCTGCTGCCACAGCGCTCGCGTACATCATGGCATTCTGGCCGTCTGCGGTAGGTTTGACGTCTCCGTTATGATTTACCCAAGCTGACGCACGGTCCGTCCACCAGGGTTCGGGCATGAAGCTAGATGACATGTTCCGGCCAATCCTCGCTCACTACATTGACTCAACTAGCATGCTTCAGAAGTTCCTGGCTGCAATCATCGCGGAACAGTGGGCGCGAGAATATGACAACACCGCGTCACCGTCGGATCCTTTGCTTATCAACAAGTCGACTCTTGCAGCAGAGATCAGCGGTAAGACGCTGGCGTGGTTGCAGGGAGACGCTCCCCCCGCGTATCACGAGATGGCGTTCACGCTTGCTCGCATACATGGCGAATGCACAAATCTGCTGCAATCCTTTGTGTATGACTGCAAGGTCCCGCAATCGTCTATTCCGTCGTTGGGAGTGGAGGTTGACGTCACCGGGACAAGGCCCGGCTGCTTCACTATTGACATCGCGCAAGCTGCCGTAGGTGAAATGTTCACGACGCTAAAGGACATCCTGGGTCGGACAAAAAAGCGGGAGCTCGCTATCATCAAGGAGAAGCGGATTAAGGTCATGGCTAGTATTGACCGTTACATTGAGGTCAAGGCGCAGTATGACGTCCGTGTCGCTGCCGCTTTTGCTGCTGCGTTTGTAGCGTTCAAGAGCACACCCGATAAAGTCAGTCCGATCGTCAAGGGCATCATGAATAGCATCAAGGTAAGGATACGTCATAATACCCATCTGCTCTCACTGAAGACCTCCTGATCATTATAGAATGAGGAGAACGTCGACCTTCAAACTCATTCCGCGATTGCTGTCGCATCGTTCGTCGAATTTTGCGTGCAACGCGATCTGCCCCAACCTCCGGATAAGATTGTCAAGAATCTCTGCACTTTCCTGTGTCAAGACGTTGATCAAACGCCTACGTTTGCCTATGCGCGCAAGATCCTCAGTGGAGTTTTGTCTTTTCCGAAATCATCGGCTGCCCACAACAATGGCAAGGATATCTCTGACAAGGCCGCGCTTAGTCCTGAAGAGGCTGAGAAAGCCCGTCTATCACGCCGCGGTGCACGTCTGGCTTTCGAGCAGTTGTCGACGAAATTCGGGCCGCGGCTACTGGAAGTTGTGCCAAAGATGTGGCAGTCTATGGCCGGTGGGCTGCTCAGCGCGTGCGCAACTGGTGTGTTCACTTCTTCATCACCGTGCAATTAGCTCAACCATTCGCAGATTCTGTGAGCAAGATGGACACAATGATCGAGAAGCACTTGGGTCAAGATGTCATCGACTCTTTCAGCGTTCTAGAAGCTGTCGTGCCCACATTCCATGAGGCACTTTGGCCCACGCTGAACGAGCTGTTCCCGATGGTCATCCTGGCCCTTCGCAGCCGATTTGCGATTATCCGTCAATCCGCCGCTCGGTGCTTCGCCACGATATGTTATACTATGACCGTCGAGGCTATGCGATACGTCATCGAAATAGTAGTTCCTTTCCTCGGTGACTCCTTGAACCTGGCGTACAGGCAGGGCGCGGTGGAGCTGATTTATCGTAAGTGATCGTTGGTTGTCGTAGTGTTTTCGCTTCTGACGTCCAGTGCAGATATCGTCCAGCAGCTGGATATCAAGGCGCTCCCGTATGTTATCTTCATGGTTGTCCCGGTCCTTGGGCGGATGAGCGATTCAGATGAGGATATCCGCGCCACCGCAACGAACACGTTTGCTTCGTTGGTGAAGATGGTACCGCTGGAGGTAAGGAAGCTTGCAGCATTCTGATGTCTCCTATATCTCATTCGTCTGGTTTGCCAGGCCGGCCTTCCGAGCCCGCCGGGTTTCTCTGAGGATATGCTTCAACGTCGTGACGAGGAACGCAAATTCCTCACCCAGCTGCTTGACGGTAGCAAGGTCGAACAGTACACCATTCCCGTTGTAATCAAGGCGGAGTTGAGGAAATACCAACAAGAAGGCGTAAACTGGCTTGCGTTCCTTGCCAAGTACCAGCTGCACGGAATCCTTTGTGATGGTAAGCTCTTGCGTACACCCCGAAACTCATTGCGAGCTCACTTAATATACCAGACATGGGTCTTGGAAAGACGCTGCAATCTATTTGCATTCTTGCAAGCAAGCAATATGAACGAGCTAAGAGACACGAGGAGATTCACTCGCCAGACTCTGTTCATCTTCCGTCGATCATCGTTTGCCCACCTACGCTCACGGGTCACTGGTACTACGAGATCCTCAAGTACGCAGAGAGCCTCAAACCCATCCTCTATACCGGGAACTCGAGAGAGCGCGCCAAGCTCCTTGTCAAGCTGAAAACGTACGACGTGGTTATTACTTCATACGAAGTTGTACGAAACGACATCTCCAACTTACAAGGTCTGAATTGGCACTACTGCATCCTTGACGAGGGTCATATCATCAAGAATGCAAAGACAAAGCTCACGAAGGCCGTGAAATGCATTCGCGCACACCATCGCCTTATCCTCTCTGGAACGCCAATTCAGAACAACGTGCTGGAACTCTGGAGTCTCTTTGACTTCCTTATGCCCGGCTTCCTTGGCACCGAGTCGTCATTCAACGAGCGTTTCAGCAAGCCTATCCTATCGAACCGGGACGGGAAGGCTAAGACCGGCGAAGCTGGTAAGTGTACCATAATTCTTGTGAAAGAGAACATGGGTGCTAGTAACTCTCAACAGCTGCCCTTGCCCTTGAGGCCCTGCACAAGCAAGTTCTTCCCTTCCTCCTGCGGCGTTTGAAGGAAGACGTCTTGCATGATCTGCCACCAAAGATCATCCAGGACTACTACTGCGAACTGTCAGATCTGCAGAAATACCTCTACGATGACTTCTCACAGTCTCGGGCGCGCCACGCAGCGGAAGACGTCGTCCGTTCGGAAGAGGGAAAGAGCGGGCAGCAACAACACGTTTTCCAATCTCTTCAATACCTACGGAAGCTCTGCAACCATCCTGCACTGGTCCTCAAGAACGACAAGCAGGCTATCTTGGATGCTTTGTCGAACTCTGGGCAGAAGGCCGAGTCGGACGACTTGAGTGACATTCACCACGCCCCCAAATTGCTTGCTCTTCGGTATGCAGTAAATCCAGTCGTTATGGTCTAAGTTAACATACTATTTTGTGCAGACAACTCCTCATTGACTGTGGAATTGGATCTGCCCCTGGAGTGGGTGGCGAAGTGGCGAAGAGTGAACTCATCGAAACGGAGTCCACAGGCACAGGAGCCTTCTCTCAACACCGCGTTCTCATCTTCTGCCAGATGAAACAGATGCTGGACATCATCGAAACCGACCTCTTCAAACATTACATGCCCTCTGTAACATACATGCGACTAGATGGTGGAACGGACGCCAAGAAGCGCCATGCCATCGTCCAGACGTTCAACTCTGATCCCAGCATCGACTGCCTTCTCCTGACTACCCATGTCGGGGGTCTCGGTCTGACACTCACCGGTGCCGATACTGTCATCTTCGTAGAGCACGATTGGAATCCGATGAAGGATCTTCAAGCCATGGATCGCGCCCACCGTATTGGCCAGAAGAAGGTCGTGAACGTGTATCGCCTCGTGACGAAGGGGACGCTAGAAGAAAAGATCATGGGGTACGCGCCTTGTCTTCTCAGCATGCTAATCTATCTGACGATCTCGCAGCCTGCAGCGCTTCAAGCTTAATATCGCTAACTCAGTTGTCACGCATCAGAACTCCGGCCTGGCGTCCATGGACACCGATCATGTGCTCGACCTGTTCAGACGCACTACCGAAGAGGAGGATGCCGCAGCGGCTACCAAACATAAAAAGAAAGACAAAGATGCCTCCTCACTTCCAGGTCAGAGGAATGTCCTGCGCGGCCTAGAGGACCTTCCCCCGGAGGAAGAGTACGAAGGGTTAGACCTGTCGAGTTTCATGGGTTCCCTTGGACAGAAGTGACCTCACTATCTTATTATTTGCTTTCGTTCTCGGACTCTGCTCAATGAATAGATATACTGATAGGACTGTACACTGTGTCTGTAGTATTAGCGATTAATACGTTATAATCGTTCTCTCGTCCCATTGATTCGCATACAAAATATATTACAATACGCACCTTATTCATTCTCCCCGAATCCAAGATTCCAGAGACGTACGTCTGAGACCTTGGAGAAATTCCCGTGAGCCTAACGAAGGGAGAGTCGTTCGGATCTCTTCCGCAATGGGCCGCTATAGATCAATGTAAAACCTGTACTCCAACTCGAGGAGCCACAGCTGTACAAGTAACTAGCACCGACCACACTGCTTGAGGTCGTCAGGTTTGTATCACTCACTGCTAACCGTGCATTTGGTACGACATAAGCGGGCACCGTCCGTGTCTTGCTTAGAGTTCCGGAGGCGGCAGCGTCAATGGTGGAAATGCAGATGGACTTGCCGGTTCTCGCCACCACTTCAGGTGCGATGCGATTCAACCGCGTATCCGGTTCTATCATGAAGCTTGATGGTGAATTCGTACATCGGTATTTCAAGTCTGCCACAGTGCCTAACCTTAAAACAAGCGATAAAAGATGGTAAGAACGCGCACATATCCCGGGAGCCGCTCTCATGGCACCACATATGCATTAGGGCACCTTCAGCAAATGCCACCTGTTCGAATCATTGACGAGTTGTTGAAGACGGAGCACTCCGTCGTCATGCAGTCGGTAAGCGAACCATACCTGGCAGCGATTAGCAACATACAGTTTAGCCGTTTAAAAAATTGCTTTCGCCGATCAATCATAAGTGCTTAAAGGACAAGGCATTGCACGTCAAGAGTAGCATCGAGCTAGACACAAAATACAAAGAATGGAATCGTCGCATGCTCCGAGGGTCGTCGACGAACATTTCGTCCGTGTACCATACAACACTGCGACTTGCGGAAGAAAAAGACACGAACATCGATGATTCATAGACGGAAAGCGATGACGTTAGAATTTCAGAGCCTCGGAGATGACATATGAACGAATATCGCACTTATCGTATTTGCAAAGGAACCATGATCACCATCCCTGAATGCGAAACGTAGCCAGAGCACCGGTCGCTACTTGACAATCGGCAAGCTGACTGCACTCACAGTTAGCAGCGGTTCTGACAGCGAAGGCTCGGCAGCATACCTGATATGAAGCCCTCACGAACTTTCAACTTGGTCTAGCCGATGCTCCCTGTCCCGCCGGAGGGAAGCTAGAAGCTCCAGCACCTTTTTCCATCTAGATTCATCGGGAGAACGGAAGTCTCTCTTTACGTCCACTTCATAAGCTATCGCCCTCTTGAGGTCAAGTTCTGGGAAGATCACGTCGAGAAAATGTGCCGCCGCAGACGGGTCTGGGACCGAGTCGTTTAACAAAGCATTGAACCTGAGGGTGCGTAGACAGTGTCCGACCGCAGAAATATTAGACAAAGAGTCCGGTGATGGAAGTGCATCGAAGTTCAGGTACGGCAGACTGAAGTCTTTGAGATTCGGACAGAGGCGGGCGAATGCAGTAAGGACATGCCCCGCATCCACTGACGTAGCCGTGCCCCAGATTGATAATACCTCTGCATCAGGCCAAGCAGAGGCCATGTCCACGAGCTCTTGGTTTGACAATGACATGCCCTTTAAAGGTGTCAGGTCTATGACGCGAAGACTGCGCAACGACATGAGGGATTCGATAATTGCTGATAGTGGCAGATCCTCCGCTCCGAAACCCGTTGCACGAAACTGCAGATTGCACAGAGAAGGGAATTTGGCAGCTATCATTGCTGACAGAGAGCGGAGTGATTCGGCGTCCTCCTGGACCGCAATGTCGACCGAGAAAGTGTGGATAAACGGGGAGGAGATCATGGACAAGAACCGCATGGTAGTAAAGATCTCGCCATCAATCCTCAACGTCTGCAACATCTTGAATCCAAGGCGGGTGACAACATCATTGGCCATCGAATTGACGTCGATACTGAGCTCAACCAGGAGCGGCAATGCTGCAAGCCCTTGCAGAAGGGGAAGATTTAGATGATCCGGTTGTATCCGGAGTGAGCTGAGACGCCTGCACGATGAGATCGACACCAGCGACAAAGTGGTCTCGTACCCAGACGGGTATCTCATCGCACCCTACCACCGCAGATAACACGTCTGGGGCAGTTTGATAGAGCCCTCCTACCTTACAGTTAGCGCCCGTTAGCCGCTCGAGAAGCCTCGCTTACGTGCTTCTTTAATTATGTGCCTGCCCACTCATTGAGCGCGACTTTTGATCTCTATGCCCAGTTTACATGTATGTTTTGAGGAGATCTGACGGGAGTGAGTTCCCGAGAACCTCTGAAGCTTTTCCGAGATGGCCCGGATACTCTGAGCTCGTGCTGACACAAAGGAGCACCGGAAATGCATTAAGCCAGCTACTTTGAGTGAAAATGTCAAGGAATCTGGCTGAAAATATGCTCGGGCTCTTCCTGTGGTGCTAAAATGTTTCTAGAGGTATTTACAGCATTACTATACAGTGTTCATGCTAGTTCTGAGACATGCATGCCTATGATAGCTTGATCTTCAATGAAGGAGGACGTTCAAGCTTCGCAACAGTTGCCTGATTCGGCACAGACCTAGCCCATGGTCTGTCGCTTATCCGGCGCTCAACAGGCGCTAACTGTAAGGTAGGAGGGCTCTATCAAACTGCCCCAGACGTGTTATCTGCGGTGGTAGGGTGCGATGAGATAACCGTCTGGGTACGAGACCACGACAAAGGGTGATAGATGCCCTCTGCACAAATGGATTACAGGTGAGATGCACGAGAGCAGATGGTTCGCATAAGGGTGCTAAGCACTTCGTCATCAGTGCAATATTCCCAACTATCTCTGCTCTCATAGGCACTCTCATAGGATATGTCGTCATTCCTGATCCGAAGGGATCGCAGCGATGGCGCAATGAGAGGGAGTATGCTCCTATCAGATAGAGAATACTGCGTCCACGTCAATGTCTCCAGGTGCGGAAACAACGCCTGACTGCCATTGTATTCAAAAAGTTGCTCTAGTGTTGAGCTTCGAGTCTTTCGAGTCTCAAGCAAATATCCACTGGCATCGTACAAGAGCTTACATACGCGATTGGCGTATTGCCGGAATCGAGCCCAAGCAGCTTGCGACATTCGTTCCTGCAGATCCAAAACCTGCAACACATCAACATCAGATCGGAGTCACTCTCTTAGCCAAACCGTACGGTCTCTTACGTAGGCAAGTTCTTCAGCCATCCAGATCGTCCTGAACGAGGGAAGGAGCTTCAATGCTGGAAGTATATCATCTAGTTCCTCCCACAACATGTCCAGCGCCAGACCTGAAAATGCTCTACAGATGCGAGCAGAACTCGCCAGGGTCTTTCGATTCAAGTGACGATTCATTTCGCGTGAGCAACGCTGAAAGATCTCTTCGAGTATATCGAGACATTCCAAAGCGCGGTGCGGAGGCATGGGTATTGTTGCGAGCATGGAGACTCTACACGCCCAACCTTCCTTGAGATGCACGGGACATTAGACAATCATATGTACCAGTGCTGGTGAGACGCATGATAGTCGGAGCTGCAACATCTGTTAGCAATGTGGCCGTGACAACCTGAAATGCATGCTATCTCGCACACCATCCCTGGCCTGGAGAAGGCTGTCGGACAGCCGCCGCCCTACCTGTCTCCCATCTGAGCAGTCAGGCCACCTAGGGCTTGCTCCCATCAGTCTCCCATCAGCCATGATCGGCTGTACACGAGGCCTAGTGACTTGTTGAAGAAGTAGGTATCCCGGCTCCCTCCCAGCTGATCGTTGCAGACCACTGCAGCATCCTCAGCAAGCTGGCGAATGGGCAGATACCACCCTTCTCTGATGGCATATCACATCCAGTCATCACCTCCCCGCTAGTTCTGGCTTGTCAGCCAGGTGTAAATCAAGTAATGAAGTCTATTATGCCCGGCCTCTATGCTCTCTCGGTGTCTGAGACTATATGCACTATGTAGCACCTAGGAATATTATTCTCGTCTACACTACTAGTACGAGGGCCCGGGCTGAGCTGGCACGGCATCCACATTAATGTTATTTGTTAGTCTAGCACTTCGAAGATGGACAGAAATACATACCGTTCGACGGATCGGCAGCTGCAGGCTGAATGGCAGACACTTTCGCTTCTTGGGCTAACTTTTTGCGAGCCCGCGTGTCTGCCACCTTCGCTGCTGTCTGCGTGCATTTTATGGGGCCCGATTCACGAAGTCCTGCAGCAATCTCGCGATGCTTCATATACCGGTTGTCAAGGTAAGATATTGGTAACATTAAACCTGCGCCCTTGAAACTTGTCACACATGTGACATAACGTGACACGACAGTGTTCCGGGGCGACCAGAATTTTTGGAGAGCGCATTGAGAACGACATACAAGAGTTTTTGATAATCGTGGCGGCGGCGGCCGCAACGCCCGGGGCGTTCCCCCCCGGACCCCCCCTTTCTGAGGGAAATTGCATTTCCCCCAGACCCCCTTTGCTTCTTGTGCTGCACACGGCTTTATGCTGCCCACTTAGTAGAACATTAGTCTGCACATACACATACTTTATTATGGAGCTTGTATGTTGTAGCTATTAGAGGTTTTCTAAACTATCTCCAACTGTATGATGGCTTCCGTTTCTCGTGTAACTGTCGCTCGAAGGGCACCAACCGGTGTTCCTGATCCTGTGACTCCAGCTCGGGCACCGCGATGTGGCATTTGTCACCAGGGTGCAGTGATGGCGATAGAGGAGGAAGTAATATGAAGGGACTCACGGAGGTTTTGCCCCGAGTGAGTGGTTGTGTGCTGAATGGAGGCACTACCTGCAATAATACCACCCGATGCGAAGTGGCACCTGTTAGTTTTGCATGCATGCGAGGGCTGATAAACTCATCATAGCGAGAGAGCGCTGTTGCTGACTTCCGAGCAATACGCCGCAATGCCGATGTGAGCAAGTCCGTTGCCTGAAGCACTTCTTGCATCGCTGTCACATTGTCGCCGTCTTCTGCATCCACCTTCTCAAATGCCGTGATCATCGCCACCTTGTTTTGGATCTCTTCTCGCAAAGACGCATCACCAAACTTTGAGTCCGAGTCCGAGTCTGAGAGTCTTGCCAGAACTGATGATGGGCTAGACATTTGTGAGTCGGGAGTACTGCCAGCAAATTCAGACTGAGCACAGGTGAAAGGGAAGTCCAGTGTGATGTCAGTGAGATCTGCAATGATAGCGCTGCTGTCGAGTGCGATCTCCATATCTGTCCATGATACGAACGCGCAATCTGCGCTTTCATGTGTCGCGTCCTCGCTCAAGCATGAAGCGCTCGTGCTTCCGTCATCGCAGATCTTCAAGGCCTGCCTGAACCCCGGGATTTTCTCGATGGCATCCGGTGAGTCTCCCATGAGTTCTTTGGCATTGTCACCAGGTTCTGGTATCTCCGGGTCTTCTATGAACTCCTCGAGCATCCTCCTTTCGACTGGTGTGAAACTTGGAGGGGATGGGAGAGACGGTGACTTGGCCTGACATTCTGTGGGAGATGTCGCAGATACGGGGCAGGCTACCGCAGTGTTATGCGTCGTCGCAATCGTCTGTCGAGTTCCCTGGTGTAGTTTGTCAACGGGCAACGTGCGCATCTTGTCGCGATAGTCCGCAAGCTCCCGCGCCTCATGCAAGTTCTCGAAAAACTTGGGGATGACATCTGTGATCAGCACCGCAATCCATACGTCAATTCTTGGTAGCCGACCAGAGTGCTTGGAGGGCTCGAAGTGGATGTTCTTCATCTTGTCATTGTATGACTCTAGGTGGTTACTTGTGCGAGCTACCTGTGTTTCGAGAACTCCCATGCGTGCTGCAGCCTCAATCACACCTGCACGAGACCAAGCCTTCCAGAAGGATCTTGTTTTCAAGTAATCTTGTAAGTACGCGAGAAATGCTAGTGCCACCTTAGATTGCCATCTTGCTTCGTCATCATTCTTCTCTCCAAGCATGCGGAAGTATTGTAGTTCGGTATTGAATGCTGCAATGGCCTCTGTGTAATTGGTGATCACCTTGAGTCTGATTGATTGACGGCAATCATCAGCCGATCCCCTGAGTGCATCAATCAGTCCACTTACAGGCGCATCAGAAAGGCACCAAGCCGTGACCGTACAGCCTTTGCAGGATCGCCCTTTGGTACACCACGCATGAATTTGTTCAGAGAATTCTGCCAGGCCTGCCAGGTATGAAAGAGACATAGAATACAGAGGATGTCTTCCCAGGTATGAAAGAGACATAGAATACAGAGGATGTCTTCCCAGGTAGTTTCTAGAGCAAGACGTTCACGAGGATCATTGTCAGTCATGGCAACAGCAGCACAGAAGGTGTCGCCAAGAGGGTTCACACCCATGCCAATCTTGAACTTCTCGACAAGGCGTGTGAGCAGAGCTCCGTTGTAGTCAGCATGCACAGCTTTTGTGTGCTTCTTGGCTGAGAAGACGATGTGTGCGACAGGAATTCCTTTGTTCTGGTCATTGATCACCATTATGATGAAGCACAGAACGCGTGCTGAGCAGATCCTGAAGGTACCATCCATAATGATTTGCTTCTTGTACCCGAAAGTCCAGGCCGCATCGCGCTGCTGAGGGGTTGAGATTATGATCTCGAAGCGTTCAAAGATGCCTTCGAGATATGGCTGATAGTGCAGGCACGAGCTAGTGAACAGAGGAGATGGTGGTCTCGGGTCCTCAGAGTGGAACCAGCAGTCGAGATTGTCGGCAGCTGAAGAGCGCTGAGGAATTCCGCGTTCTCGAGCCGCAGTCCGATAGAGTGAAGACGAGTCATATGGTGTGAGGTGGAAGCGATGGGAACCGTCGCCTTGTTGTTCTTGCCAGTGCTCCTTGGCCCATGAAAGACACTTGGATCGCACCAAACGGATCGGCTCGCGTCTGCGTAGCAGGGACATAGCATAGTCGTGGAGATCAGGGTGAAGAGGCAGGCAGGGGCTACGCAGCATTTCTGTCGCCTGTTGGCAGGTGTCATTATGACCAAGAATGCTGGCAACTTCATCTACACTGATAAGTTTCATAGCTATTTTGAGGTGGGTATATGCGCACTCAAATTGGTCAAAAATTCACGCACAGCATTTCTCATGGGTGGTGGTTACCATTGCAAAGCCCATGCAGCCTACATTTTCCCAGGCAACCTCTCTTGTCTTCGCTGCACGTCTACCAATCGTGTGGTCTGTCCCGCAGAGGCATTGGAATAGCCGGTGTTGCTGCATGAGGCCTGTTCCATCGATCTTGCTCTTCACTTCACTGCTTTTGGTTTTCTTGACAGACCATTTGGAGCGTGCATCACGGTCAACTTCTGTCGGAATGTATAGCTCGAGCTCAGCAAGTAGAAGATGGGCTTCTTCTGTACATTTTTCAGATCAGTTTGTCGAGCAACGTACAGCATTCATACCTTGAGCATCAAGAGTGTTCAAGAATCGATACCTGTCCAGCCCAACAGCAGTTATGTGGCAGTCGGCGGCCTTCCGTGATGTCTCTGAGAGCTGCAGATCGGGTGATAGAGTGTGTTGAGGCTTCTCGACCACTTTTCTCAGAGGGGGGACAGCAGCCAGAAGCAGGAGAGTTTCAGCATTTGAAGATAGCTTAGACATTATACAGAGAGTAGAGAATACAAGGAATAAAGAACTAGGTAAACACGGGGGCGCGGTATGTAGGAGCGACGTGCCTCAGATCCGAGGATGCGCCTCAAGCAGGAAGACGCGCCTGAGAAACGTGACCATTATGCTTATGTCATAGACTCAAGGGCGCGAGTCTAAAGTTCAGATATTAGTCGTGTGAGAGATCGCGGAAGGGTTTGTCGAATCAATGCCGCATTGTGGATTGCGTGCATATTAAGAAGAAATCGTTCAGCAGTGGTGTGCGTGATCACTGCTTTGGTCCGTGCTGTTGTCGATCATTCTTGCACGACATGCTGAGTCCCGGTAGGTGAGCAGCTAGTCATCCAGCAGTCATGCTGAGCATTGAAGATGAATAGCACATCCTGTTGTTAGCAATCAGTAGTTAGAATAATGGCTAGACAGCAAAGCACTTGCCTTCAGTGTGACTAAACATGGAGCATCATCACGACGCGTCAGAACTGGCATGCCCAGGAAGGGATCACATTCGCCGGAAATGTTGAATGGCTCGATGATCACCACGGGAGAGTGACCGACCGTGGGGGTAACAATTTTCCAAATTCTCCCCGCAGCAATGGACTTGCAGCATAACATCAGAAATATCGCTGATAGAATGAAATAAGCAATAACATACATTGGAAGGGAGTTCTCGATAAAACACCCGAGACCCTGCTTTACATATATCCTTGGATTGTGATATGAGGTAACGGCAGTGACTCCAGAGCCTTGTCTCATCGCTCTTGTGGTCCTGGCCATCAGCAGAAGGGATATTGATGCCGGGTGGCAGGAGGATTCCAGGTGTTCCGGAAATGTCACACCAAGTTGAGGAAGCCCGTTTGGCCTCTGATTCTAGCTTGACTGCGCCTGTGTGCAATACGAGAACAAGAAATAAAGATCAAAGAATCACAGGTCAGAACTCACCAGCAACCATCATCTCCGGATGGACCCATCCAAGTCGACGCTGCAAGGCTGGATTCAACTGTAAGAAACTACACACCTTTTCTCCGGCACGGATGTATTGGCCATCTGTATCATGCCACCATCTGCCGCTGACCTGATGCTTGAACCGCTCCATACCGGCTAGAGTGATAGCGATGTCACGGCTTGGTGCTTGGTGGTTTGAGAGAATGCTGCAGAATCGAAAGATTGCGTTCCAGCACTCGAAGATCTCTGTTGAGTAGAGGACTGCAGGTCCAAAGCGTCGAATGTCTTTGATAAGATGCGGCAACACATGGAGCTTCATTTTCGTAAGGATGCGGTTTGGATCGATCAGCGCCCAAATGTCGAGGACATTGGCGATGAGTATTTTGAGGTCAGCCTGCATGAAGTTGAATTAGTATGACACAGTAAAGTGTCCAGATGAAGTATCTGCCACAGAACTACACACCAAATACTCTTCCATGTTACATATGCTATGGTACCAGAGCATTGCGCCGAGCTCTCCACTTGCCTTCCAAAGATCAAGAACAAGATCTGGGCACATACCGCCATACAGATGAAAGGCACCAACTTGCTGCAGGATCTTGAAATGTCTTCTGACCAGAGAGTTTTTGTACTGCACGATGTAGTCACTTCGAACAGGCAAGAGAAGCAGACCGTCTACGGATGACGCTCGAAGTCTAATTGCGAATGTGCTGTCCTTCTTCTTGTCCCATTCACTCGTTGTTTTGTGCCAGACATACTTCGTCTCACCGAGCAGATAGGTGTGAAGGATCTCTCCAGGTGTGTCGATGGGAGGATCGAGAGTCCGCGGACACGAGAAGAGGACATTGAAGTGGTTGCCAGGTCGTGTGGCATTACCATCACGAAGCGCTAATTGTCGTGTCAGATTGGGCCAACAAGTGTCACACAGTTGTGAAAATACGAACGCGAGTCCTCTGGAAGTGCATTGTAACGAGATGGGGGCTGCATAACAAGCCACTCGTGACACTCAAGCTGAATCTCGTGCTTTATTTCTGCCTTAACAGCTTTGCAGTTGTCTCCAGTCAATCGGGGATTCTTTAGCCGTGCATCCTTGATAATAGGATTAGAGAGGCGAGCGGCCTGCATGGTACGTGCTCTTGCTATAACGATTTCGATCCAATGTTGCGCAGTCTTATCCTTGATCCCACTTCGTGTCTGCATCTCGTCGATGTTGTCCTGTACGCCAAGTCCGGCAGCAAAGAGTTGTTGCCGAATTTCTTCAACTATTCCCGCATGAGTACGCCGAGGATTATCGGGCTACAAAAGCCACCAGCAATAGTATGTTGCAACATTAGTATCTGCCATGTCTCCACATTTGAAAAACTTCTCACCGAGAACATTTTCTCATAGCCTATATCACTTTCTCGCTCCTCCGCCATGCCTCCAGCCATGCAACAATGACACGAGTAATTTCTGTTCCCGCCAATATGAGAGCAATGCTCAGATTGCTGTGGATTATCTGCCGGTAAGACATGAATGATGACACGGAACAAGATCTCCTGTTCCAGATGACAATCATATGCAGTATGCCAGCGATCTTCACCGCTACAAGAGTCCCGCTATATGAGCATCATACTAGCATACTGCAATTGTAGACTCACGTGTCAGTGAGGACAGCATCCATCTGCTCCGATGACGAGGCATGCTGTGACGTTGAGCAGAACTTGACAAAATATTCTTGTTGCAGTTTCTGATGCGGAAGATTGATGTTTGCGAGATATATGTTTGTGTGGGGATTGAACTGTTTTGTCTTATTTCCAGATACGTCGTCACTCCAGCACATCATGCGTATGGTGAATGTTGGTCGGCCATTTGCGACACCGCACACCGGGTGTGGCATCTCATATACCCATTTGGGAGCGAAGTCTGCAGACCAATTCAGAACTGTCCAGATATAATCAACAGAACGTTCAAACCTGGGAACTTGAAGCTACAGCCACGCGTCTTCAGATCAAAATAGTTGGCGGATAATTCGGTCGCTTGCAGACGAATAAGGTCCTTATCTTGTATTTCGAACAAGTCGCACTGACCCGTCACCAGTAAGCTTGCACCGCAGTACATTTAGAATACAATCCTGAGCTCACCATTGAATTATACTGGACCACGTAACCGTCAAAGCATTCAATGTTATTGTCCACCACCCATCTCAACGGAATCACAAGTCGACCGTCTCGGACTTCTGCAAGTTCTTTGATGTAAAAATGCCTATGAGGTGTGTTTATCCAGTCCGCCCACATAAGCTGGTTGAGATCTAGTTCATCTTCCTTAATGTACTGCCATTTCTCTCCGTGATAGAATTCTGATACAGAGCATCCAACCTCAGGATAGACTTGAATGTGTGGCTGTACAAGTGGGTTGGCGAAGTCCTAATCAGATATATGGTGAGCCTCTCAGATCACCATGGCCACATTGTAACACTCAGAGCATTGGCTTACCAATTTCACCGTTGCTAATGGCACGTTCACATAGAAAAGATTCGATTGTGACGATTCATGTTGCTTTGTCTCAACATTGACTTTGTGTGCTAGTTCGGCTTGCTTCTTTCGCAGTGCAGAAAAGGATGGAACATCGGGCGTTCCGCACTCCTTCATAATCCAAATGAATGTCTTCATATGGTCATCTGAGAGTCGCAGTCGCGGAAGGTTATCAAGAAGGTCCAGCATGAACATCTGAACAATTATTCAGCTCTCAGCGAAATTCCTCCATAAGGAAGTGATATCAAGCACTCTCTTACCGTTTTGGATCCATAGGGTTTCCAGTCTCCATCCATTCTCATTGGTACCTCTTTACAGAACATGTCTTCAATGTCATCTTCACTATCGGAGTCCTCAATGCCTGTCAGCAGATGTGAGTACATCGGATATCGTAGATCAGGGCTGCACCTCGTACCCATGAAGCGCATAGCTGCAATAATATCCAGGACTGTTGCATCTGTCTCTCCATGCTCCTCACCTTCCGCCATCACCGATACCATATCACCCAGTCTGAGGTGAACATCTTCACCATTCTGTAAGTTCTCGAGCTGTTGTTCAAGGTGATGCATGTCGTGGGCTAACACATTTGTGGTACCTGCAGAAAATGCAATTGCATTTCCGTCATGATCAACATACCCACTATCATTGTCCATGTAAGCCTCCATGACTGGATCACTTGTGTTCTTCCCATCCACATAAGACACATCCTCATTGTCAACATCCATAAAATACTCTGCCAGAAGTAACATCGCTGGAGGGACTTGCTCAGCGAGAGGGGCCGGCAGAGGTGCTGGACCAGGTACATTTGACAAGGTGTGCGCCATCTCTGTCTCGATGGTGGCGCTCTTATGCTTGCTGGTATTTAGATGGCTAGAAATCCCACCTTTCAGGATCAGGGTGGCTCCGCGATATGTGTTCGAGCACGGAATGCATCGCAGGTGGGCAGTCTCTCCTGGAACTGTCTCAAAAATTCCTATAAATTTGGATTAAATTGAGATGCTCTCAGAACCAGTGAGTTGCATACCTGCATCTCTCCAAGATCCTCTGACTGGAGCCATTTTGCAGATAGACTTGACCAAGCGGGCAATGCTGAGGAGCAGTCAGTCTTCATGTGACTACATCAGCAAGAAAAGCACATTTTCACCTCTTTTTTGTCCTTCATTTCTTCCTTCTTCTTCTTTCTGTGTTTCTGTTTCCACTCCTCTGATGTCTCTTTGTTTCGAAGTTTGTCCCTCCTCTCCACTGCAATCAGCTCCTGGAAGTCCTGTGCCAACAAATTTGGAGCTTTCAGCTGACGTGGATTCTTCTGCCAGCGGTCAAACTTCACCATCCCTGGTCTCATCATCCAGGGAAAACTCTACCTCTCCAACAACAGCGGCAACATTGAGGACCAGCTCAAAACGGCCTGCTAAAGATCTGACCCAGTTTGCTTCTTTGGCAGCGCGTCGTGTTCGTCTGAGACCAGCAGGTGAGAAGGAACTCGACCGAGTGTCGAAGGTTTGTTGTGTTGGCTGTCATGTTCTTGTGAGATTCTTATCTTAGATTATTATTTAGCTCTCACCGGCTGAGCGGGCTATGTGGACATGCGCTCACATGTTGAAGATTGAGGAGCACCTTGAAGCAATCCAGCCTGCTGATGCCCAATGGGATCTTCCGAGAACGTTGAAGATAAGTTTGGCGACCTTCACCGACGTCTCATCAGTTAACAATGCATTTCTTAGGATAAGATCGACCACTATACCTTCGCATTACTCCTCTCGCCGGTATTGCCATTCTATCTGGCCAAGAACACTGCTTCGCTTGGTCCCATCAAGCTGGTCATGGTATGTTCAGTCCACTTGTGCGACTTTGACCACTATTTATTCAAGTTCCCGGCAACGCTAGGGTATTCTTGAGAAGCATCCTTCATGGGGCTTCACCAAGGAAGTTAAAGGGGACAAGTACAAATTTGATATTGTGGTCAAGAGAGTCCAGACTCATCTCACGGATCAGCGTGCAGAGCTTAAGGAGGTGGTACGTCCTCAACCTGTGTGCTTACTCTCAGAAAGTTGAAGCTTTGCTAGATCACACTCTCCCTGGGTCCCGAAGGATTGTCGGAGGCTCACGGTGAGCAGATGGGCACTGTGTCAAAGGCTCCGAAAAAGAAAACACCTGATCCTGTGCAACTCGACATTGTCGAGCTCTGCAAAGCCCTCGCGTCCAAACATGCTGCTACCCACGTCATCATAAGCCTCGAGATGTGTGCGCGGGTTGCCTTCCTGGTGCGTAACATTGCTATGGTTGATTCAGAGGTTCTGACGTATGAATGACTCTCGATAGCGCAAATTACTTCTAGAGATGATCAAGAATCCTCAGTTGGAACCCACCGGCGGATACTGGGCTTTCGTTGATGCGCAACTATCAATTGTTCGAGAGCGTTATGCTGCGGAGCCGGTGAAGATGACCAAGTCTGTTCCCTTTCTGTTCTACTGTTTGGACTATCACTCATTCTACTCAAGTGTTTTCACGCAGATTCTGAAAGACGATCAAGGGAAGTACGGTCAGACGATCATTCCGGGCCAGGATGGGGCCGTCGCCGCCGACATCAGCTGCACACAGAACATTGCGAACAGGGCCGCTTCTGGAACGTTTGTCGATGATGAAGATGACTATTAGGTTTACTATTCTTTTGCTTCACCAGAGTATTTGCCGGTGACTCCCCTTCTGGTATGATTTTTGACAACTTGACCTACACTCATTTTGTACATGACGTTCTACAATCACTCTAGTCATTGTATACCTCTCGTTTATTTGATCCATTGTAGTAGCAACTAATAGCAACCACTGCAGTAATAATACATGTCTGTCCTGCACTTTCGACCGTTATCCGGTGCATGATCAATATCCGAGTCACAAATCCCAGACCACAACACCGTCTGACAGGGCACTGCGCAATAGCACCCTGCAGTGTCGGGCCCATGTCACCAGGCTATGGGTAGCTGGCTTTTGACGGAATTGTGCGACCTGGCAAGCAGACGGCTTGGAAGGTTGTAACGGTCGAATGAGCAGTCTCGAGACCAGCTGCAGCTAAGCTGCTCCCAGTCAGACTGTCCAGCTGGATCCATCTGTACTCCCGGACAGTGGACGGGCTACAGAGCCAGGTTGGAGGGACCTATCTGAACCAGATGGAAAAGGTAGCGGAGCGGATATGATTGGGAGCTCATTCGGTCAGATCCGCACCAGATAGCTCTTGTGCAAGCCTTGACAGATATACAATTTCACTCTTGGAATCAGCTGTCGAGTCGGCTCCCACAACCTTGGCAGGCCGCCCTGGCAACGTGACACATTTTAGCTGAATTTCAGCACTTCACAAAACGGGCGTGTAGGAGATGATATCAAGTTGAAACTTGAGACGGTTGACACTAGGCTCATAGATACAGCCTCTAGTTACCTGCAGGAAGACAGTCGTTCCTTTGTAATAGAGGCTGAGATCATTACCGATGACCCGCTGAGAAGTCCCCCGTGGGAAACCGGACTTTGAACGATGCCGACGGCAATTCGACGCACGAATCTTTAGCGCTCAAGTCGCGTGCAGCCACAGGCGCGTCTTACCTGTGTACAAGCTTCGCGTGCTGTAAAAAGTTCTCATGGCGACGGTTCCACCTACTGACGACATCCAGGATGATGGCGACATATTCAGATCTGTACATATGGGCCCTCAGGTACTCAGCCGATCCTTCAGTCTTCCGCAGATATCCCAGCCTGCCAGTGGCTATCCGTATCATTTTATTCATCGTGAGAATGTCACCACACTAACATCGGATGATTCTCATAAGCCTTATGTATAGATTAATCTCCTGGTGTAAATACTCAGGATGATAGTGAGTTCGGGATGCACTCGAGGTCACGGAGCTTAGCGGAATCGGAGTCAGGGACTCAGGACAACTCGGAAATTTCACGAGGTCACGTGCATGTGCACAATGGCCTGCAAGATGTTCGCTATGCACGACGGGAAATGCACGGAGGTTACACAGCATCACTTTACCCCCCGCTACGATCTAGTCCAGTTTCGCCGACGCGTTCGCGCGCGCCTTTGAATCTGCTCATCTCGCAAGTGTCTACATATGCAGTTCAGCACCACTCAAACGGTCCTGTACGAAGTGTTGTCGGTACGTCGCAGGCATCAATGAGTTGTAGAGTTTAATGATCTTGTTGCGATAAGGTACTGCTTCAGGGATAAGGCGATCGAGAAAAGACATGATTTTGTAGCCGAGCTCGATAGTCTGGCAAAAGATCAGAGTTGTCGTGATATCGGTGGGGGAAGCCATCTCCAGGGGTATCAGGAAGCTGATGTCGAGGAAGTCCATGCCAGAGACAGCATGCTCGAAGAACCGCGGGATATATTTGATGTTGGAGCAGTCAACCGAGTACCGAGCATTGACATAGTGCCCAGGTTGGAAGCCCAGATTTTCAGCAAGAACCAGAGTCCGAGATGGAGTCGCCATGCCAGTGAACGCTGCCCAAACTGTCCGAGCTGACAAGATAGTGCGCATAGTCTTGATGGACTTGAAGATCTCGATCCACTCGCCACTCTGTTCGTCGACGAGGTGGGCTTCGTCAACGAAGAACCAGCAGACAAGACTCTTGACAGCTTGCTGCGACAGCAGGCTACGAACGCGTTTTGACCGGAGCATTTGAGGGCTCATGATGGCGAGACGAATGTCCTCTCCGCTGACAAGCTCGGCCAGAAGATCGCGATTGTTGTGGTATGCTTCTCTCATAGTGTCTTCGTTGATAGCCAGTGCACGAATTCCGTGGCTATTGGCCACAGTTTCCTATACTCAAGGTTAGAATGAAACTACTGTCGGTGTGCTTGTCAGCACGACAGTACCTGCTGCAATGCTAGCAATTTAGTAGGCACAATCATGAGAGCTATTCCTATCTTCATCTGGGCTTGTGCAGCCAGTAGCGGAGCATGCATAACCGTCGTCTTCCCCTGGCCCGGCGCGATGACGAGGAACAGATCCTTGCCGCGGATGAGGTCCATGCCATGGCGTAGCTGGAAATCGCGAACCGAGGGAACTCCGCACTTCTGAACGATCAGCAACTCGAGCCATCCTGAAGAGCCTTCTGCAGGTATGATGGACATAGAGAACGGCGTGGATTACAGCTACGTAGCATACATACAGAGTTGACGCGACTGACATCTCTGCCACCGACGCGTTTTGGGAATTATAGTTTAGTGCCGATGACGCAGCCGTCCCTTCCGCTGTCTGGCACGTAGCTCAAAAACTCCCACGGGGGACTTCTCAGTGGGCTCCCGGATAATGATCCTAGACTAGGTTGACACGAAAGCCTTGAAACGCGTCACAGTCACGTGCACCTGCTGCAATTGAGTCACGGTGTCGCGGTCCAAACCTCAATGACAAACTTGGTCTACCGCTCTAAATTCCCACCACGATAAGGGCTCTGCCAGTGTCCGTCTCCCGGATACGCGTCGAAGTCGAAGGGGTGAGCCACGGCGACGTTGGCCAGGTAAGTTTCTCACTCTTCGATATCAATCGTACGTAGAGGCCCAACGGCGACCTGTGAACCGTCTTAACGCGGATAGAAGGGCATACCACGTCGCGACACGGACGCTGATTACTGGCAGGGAAGTCCATACGGACGAGCTCTTATCTCACACACACAATTTCTATCTTCGCATGTTCACATGCCGAAGCTTATCTTCCGAGGGTCTCCCTCCGATAAAGATGCTCGACGTTGGGTTGCCATGAATCCAACAAATCTTCCACGATGATGCCATATTCCCTCTCATCGTTTCTCAGTGTCTTTGCGTTCCTTTTGGGATATGTGACTTATGCCCGAGGACAGCAGCAATATCTTGGAGATGTTACAGCCCCGCAAGGAAACGATGCGGTGAACTTCACGGAACTGTTTTCGTCTGAGACGACTTTCAGGGAGACATGGAAGAGTGATACCTGGCATGGACTTGTGACTTTTGCTGGCGCAATACCTCAAAGGTGCTTCGGGAGTGACGCAGAATTACTGTTCGATGTGGCTGTTCTCGGTGTGGATGAATACTCAGCGTTTATCTCAAGCATCTCTCTTAGAATCTCCGACAGGTGCGCCATTCGATACTGCCACAAGTTATCGTCCGGGGTACGCTTCCAGACCAGCTTCATTTAATACCGTTCTCATGTTTGAGCAGAGCTCGATTTGGTCCGAATGGCATCCGGCAAGGCGCGCGACGCCTGGGTGTATCGAGGCTCAACGTGCCAATGAAGATACGCGTTTCTGATCATCTCAACGTCGTCGACTGCGGTGACGTTCGTCAGTGTTCTGTGTCTTCTCGCCTTGGACAAACCATGTTCATCATGTACTGTAGCTATGGTGTATATCGACAACAAAGTCGCACTGCGCCAACTTGAACTTGCGAACATTGACTTGTTGTCCAAGCGGAGCTTGCGCACGTACGAAGGTCAGAGTCTCGCGAAGGATGGCAAGTTCCACCCTCGTGTGTTGACTTTGGTAGCATCTATTTTGATCCACAAATGATGCCGATTCTGATATTTCCAAAGGGTGGTGACCACACAATTACGCTGCCTTTATTGCGCGGAGTTGCAGGTGTATACGGCCCTGTCAGGTCAGGAAAGCATCTCATTCAGATTTCTTGACTCTCGGAACTGAACCGTAGTTCAAAGTGTCATCCATTTTGACAGTCACATCGGTCAGTAAATTCGGTATTCAGCCACATAGCATTTGACCTACAGAGAGTGTGTAGATACGTGGAAGCCGAGGCCAATTGTTTGCGAATTTTCCTCTGTTCCGGTTGTCAGCTCATAATTTACTCGTTACAGGAAGGCAGCCCATGGCTCCCTGGCGAGGTGAGCATTGACACATCTAGCTCATATGGCAATCGAAACAATCGTGGTGTCAGGAAATGCCTGTCAATCACGGCAGCTACTTCTGGTACGCGCATAACGAAAGTCTCTTGGCTCCCGACAATGCAAACATCGTGAGCTATGGCTGAAAAAACCGCACTACATATTGTTGACTACGTTGTAATAGCACGTTGGTATTCGAGGAGCACTCGGCGGTTGGGAAGACTACGAAAATGATTACGAAGTTGGTTTTGTGATCTCTCATGCGGATGATCTCGAAGAAATTGGCTGGAGGGGTGTTGTCGAGAAGATTCGAAAGACTGTAGGCGATAACCCTGTGTACAGTGAGTCCTTGTCTGTTATTGTCTTGTGGGTGAGGCTGACTATTCGATGTGAAGTTTCCCTCGATATTGACGTGATAGATCCGGGGATGGCTCCTGCGTGAGTTATCAAATCTAGGTACATTGTTCACAGCATACTGACTCTCTTATCAGAACTGGAACGTACGTGCGACGTGGTCATGCGATCACTCAGCCTTAATGCAACGCTTCGACAGTCCGGAAATTGGAGGAATAACCACCAGAGTGAGTCATCTTGCCTGATCACCTTTGCCGCTCCAGTCGGCTGAGGATTTCTGGGACTCTAGGAAATCAAAAAGATCCTACAAGGCTTGTCGGGCCTGAAGATCGTTGGTGCAGATATTGTCGAAGTTGCACCAGGTGCGTCTGCCCTCTGCATACATACTTTGAAAATCCTGAATTTTCGCTATGACTAGGATATGACACGCAGGGTATGCCTGTAATTTTTTCGGACAGTCTCGTGCTGACCTCCGCACAGACGAGATCACCCAGATCGCTGCTGCTAACATTGGCTGGGATATTCTTGCCTTAATGGCCAAGGCCCCGGCGGTAGTTTAGACTCACGCAAACTGCAGTAAGTAAAGCTTCTTCAGTCATAGAGTTCGTGCTTGGAAATACAATTTCTTGGAAATGAAGCTGAACCACTGGTACCACGGACGCTTTCATGTGTCTGCTGAAACCTGGGCTATCTCATTCCTCGATGAGATGGTGGTACTGTCACGGTCTTGTGCGATCACGAGGTTATGGTTCATGCTTAGTGAAGAAGGGGCAGAACCATTTAGCAATAACTTCGTAAGGAGCGTATACTTACCTCCAGTTCCTTCGAGGTCATCCACTAAGCATTCCGGCACAGCGGCCCAACATCGATATCGTTATCGCATATGATCAGGCGCAGAGAACTCCGTTAGCAGCGAGCTTATAAGTACACGAGGGTGGCAATGACGAAGCAAGACGATCTCTTGTACGAACATGGCCCCCCTTTGCATTGAAGTCGCCGACGCCCCTAGCACCGCTGCTTTCCGCGCGGACCAGGCCATCGCGGGCCCCGCGGGGGAAATACTGAAGAACACGCAAGGTGTCGTTAAGTGCGAAGACCTATAACTTTGTTGGCAATGTATTCATGGCTGTTGCAGGGTATACTACGGTTTGCAGTTTGAGGAGGAGAAGCATGTCTATGTTTGCAACGGTGGGTTGGCATCCTCTGTAACATCAGAACCATAGCAAGCACGCTCACGGCGTGTTGCCCATAGTATGGGAGCGGCTTGACGACCATCGCCGGCTCCAGGCAGACGCTGTCGCCTACCCTCTTCTTGGCAAGGCTTGTGCGCAATTCATGGCCGGGGGGTCTAGGATAGTGCATATCTACCCGACGAGCGAGCCATACGGCGCCCTAGCGGCACCAGCCACGGAACTCGCGTACGTGACCGTCAAGCCGGGACAGTCGAAGGAGAAGGTCGACGAATATGGTGCTGCGCTCATGGCACTGATGAATGGCCTCCCGGAGAGCTACGGCGTCCGCACCGCTGTATGGGGACAGACGGAGGAGAATCCTAATACGATTGCTTTTGTCATCGGCTGGACGTCAGTGGAGGTGCGTTGTGGGAACGATGACGATGGTGGCTGTTGTGAATATTGAAGATTAATCTCCAGGCTCACTTCAATACTGTCAAGACTCACCCAGAGGCTATCCGTCTGCTCACGGAACTCCGCGAGATTGCTGATATCACCCTCAGTCACGCTGAATTGAAGGCATACTGAGAGCGTATGATGTATGTGCGAGAGGGTCTTGCATATGTGGTGGATAGCCTGTAAAGCAGTTGTGTATGCATGTACAAGACACCCTGACATTTCCTTGAGGAATCACACAAGAATTGTACTAGTACCGAATATTGTCTCGTCTGGAGTATGCATACCGATCTCTCGGCCTGTGTTGAAGTGATCAATGAGGATCCGCGACCGCGGCGGAAGAGACGACGCCTTCGCAGCGAACATCTCAGATCGGCTCTGCTCAATCTGCGGTCTATATAGAGGAACGACTCTTTCTTCCTATATACTAGAGGCTGGTTAACGAGCCTAAATCTGCGGCGCATGTTCGTACTATGGCGTCCACCTACCGTCCTCTGCCTCCCATAACGCACCAGCGCGATGTCTTTCCCCAGCCCATCACGGCCTTGTCGTTTGACCCCCTTTCCGACACCTTGTGGGCTGGCTCGGATTCCGGGAATGTCGTCGCCTACTACACTTCCCATGGTATACGCGGGGTCGCGTTCCCTGTCGGTGGGGATCTCGCGGTGAAAGACCTGATTGCTACGGAAGCCAATGTCCGAGCTGTTGGAATCGCTAGTGACGGTATGGGTGCTTGGAGTAAAGGAGGAGTGAACAAGTGGTACTACAGGTGAGCTCAAATTGTTGTCCCGAGGTAATCCCAACCCGCAGACTATTACTTCTCTAGGTCTGCGGACCCTGTAACTACGTTCTCCAACAATGCACCTTCAGCACCTGTATTTGCGGCTTCTACAGCTACCCCAGAGTTGCTAATAATGAACTACCAAACGGGCGATGTAATGCGACGTTCCCCAGCACCGTCAATGCTTACACACCTCTTATGGTCGACGTCCTCAGGTGCCGTGATCTCAGGTGCCTCTGACGGAACGCTGCGTCTTCATGATCCGAGGGATTCCATGCAGCGAGCGGAGAACAGTGTTCGGGCTCATCTTAACGGGATTCAGGACCTTGAGGCATTTGACAACTTTGTGTTCACAATCGGATTGGGCACCAGGTAGTTTCCATGTTTCTGCTATCTACATATTGTCTCTGACGGTGAGGTGCAGACAAGGTCGACCACACCCTGATCCTCTAGTAAAGGTCTACGACATCCGCATCCTCAAGCCACTTTCTCCTCTTCCATTTGCGAGTGGACCCGCTTTCATCAACAGGGTACCGAAGCGAAGTCACTGCATCACTATCACGTCCAGCCAGGGTCTTATTAATATCGTCGATGCCTCCAACCCCAACGTCAATGAGTTCTATCAGGTAATCGGCTTTCATATCGTAGGTCCGGGTTCTTCTTGTTTCTGATACCGTGTTCCAGCTTGATACTTCGTCATACATCACGTCCGCCGCCGTTTCCCCCACAGGCGCATATATGGCATTTGGAGATGCTGAAGGTGCTGTTCATCTAATGACCGCGGCTAGCGAGGAGGAGCATCTACCTTTCAATGGTTTCCAAGGTAAGGACGTCGAATGGGTAGATACTCCGGAACCTCTCCCTCAGATTGAATGGACCGACTCGACGTAAGAGGGTTATCATTTTAGCTTTCGTCACTGTCAAAACCTGAACGCTCATTTGCAGACCGTTGAGCAGCATCGGTGTTCCTTACTATGACACCCATCTTTTGTCCTCATGGACCCAAGACTTTGTATCGACTAGTGTACACTATCCCCCACCAGCCAAGATACCACAAATTATTCTGAATACTATGAAGATCAACGACAATGTAGCATACGCTTCCCTTCCCAAAGAACTTAGAGGTCGGCGCAACGTCGTTCCCTCTGGGATACGCAGATCTGAGGGCCGCTTCAGGAGTGGAAAATCCCGACGAACGGTACGTTTGTTCTTAAGACCTGTCTCAGGATGATTGTCTCATCGTATATCTAGCCAGAACCGGACACCCCGGATTATCAGTACAATCCTGATATCATTCCGAAGGTGTACCAGCAAGTCGAGATTGAGTACTCGAAGTTCGGAGTCGAGGACTTCGACTTTGGGTACGTATACCTAGTTTATCCAGACTGGCGTACAGGACCTAAACATATTTGCAGCTTCTACAACCGAACAGAGTTCAGCGGGCTCGAGACCCACATTCTCAACTCATACACAAACCCCGTTGTACAACTTATGCATTATATCCTGCCGATTCGCCATCTCGCGAAATCGCACATAACCACGGATTGCCTGCGCGAACATTGTCTACTTTGTGAGCTTGGCTTTGTCATGCGTATGCTCGAAGATGCAAGAGGGACAAATTGTCAGGCGAGCAATTTTTGCAAGACAGTAGGCGTGCTGGCTCAAAGTCAGCCATCGCAACTATGTCCACTCTTAGTATGCTGACAGAACACCATAGTGAACAATGCTATCGAACTCATGGACTATGGCCGAGAATCTGCAGAGCTGAATTATTCACACATGATTCAGGCCTTCCATCGTTTCCTCGTGGACCATCTAAGTTCCGAAGGCAACTCGTTCCCTCACAATCCTCAACTTGTTCCCCTTGCGTCGCCTCCGTCGGTGTTTTCTCCAGCACCGGCTCCGATCACCCAGCTGCTCGGGGTCGATGCTAAGAACATCATCACTTGCACTCATTGCAAAGCTGTCCGGGAAAAAGAAAACATGAATCATATTGTGGACATGGTGTATCCACGAAAGGTGGTGTATCTGTCATGATTATAGTGTATGACCAGAGGTTGAGTATCTTTGACAGCTTGCGTCCAATGATCCTGCGTTCGCGACAGACTTCGTCTCTATTCTACGGGGATCTCTTCTGCGAAAGACCACTCACAAGGCGACGTGCCAGAGTTGCAAACGATTAACTAACTTCGAGTCGCGGCGGTCGATCCGGACCAGGGATCTGCCTGCAATACTTGCGGTGAATGCAGGTGTTTTCAATGAAGAATCCCACAAGTTCTGGCTGGACACTCGGCATCAGACTTTCTTGAAGCCGACGATAGAGTTGAGCGGTCAACTGGATGGCATGGATGATCCTGAATCTGTCGTCTATGAGTTGAGGGTGAGACCGTTCTGCCCTATTGCCGTCAGATGTGTTTGCTTATGCAGTGATGATACTTAGGCCATGGTGATACAGGTTGTCCCCAAGGATCAGCATTCGCATCTTGTTGCTATCGCCAAAGGTGCGTCATATTTTGTCCGTCTTTTCCCTTGACTGACGAGTTCTCACAGTACCGGAGGCCGAGAACTCAAAAAAGATGGAGTCACCGTGGTTCATATTCAACGACTTTGTTGTCCATAATATCTCTGAGACAGAGGCACTGAGTTTCCCGGCTAACTGGAAGGTGCGTCGACTTTACTGCCATGGCACGTTTCCCTTCGTGACCGTGTTCCTAGGTTCCGGCTATCATCTATTTGGAGCGTGTAGATTTGCGACAGCAACTCAATTTCAGTGCACTCCCAAACACAATCGACCAGTCAATATTGTGCCGCGATACCAGTATCTCGACGTATGTTTTTCGAACGTAAAATGCGTCTCTTAATAGCTCACGTCCGTATACAGGAATCGTGACATGAAGCTCATTAAGCATGAGTGCTTGAGATATGATGAACTCCCCAATCCCGGGACTCTCGTTGCTATCGATGCCGAGTTCGTGTCGATGCAGCAGGTATGCGTCGGGCCATTGTGGCGGAGCCTGTCTGACTGATATTACAGGAGGAAACAGAGTATCGCTCGGACGGTACAAAGAAGGTACTCCGACCTGCCCGGCTGAGCTTGGCCCGTGTATCGGTACTTCGCGGCGATGGTCCGAAGGAAGGCGTGCCGTTCATTGACGATCATATACACACCAGCGAGGTCATTGTGGACTACTTGACGGAGTTCTCTGGCATTAAATGTACGTTCCCGCGGCTTCGTTTGTGTATGATGCTGACGGTCTATTCATAGTTGGCGATCTTGATCCCCATCTGTCCAGATATACGCTGACGCCACTCAAGGTGGTGTACAAGAAACTGCGCCTGCTAGTAGACCGTGGATGTGTGTTTGTCGGACATGGCCTATCGAAAGACTTTCGTATCATCAGTGCGTCGACCAGCCTGTCTCGAATCGCGAGGCTAATAAATTTCCTCAGACATCTATGTCCCTCCAGAGCAAGTCCTCGATACGGTAGATATGTATTTCTTGAAGAGTCGACAGCGACGTCTATCTCTTCGATTCTTGACATGGTACGTCCTCAAGGAGAACATCCAGACAGAGACACACGACTCGATCGAGGATGCGCTCTCAGCGTTGAAGCTTTACAAAGCATTCCAGGACTTTGAGTCCCAAGGTGTCCTGGACGAAAAGCTGGACGAGCTTTACCGCGAGGGCCGGCAATACGTCCGTATATTGATATCCCGCCTTGTCCGGTTTACCTAACCCCTTGGTTCACGCAGAATTTCAAGCCACCGTTACCCACCGCGGCGGCTATCCCGGCCACACATGCCAGCCCGCCTCCGCTTTTTGCTGTGCCCAACGTTGGTCTATTGCAAATGCCGTTTGGTTCCGGTCAGTTTGCAGCTGGTGGATTTACCCCGCACAACTTCTCCCCAGCGCCATCTCCCAACCCGTATATGCAGCAGAACTGGCGGTACAGACAACAAGGTCCATTGCCGGGGCAATGATGTAGTCCGTAGGTTTCACAACTTTTCAGGATCGTGTGGGTGTACAACCAGATTATGCAGTCAAAATGTATCCAAAGAACGGTGACAGACATACGATGCAGGGTATCAGGTCCACAGACCAAGTTGCGTAGGACGAGTGTTACAGCAGCTTAGCATAGAATCCGAAAGTAGATTGGAACATAAGACCCAGTACGACATATGACGACTAGCTTGTACGCAGTGACGCAGACAGTGTGCCCCTGTCGATGAAATGCTGCACGGTTTCTCGTGTCTCCGGTGCCTATACTGGGTCGCGCAATGCCAGTACCTTCGACCAGCTGCTTCATGGTGTGATCTCACGGACTGAGATGTCCATGTCATGACCGAGACATTCGGTGAAATGCCTCATTCATGTAGACCGTCAGGGCTCGCATGAGAGCCAAACTTCAAACTCTTCGGATACATCATGCATTTCGAAGCAGCCGAATCATTCCGTCAGCGGTGGCTATGACTTTCCTGCTTCGACCATCATAGGTTCGCTCGCAATTGTGTGTCCATGTATCTCCAAAGTCGGGGTGATTGCACGAGTCCTTCGCAAGAATATTGCGATAAGACACCTCCCCATGTTCGTTCCGCAGACCTCGCGAACAAAGCCCAAATTGACAATCTCCATGCTGCCTAAAGTTGGCTGTGACAGGACAAGGCGAACTTGACAGACTCACCTGGAATTAACGTTTGCGTAATGAGTGTCAGTGGAATGCCACAGTGCTACAGCGTGATACAGGATTCAAGCGAGAACCGACGGGTCCTGAAACAGGCCGTAGAACTTGGGGCACGATCTCACCTTGGACAACGGGAGGCTCTGTAGACGCCCACGGAGCTGGGAAGTTTCTTGGGACCGCTCTCAGAGATCTGCGCCTGGTGAGGTGAGACAAAGAGGGACAATTAATTAAGTAGAGAATGGTGTCGTCCTCTGAGGAATGGAACGTTGATGCGCATACGGGCCTCACACGTGACACGCGTTGCGTGGGAATGTTCGTGGTACGCATGAACGTGACCGCGATTGGCCCGGGAGAATCTTGAACACCACTTGATCATCGCGTCCTCATGTCTACCCTCCGCATCGAATTTGACATTGGCATTAACTGGAACGAGGACGACGCTCCTATCGACCCGATTATTCTTCCTCAACTTACACCGCCGGGCATGTTATCGAACGACTCGGACTCGTCCCAGTCAGACACGCTCTATATGAGGCAGGGCAAAAGAATCCACCGAGGCCGTAGGGCAATCGTCTTCGCTTGCCAGATGCAGCAAGGAGAGGAAACTCCCATTGACGTAGTTCTCAAGCTCACGACCCTCAAAGCGCACCATGACGATCTCGTCAAAGAGGCTGGTTTTTATGAGAACCAGCTTGCGGCTGTACAGGGCAATGTCGTGCCCTGGTTCTATGGTATATTTCAAGGTCAATTCCGTTCTCGATTTATGACCTGTATGGTATTGGAGCACTGTGGCGAGCCTATGGGTCAAGCTCAATATGAAGACATTGATTTCAAGTGAGTTTGGCAAGTTTAAACTCTCCCGTCGTAAACTAACATCTGAACAGAGCGGAGCTCATCAATCGCCTTGGTTATCTGCACAGCTTCTGTGGAATTGAACATGGCGACGTACGCGATAGTAACATACTCGTGAAAGACGGCTTCGCCGTATTCATCGACTTTGAATATGCACGGCCACACAAGTGCGAGCGAACTATGATGATTGAAATAGGAAAGCCGTGGCCTCAGGAGCTGGAATTCGGCTGTATCGAGTTGCATGACGCGGGGAAGGATTTTGGGCTCTGGGGCCCGGGTGAGTATCGATGATTTATACCAACACGCATTGTGCTGATAGCCTGCAGCTATCGTCGAATTCTTAGACGGTTGTATATCAGTCTATCAGATCACGTCGGCAAAACGGTTGGTCGAACTGACGCTACGCAATGAGTATACCGACCCGGCAGATGCACTGGAGGAGGCACGAGAGTTTGTGCAGTATCTCGTCGACATAGGGACACTGCCCAAATCTGCACTGACAAACTAGCTGATCAGGTTTGCTGTCTACATGCATCTGTCATTCCTGCATTCGTCGCTCCCATCAATTGATATATCATGCATATGTTATAATCTCCGAGTGATATATTTTGGTGCCGTGAACACACATCGCATACGGACGAACATACGAGCGAAGAGTGCATAATTCCAATGTTTGTGGTTTGAATACGGATGCAGTGACGGACAGTAGAAACGCCTTGTGCTCCAAGGTTTGCTGGAGAGATTAGCGTGCTCACAACAACTCCCTTTCGGTCGCTCGCCAGCACCCACCGTTGAATTGACCTCTGGCTTTACAATAACCAGAAGCATTCGGGTGCGCGAGGTGCGATGTCATGTCGTAGATTGGTGCTGAACTGTGAACAGTATTCGTTACATTTGCTACAATCAAACACGTCGAGATAGAGCAACAGCACACAAGACGTAGTAAAATCTCGAGGACAACATGAGTTGGAAGAAAACATGGCTCAATCCTCAGACATCAGGCCAATACCCACACCGGAGAGGGCGAACGACATCAGTCATCCACAGCGAGTTGCGGCACAAACAGCGATGGCATCGTTCTGGATAAATGCAATTCTCAGCACTCTGAGAAGACACATCATAGAGTTTGCATGACAAACCTCTCATCAATGCCGGGCCTTGCAGCCGTCCGAGCAGTGAACCTTCTATTCCAAGGCTCAACAGCGGGAAGTGAATCCTGTAGCACTTTCCTGGGAATTAAGCCAAATGCCACAGCCAAGAATGCAAAAACGGCAAAGAGCGGTCTGTGTTGTGCGCGATAACCACGAGAGACATACAACCTCACCCCTTCCTTCACAAGAAAGAATGTTGATTGCACCGATGATAAGATAGCGAGGTCCACGTTTTTATCTTGCATCTGCTGCCAAACCTAAGAGAGTTGGAGCAATAATCAGAAGAGGAGACAATGAAAGGAACGCACCTGTATCAAGATCAGAGACTCAGTGGACAGACGACTGCAGTCATCGTCTTGCTTTGGCCAGTGAAAGTGGACAATGCGCCTGGGAGCGCCCTTAACGCAAATGTCGTAGAATGTAGAGGTTGTCTCCGGCTGAGGGGCAGCCAGTACTTTGTGCGTCTTGGCCTCCAAAGTGGCCCTGATGGTCCAGTCTGCGCCGATAAATATGCCATCAGGAATACTTCGGGCATCCTTCGATTCTCCGGACATAACGTTGGGGTATCGATGATTGGTATGGTCATAGTCGAATCTTCCTAGTTGTATGGCTTTGATGACTTCGATAGCGGGCCTGATCAAAACGGAGAACAGCCAATCTTCCGTGTCGTGCTCACTGCGAATCTCCGGGGGTAGAGAGCGAGAAGTGAGGGCAGGGTGGACAAGATTCAACCATCTCTGGTGTATATGGTTCCGCAAATTGAGTACAGGAAGAGTGGCCAGTAATTCATTAGCTGAATCGAAAACGCCATCGATTAGGGTTTCGTGTGCCGGAACTACCTCCATAAGCCGAGGAAGGCCGTTTTCGGACCACACATCGAATTCCGTTGGCAGGCGAGTGCTTGACTTCGTACCTTCGTTATAGAGATTCGGGATATCAGGAGGTTGGGTTTTCAAGACGGTTGCCACACGGAGTAGACCGTCGAACGCCGGGGCTACGCCAGGTGCTAGCGTCCCATCCTTCTTGCGCATCGCCTTGATAATTGAATAACGCGGCGCTTGCATCGTACCGGCAGGCACAGGCACACTTGGGCCGGGTTCATGTTCGCCTGAGCGTGAAAGTAAACCGGACGTTGACCGTGTAGGCAATGTCTCCTGAATCGAAGCTGGCAGTGGTTGCGCAGGCGACGAACCCTCTGGGTTCAGAGCTGACTTGGACGGCGTCGGCGAGGGGTGGTCTTCGTTCGCGGTTTGTCGTTGTCGTTTCGACGGTCGGGGTGTCGGGGTGTCAGAAGATTCGACCCTAGCTGAGGCTCCAGTGGGTGTGTTAGACATGAGTGTCGAAACGAGGGTAGTCTGATGACACTTGAGTTGAAACTCACTAAATCCGACAACTTTCGAAGGCAGGGCCACGATTCACACGCTGGCTACAATTGGCCAGACGCGTTTCTATTGTGAGTCATGCGACTCGAGTGCCTCGTCACGTCCGTTCCGTTCGTGTAGTTAGGCATAGCTAGCAGATGAAGTAATCGATACCGCATCAAATGCTATCCAGTAAGCTTTCCACCTCGCAGCAGGAATCAGGCAGACCGTTGAAGCTGCCAGCAAGCAGGTATGAGCTTCAACTCACTGACTGCACGCGCATGTCGAACTATGTAGGACTTATTTGGTCGGGCTTTGGTTCAGCCTGAAAAGTCCCAATAATGACCGCTGCGGAAAATGGGCATGATGGAGACACAATGGACTGGACCACATGTAGTTAAGCATGGCCATGGAGCGTCTAGTGCCAGGATACCGAGCAGGGAGGGAGGTGGGAGGCCTGGTACTTACACATCATTCCTTAGATTGGAATTCCCCTTCAAGATCGCCAGATCAAGTTCTGGAATTCCCACGCGAGGGACAGCTTATATGGGTGGTTCTTCGAAGTTGAACGTTTGAACATCCACTTATGTCTACTCTCCGTCTTGAATTCGACATTGGCATCAATTGGACCGACGACGGTTCCTTTGATCCAATAATTCTTCATCGTCCTACTTCCTCCCTCTCCGACATAACATGTGACGACTCCTCGCAGTCGGAGACGCTCTACGTGAGGCAGGGCAAGCGAATTCATCGAGGTCGTTCGACACTCGTCTGGGCCGCACAGATGCAGAGGGGAGGGGAAAGCCCAATCGACATAGTTTTCAAACTCACGACCCTTAAAGCCCATCATGACGATCTTCTCAAAGAAGCTGGTTTCTACCAGAACGAGCTTGCCACTGTCCAAGGCAAGATCGTGCCCAAGTTCTATGGAATATTTCAAGGTCATTTCGGCTCTCGATTTATCACCTGTATGGTATTGGAGCACTGTGGTCAGCCTATGCGCGAAGCTCAATACCAGAACCTTGATTTCAAGTAAGTTCATCGAATTCTATGGGTCTGTGATAGCTAACATCTGCACAGAGTTGAGCTCGTCAATCGCCTGCAGTATCTGCACAGCTCCTGTGGGATTGAACATGGCGACGTGTGCGGTGGCAACATACTCGTGAGCCACGGTTACCCTGTATTCATCGACTTTGAACATGCACGGCCCCACAATTGCAAGCGAAGTATGGCGATTGAAGTGGGGAAGCCGTGGCCACAGGTTTTGGAATTTGGCTGCTTTGAGCTGCACGATGCGGGAAAATATTTTGGGATCTGGGGCCCTGGTGAGTTTGGATGGTTTGCATGAACTGCATTATTAGGCTGAACCCTTGCAGCTATCGTCGAATTCTTGGACGATTGCATCTCAGTTTATCAGATCACGTCCCCAAAACGCTTGGTGGAACTGACGTTGCACAACGACTACATCGACCCAGACGATGCGCTAGAGCAGGCGCAAGAATTTGTGCAGTATCTCGTCAACAGAGGGACGTTGCCCAAGTCTGTACTGACGATGTCTAAATAACCGGCCACTGTCCCGCTGTCGACCTCAGTCCCATGCCCTCCTGTCCCCGAGTTCATGAACATGTCTAGTTTACTGTTGCTCTTTTGTATACCACTGCACCGTGTATTTTTCTACTCTGCATATGTCGTATAGACCGAATTATTACTGTGGCTGGGAGCCCAACATCCGCGCATCAGCAAAACCCAACTTTTACTTAAAAGGGTACTTAAATGACTTAAATGGACTTATGATCCTTATTTAAGGGTATAAGGTCAAAAAGGGGCCTAATGCATATTACATGAGTGTCTGAAATCAGACTTATGGACACTTTGAAGACTTATTGCCTTAAATAAGGGTTGTAAGACCGAAAAGTCAAAATAGCTCTGTAAGAAAAAGTTGGGTTTTGCTGATGCGGCCGATGCCGAATGAGCCACTGGATCACCCCCGTCGTCGCCAATATTTGCTCTGTCTTTGGTTATGATGTCACACTTTTGCATAGACGATCCATCCTGTTCAAATTTGCTTTTGTTGCGAGCTGTACCTTTCTTTTTCGCATGGAAGTCTTTCTTAGAAGAAATTCTCATTTGCATGCGAATGAGAACAAGCGTACATGATCATCTTAACGGGCAGCCTGTCGGCGGGTCGTATACTAGGATTTCACCGATCTCTTGAGCTCGGAAGGAGCGTCGTTCGTACCCGGTCACTGACTCTTCGACCATGCGGACATCTTCAGCGCTTCAGCACCTATTTCTTGGATTAGTCTATTCAGAAACCCGGTTTACACATAAACCCCCCCTGCTTTTGGTGATTTCGTGATGGCTCTGAAAAAATTCGAAGACGCTCACCTGTCAATGTTTACCAGCGGTCTGGAATCTCTAAGTAAATCCAATCGCGATGGACGGCAACAATGGAATTCCTACGTGTTGGTTGGCGCCTTCAAGTTGGCCAACATAGAAGGTTTGAACTCGAACACATACTTACACGCTTCCTCATATTCCTTTGACCGCTATGTCCACTCTTCGTCTCGAATTTGACATTGGCCTGAACTTACACAACCCCGCTGATGACGATTCCCTTCTACCGATTGTCCTGCATCGTCTCACCTCATCTGGCGAATCGCCCGATGGTCCCTCTCTGTCGGAAACATTCTATGTGCGACAGGGCAATAGAATCCATCGGGGTCGTGCGGCACACGTATGGGCCGGAAAGATGCAGAAGGGAGACGGGCGCCTCATTGATATAGTGCTCAAAATTACAATTGGTAGAGACCGGCACGTCGACCTCATCAAGGAAGCAAATTTCTACCAGAATGAACTCGCCGCTGTTCAAGGCAACATTGTTCCTCGTTTCTACGGTATTTTCCAAGGACACATTCGCACTCTCCTTATGACTTGCATGGTGCTGGAGCACTGTGGCGAGCATATGACTAAAGCTCAGCACGAGGATATGGATTTCAAGTGAGTTTGTCCAGTCATTCTTAGCCTGCCATAGCTTACGTCCACGTAGAGTGGAGCTCATTAGTCGCTTGGGCTATCTGCACAGCATCTGTGGTGTCGAACACGGCGACGTCTGCAGTAGTAACATACTGGTGAAAGACGGCTTCCCTGTCATCATCGACTTCGAGTGTGCGCAACCACATAGGTGCGAGAGAAAGATGACAATCGAAGTAGGAAAGCCATGGCCACCGGTGTTGGACTTCGGCTGTTTCGAACTATATGATGTGGCTAGGGACTTCGAACTATGGGGGCCCGGTGAGTCTCGATGATGCGAACGAATGTGCAATTGTGCTGATAATACACAGCTATCGTCGAATTCTTAGACGATTGCATTTCGGTCCGCCAGATCACGTCCGCAAAGCAGTTGGTGGACCTGACATTGCACAATGATTATACTGACCGGGCGAAGGCATTGGAGGACGCACAGGAGCTTGTGCAGTATCTCGTCGGGATGGGCACACTGCCCGAGTCAGTGTTAATGGATTAGCTTGCGTCCAGCTCAGTAGGTATCCCTCTTTTCTTCGTGTCCCTGTCAATTTTCTGTATACCATTTCATCATGTATCTTTATATCTCGGGCAAGTACTGCTGTCACGAACTTGTCACGAACAGACGACTACGTCTGAAGCGGGGCACGTGATCGTGGCGTACCGTTGACTCCGAGAGTCGCGACGTCGAACCTCGTCGAACATCCAAGTACCATGGCTACCCTCCGTATCGAAGTCGACATTGGCATTAACTAGGTCGAGTGGGATATCACCTCCGTCGACCCAATTGTTCTTCGTCGTCTTACTCCCTCTGGCATGTCATTTGACGACTGCCCCCAGCCAGACTTACTCTATGTGATGAAGCAGGGCAAAAGAATCCATCGCGGCCGCCAGACGCTCGTATTCGCCGGACAAATGTAGAAAGGAGAGGACACGCCGATTGACATAGTTATCAAGCTCACAACCCTCAAAGCGCACCATGATGACCTCATCAAAGAAGCTGGGTTCTACCAGGATGAGCTCGCGGCTGTCCAAGGTAAAATCGTGCCCAAATTCTATGGCATATTTCAAGGCCATTTCGGTTCTCGATTTATCACCTGTACTGTGCTGAAAAATTGTGGTGAGCGTATGAGCAAAGCTCTCTACAAGAACCTTGATTTCAAGTGCGTTCGTCAAGTTGCACCGTCCTGCCATAGCTAACATTTGGGCAGAGTGGAGCTCGTCAACCGTCTGCAACATCTGCATAGTTTCTGTGGGCTTGAACATGGCGACGTGTGCGGTGGCAACGTACTCGTGAAGGATGACTCCCCCGTATTCATCGACTTTGAACATGCCCGGCCGCACGAGTGCAAGCGAACTATGGCGATTGAAGTGGGAAAGCCATGGCCCCAGGCGTTGGATTTCGGCTGCTTTGAACTGCATGACGCTGGAAAATATTTCGGGGTTTGGGGCCCTGGTGAGTTTCTTTGGTCTGCATGAACGCGTTGCTATACTGACCCCCCGCAGCTATCGTCGAATTCCTGGACGATTGTATCTCAGTCTACCAGATCACTTCTCCAAAACGCTTGGTGGAACTAACGTTGCACAACGACTATATCGACCCGGAAGATGCATTAGAGCAGGCGCAAGAATTTGTGCAGTATCTCGTCAACAGAGGGACACTGCCCGAGTCTGTGTTGATGAATTCTGAATAGTCTGTTTCGCTATCGACCCGTTCCCGATGTATATATGCCCTCGTTCCCAAGTTCGTCAACACGTCTCGAGCAAATGAGACGTGCACACCACTGGACAGTCTATTCTGGCGGGAGCTATGCGTCCACGGCAGATGACGAACGACTCATCATCATCCTCGTTATCGCTAACGATCTGCTTTCGTCGGTGGCACAGTGCCATGGTCTGGAAACCTGTGGTTAGTTATGGTACAGTTCTTACTCACCGACTGGTTCACCCAGTTCAGGGTTGCTTTGATTACGGCGAACTGTACTGTAGGTCTCTTGGACGTCTTCTGGCTTCCGTTCGCAGGCTCTGAGTCTCTAAGAACATTCATTTGCATGCGAATGAGAACAAGTGTACGTGTACGTGTATTATGTATGTTTTTCACGCAGCCTGTCGGTGGCTCACGTTATTCCGTGGTCAAGCCGATACACTAGGTGCGATTTTACCGCTCTCTTGCACTCGGACAGAACGTCGTTTACGCCCAGTCATTGATTCTACTACCAGGGGAGTCGACATCTTCAGCACCTATCTCTTGCTTCTTTTATGGAGAAGCTGAGGATGTCACTGTATCAAGCAAGGATTCAGCGCGATGCAGGACCTTCAGTGAAGTATGGCGTACGACGTTGTCCTGTGTATCTGGGCCTATTGCTTGTCCTGCCGTGGCTGAGACCTTCTTTGCACAGCAGACTTATTCTGACGTCCTGCAAGATCAGTCTCGGGGTGCGTTCGGTCCTGCGATCTGTCATGTTTGCCAGTCCGTCAACGGTACGTTCTACGCAGCTCACTCCAACTCCAACTTACCCTTGTCTCCCGTATGCAGCCTCGTTCTCCTCTCGCGCAATCGGTTCACCTTCTCGCGACTCGCCGTCAGGCTTTGGAACTTCAGCTGCAGTCTCTTCCTCAGTCCGTCGCCGTCTCCGTCGTCTGGGTTTCGGCATCCGGAAGACATAACGGACGTGATACGCATCGAAATGCAGATCTCTGTCCGCGCAGTTGATGGTCCTGTTGCAGAACATACACGGGGCGTGCGATCTAGTGTGGTTTGAAAACATCATTCCTGGGTGAGTGCAAGTGGAGGACGGGTGCGACTCAGTCTTCGTGTTTCAGGCAGAGAAGCGTGCAATGGGGCGACATCACAATACAAGGCAACCTGTCAAGCTGTTGCGGCTGTTCGTGACACTTCTTTATGCTGTTTTAGGTGGTTGCTATGCTAACAGTATAGAGTACATCCGTGCAAGCAATTGTACAATATCTATACGATTGGTCTACAGGAAGGCGGTGTCTGTGTGGCCTAGTCGCTACTCTGAAGACGAAAGAAGAGTATGGTGACTTAGTACGGATAGGTTATGTGTCATCCAAAGGGTACGTGCACAACTGATCCATTGTGCAGACCATTGGCAAGGACTGATTGTGGGTGAATCAGTGGAGATGCACCGTGCCAAAGTTTTTGTGGCAACGGTAGTGGAATGCGAAGGCAATGTTCGGGAGCGAACACGGCGCCCATGATCGTAGCGTGTCGACATGGAGGTGGTACGCTTTGGCACGGTGAGGAGTGCATCTGGGCGGTGCTATGCACACTTTGGTGTGGCGGTGGTTATGTGTCGGCATCGTGGTGGGTAGGTGCCCGTCCAGCCGACGCCTGCCGCTTCTGCAGGGTTTCCTCTAGAGGTACAGGTACATCCTTTCATCGGACAAAACCTAGCTGATGGTATGTTAGTCGTTGTGAGTCTTTGACAGCTCTTTGGCATACCATAGATGGGGTTATGTCGACTGTATCGCGACTGGAAGGTGCCTAGTGCTCTTCTTTATGCCCGCAATCCGGAGGCTCGCACGTTGGGCTTTTCTCCACGCCGACTCCACCTTGCCTTGGTCGTCCAAGTCGTGCTTGGCTCGACGCTGAGGCCGCATTTTTGTTTCGTGGGTGAGGCGCGATAGTTGTGGATGCTTCCTCGGCAGTGGAACAAGCTGCGAAGGGTTGACATTCCCTTTCAGGCTGAGCAAGATGTGTGCCACCGCGAGATGTTGGCAGGCTTCGGCATGTCGAGGGTAGTCCCTTTTGTTCAACATGACGCCGCAGCAGCATTTGAAATTTAGCTTCGGCATGATTGTCAAAGATCCAGAGGATGGAGGATGAAGAACTGGCTCAGTCGGATCGGGGGAAGTGCGACTGGAGACTGGAACAGAGTGCCACTTGGGAGCTCTACGAACGCGTGGGTGGCGCGGTTTCAATCTGCAGCTGTCTCATGTTGGCTTTTATAGCGAGAACTCACTTCTTTGTTCGTTTAGGCGCCCATATGTTGCTTTGTCCCTCCGTAGGCTCCTCCTTCCTCACTTACTCTTCGTTGTTTGTTCCTCACCCCACGGGTAATGGCCCAGCAATGGATTTAGTTCTATATTAGCACCTGAGGGGTGAACAGCAAGTAGTTACGGTGCCGGTATCACTCTCCGCCAGTGCGACATGTACGTCATGAATTGCTGGACTCTGTCAGTCGCCCATGGCCCTTATTCCTCTGTCTCCTGGTGCTCTCCTCGCATCAAGGGTACTCGCTTACGCACTGTTCCATCTCCGTGCCCTGTACGGACATCTGAATTCTTCGTTTGTTTCTACACTTGGAGGACCTCGACGTATTCTTTTACAACAGTCATATGGTTGTTACTATGACGAGTACTGTCAGCGAAGCCGCATTACAGGCCATAGTGCAGACCTACAACTTATTTCGCATCAACACCTTTTGGACCGAGACAACGGTTATCAATGCTGGGACCTCCCGATCATTGTCGCACGTCTCCTCGTGGAGTTTCTGGTCGACGATATTATACTTGGCGTTGCAGTCGGGGCACGTCCGTACGTTGCCGCCAGCAACTGCCTGGGCAGGAACAATGGGATTCATCGTGGGGATGTGCAGAAAGGATGAGAGATGTGATGTCTATGTTCGCCACTTCACTTTGCTCTTTATATATGGCGAACTGGTCGCAAAGCGAGGTGATGCATGGCACCGGTCAGTAACAACGTGTATCGTGGTGTCATGGCATGGGATCTCCGTCTGCTTGATTGTTACCGTCCGATATCCTCGTGTGGCAGCAATGCAGCTATTGAAAGCGCTCAGGCGGAGTCGCCACTTCGTTGGATCGTGCGAAGCATGAGACTTGCCATTTCAGGCCGCTGTCCTTTCCGCCTCTCGTCAATTCTCTCCAAGTCCGCCACGACTCCAGTGGTCACTTCGGGGGCTGCAATTTTGTTATCTTGCAGTCGCACTTCAGCTTGAACACCGCGTCTTCCTTGAGGCGCATCTCAGCTGGACGATATTCTATTGTGTTCAAAATTAATTTCAAATCCTACAACTGACTAGTACACATGTCTTCCTGCGCTGTCGCAGGTTCCGTGTCTGATGCGGATATCCTGAAACACGAAGGTGAGGCAGAGTAGCTACACTGTCTTTGGGTAGCCTTCCATTCCATCCCCCGGTGCTGACATGATGACTTTCACAGAGTGTATTGTCTCTAACCCAGAATGTCGCACTTACGTGTCATCTACGGTGGTTCACCCCACGAGACGCAGGTGCGATGATGAGTGATCAATTACTCGTCAATGTGTTGCTGCTGCCAAGAATTCTTCTATGTGATAGACCTTTTACTGCCCTCTGATATTGTTTATGCTCGCCGCGCTCTCCCCGTTCAATGGATCTGCATAGCTTCTCATAGATTGCGCGTGCCGGAGGATACCAAGACCAAACTAGAAGTAGACTTGCAGTTCACCCTGCCTTTCCTTGGGTGATTTGCAAGCTATTGTCGGAGCTTCAAATCAAGAGAGGTCGCGCAGTGACAGCCCATGCAACGTTGCACTCAACGGTCTTACTTCCCTCCTGCACGCTCGCTGCGAGATATGAACAAGGCGTTGACATGGAAACCTGACTCGCAAGTGAACCGACTCATGCCCACAGGAAGCAACGTTGAATCCTCAAGTTTCGTCCTCCTCTCACCCTCGGGCTTGTTGGCACTACTCCTCGTTATCATGCAGTGACACAGCATGAAGAGATATAGTACGTTTTTCATACATTCGCAGTCGGTGGGAGATCTAATATGATACATTCTCATTCAGAACAGGGCTCTGTCGACCAGCGAAACAGAGCAACTACTTGCACTGCCACAAAGTTCCCTTTCTCCGGGCTTGTTTTTCTGGTATTTTCACTTTCCACAAACCTGGAACAGCCTGTCGTCTCCGGAAGGAAGTATCCAGTGCATCCGGTGTGCCTAGTAGAGAACCTATTCCGTCGATCAGCGGTCATCGAAAGATCACACCAGGGCCGTGGCGTACCATCGTTAAGCTTGGCATAGTCAGGTTCGTCCTGATAATTCGTCCAGAACACATGCATTATGTCCTCGTCAGGATCAGGAAATACATCGCGCTGACACCACAGCTGCTGGGTTGGGCCACAACTCGGGCCTGCTGCGGCTGCTGTGGTGGCCTTCGTAGCACCGTTTTCCGTCGGCACCATCTGGCTGGTAGCTCGCGCGGTTATTTGGGCGGGCTCTACGATTCCTGGTTGGTGGATGGGCTTTATCCGATGCTCACACACTTTCATGTGGAACTTCTCGTCGATTGAATTGTACAGGTATCGACACCTGCTGCATCTGTGCAATTTAACGTCACCGTCTCCGAAAGCGGGTGTGGTACAAGTATCTTTGTGCAGAGGGTGCCGCCGAGGTGGGGGCGTAATTGTGTGGCGTTCATCCATGGCTGTAGTATTCGTTTGTAGAAATGGAAGATGAGGAAGAAGTGTGGTCGTGAGGGCAGTGTTGGGTGAGGCATATCGAACATCGTTATATATAGCCAAGAGGCAAATGTCATGCGACGAGCCGCGTTGCTTGTTATAAGACAAGGAACAAAGCAAGCACTAATCATGGCCACCCAAAATGGGTTGCCGACTCGTGGCCCGTAGCGATAAATGCAACGCGCCGCTTTGTGGTTCAAGCTTCATATAGGCATAATATTAGAATATAGCAAGTAACCCAAGATATTGGTGTACATATTCCAAACATATCCTAAACAATAACACGAGATCCTTCGTCGATCCGAGGCAATAGGCGACGTCGACATTACGCAGTCGCATCATCAGCATCCAAGTCGATGGTGTTCTCGGAACTGGTGGCCGTGTCCTGCACGGCTGTTGGACCAGCACGCGTTGCCTCTTCTGCAACGTGGCCTCTGTCTGACACCTTCCTCGGACGCGCAGCTTCTATGAGGTTGGCAAATTCGGCTTTATGCGCCTTCTATTTACATTAAAGCGCTCTCAGTGAAGAGGTAAAGGTAGTCAGGAGGAGGTCGACGCACCTCGTAGGCCGTTGTATCTGTGACAACTTGTTTCCTTGCTTTCCGCTCGTCTTCCCACGTCTGCAGCTCGCGTCTGAGCTGCGAGAGGGTTTTCCTATCGGTAGAAGATTGATCTAGGTTGGCGTTGAACATCATGACCCATCTAACGCCGTGGTGAGTTTCACAGCACATCACTGAAGGGTCAAGTCCTTACTTCGCGTGTCGTTTATTCAATGTATTCCTGTCGCCTGTTGTGGGTAGGTTGTGCTCCAACAATCGGTCTTTGATGACACTATCCTTCAGGGTGTGATAGGAGACCTTGGGCAGATACTCTGTATCTTCGGCGATCTCGGAGGATTTCGCTCTGCGACGTAAGATAGGCAGAGGCTCACGGTTAAATTCGAACGTTGATCATACCTTTCTTTCTCCTTTCCTTTACGGGTAGCACCTCCGAGTATCTTGGACCATTCTTGCTTTTGTTTGCCTTTGTCTCCCGCCGCATGTATGACGCTTGTCGAGCCTTCCACACGCAGTTCTCGGCAGTTACTATCGAGATGGGTGTTGATATTGTCATACGGGACGTCTTTTTGGCATACTGGGCATTGGACGAGGTCTGTAATTCGTGAGAGATGCTTACCCGTCGCGAGAGGATGGACATACTATTGAGGGACGATGGTGTGGCTGGAGATTGGGGGCTCGATTTCATGGCTGCATACGGCATGTTTAGCTAACAGCAAGTATATGCAGAGAGATGGCACCTTTTGCTTTGAACCCGCTGGGGGTTGGTATTGACGGGCCACTGACAACCTGCACCTCGTCATCCTCCTCTTCAGACGTAGCGCGTTTACGTTTCTTACTGGATTTCTCGGACTCCAGTTCTGATGGAGTAGATAATGCAAAACCATTCTGCGAGGTACGAGTTCCTTCCTCATTAAAAAGACGAAGTAAATAGGCCCTGTCTCGAAGGTCACAATCAGTCAATCATGAATATCAGAGATGCAGACCGTGCTAGATTCCACGCTTTCACAGCATTCTCCAAAGCAGGATTCCTCCTGATTTTTGTGTCTGATGCACTCTGTCGACAAAGAGGACACTCTCCTTTCTCCTGAAGGACAGACCGTATGCACTAGGGAACAAAGCATCAGGAGCAGCGATATTGTGCGGAAAAGTTCCTCATACAAGGGAGCAAAAGCAGTGTCCGCAGCTGATCGTTACTGGTGCCTGGTATAGCTCTCTGCAGATGCTACAGCGTAGGGCTTCGTCAAGCTGGCGGACACCTGGCGCGACGTCCGCCGGCGGGAAGTCGGACGGGTCTTGAATATCCGTATCATGCAAGAGATCATTAACAGACATGTTGGTACGCCGCGATTTATAGCATTAGATATCCCAATAAATGCAGACAAATCAGGGATGACAATAGGGACGGGGTAGTATAAGTCAAGTAGGTCGCGGTCGGGAGCAGAAGGCGCGTAGTCACAGCCCGTGACAGTCGGTGACGGACGCGTCAAATTCACGTGATTGAATGGGAGCCGTGACCGCGTCACCTCCGATTCGCTCTGTTTGCAACTACTCAATCGTAGCGGTGCTCGCGCCAGTCCCCGACTCCAATGGGGTGCTCATGGTTTTTGTATGAGCAAGGGTGTGTGATTGATACATATGTAGTACAGGTACAGGCATTTGTGGTAGTTACAGTAATGGAAAACTACACGAGCGAGCCATCATCATTGTCACTGTCATCCGAGTGGTGTTGGTCAGGCTCGGAATTCGGTCGGAAGACTCCGAGGAGGGGCATGGGCTCATCCTCGAGGAAGCCGTGGGGCATTGATCCCGGAGAAAATGTCAACATTCTCCAACCACTCTGTAGAACAACAAAAAAAACATACAGTACTGTACACCTGGCAGAGCAACACTTCAGGAGAGCAGCAAGAGTGTCAACTTATGACTATGTGGCACCAAAAACACAGCAATACAGTACCAATGTATAGTTTTGACTTTCCGAGGTTCACAGAAGCAACAATATGAACAGCACAGAACACGAAGAAATGTTCGAAAATGCAGTGCGAGCCTTGCGAGGTCGTCGACCATCGACCGGAACAGGTTAGTCTTAGTCATCAAAACTCCTTGCGTAAAAAAGAGTCTGTCACCTATTTACACATGTTTACGTGCGTCGTACGGAGCTAGCAGAGGCGCGGTACGAAATCCCTCGACAAGGCCCTCCTCCAGTTCCTGGAGTTCGGGGACTCAATTAACAGCTAGGCAGTTAACGACATTGACAGGTTTTTCTGGAGGGCCTTTCGGCAGCCAAAGTATTATCTGCAGCATGGTCTCTCTCTCTCTTACACTAATTGTTGCGTTTGTTCTCCGGCGTTCGCGTTGGGGCCATGTGCAGTGTACATGAGCAGGGGAAGGTCTGAAGCTTGTGGATCGACCAGGTTTTCATGATGCGAATCTTGACCATTCAGTAGCGCTGTAGCACTTATACACTTCTCAAGTATCTGGTGAAGCAACCTGAGTATCACAGAGAAGCACCGGTAGACTAAACCAAGTACATACAGACATGCTCTCCACGGTCGGCTATCCTCGTGATTGATTGTGATAGAAGCATCAACAGCGGCAGTACATCTTCACACTCCCGCCACAATACGTCCAGCGCATGAGCAAAGAAAGCTTTGCACACTTGTGCTTAGTAAACGTGCGAGACTCCGGTAGTCGGGGATGCACTCGGGCAGAAAGACAAATGTTGCGGAGGAGTCCGTCCACACGTAAAGCTGGATGCGTGAGGTTTTTGATAGGCGTACGTGCCTGGATAAGATGCTTGAACCCAACTCGTTGAAGTTCGCGAACGACGAAACATATCCCGTGACAGCGTCACAACTGTGACTGACGCGCCTTCCGACAGGCGCCTGGGAGAGGAACGATGGCTTCTGAGTCCTTGTGAAATTTCTTTGGCACCACATATTTCAAGCATGCTCGTTACGATGACAGGGCATTCAATCGCCGCACCAACTAGGACACACTCAGTTGCAGGCCTTGGACTTATCTGCCTAAGCTTGAAGGTTCTCTCCAGTTGTAGTACAACAATGCGGTGTGTTCCCGTAAGGTTCTTCTCAATATTTGCTCTCCCTCACAGCTCCCTGTTGTCTTGGACTTATCTGCCTAAGCTTGAGGGTTCTGCCCATCCGTGTGTCTGGTATCAGGTTGACCAATCTGGCATCTGGAAGTGCGTCGCTACAGCAAAGCTGATTAGGCTTACCTCTCATATGTGTGTGTGCGCGCGAGCTCGCCGCACGAAATTGATGTGTGGAAAGTGGCTAGGTGCAGAAGCAGCTCGCATGATCAACAAGCCCAAATCATGCTGAGACGCGTTTTGTGCGTCAGCTAAGTAAGCGAATGCATATTCTCTCGCAGAATTCCGGTACTTGAATTCAGATTCGGCCATGCCTACTCACTTGACATGCTCCTCGCCAATCTGTTCCACTAGAAGGCAGTCTTGCACTTGCCCATGGACCAGGTGCTGTTGCCGCTTACACTCCCACAATCCTCTCGTCGTTGCACTCACCAACGCTTTCCCTACTTATCCACGCCCACGACGCTCCCGTTGCAATGTGGCTCGACCAACCCCGGCGCTGTAATCAGCCTAACGCGGGAGCGGCCATAGCTGGGGACGGGAGCACAAAGACTTAAACCTTCAGTCTGTATCAGTCAGACTTTATTTATAGTTCGCGCCTCAGTTGTCTGCAATTGAACACGGAAATGAAACATATCCCCGGTACGGGCAGAAGCTAGCATGTCGCTTCGAGAGTCTATTGCATGGGCTCGGGCAGTGCGGGTACTGATTTGAAGTACATATGCCGGTTTGCCGGAATATGACTGTTATTTCTAGAGGTTTACAAAAGCGATATAATCCAGGGATCCCCGACAGTACCAGTGGCAGAACCCTGGCGAGAATTATTGCTTCTACCCTGTGTATCACTTCGTTCAGCACCTCCAAATACAATGCTCGCCAATATCGCCGAAGTTGTGGGGAAGACTTTTGACTTTATAGTCATCGGTTTGCACAGTTGCTGCTGCTCTTTCCGTGGTAAATAGCTAACCAAATTCCGTCTATCCAGGTGGTGGTGTAAGCGTTTCTACTCGTCGGATTGTCAAGAAATACCTCTCAGTTCCTCATTGTGCTGTCACGGTTCTCAGACTGCTGGTCTTGTGTTGGCTAATCGTTTGTCGGAGGACCCATCTCTCTCTGTCCTTGTCTTAGAGGCCGGGGAAGCCAATCTAGATGATCCAACCATTTGTGAGCTTGCTGTTGCCTTTGACAGTGAAGCTGACTAAATAGTGATGGCTGGACAGTGCTCGCCGGTATTGCCAACAGAACAAACTTGGAGAACAACCCTAGATATGACTGGCGATTCCACACTGTATGAACTTCCCGGTTAATTATTCCGCTGAAACATGCTCAGTATAGTTGCGCAGGTTGATCAAGTTCATTCGAATAATCGGTCTTTCCTGTGGTCACGGTAATCATTGATTGCCTCCCGTAACCAATTGGTGCTGAAAATAACTCTCCTGCAAAGGGGCAAGGTCCTTGGCGGTAGTTCTGCAATCAATGCATATTTCTGGCATATGCCTGCCAGAGAATATCTTCAAGGTGGGACTTCCGCAGCAATGCTATAGAGTGGCGACCGAGTCATCTTTCTCTCCAGTGTTCGAGCGACTAGGAATTACGGGATGGAACTGGGAGACAACCGCGAAGTATCTGAAGAAGGTTGAGAGGTAGGGCGAAAATACCTTCTCGTCTCTATCTGAACCAATGATTTTTGTGCAGATTCGTCCAGCCCGATCATGACCTCGATGTGTTGACCTTCGACATGGCTCACCGGGGAGACTCAGGCGAGGGCTGAACATTATTACGAAATTGCAATTACCTTGAACTTGGTCATCACAGGCGCTGTGGTAACCACTTTCCCGAAGATTATCTCTAACCTCGAGAGACCTATGATTGAGGTTAGTAGTTGTGGTCACACTGGAATACAGCCGTTAAGATTTCAATTTCATAAGGCGTTGAAATTGTTGGGTATCCCGCATACCACCGATTCTGTGCGTAGAATCTCGTCCATTTTCCAGCACATCGACTTACGTCTCTCCTGGGTAGATGTCTGGTTTCGTTAGTGTTTTTTTGTCCACCTTCCCTTGCAGATTGCACCTCATCGTTCTACCCAGTCAACTGGGTCAAATTCCGTAGCTCTGACGATACAACCGGACACTAATCAACGGGCCTATTCAGGCAATGTGAGTACAGTACCTTTCTCCTTCACTTGTACGACTGACACCCACGACAAACAGATGTATTATGCCCCCGCTGCGTCTCGGGAGAATCTCAAGGTGCTTGTGGCAGCACACGCTACCGAGATAACAACGCATGTCACCGGTGATGGCACTACAACCGCTATCGGCGTGAAATTCATTCATGACGGCATTCCTCATGAGGTGAAGTGCTCGAACGAGGTTTGTCTCTGTGCAGGGTTAGTCGTTCATTTCCTCTCGTGTCCTCATGATGGTAATACCGCTTATCAGGGCTATCATGTCTCCTCAGGTCTGTGCAGAACTTGCGAAGTGCTGACCCCCGTCTAACTTTTTTGTGTAGATACTTGAATTATCGGGGATTGGAGACCATGACGTGCTCACGAAGGCAGGTGTCGAGGTGAAGGTAGAGTTGCCTGGTGTTGGCTCGAACGTGCAAGAACATCTCCATGGTGGAATAGTTTACGGTACGCGTTCATCTTCAGTGTGTCATTGAGAGCTCATGGCACTGGAACCCGTGCAGAGTTGGATAAGTTTTCCTATGGCGGAAAGACCTTCCAAACACTGGACCCCCTTTACGATCCGCAAGAGATTGCAAAACAGCTTATGCTAAAGTGAGCGAGTAGTTCTGTTCCAATTTTTGACGGCCTCAAGTCAACTATGGTATCCATTCGTCCCGTGAAGTGCTGAAGGAAGGAGTCTTCTCAACCTGTGTCCCGTCAGTCTCACCTTCGTACCTATCGACGCTGTGTGCCCGGATACGGCGACCGTACAGGAAACTCATTTGCAGAAGATCCGCTCTGGGATTGAGGCCGACGTATACCCCGAAGGTCTCAAAAAGCAGTATCAGGTCCAGCTTGACCTTCTGGAGCGGAAGGTACCGGATCTCGAGATTATACTTGGCCCTGGTTCATTGGTACAGTTCCGTGCGTCATCTGCATTGAAGGTTGGTCCATGTGTCTTAACTAGTATGCCAGCCGTTCCCGATCCCAAGAAGAAGCATATCTCGTTTGTCTATGGTTTAAACGCACCGTTCTCCCGAGGCACTATTGTGAGTCTCATATATCTTGTCTCTATCCGGCGCTCACGGATGTGTCGTAGCATATCGGCTCGAAGGATCCCCTGACTCCGCCAGTGATGGACCCTCATGTCTTTGAGGAGTCTTACGGTCAGCGGACCTCCTACTATCCTCTCTCCTTTTAGTTCCAATTATGCTTGGCTCAACTTGCACTTAGATCTCATCACCATTGTTGAACTTGTTAAGTTCTTCAGACGATTGACAAAAACAGAGCCGTTCAAGACAATCGTGAAAGGTGGAGGCCATTTAATTTTCACCGTCTCTTTTTAACTCCGAAGTATCTGTATTTATTGGCAGAAACGGAGGTTTATCCTAGTCCCGAAGTCGAGACGGACGAGCAGCTGGCTGGTATGTGGTGTGTCTGAGAGATCTCGCGAACGTCTCTGAAGTTCTCTTGTAGACTGGATAAGAGACACCGTCAATACCACATTCCGTACGCATATCATTACCTTGTGTCATTGGGCATTTTGTTCAAAGATAAATCACACAGACAGCGCGGGTTCATGCTCAATGTTGCCTGAGGAAGACGGAGGAGTCGTCGACTCGCGCCTCAAGGCATACTTGCTGTATGCCTTCGCATGTCGATTTTCTGACTCTTTTTACTTAGGTCTATCATACCACGAACATACGCGTCGTCGACCTGTCTGTCCTTCCTCTGCACATTGGGGGACATCCTCAAGGTTCGATACGCTCCTGTCAGTTACGATGTCTTACCCCCAACTCATCTGTCATCCAGCTCTGGTGTACGCAATTGCAGAACAAGGTGCGTCCGCTGCGTGACGTTTCGTTCGATGAAGGGTCTGACCTGTTTATTCAGCCGCGGATATCATTAAAGGCAAGATCTGAAGGTGTTGTAGCGGCGACTGTATGCCGACTAGACTGTTGACTCTGTTGAGTGGTGGTGATTTGGTAGGGATCGAGATGTTTGACTGCTATATTGTGCAAGATATGTACTTTTCGCTGTTCTCAGAGCTGATCATATCCAATGCCCCACATAGGATGGGTGTCGACGCAAAAGAGTGTTTTCGCAACCGCCTTTGCGGCCGAAAGGTCCCACTACCCTGCTTCGTTAACCAAACTTTGTCGGACTCCCCCCATCTAGCCCGTAAGCCTTAGTGATACGAAAACACCCTAAAGACGCCAAATTCGACAAAGCTACTATTTGGCATCATGAAGGCGTGCAATATGTGGATATTGCGGAACAAACTTCAGTCGCGATCTCAATGCATTCTACAAAGACTACTTCCACAGCTCTTCCGCACTGTTATTCGGGTACACAACTTTCAGCAATAATGACCAAACGTCTGATTGCTACTGCTCAAAAATCTCCATTCTCCGTCGGCTTCAGATCCTGCATTCTTTGCATGGCCTCCCGCAGTTCTGCCTCTGCAAATACCTCCGCCTCCTTCGCTACCATCATCTTCTTTTCCAATTCGTCCGCGGTCATGGGTCGGAAGACACCATCCTTGCTGACGGCCAGACCGATCAGGTCGAAACGCTGCAGTGAGTTGCCCACACGCGGTAGGAATCCGTGCGCATCCCAGCCGCTGTCATTGAAAGACAGGATCGCACGCACAGCCGCGGTATTGATGTCACGATGCAATTCCTCCAGTTTCGCGAGCTGCACCTCCATCCATCGTGCCCGACGCTCCAGGGCAAGGGTCAAGGCAGCCACCTCATCGTCCTTGCCCTGGCTGTCCTGGTCATCACCGCCGTCGTCCAAGAAGTCATCGCCCTTCAACATGTCCCTAAGAACACCATCAAAGGACGAATTATCGTCCCACGTCTTGCGCGGCAAGAGTCGGAGCAAGTCAGAAATTGTCTGAGTCAACGTCTCGAGCAGCTGCTGAAACGATGACACTGCGTTGTCGATAGAACCTGACGGCATATTGTTAGCGAAAGAACCGCCACCAACTGAGAGAGCCGACAGCGCATGAACGAGAGGGCCGTACTCCAGAGGCATCTTTGCAGCAGGATTGATCTTCTGCAAGTCGAAGAATGGGTGCTTCGAGATCTCCATCCACGGAAGCTGCACGTTAATCTCGGCCACGAGAGTCTCCAATGGGGTCGGCTGGTTAGGAACCGTTCTATCAAGAGAACCGGCCCGAGAGTTGTTGGAACTGCTCTCCTGTGTAAGCGTGTCCGGGAACTGGGGAGCGTCAGAGGTCGCTGCAGATGTGAGAGAAGATGTGGTGTCCGCAATTGGTTCCTCCTTGGGAATCCTGATGGGCTTAGCGATAGGCTTACTCTTCTTCGGCATCCTCGACAGAATGGGTACCTGAGTAGCAGGCTCGGAGAGCGTGACGGCAGCTGGCGAGAGCTTCGCTACTTGCACTCGTCGATTCCGGACATCCGCTTGTGTAGGAGTCTTCTCCGCCGGAGTAGCAGCCCTAGAAGGAACTGCGGATAAGGCAGAGGGATCCACAGCTTTGGACAGTTTCGCCGTGGCTGGAATCTTCGCTTCCTTCATAGTAGCGGCCTTCTTAGCTTGCGCGGCCTGATCAGCATTCTCTTTGGCCTCTCTCGCAGCCTGTTCCTTGTCTGCCTTCTCCCGTTCCACCTTCTCCCGTTCGGCCCTCTCCCTTTCCGCCTTCTCCTTGTCAGCTCTCTCCTTCTCGGCCTTCAGCGCAGTTGCTCTCTCCTTCTCCGCGGCCTTCTCCTGCGCGATCCGCTCTCTCTCCGCTGCCTTTGCCACAGCTTTCTCTTGCGCGATGCGGGCTCGCTCTGCAGCACGTTCTGCTGCAGCAGCTTTCTTCGCAGCTTTACGCTCGGCTTTGGCTTGTGCCTCCACGTCAAGGACTGAGACGTCGCCAGCGAAAGCCGGGTCAGACTGTTGCTCGCGACGAAGGGAATGCTCCACCACGGACAACGCCGGGAAGTCTGAAGAGGATAAGGCAGGGGAAGGAGCGAGAGAAGGAGACGTCGAGACTTCATCATCAGGAATAACAAGTACCGATAGCAAAATGGAACAAGGTCACGTCAGCGTCGAGGCATACGGGATACCCTTCCGGGAGGCAATGCATAGCGGGACTGAGATGCGAACACGTAGAAGAAAGGACCGGGCCGCTTGCATGAAGGGAATGACAGGCATCAAGGCCGGTGATACAATTTCCGCACTGCAAGTACGGCACTCGGTACTCTGACATAGGACACTCTCCCCTGAGATTAATAGAAATAAGACTCACCCTGAGCCGAGCTACTCTGCGATACCTCCATATTTGTCGATGGGCCACTGCCTGTTCCATAACCGACACGATTCGCAGAAGCATCAGGATACTGCAGACCTGGGGGAAGACCATATGCCAGATGATGCGACGAATAACTTTCAACCGCAGAAGGAGGATTTGAGTACGCATCATGGACACTGCGGGCTATGGTCGGCGACGCGAGCCTCGCGGACATGATTGCGGGGTCGTGGAACGGCTGGCTTGAACCATAATTGTACGCGGATTGATCTAATAATGCAACAAGACAGACGGAGAGAATGGGATACATAAACGTCCGATGTCAAGAGTTACATGGGTGGGAATAAACGATGTCAACAACGCTTAAAGACATTCATACGAACAGGAGCATCCTACCAGACGACCCGTTCCGCATATTTGCACTAGAAGTGATGAGATCCCGCAGCTGCGCCTCGCTCACCCCATTGTCGTACGGCGGAAACCGGCTCTGCTGCTGGGCAAAAGTGGACTGGGCCTGCGCGTGCTGCACCAGTGGAGAACTCATCGCAGAGCTGCTCTGGGGATGAGTGTACTCGGGGGCTTGGTGACGCGCTTGGAAAGGCCACTGCGGAGGAGCCCGGCTGGCGGGCGAGGACAATTCCGAATTGTAGAAAGACGAATGCGACACGTTGTCCGCGTTACCGAGAGGCGAAGGGGCGTGCAGCGAAGATGACGTAGAACCCTGCCGTCCTCGAGCAAATCCAAAGCGAGACACCTTCCTTTCCTCGTCCAACGGAGAGAACCGTCGCGACGGCGGTTCCTCATTGCTCTCAGACGCGAAAGGATTGAATGATCCAGTGTAGCCAGAGCTGCCAGAAGACTGTCGCTCGAGCGCTGGAGCTCTCGCTGCTGCGAAGGGATCATATATCGAGCGATGAGAAAGCTGAGGATAGGTGAGACCAGGTGGAGGCATGAGAGGGTTCGAAGTCGACGGTCCACCTTGTCTCAGCGCAGGGAAAGCATCAAAGAATGAGCCGTTGAACTGAATGGTGGACTCAGCCTCCAGATCCGGAAGCGGTACGTCCTGGGCGACATCACCTGCAAGGGCTGGGTCGAGGTTAAAGCTGAAGCCGCCATACTCACCATCAGCGCCACTGAGCGTCTGCAGCATTCGATCGAAATCGGGGAAGGGACTCTGCGTGACTGCAGTCACAGGCAGCTCACGCCTTGCCTTGATGTCCTCCATGAGTGCCTGGGCCTGCGTAGACATCTGATAAGATGATTGGGAGAGTTGGAGGGCAACCTGGGGTACGTCTGTTGGCGGTCTAGTTGGTGGTGGCAGACCGGGGGGGATAGAAAGACGGGGGGGTACAACAGAGATACCAGGTGGAACAGTGGGTACCTCGTTGGCAAGAGATTGTACAGGTGACGCCGTGGGTTCAACGTCACGTCCGGACGATCCCACGTCGGACTCAACCGCAACAGAGGATGTCGGCGATCGAGGAGCCGGCTGTGGATGTGGATATGGATGCGAATGTGGAGGGACATGTTCCTTCAGCCTCGCTATCTTCGTCACTGCTGGTGTGAGAGGCCGGTTCGATTGTGTGGTACTTGCAGGCGTTGCTGGGCGAGACGAGGATGCCTGCGAAGGAGCCTTAGTACCTATTGAGCCACCCTTTCGGTCTCTACCAGCACGAATCTCAGCATTCGGCATAGTAACCGTCGAGGATCCTGGACGTTGCTGCCTTGGATTCGCACCGGCCCGCCGGGTGGGTCGAACAGAAGCGGTAGACTGGTTGGTATTATTCTGCAGTGTCAAGCTAGCAAGCGCAGTTGTCCCCTTGCTAGCCCACGATGCTCCACGAGGCAGACCTGTGTTTTGGCATGAGGAGCATCGCTGAGAAGTACAGACGAAAAGAACGCTACCTTCAGATTCGTCGCCTTTCCTGACAGTGGTAGTTCTCGATCGTGTTTCAGTGTCCTTCATGGTGTGTTTACTACAAAAAATCAGTATAGGGCCTCGCATCAGCTGCAAACCCAAATCTACGCACAGAGTCGTCAAATCCTCCTTCGTGAAACAGTCCTTCTCGTCTCCCCACTCATGAAGATTCATACAGCTGTGATCGGGACAACTAACGCCACGTAGGAACGCCATGCAGTATTTGGTCGTCCCATAGCTGGCTCTCATGATATCACTTCCTCCGCCCGGAGACTGTGCGCCATCCACGGATGAAATGGCACGCGCGGCATCCTCACGCCGGTTGTAGGTGATATACAGTCCCACCACAGGAGCGCGCCCACCGGGTGGAGTCCGCTTGACGATGATGATCTTGGATATCTTTCCATACTGCCCGAAGTACTCGTTCGAGCGCAGGGTTGGTATAAGCTGGGGTGATGTGAGCGGATCTGCGAAAAGAGCCAAATTTGGACCGACGCACCTCTTCCTTCGCGAACCTCGGCCCGAGACCAACAACATAAACGACGTTGCGCTGCACGACGCGCACATTGGCAAGGTGGCGCCGATTCAAAGCGTCTAGCTCCTTGCGCTCACGCTCCCGTTGTTTCTTCTGCTGGGTCAAGCGCTTGTGACTAAGTGTCGGGGTCGTCATTAGTGAAGGGCAGCTGCAGAGGGAAGCCGGAGAATAACTGCCACCAGAAAAAAGACACTCACTCTTCTTTATTGATGGGCTTGAACTGTACAGCTTCGTCGGTGTACTCCCTCCTACAGGCGGGGCAGCGGCCGTTCAAATTCTCCTTGATGTGATGCCAGCAGAACCGGCATATCTGGGACATGATCGTGAGATGTTGTCCAGCCCTGCGAACATCGTGAATTTCACCTGGTAACCGCATGGGCAAGGCTTGAAGTTGAGGTCGGAAATGTCCATCTCTTCGAGACACAAGGGGCACTCAGCGTCCTCCTGGACAAGCATCGACGCTGTCAGTTATATGCCAAGCTCTGTCGACACCGACGGCACTCACAGCTTCATCGTCGCTCCAATAGGCGTCCTGTACGCCTGCAAGAACGTACGACTTGGACTGTGCGGCGACGTTGGTGGTATGCATGGCCGGGGCTGGTAACGGGGAATGGGGATGAATGCGAGAGGACATGGTAGCTACACGTATGTTGCGTGGAGGGTGTGAAAGACAAAAGTAAGACGAGGGAAAGGCTTCTGTAAAGCAGTGAGGAACGCGACAATGAGGCGCCTGCCGAATCTTTTACGAGGTGGCACAAACAACATGCACAAATATCTCAGATAGGCGCCCATACAAGCACCTCCAGTCTCATTCCAGCCGCTTCATTGCAGCTGCCACATATCGTCTACCATTTACATTGTCTAGCTGAAACACAGTTGTGGGTTACACAAGACCCGATGTTCCAATCATAGCCGCTTGCACAGCAACAACGCTCAGTAGCACTAACAGAGCCATGTCGAACCACACCGAGGCCACAGTCTGGGTCTCTGATCTCGCGACTTATCGGAATATAGAGGGCTCGTGTAGACAGATGCGGCAAATTCATGTGTCCGGATCCTCGCCGAAGCCAAGCGGAAACGCCCAACGTCTTACTCCATCTCCGACTTGTATGTAGACGTGCATGTCTGCGCGCGTGACTATCCCCAGTACGGCATCGCATGAGAACTGGGAGTATAACTTCGGCAGGCCGTAATAACACTCACCCGCTGCCATGTCAAGTGACTGGGATCCCATTGAAGACCTGGACAGATCGACATGAACCAAAATTGCAACTGCCAATGTCTCTAAGAATGCACTGATAGTGATGGCGTGCAGTGGGAGGATACAACAGTGCGATAGCAAGAAATACAGGTGCATGAGACAGCGGCAAACCAAGAGGGTGAAACAACCGATCATAATCCGAGGTCGAAGTCATCGTCGTCAAGTCCTCCTTTTCTTCGTTGGAACTGTAAAATAGAATCAGGCAAGCAGATAACTCGGAGGAAACATAAGAAAAGGGTACACACCACAATGGCGCCTTTCTTCGGTGCGCTCTTTGATTGCGCTTCGTCTGCCTATACGGCGCGGCAACTCAGCGATCCTTCATTGGTTAGCAGGCATCAACACACACCTGTTCCAAGAGCTCGATGAGCTGATCTTCGCTTACCCGACCGCGTAGCTGTCCACTCTGCGCCATACGCAGGAGGATGGCTTCAATCTGTCGCGCTCGATCCGGGCTAACAAGAGCAATACGTGCGACTGTGGGCAAGCTACAATTAATGCAAAAACCAGGATTGGAGCAGACTGAACCTACGCCTTTCCCGAGCAGCATGATCAAGGACAGTCGCCAACAGGTCTCTCCGCATCTGCTCCTCTGCCACGCGTTTGCCCTCATCTTCACCACCCTGGCCTCCGCCGCGACCCGCGTTCTGCTGCTGCAACTGGCTCATCCTCGCAGCACGGATCGCAGCCAACTCTGGGTCCTCCATAGCGGTTAGATGAAGTCTGTAAGCTTCTTGTGTATATTAGAGCAGATCGGTAGAATATCGAGCCGCCAAAGTAACGTTCGGTATGTACAAGTGTAGACTTGAACTGAGAGGATAGAGCGATCGGAAGCGCCCATGAGGTTGCTTTGGCGCCCTTGAAGGGTCCAGACTTCCAGCCTGTTCCCAAAGATGTCTGATTCAGGCCTGAATTGGTAGTAGCGGAGGACTAAAACCGCCTCAAGACTTTCCGATTCAGCCTCCGGACTTCATTCCTCCTGCTCTCCGTCAAGTCTCTTGTACTTCGTACAGGTCGAAATAATTTACCTTTTCCTGCGCGAACGAGTGCAGTTTACTACATGTTTGCAGTGAGCTTTGCTGACATCCTGAAGTCCGAAGCATAGGTATGGGAGACTAGGCAAGACCTCGAGGCAATGTCGTCCTGCCATTGCCAAACAACGGAGTCCTTACAGAGTCATACCAAATTCTATTGTGTCCACATGCCCCATATACTGCATCAATTCACCCGCAGCACGAAGCCAGGATGCCCTCCATGCTCGACCTCTTCAAGCGGCACAAGACCCACTCCACTGAGCGTGCCCAGGCGCACGACGACGCGGACGACGTCGCACGCAGACTCGCGTCGTTCACGCTGAGAGGCGATCCCGACGAGCAGCACAGGCGGCATTCCGATCAGAATGCACGACCTGGCGGGTTTGTGGGTGGTTTCAGCCTGGCGGTGCCGGATGACCGCGTTCCTCTCCCACCGCACGACGCGTCCGCAGACTCTGCGTGGACAGTGCAGTTCCCGGCACCCGCGCGCTACGGTCCACCACCCCCAGGTCCCCTCCCAAGACCTCCAGCATTTTCTCCCATGCCCGTTCCGCAACATGCCCCACAGCCGATGTCGATGACAATGCAGCATGCCCTCGCGGCGCCGTTCGCGTCCCCCGAGCATGCATCCTCTGAGCAGCACCTTAGGCCTGCTATTCCAGACGTGCCTACGCGTCCCTACTCCGATCCTGCAGTTCCGACGCGTCAAGCGGCATCATCTTCTGCAGAAAGACCGCCCGCGCCTGTGCGTGTGCGTGCGGCGCAGCATCTAAGGCCATATGCACCAGACATATCTGCACGTACGCAGTCTGACTTAGTGGTTTCGGTGCATGACGGTGCGGTACCTTCATCCTCTGCAGCAACACAAAGATCAGTTCCAACGACCCCGAGGCGTCCCCCTGCAGTTCGAACACCCTCGTCTGCGCCATCTAAACCTGTTTCCTCACGCGGTCCTCCTCAGCGTCCACCGCTGCAGAGTCCGATTCAAAGGCGGCGCGCAGCGTCTTCTCCGCCTTCGTCAACGTCAACGTCTGTGTTGAACACGGTCCAGTGCAACGGCACAACGAAAGCCGACAAGCGCTGCAAGAAGAGAGTGAAGGTCTCTCCGGATGCGGACACAGAACTAGATCAATACTTCTGCCATATCCATATGAAGGCATTGTTGGAACCGAAAGAAATCATCTTAAGGACAAAGGACGGGGACCGATACGTTAAGGTTGCGGGTGCGTTGCCTTGTGCTAGCCTTTCGACGACCTTCTCAATTGTGGTGCAGATTGGATACCGGAATACTTACAGCATTCCACACAAGCTAACTTACGTTTAACGATGGAGAAGCCGATATCCAAGGCTGACGTTCCGGGTTACATATACACGTTCGAGATACGAGGTGCGTCAATATATTACTACCTCCTCTCGGCTGAATTCTGAGCCTTTCTGCTGATAGATTCAGAGAATACTGAGCATATTCAACTGAAAGTTGGACGTGCAGTTAAGCTCACGAAACGCATCGACGAATGGAGCAAGCAGTGCGGCTCGAAGCCGCAGGTTTTACGAGGATACTGGCCTAGCGGTGTTGATACGGATGACGGTAGCCTCATGAAAGGCCGCGTGCGTGTTGGCGAGAAGGGCATGTGGTGCCATCGGGTAGAGCGTCTCGTACACCTCGAACTAGCGGACTTGGCAGTGAACTCACCATACCTTGATGATGACTTTCCAAAGACGAGGGCTCAGCCACAGGACACTCCTACGCGAGAGGCAAGTACACGGAAGAAGACTCCTTGTTCCGACTGTGAGTTCTCAGTCTCAGAACAGATCCGCGCGTTTCAGTCGGAACGGGCTGACACTACACCCAGGCGATAAGATCCATAGAGAGATCTTCACCTTTGCCCGCTCAGAGCACAGTCGATACCATGGAAAGGAATGGGAGTCTCTCGTCAGGCCAGTGATTGAGAAATGGGGTGGATTCGTAGAAGCTTATTTTGGTCGTGAGGTCGTAGATCTTACGTTGGACGACTGATAAATAAGAGGATCAAGGATTGTCTGTCACTGTAATATGGACCCGTACAACTTGGATGTACCACTATCTTCGTGAAATATTACTGGCTTTTGTATTTCACACTTCCTTGAAGTGGGAGTGCCTTCTGCTGTCAGTCGGTCAATCCACAGTGGCCAGGTATGTCTTTCCAGGAGACCTTCCATTTATGGCACTGTATAGTGCTACACCAGCCACGTGATCGCGTCGGGACAAAAGGATTTTTGGCTGGCGTTGTTGCTCTTGCCGTAACAACGCGACGGAGAAATGCACATGGTGCAAGTTCTGCATTGTTCTCAGAATATAAGACGGAATTCTCCGCGATGAACTCTGTCCGCTCATCTTACTCAACGTCCACCCTAATCTCCCCTAGACGTAGCTTACGGCCTCTCGACATTCTAGTTTTCCGGCATTTCGTCGACTGAAGCCTGGCGCTTTGAAAGATCATTCTCCAAAGCTTGGACTGACGCATTCTATAATCTGACCACTGCAATGTTTTTCAAACGGCTCACTCTCTCGACTCTCCTTTCGCTTGCTTCTATACGAGTGGCTCGTGGCAACAACTTTTCAGTTACTGTAGGTGGTCCTGGCGTTCTGAAGTTCGATCCCGAGTTCGTGGTGAGTGCAACTTCATGTTGATGGTTTTGTGGGCCTGAACATAGTTGTAGACAGCGAACCCTGGGGACCAGGTTTTTTTCTCATTCAGACAGGAGAATCACACTGTCTCCGAATCTTCCTTCGACAGTCCATGTTCGCTCGCAGAAGGTGGATTTGACTCTGGCTTGTGAGTATCTATCTTCTGGTTTGCGAATGCACTCAGCTCATATAATCCTTCTCAGTGTTCCTGTGGCAGACAACAACACGGCGGGACCATTCCCCGAGGCTGAGTACACCGTACAAGATACTAATCCGGTCTGGATCTTCTGTCGGCAGGCGAACCACTGTCAGCAAGGCATGGTCTTTGCCATCAACCCTGGAAATCAGTCACAGTTCGACGCGTTCCAGGCGGGCGCCAACGGCTCGGCTGTTAATGCTTCGGTTTCCTCCTCTGCCTCACCATCGGCTTCTTCGTCGGCTTCAGCATCGGGTGTTAGTTCTGCACAGGGATCATCGTCGTCCGTTGCCTCTTCTGGTTCTGCTTCGCCCAGCGTCGTGACCGTAACCGCAACCGTGACTGTGCCTCCTTCAGCGACGTCCTCTTCGGCAAGCAGCTCCGCCTCCCCTGCGTCCGCGACCTCCGCGGACCACACTGTCGTCGTCGGTGGCACGAACCGACTGTTCTTCAACCCATCGAACATCACTGCGGATGCCGGCGACACAGTCACTTTTCGGTTCATGCAAACGAACCACAGCGTCACGCAGAGCAGCCTCGCAAGCCCATGTGTCAGCCTTACGGAGTCGAGCACGAACGGGGAGGTTGGATTTGACTCAGGATTGTACGTGTCAGCTGCTTGTCTTGCAGATGGATACTTTCTGACTCAATTTCGCACGTTAGCATGCCGGTGAGCGACAACACCACCGCCTACCCAACATTCACTATCCAGATCAACAACGTGCGTTCAACTTCACCGCTGAGCAGCTATGTTGCTCACGTTCTTTCTTTCTTCAGACCGCACCCATATGGGCGTTCTGCAAACAGACGAACCCTATGAGCCACTGCGGCGCGGGCATGGTGTTCTCCGTCAACGCGGACGCGTCCGGTTCAGACGACTTTGACGCGTTCCAGACGAAAGCCATCCAGCTCAATGGGACGCAGGCTGCTGCGAAGAATAGCGCGGAGGGTGTGCTGACGGTGGGCCGCGGCGCTGGCGCTGTAGCCGTTTTGCTTGGGATTTTGGCAGGGATATTCTTGTGAGGGATGAAGTCGATTGGGACTTTTGACGATGCCGTGACGACTTGTCATGATGCTATGGAGCTGTACCTGTATTCGTCGTTCTCTTGTATCCCTGCCGCCGCTGTATCTACGTGTTCATTTCGTGTACGCACCAGATTAATTGTTATTGTATCAATGATAACTGCACTGTTAGGCTTGCTCGCGACCTACGTATCCACTGTGAGATGCTCCAAGTATGTCGAGCGAATCCATAAGATACTTACAAATCTCCGTAGTCAAATTCTATAAGTGAGAACGAAGGTACTTAGTTATCCATCAGGGACTTCCGTCGAGATTCTATCTGTAAATACGCAGCCCCCCGAACGTCACCCGGTTAGAGCTTAGCCAACTCCGCACCGTACTTGCGCTGCAAGAAATTGTGCAGATCCTGCGCTGAACACATCGACACAGTGAGCTGTTTGCATACGGAAGCGCAAGCGCGACGCACCCATTTCCGCGGGGATTTCCTGAGCAATAAGATGTCCCGCGTTCCTGAAGATGATGTTCGAGGAGTTCGTGGGGCGTCGCCATGTCAAACGTTCCCTCATCTGAAAAGTGCTGGCAGAGAAAACCACGTCAATCAAGGTTATGTGACCTGAAGGAGAGTGGAGACTGACATGGGAGGGAGCTTGTCCGGGAATAGGAATCGCAGCTCGACGCGCTCGTCCAGTTCGTCCAGGACGTCCCAGACTTCGAATCCGGTGGAGATGTCGTTGAATACAACTGCTTCCTGTGGCGTCCAACTCCGTAAGAGTCATCGGGATCGTGGAGAAATGTATCTGTACCTGGATGCTAGGCATCTTCAGCACCACATCGCCGGTGGCAGGATCGTCGCGCAGTCCGCTCTCGACGTACATGTCGAGCACGGCGGGGTCCCACGCTGCGAAAAATGGAACTGCGGCGAACTTCTCGCGCGCGTCTTGCCTGCAAGGGGCTCAGTGTTGCAAAGTGTGTGTGAGCGGAGATATGGGCCGTACCGAGACGGCCATCTGTCTCTACGCTGAAGGGTACCCAATACGGTATTCGATATTCTCTGAGTCTCTATTTTGAAATCGGAAGGAGAGGGATCAAATATTACGGGATCTATCAGCACAAGAGAAGAGAATAATCGTGGACAGTTGAGGGCAGCCAAAGACCTGTAAGATGATGATCCATCAAACTAAATCCCATAAGATAATGACATGGGTTGCAAATACGCACGTTGTGCACCCGCCGAGTGAATGGCCAACGACGACCATGGTCCTCTCGTCGAACCCATGTACCTTCCGGACGTCAGAGACATGATCCGGCAGGCGCTCAAGGTGAATCGGCAATGCGGAAGGAGATGCGGAGGACGGTAGGTAGCTCAGCATGAACTGCAGTATGTCCCGTGTATTGTCCTGCCAATCGTCTGCTCTCTGATGAATATGCAGTCACGTATCACAAGAGGTTGAGGTTTCGTACACGCCCAGCCAAGATTCTCTCCGTTCACGAGCGCGGAGTCGCCGTGGTTGACTGCCTCCCATGTCCAGATCTCGTCTATGGTGTATGTCGTGCCCGGCACCTGGCCGGCGGCAACCAGGTGCTGGAGTGCAGGCTCCCAAATCTGCAGGGCACGGCAAGTTACAGAAACATTCTCACTGTCTAGAGGATGTCACATACCTCCTTGGGAAACCCGTTTGCGTGCGCGAAGAAGAGAGTAACGCCGTTGCTGTCCGATTTCAGGCCCTTCCTTACGTAGCGATTCACGCAGACCCAGAGGAGTTTCTTGCTGGTTCCCCTCTCGAGCTCGCCCTTACGATACTTCTCTCTGGTCACCAACATTTCCTCTGCGGTTATCTTGGTAGAGGCTTTCCACACTTCCCTGTCCGGCGACCACTTCGGCAGCGTTGGCGGCGGCATATCAGGCGTACTTCTGGGGTACGCTCCCGGTATAAGGTGAGTGGAAAGCACGAATGAGTCGTCCAACAGAGACTTCCGGCTGGGTGAAGGCAGAGAAGGTTTTGGGCCTTGCCATGGCGGGGGCGGGGACAGAGGGAGTAGCGGCCTGGGGTTACATAGACGTTTGTAAGGCGGTATAATCGCCGGTCGTGGAAAAGAGAACGTGCTCATCGGTATGCAGTGGTTATGCAAGTTGTCTGCAGCCAGCTGTAGCGGCATTTATGCAGGTGGGATGGGCCGGTTAATCATGCCCGAAGAATCCGGGGTAGCGCCGCGGACTTTACCCCGCATCCTTTTTATGGCAATTCCCGCCCTGGCATGTGACAAAATACTCACCGCCAACATTCCGGACATAATGAAGTTCGTGCACACCGTTCTTGTCCGCATGGAAAAGATACATGAAGTAGAAGAAGACGAGCCATGAAGCAGGTACTCAGTAAATCTTCAAAAAGCATCAATAGACAGGAGAGTTCCCCCTGTTGTTTGAGGGGAAGTAGTGCAAGCGTGCCATCTACAGGCCTTGTTCTCTACTACACAAGAGCATTCGGAAATGAGAGAAATCATGCGGTAGTGCAGTAATCCTCAGCTAGCTGATCGCAGCCTTCAGAACGTGATCATGCTATCTGGAGCCCTTCGGATCGTTTGTATACTTATTAATTGACTGCCTAGATTTTCTGCCAGAAATAAAAACTTACCCTCTTTGCCTCCGTGATTTGCTCGTCTGTCATATTTTTACAATCCTCAGGCAATCCGTACAAGTCTTGCCACGCCTTGTGACCGTCGTTATATCCCTCTTCACCGGGTAATTTCGTCCACGACACCTCCATCTCTAAATTTTTGTGTTCTTCCCACTTTTTCCAGTAGAGGATAGACTTAGCGAACTCGAGAACAAAATCCTCTCCGATCTGTGCTTTCGTTGACGAACAGTCCTTCATCATGCCAGACAGCGGGATCCATTTGCCCGTCACACTCATGGTGTAAAGCATCTGCGCTTCCCAATCGGTATTTATCCAAGTAACCGAACTGTGCTAATATTAACTTTCTGTATAGTGAAATTTGTTACGAGAATACAAAAGCGCACCATGATACCCTGTCCATGCCGCGCGATGACCAACGTGTTGAAGTTCCGCTGCTGATGAGAGAACTCAAACTTTGCGCGGTTGAGATCCATGAAAGCATTGAGTGCTTCGGGTTTCCAGTTGTATAGCAGAGTCGCGATGGCATCTGCGGCTCGCAAGTTCTTCCTGTCCGTTTCCTCGTCCAACTAGGCACTCGATACAATTAGGTGCGGAGGCGTGTTCGCCGGGAGTTCGGGGCAAGTATTTAAGTACCTCAGCTAAAATATGTGTTAGGAAAAGATGTGACAAGAGAATACTGAGAATTACTGGGGTCATTAATTGGTGCTCGACCGGTGGGCGTGCTTAGTCTCGATTCCAGACGTTATAGCACGGAGGCAGCCAAAACGCGACACAGCGACAACGCGCGAACACGCAGGCACGCAGAGGCGGCAGCAGCGCCGAGCGCGATATTGGCAACTGTTGCCGGATACGGCATCTACTCCGTGGTCACCGGGGTGGAGTGGTGACTCATATACTCAATGTAGTACCGTAGAAGGAAAGTGTTGTGGTTTAACCCGAGTTACACTGGCGGCAAGCTGATGGAAAAGTCTTTCAAAATGGGTGTCAAACAAGCAAGTGACCTGCAGCTTCATTCACTAACCAAAGTCCTTCAGATTGGCCGAATTCATGACCTCGTTCGAGTCAGTTCGACGCCATGAAACGCTTCAGTGGTAAAAGAGAGGATTGGTCAGTCCAAACTATAGGCAAAAATGACCTTGTACTCCTGGAATGCAACATCTACCGCTGGAAGGTCAACAACGAAGGCAAAGCAATCTATACTGATGATTGGAGGCTTTGTCGTACAGCATTCGAGATTCTCACCGTCAACCTCCTCAATATTGGACCTGAAATTGAAACCAAGGTGCGAGTGCCAGAGATCGAGGAGTTTATCTAGTTTGCGGAAAATACCTTGTTACTATCCTATCATCTTCATGACCATGTACAGTATTGTATGCGAATGGACTATGCCAGGCTTACTGCGAATTAGAAACTGGCCGGATGACGCGCTCACTGGAATCGAAACCGGGCATACGGACGCAGCGCCAACTCCCAACAAGTATTCCACATTAAAATGTAGGGGTGTATCGGTGACCGGTCCTATACTGTACGTAGTTCCATGTGACAGCGAAATGAGGGAAGGCCCTCAAATTCGACTTGGGTTGTTCGCGCCGTGACCGATCTCTGACTGGACATTCGTCTCCGTTATTCTTTGCACCCGGACTGGAAGTCGCTTTCGCGAATGTAAGCAGACTGCGAAGTGTACGCGATGCGTGGGTTGTTTGCGCGGTGGCGGCACTGGTTTTGTTCAGTTGTCAATGTCAGAGATGAATTAGGCATTTGAAGTATGCAGTCGGTTCATCTGCACTTAGTTTCTATACTCCCACCACAGGTCGCTGTCGTGAATGTGGCGAGACTGCAAGGTATGCGCGACGCTGCAGTGTATGCAGAACGATACCAGGCGTCTTCGTTAACGTTCCGACGTCGATTTACAATTACAGCAGTGTCTCTACTCAGGTTACGTGTGACAACGAATTGCAGGAATGCCCTCGACATCCCGAATTTGAACGTGACGCTCAATCCTCGGGGACTAAAGATGCACCCTCGTCAGTGAATTAGCACCATCAGATATAGGATACATACCTGGAGGAATGTCAACCTCGTCGTCATTCAAGTACCATGCCACTGCAGGACAAAAAATGTCAAACTGCAAGTGATAAGGTGAGTCAGTAGGTACCCACTATCGCCTGTCATGGTCTTCTCGTTGTGAGTCTGACCATCGCCCAGCCAGTACAGTCGGTTCTTGATGCCATTGACAGGCTCATATGTGTAATCTTCCCAGCGCGGATACTTAATGGCGAGTACTGCATGCAGGGTAGATCCTGCAGGACACAACATAAGGTGAGCAAGCTGGCGGTCGAGCAGATGCAGTGTACGAGCCAGGGTATAAACCAACAACACGCCCATCTTCTTGGCCCAACTTGTACCATGAGCGGCACTTATCGCTATAAACAGTCTTGTCCGATGCTGGTCAGGACAGCAGCGGAAACCACAAGGGTGACATACCTTAGGGAAGTAATGCTACGAGATGTACGACATCAGCAAGATCTCTGCACGGAATCTGCCTTCCAAGTCACCTCGAGATACTCATCGAAGTCTTCCAGAGCTTCTCTCTTGACTTCGATGCTCTTCAGCCATTCTCTCTGCAGTTTCTTCACCACCTCAACTGCATACTCGACCTGACGTTCAATTATCACGAGTAGCGATCCAGCCCCCACGCCTGAATTAGGTCCCAAGGAAAAGAACCAGTTCGGAAATCCGTCAACGCAGACAGCCAAGTATGTCACGGGATGGGGACTCCATTTATCACGAATATCCATGCCGTCTCGTCCGATGATAGGAAATTCGAGTTGAAAGCTCGGGTCATATCCTGAAAAAAGTCAACAGCGGTTGCTCTCGCGAGGCGAAGCACATACCAGTGGCACATATGATGATGTCCAGATCATTGTGTTTACCATCGACGGTCTCGATTCCAGTCGGCGTGATTTGCTTGATGTGCGTCGTGACAAAGTCAACCTGCAAAGACAGGAAGATCAGAACCATGGAGGCACAGAGGTGAAACGACAAAACTTACGTTGTCCTGCGACAAAGCTTCCAGATAGCCAGGACCAGGCGTCAGTCGTCGACAGGCCACCGAGAAGTTCGGGATTACTAGAATAGTGAAATTTAGATGATACAAACGAACGGACAGCAATTTCCCCTTACAATGATCCGCAATCCATGGCTTCTTCACTAATTTCTTTCTCATATTGTCAGCAAAAATGGTGCGGGCGGCCAGCTGACCCTCAGATCCTTTGAGAATCGACGAATGAGTTGACTATGTCTCATCAGTCGAACGGCAATAAACGTGACAGAATGAATTCACGCACGTTGACATCCGACTCGAGTTCATGCCTGAATTGCTTATAATAGACCGGATTCTTGAACGTCTTTTTATCATCTTCACTGAATGTATCTGATAAAGGGGCTCGTCGTTCAGTGGGCTGCACCCATCCTAAATATCTCGGAACGTACAATTTTCTGCAGTCGGGTCCCGCTTCAACAATTCTGCAAACTTTGCTCCGGAACACGATGTCGCGAGCCAAGTCTTGCCACGAACATAGTTTGACAGCTTAGCGACCATCGGTTGGATAGCTGGCACAATCTGAATCGCACTGGAGCCCTATTGGAAGGTCTATGGGTCACAATAAGCACTTGCAGAAAATTCGCGGCGACTCACAACTCCAATTACGCCAACCTTCTTGTCCTTCCAACCCTCCGCTGCTTCTTGCCATGTCTGATTCCCTACCTCAAAGTCCGCACTATGGAACAACTTCCCCTTGAAGTCTTTCAAGCCTTCGATGTCGGGCCAAGTCCACCTACTAAGTATACCAATACCTGTAAACAGGAAGTCGGCCACATCCTCGAACTCCTCGAATTGTTCCTCGTCCGAGTTCGTGCACGGCAGCACGGGTCTGCGAATACGCAGGTACCACTTCCCGCTCGGCTCATCATACTGTGCATGGACGACTTGGTGCCGCAGTTTGATGTAACGCATCAGTTTGTACTTGTCCACGACGCCCTCCAGATAGGAACGGATTTCCGGACCAGCAGCATAGAAACTCGACCAATCCGTCTAATAGACTTCATGACAAACCACTTGATACGGATGTATGCCACACTCACTTTCTCTTCAAAGGTATATTGGTACTTCGGATACATGTCAGCGAACGAGCGAATCACAGCAGCGTGTGCAAACTCACGCAGTGAGCAGGAATGTCGCACGCAAGCCCGCTTCATAATGTCTCATTCTTAACGAGAGAGGAAACACGGTAATAGACGCAGGTGCTTACGGATACTTGTTGCTGAACCACGTCCCACCTATTCCAGCATTCTTGTCGTAGATAGTGAGATCAAGATTCTGGACCCTTTGCGGAAATCTACTCCTCAGAGTCAATATGCAGGTAAATACCCAAGGGCGCGAATGACGATGTACCTTATTCCCGCAGCGATCCCACTGAAGCCCGCACCGATGACCACAACTTTGATAGGTCTGTACTCATCTATCGAGAAAGTTCCTAACTTAAACGTAGGCTCTTCCTGAGATACGTTGGGGATTTGAGGAGAATCTGTAGCACTATCAAAGTCACCCATATTTGCGCAGTGGAGTTCTCTGGGGAGGGCAGGTTGTGAACAGACCCCAGCCTCGTATAAAAGCCACCGGTCCTCGCAACGTCATGTGCGCGGCGTCCGCAAACCACGCAGGAACTCAGTCGGTGTGGGAGGGACAATCATAATCGAAGCTATCCGTGAATCGCATAAGAACGAGGTTGAGACGTCTGATGACCACACCAAGCTACTCACAAGAGTGATTCGGTAGTTTTCATGTACAAATGAAGCAATTGGACACGCTTCTACCGGACTTCCTGTTGATCGCATTGGTTGAGCCGTTACACAAATACTTATTCTTCGCCGTGGCTACGTACTACTGCGTTACTTGCTTTCTCTTCGTTGTGGCTGAGGAGGTGCATCTTACGTACCTGAGCTAGTGTCATAGCGTAGTCGGCTAATATTCCTCGTTTCCTCGTCTGGACGAATTTTGGGATTTTTGAGGCCCTAGGATCATAGTCTTCGTTGCTTGAACATATACGGAAGTGGATGACAGTCGATCCCTATCTGGTATTTTAGGATCCAGACGTTTGGGGAAAATGAGGAAAACGAGTAATAATAATATTACTTAGCTGCGCTATGACATAGCTCAGATACGTAAGATGCCTCCAACGGGCTCCGGAGGTGATCCCATGTCCGGAGATTCACCACAGCTTCGGTGAACGCCTGATCTGTAGCAGGCCGCCTTTGAGGGTCCGGGGGCAATACTATGGGTTACCACCCTGTAAGTCGGCAGTTTTCCCATGTATAGGGAGGATTCGGGTCAAATGTTCTCAGCGGCGGGAATTTGACCTGAGAAGATGCGCACCTACCCTGGATTTTTTCCTTATATGGGGCGTATGAGGGCTGCCGACTCACAGGACACCTGGACCTCACATCTTATCTAGCTAATAAGCCCGGCATACACCCCCGTGATTGCCGGGCTTATACAGTGCTTTGCACATGAAACTGCGTTCTCGATTCTGTAAAAGTTGTTTGTTGTAGCCAAATAGTCACAGCATGTCACACCAAAATTATATTTTTTGAATTCCCTTCGCCAGGATTGCATTGTCCATCATGGCACTGCACATGGGGAGGTAGACCGGCTGTGAAGACTGTGCCCAGGAATGGCTCGAGATGAGCTAGTGTTTGAATTGGACATTTTTATGGTATGTACTAGGGCTATGGGTGCAACAAATAACAACCAAGCACTACAGAAAGACCTGACTTCTTCCACCTTTATACATTGCTCCCAGGTCCATGTGCAGTATGTTGTTTGGTCATGTCCGACCTCAAACAGAGAGGTCCAGAATTGCATAGCTGCATGCAGAGACCGAGGCCCATGATAGTCATGTTTTCAAGATCAACTAAAGATCGGGCAGAGGGTCAGTAGGGATTTCTCTGTTGTTCGACAGCTATAGTCCTCATATACACGAGCTCGGGAACTCTAGGTAAATGTCAGATTCAAATAGTACTGTGAGGTACATTGCCAAAGGGATGCTAGCGGTGAGCGGTTGAGGAGGCAACTTAGTACACTGGCAGTTCGAATAGGTTAGGGTTTGTCACATATTTGGCTGGAACAAACAACTTTTACGAAATCGGGAATGCAGTTTCATGTGCAAAGCACTGTAAGCCTGGATAGCCGTCACAGCTACAGTTGGCAATAGTGTGATCAATAATGTTGGCTTTTCCGAATATAATACAAGTGCTTATCTCGTCGCCACCGCCCACGATCTCCAAGATAACGTCAGCATCGCTGATCACGATGCCACTGGCCCAGACTGGCAGTGCCCTAGCTTCGGCCCTGCCTGGCCGCCTGCCCTTTTCCACGACTCCTTCCCGACGTGCGCCCCTTTATGCTCACCGTCGCTGATAGCGCGTTTGTCTATTTCCCTCCGTTTCTTCGTAGCTTTCTGTTGTTTATTCTTTCTATACCAATAAGTAGTCATATCTATTCTATTGCTATCAGAGAGCGGTCTAAGCTACAGTAATATCTGTGTCTTAGTATTCTCTGTAAGTATCACGTGGTCATGTTGAAATGCAGGGTAAGGCACTTGGCGCTGCATAGGTGCCTAGACGCCCAAACACCGCACCCAGTGTCCATCTGCTCAGTCGACGCTCACAACCCTTGGAGACCATGATCTTCTAGGAGGCAGAATGCCTGCTGCCTCCAGAGCATCGAAGGGATCTTCCCGATCAGTGAGGATCTCAGTGCCTGCACCCGGTGGTTCCTCGGCAGCTGTACCTCGGGCCTCGCGCGTTGTCTCAAAAATCTGGAAGCAGAAGGAGATAACGAGGAGTAGGCTGAAGATGAATGAGGTTGTGGAGATAGCTACTGCAGGTGGGTGTTACTTGGCATGGTCGAAGTTTTTTTTGGTTGACTATTGCACTTAGGATTGAGTGGAGAGTCCCTCCAACTGTTGTCCGAAATCCGGGGGGAGTCTTCCGACCTTCAGGGAGTTGCAGAAGACATCGGAGAACCAGCAATTTTCAAGGGGAATGATTCCATGGACTGGGAGACCCTGCCCGATGATGAAGAAGGATCCTTTGTACATGCAGTGCATGACATTGTATCGAGTCGGTGCGTTGTTATGTCCTTCAACTCATTTTATTACTGCTCACACTGTCTAACAGATGGAAATCATGGTGGTATAAAGATACACGAACATGGCGACAGAGACTCGAGCATCTTCAGGCAAACTGGGTGCCCCTCATGGACGATCTTACCAACACATACTTGGCATGGTGATACCCTCCCTCCGATATCACTTCTACCATGTGCACGACTGTGGTTGAAGATGTTGAAGACTACAGCTTCACTATTGAGGTCATAGACCTAGGCTCCCTTGCGACCTCAACAGTCATTACGCGAACACAGGACAGCCGCTCTGCTGTGCTGGCCATTGCGGCAAGTGGATATCTTGCGATCATACCAGTGACACCATCTCTGGCAATATCCTTCAAGACTCTCGAGCTCTTCCGGTGCTTGTGCCTGCAGAAGGCATCGTTCAGCGTGGAAGCATTTGCAAAGGTCATATGTGATTACTATGCAGTACATCCCTTATCTCTCTCTCATATGTTATTCATTAATGTGAGTGTTCTAGGTGCCATATCGAAGAAGGTATCGCTCTGCATTGAGCAATGCCTTCGATATCTACCTGACCATGCAGCGTATGATTGAGAAGCGGGTTCAATCTGCTCTTGGCCACAATACACCCAACTGGCGGGTGCTTAATGCATGCCCTGCATGCTGCTACAGTGTGAGTCTTCTGTTCCTATAGCATGCTTTGTACTGACACTTGTTGTAAGCTCGAGGGAGAACCGGAGCTCAAGATCGGCTGTATGTATTGTTTTGATGGCAACAATTCCCTCAAGTGACTGGCGAAGGTTGATGAACGTAAGATTGGCAATGTCCGCACATTCAACGATAGCGACTATTACTTGTCGCAGGAGTTTGTAGACAGGTTTGCTGATGAAGTGAAGTCTCAGCGCCATCAGACTGCGCAAGAAGTGGAACCGCAAATCCTACCTCAGGTGGATGAAGGCAATGCTTACGACTTTGAAGGTGACCTGACAGACACTGCACATTGCAATCCGGCCATCACCCACTGCACTCGAAATTGGAAATCAGCCGCTGCAGAGGAGAAGAAGAAGATGAAACCGGTATTTTTGCGAGTGCATGCCATCATGGGCTTATCTTGTGGCTGGCGGACATGGTTCAGAGTGGTGAGCTGTATGTACTTTTCTTTTCTTTGATTGCTGTACCCCAAGCACACTCGCTAATCATTTCCCAGAGCTAAATACCCACTTGCGATGGTGGTGAAGGTGCTCGAGCTTCTCGGGCCACACTCTATGGGTGGTTACGACATTGGGTGCACTTTCATCAGTACTATTCATAAGAGCTCCCTCGGCGCCGACTTCCATCACCTCCAGTGTTGCATGTGCGTGAACGCTTTCCATGGCTACAGTCACAACCACGCCTGCCAGACACAAAACCATCCAAATGTGATTGAAGGCATGGGCATCGAAGATCTTGAGATGATGGAACACATCCTCAGCTCCTCCAATCAGCTTGCCTCGATTATCCGATATGCGAGCCGGTATCATAGGCAGATGTTTATTGACATGTTCTTCAAGCAATGGGATGATGATCACTATGCAAGTCTTGGCAACTTCTTGTACAACAATTATCGACAGGCCCTTGACATCATCAACAATGACTCCGCCACTCTCACAGAAGCCCTCGCATCGCTCAACATTCAATGCACAGATCTTGAGAAGTGGCAACAGGAGGAAGCGGAGTACTTTGCAATGTTAGGCAAAGAAGATGAATGGGACGTACATGCAGTTGCATACGTTCAGCTTCTCCAGGAGCTGCATAAGCTCGAGTAAGCAAATCATTGTCTGTGATGGTGATTAACTGACATTTTTTGTAGTGTACACCATGCCAACACCACATCCCATTTCTTGATGATCACACCAACTGACTATAAATTCATGCCACCACCCTCGCGCTCATCCACGAATCAAATCTATGACCACGAGCTGTCCCAGACTTGCAAACTCGAGACTCAGCGGCGCCATCTTGCTGAACGGCATCAGCAAGTTTTGCACGAGGTTATTGCCATGGAAGTTAGCATGGGCATCTCAGACCAGTGGGTTAGGATGTCGCCCCAGTATATTGAGACGATGTGCTACATCCAGACCAGAGAATACTGTCGTGCTCTTGATGAGCTACAACGTCTCGTGGTGCAGCACCTTTTCGAACTGCACAACCTGAACCTCACGCAAACAGGTAATTTCAGCCTGTCTGAAGTTATCATAATCTGAGGTTTCATCATAGCATACCGCGTCCGCATGCACATGGTGAAGTCCCTGCAAACCCGATGCAAGGTGATCCGAAATGCGGTTAATGAGTAAAATGTGCTTACAATGAAGATGGATCCACCACGTCTGACTCTTGACTAGAGCAAGGTCTTGCACTACAGCTTTCTGGAGGAGCTACTCCGTGACACGCGCAACGATATATGCAAGAAGCCATAGGCTCGCCCGATTGTACGAGAAGCAATGAAGCAGGCTCGGCGCATTGCACGCGCTCGTGAAGAACTCGACTGTCTGAACATTGAAGTTTGCCGGTTCCATACTGCGATACATGATGAAAACTGCGCCTTCGAGGTAGTCCTACTGCAACTCGAGTATACCGGCAACCCATTGTATGGTGCTGTTGACAACTTCTGCCTTCGTCACCATCATATCAATGTTCATCTCCTTGCTCGCATTCGCCAGATCTACAGTCTCGAGGGCTTCACTGGTGAAGCTGCCATTGGTGTTCGTACAGGGACCACGCCTTCCACCGCTACTGAGGCCTCCAATAAACCTTCATTGGAGGATGTGTCACTTGCACATGAGCTTGAGGAGGTCACCCTCGATGATCGTGAGGGCTTGGATGATCTTGGGGAAGATGATGAGTTGGCTGGTGATATTGGTGGCATCGTTGACTACGTAGCAAATCTCCCACTTCATGCATTGTCGTAGTGTGTATTTTGGAATTGAGACATTGTTATCGTGCATGAAACACTCCATTAACCATTCCGAAAGAGCTACTGAAAATATATATATTCTTATGTTTTCTTCCTGTTGTGCAAACAGATTGTAGTCAGGAATCTAAGGGAGATGGCTGTGACTCATAGTTGAAAACACCGAGAGCAAGGACTGGATCGCGCGCGCACTTGATCATGCACTCCAAGTTGCATCAATTATTTCAGCCACTAATACAACTCGTGCGAGTGCAACTCATCCTCTGCCATACTCCTTCTGCACCGTCTTTGTCGTATTAATGTGGGCGACAAATGACGACCCTGGAGCTTGGTTCGTTGTTCTAGGTGGTAAAAATCCTGGTGTCAAAGATGCCGAGTGAGTCTGAGATATTTTGGACGGTACCGATGGTGCGACTCACAATATGTAGGCCTTTCATGGTCGGGAGCAAGTACACGTTCCCGCTCCCAATCAGCGTGAAGTGTGATACGTGCAACCAAGCAGATGATGTCAACCGATTCAATGAATTGCTCAAGCCTCTCAAGAAGCTCAATCCTGATTCATGCACCATGCTCAACTTAATGGCCAATAGCCCATTGATGGCGGAGATCTTACCTGACATCGACGAATATTACTGTGTGGTTCATGGCAGCTCCAGTGGGATATATCTGCACTAGTAAGTTCGAGCGAAATCTGTAAGCAATCACTTACGGAGGGCTTGTAGTTCCGATATAGTACCACAAATCCAAGGTGTAGTTAAACCGATATTCTGGAAACTAGACAGTTTCACGAGAGCACTGGCATATATGGTGACGAAGGACACAAGTGAGAAGAATGCGAAAAGCGGTGGATCTTGGGACATACATGATATCTGTGATCCGGGTGAGTGGTAGTATTGCCGATATTTGTGTCGGTCCATACTGATAGGGGGAATACATACATAGACCCTCAAGTTGCTGTACTTGCTGATACATTTCAGAATCTCACGACAAGGCACTGTAAGTATTCTTTGTCAGACTTCGTGTAATGTGACAGCAGGTCTCACGTTCATTGACAGGCAATGCCTCGGCATCTGACCGTTCATCTATACCTGTGCAGCTGCCACAGTCACCACATACTCCGGTTCGCACTGGTGCACCGGCCAGCATTTCTACATCCTCACAACATCAGGAAAACCCAACTTTTCCTTAAAAGGGCACTTAAATAACTTAAATGGACTTATGGTCCTTATTTAAGGACATAAGGACAAAAAGGGCCTAAGGCATATTCTCTGAGTGTCTGAAATTCGACTTATTTGAACACTTATGGCCTTAAATAAGGGTTGTCAGACCCAAAAGTCTAAATAAGTCTGTAAGAGAAAGTGGGGTTTTTCTGATGAACCTGCTTCTGTTTCATGGTCATCTCGCACTCAGGGACGCGCTGGAGTGGCATCTACCACTGCATCTACCCCTTCACGCCTTGCGACATCTTTATCACACGGCAACAATAACCACCAGGCTCTGTATCAAGACGCATCGGTGCATGACGATAGTCAATTCTCCACCCAATCTACAGAGTTACCACTGCACAATTTGGCACTTTCTCCACCACCGGTGCATATCTACCAGTCTCTATGTGACCTGTCAGGGATCCAACGGATGCTTCTCCAGCTGTACAATGAATCCAGCGCAGTGCCTATCCCTTCCGTTGGAGCATTAGGTGATGCATTCCTTCAGGCTTCTGGCTACACTGTTGAAGCACGGTTGCGGATCTGCCATGCATACTGCATGAGTCACAACCGTGATGATTTCATCATGTGATTGGCTCCTGAGGGTGCTGCAGTTTTGGAATTGAAGTTCATGTGGTTGATCATGCAATCATCAGATGACTGGGCAGAGGTTGAAATTGATTAACATGCTGGTTATGCTTCACTTGCAGCACAGGCTCTAGTATTCTTCAATCCTCAGTTCTATGTTCTGGAAATATTGACCAATAGAATCACATCACATGCTTTTGTTGAAGTGGTATTGAGTTCTGTGGGTCCACTGTCACCTGCCACGTCAAGCCCCACATGGCGAAAAAGAAGACCTCTCATCATGATTTCAGTCCGCAGCACCTGCTCTCCAAGGCTCACAAGAAGATCACGGCCTTAGCACGTTCACCCTGACATTATCGCACCAAACATAAGGGCATCAAGCGGACACCTGCAGAGAGGGCTACCCAAGCCAAGACACGCAAGGAGTGATGCGAGACTGTGAGTCAGGCTCTCGCAGCTGCTCAGACGTGACTTCGAGAGGACGCAAAGAAACTGTATATACAACTCGGTGGCCACGATGTCAATTGGTATCTCCGTCAAATCATTCAGGAAGCACGCAGTTCCAAGTCCAAAAGGGCTCCAAACCATTGGAATGTGTACCTCAGTGCGACACTGACAGAGTTAAATAAAGGTGAGTGACCGCTTGTATCTCTTAGTCAACATGATACTGAAAGAGTTTTGTAATGAATAGCACTACCAGAAGGTCAACTGCACTACAAGTCAAATAATATGCCGCCATCTGTCAAGGAGAAGTGGGATGCTATGTCTCATGATGAACGGATTGTACTCACAGATCTGCTGCTGAAGAAGCTGGAAGAACAACGTGCGATGCAAGTCCTTTCTGTTCAAAATGTCTCGATCAATGCATTCCACGATGTTCGCAGCAACCTTACGAGCATTCAGGACCAGGTGAGTTTCTCGCTGTACTCAAGGAATAGCCTCTGAGTTTTATTTTTAGATTGAGGCCTTACATGTGCGCACTGGGACGGAGGTTCTCATGGTCACCATTAGATCTAGCAATGACCATTTCAATTGGCTGCATGTCTTCTTCACGAGCAACTGCCTTTCCGACTTTTTCGCTGTCGTTCTAAACATGCAACTCACCGATATTGCCATGCAGATGGAATCATACTGTCTTAGCAGTATACAAGGTGCGAAATCTGATGACACCTTATGGGAGCTATGAGCTTATTGCATTACCAGGCCTGATTAACAACTCTCACGATCAGATGATGGAACTCAAGTCGCACATCACCAAATTGATCAACGACCAGTTTCGTAAGTTGTATCTTTCAGCACTACATCTCCATTTTCAACTAACATTTGCTGTTACAGGTGAAGTCACAGACGGCGGTGCTACCAGACTGTACTACACCAATTTCGACAAGAAGATAATGGAGAAATATGGAGTTGTTATCGAAGGCTGGCCACTCACGAAGTTTTGTTCACCGAGTGATGTCAGGTCTCGCTCTGAAATTGAGATTCTTTGCCGTGCATGGGAATCTGGGGAGACGCAGTTCCACAAGCTTTCCCACAAGGAGTATGAGGCATGGAGTGACGCGCAATTTCAGACAGCTCTTGACATTCACCGCAACGGGGAGGAGCATGCTGATGATGACACCAACAATGAGACCGGTCTCATTACCATCTCCCCGCCCCTCTCTGTGAATGTCGGGTATCAGACTTTGACTTATTGCTCCCAAATCAATAGCATCACTCTCGGGCAACTGTCGGGTCACAACCGTGTCATGGCACTTAGAGTGGTTGGGCATGAGTGAGGTCTATTTTAGCTAGATAAGATGTGAGGGCCAGGTGTCACAGGATCTGCCGAGTGAGTGGTAACCCATACGTAGTAACCCGCTAAGTACTCGCTGCTGATGCAATAACGCCCGCCACTGACAAGGATTCCCACGCCCTATCTCTCCCTCGGCGGCAGTCTACTTATAGTGGTAGGGTCGCGAAAAGAAAGAAAATTAATTAAAATTAATTCGCCGGGGCGGAGAGATTAGTAGACTGTACATATACCAGAACTCGGAATGTCAACGACCAAGCACCATACACAGCGCATGTCCGTGTGCTTCAGGCCTAACCTGCAATTTGACCCAACCGTGACAAAGTTGACTGTCGCCGGTCGCGCACCCTGCGCTCGCCGTTTTCTCGCCTCACGACTATTCACTGTGGCATCTCCTCGAACGCCGTCTGAGATCCTCTACTGGCCGAAGGTCCTGGCTCATTGTCTTGCACCTACGAAATTGAAGGTAAGCCAACCACCAAGTGTACACTGATCGGATACTCACTTGATTCAAGTTTCGTGCTGCATTCTCCGCAATGAGGATGGAGCAGTACGTAACACCCCAACGGCCTTTGCATTCAGGACTCCCGCAGTGCTTACAGTGTCGCACCCATTTGGCAGTCCCCTTGGAGTCCCTTGCATGTTTCGGCGGCCTGGTGTCTGCCGTGAGATCGTCAACAGCCATGGCAGGTCTTTTCATGCCACAGTTTGATGATTCGTTGTTCAGATGTGCGCTACCGGTGGCTGCGGCATCGTTGCTGTAGCGATACTGGAGCGCGCTTTGGAAAATTTGATGCTCGGCCAGCAATTTGCCCACCGTCCACCGGTTGATCTCCACATCGGCTGCGAAATGGCTCGGAGCTGTCGAATTGAGCACATCGCCAAGTGTTTGTGGTGTTGCTGTTGGTATCAATGGCGCTATCGCGTGCTGACGAGGCTGAAGGAGCAAGCGGATTCGTTGGCAGGCCTCATTCAGTGTCACCGAATTGTTCTCGTTGCAGTGGTTACTCCAAGTCTTGTAGTATGACTTCAGGTGCTCCGGAAGCTAGTGAGGCTCAGTGATGATTTAGAACATTAGTAGTTGCAAGCACACACCTTCTAAAATTTCGCTTTGCCATCTGCATGACCGGACCATTCTGCAGCAAATTTGACCCAATCCGGCTGTCCTGGAGTCTGGAATAGAGGTGAGGAATCTACAAAAAGGCGGAATAAATCGCGCTCTTCTCGTGTATGCAGTGGAAGTACAGCGATGCGAGTACCTTGGCGCTCGCTCAAATATAGATGTCGGGGCCGCTGCTCCTTCGCAAATAGAGGGCTGGGAGAATCCATGTTGAGGCGAACATTGACAGCTGCATCGAAACACATGATTCCAAAGACCTCATCTGTGCTCGCATAATCACCTCCATTCACTCAGCCTCCTCGCAAGCCTCGTGCATCCTTATCAAACACATCATCAACCAGTAACAGGTCGAGGAGATGCACAACTCAGTTCTTCAAAGGAACATCAAAGTGTCCGAGATATTCTTGGCCGGAGCGATTCAATGTGCCAACCTGCAATGAAGGAGACTCAAAATGTAGCATGATGGCAACAAATTATTCCACGTGTGCTTACCTGCATATTATGCGAGACGGCATAGTTGAGAAGTGAATTGACTGCATGCCGTGGGGAAATATTGAAGGAGGAGAATCGTCGGATAAGATTCTGATGTACACCGCCTTCGACATCATTCGTACCATGGCAACAACGATATAAGACAAGCCCACGCTTGTCAATGCCAACTTTGTAGTACAGCTGGACATTCAGTGGATCAGAGTAGTAGCCGAGATGAATGTTCTCGAGGACATTCTTCACAACTTCCCATGCCTTCTCATTGAACAAAGGCTGGCCTGTCATGGAGTCCTTTAGAGGGCCATATGTTTTGATGACTGCGGTAACACGGTGCAGCAAAATCTCAGGAGGCGGCACATAGCGTCTCATCCGTTGCAGTACCCATTGTGGCTGCAACAGAACTTTTGAGTTGTATGATATTCCCAGGTCCCGCAGAACTGCCTCGACTGCGGCCTTATCCTTGAGATCCGGGATGAACATAGCTGCACTGAGTGCTCGTGCAAATGGCCGCCGCAATCCATGGTGCTGCGAGATTGGAAATTGATCATGTAAATGCCATATGTCACCAAGCACACGTGAGCGAATGGCTTCTCGATTCGGAGAGTCAAGATCTTCAAATTGAAGTAGAAGTTCGCATAGAGTTGCTTCGGCCTTCGGATCGCGCAATGATTCTGCAACCGTCTGGCTGCCAGTGTCACTCGAGTTCTCCTCTTCTGGATCTGTGAGAAGGCCGGTCTCCAGAACAGGTTCAGGGACATATGCTGTCATCTCTTGCACTGAGAACACATGCTCTGATGAGATAAAATGTGAACCTGACTGTTGTGATGCCCCGGGTAAGTCAGATCCCAGCACTTGACCTTCCGGATGAGTTTCACCCCATGGATGCTCGAGAATGTGCTGCTCTAAAGGAGAAGTGCAAAGATGCTTGGCATATGCAACAATCGAAAAGGGAGGTGTCCCCATGGTGGAAATAGCGGTTGCTTTGTGTGACGGGCACAGATAGGCCGGATGGAGATAGCCAGGAACGTGAATGTTAGAAATGGTAACAATGACCCGACTGTTAGTAACAGTCACTCCGTGCAGATTGGTTGGTCGATGGTCCAGTGCTACAATGCCTGATGCAACCAGTGTCCCATCTGTCGAGTGAAGTGTGACAGCTGTTCCGCCCAGTGACTCTGCAGTAACAGGTTGCGAGATAGCCATGCCATTCAGATGGTGAAAGATCTCCCAGGTGGCGAAAACATCAAGAGCAGCATAATTGACAAATTCCTGCGATAATTCAGAATCACTCCAATGAGTGCTGACTCGAATCATGGGGTCTTTGATCAAGGCACACCGCAAAATTGAGGCAGATAAATCAACAAGGCTCGTGTTCTTGCGCTTCGCAGCATTTCGCTCGACGGCCATTGTACCAAGTTCAATCTGACCGCTGAACTCAGCATCTTTTGCGATAAATCCACAGTCGGCCTGTAGCTTCTTGAAATCGGCAGAGATATTGACACCGACTTTCTTGTATGCAGGCGAGCACAAAAATGTAAGAAGGGAGTGTGGCAACTGCAACTGACCATTCTGGAGGAAAGGCAGTGTCTACAGTAATCAGGTAAGTCACCAAGAGATCAGAAATGTACTAGAATAAATTCCATACCTTAATCAAATATATACAGTCATGATATGCAATCTGGATAATGGCGACAGGTCCACGTATGCCGGTGGATAAATCAACAGGCCATTCCATATCCAACGCAGCAGTAACAGAGCTAGTGGTGGTTCGGTGATTCATGATAGTGTTCAAGCGCACATTAATTTGATGAGCGGTCGACAGATGGACAATTGACCAATGATCAGGAATAGTGAGTGGTTTGAGTTTAGAGTACTCCGGAACAGGTGTCAGTCCCTCCAACAGCGATGGGAATGCTTGTTCCAACTCCCGTTTGTCAGCATGAACATTGTCGGTGTAAATACACACTGTCAGTGTATGCCCAAATTGCACCAGTGACTTGGGAATTGTTGCAAGGATTGGCATGATCTGATCGTGTGCCTTTGTCGGAGTCAGAGTCATAGCACGTATCTCGCCATACTCATTCACAGTTGAATGAAGAGCACTAAACACAGATGTACCATTGATCCGCGCCATGCGCTTTGTAACCTGTAGATGTACTGAATCAATACTTATCTCAGAGACTTGAGAACATAGAAAGGCTCACTTTGAAACTGTGATCAACTGAGAGCACACGTGCAGACAGCATAGCAATACACTGCTGCATCTCCGGGGCCCAGAATTCAATGAGAGTGTCGTAGAATTGGCGGAAATAATCTGCCTTCGGAACAAAACCTGCATATCCATTCCGATCTCCGAAGGCACTAAAGGGAGTACACTTTGTGAAGAACATGCCCAGGTTCCCATCCTTGCGATCCTTGATCATCTCCAGGTATTGAAGATGCAGCTGATCATATCGGCGATAATGGAGTGACTGAATTGTTTTTGTGAATGTCTCTGCACCCATTCCGGAGCGAAATGAGTCACATAACAATGATACGAGCCTGTCGGTGAGCCCGCTATGGAAAGTGAGTCGGAAAGTGAATTGCACCGCCAGAGCCTTAGGAAGTATATCCAGAATCGCTGGACTCCAACTGCGATAGGTCCGTCCACAGTGAGGCTGATTACCACATTGATAGCAGTATCCAATGATATATTCACAATGATCAATGTCAACAACACGACGTGGCTTATCCACCCAGCCATGCTTCTGCAAGAAGACCGTCTTGCCATCACGAGAGAGTCGTCCAGCCTTATGGCAGGCTGGGCACGGTATGCGATCCCCAAGAAGACAGTGTGGTAGCCAGATGAAGAAGACAGGCTGGTAGAACACAGCAGGATCTATCTGAAAAGAAGAGCTTGCCAGCAGATAGGGATTGGAGACCGTCTCATAGAAGGACCGTTGCATATAGCAATCTGGTCGGCCACTGATAGTGCGACTGAGAGCGGTTTTGTCGATTTCCTTGGTGAGCTTTTCTCGTACGATATTGTACTCATTGGCAAGCCATAAAGGCATGCTTGAACGCAACTGGGCTCTCTGTCTTCCTTCGCCATCCAATGGCTCCCCTGATTCAATTCCGTTATCATCATCTCCGATAGGATGAAATTCCTCGTCCATCTCATCTCCTTCAGTCTGTTCCATGTCATTAATGCCGGATGATTCGAACTGGCCTGCAGAGAGGTCGGAGCCATGAGGGTTGTTGACAATGTCTGCATACAATGATGTCAGGTCTTCAATGGACCCAGCTCACAATCAATACACACCACTCATATCGTAAGGCGGCAGCTGTACACCTGGTCGATTTTCGGAAGCTCGGCCTGCAACTGTAGTGATTCAGTCAATAGCATGTCAAAGAATAAAATGCACATGGACTGACCCCAACGTGTATCAGACAACTGCACCAATGCTCCGGCAACTTGGACGGATGGTGACTCTGTCAACATCGGCAGCTCAGTTTGCATCGGCAGCCCTGTCCGCGGTGGCGGCTCAGTTCGCATCAGTGCATTCTCCACTGGGGCATTTGAAATTCCCATGCATGGTGAGGATGTGTCTTCCTCTAGGCTAACTGCGAGGGAATATATGAGAACGTTAGAAATGTTCTAAGACCGGAGCAACCTACCGATGTCATGTGTCATCTGCTGGCTCTGCTCATCCTCGGATGTCAGACCGGAGGCTCGATGTTGAGTAGCGGGCACAGTGCTCGAAGGAGTGGCTGTTTTGCGAGTATTACAGACAGCTGTGAGAAGGGTCAGACCCCAAATGAATCAAGGCAAAACGGCTGGTAGGACACCGGACTCACCATCGTCCAGAGGCAGCGATCCAGTCGTCTGAGATGTGGCTTTTCAAAGCCGCGCAGACATCAGAATAGGCATGCTGCATACAGCAGTATGCGGCAACTTACTTGACATCTCCAGTTGCTTGCGCTGGAGCAGGCTTTGGGTGTCATCTTGAGGCTCTGCAGACATCTGACGTGCAGCTATTCAAGCGCGCACTCATCAGATTAACTTAGCGGCACATACCACTCGGACTTACTTGACGTTCCCGGTGTGCTGCGCTGGCGCGGTGCTTGGCTGTCTTTCCGCGGTCGACCAACGTTCTTCGCACCGGGCTTGTTCTTCGAGCCTTTGGGACGTCCGCGTTTCTTCAGTTGGGTACCATTGGGATGCATAATGATGTAACTTAGGTGGCTTAGCGTAATAATACGATAGGTTGTCGAATCGGCGAATTGAGAACGAGAGTGAGGGCGGGCAGAGGCGCGTCGTTAGCGCCAGCGTGACGCGAGCAAGAGCAAGTTGGGGGTGACCGCGTCTCCTGTCTGAGGCCCGGCCGTATGGAGGTCATTTGGTTACGGTTCATTTAAGGACAGATGCCGTAATGCCGACGCGTGGCTCTCACGTGGATTGCCCAGGAGACCTCAGTCACCCTCTATGTGCGCTTGTATTTTTCCTTAGCACCTGCAATTCGTGCCGCACGTCGTGCTCACCGTGCGTCGGCTCGAGCTATCGTCACCGACGACGAGCTCTGCTACATAATATATGCCAAAATTCTCACTGCTCCCCGACATATGACTACAACAACTTTTCTGCAATTTGCTAGTCTGTCCTGGCGCACGTCTGCGCCCGATCCCGCGTCCAGCCTGAGTGCATGAGCTCGGCACTGGCCCATTGACAAGTACTCCGGGCTGTTTCGCGGCTGTACTCAGGCCCATGTTGGACAGGCTGCATAGGATGTTGTCTTTGGAGCATCCTATTTTTTTTTCCAACCTGAAGGGCAAGCTGCTGTCCTCATCACCGGCTGCACATAAGTACATCACATACCACATCATATCTCGCCCACTCACCACATCTGGCACAGCGGAGGCATCGGGCAGGCAACTGCATGCACCTTTGCCCGCTCCGGCTGCTCAGTAGCAGTGCACTACCAGGCGGCATCCTCGCACGCCAAGGCAGATACGCTCATCTCCGACCTCAAGGCCATTGCCAGCTCCGACCTGCAGTTCGCCATCTTCCACACAGACCTGTCAAACTACGATGAGGTGCGCCGCCTCCATGCTGAGGTTGTGCAGCAGATCGGGCATCCGGACATCCTCTTCGCAAACCACGGCATCGCGGGGCCTAAGATTGGCCCGCTGGGCAATATCAATGACGTGCCCATGGAGGTGTTCGAAGAGATGTGGCGGATGAACACCGGCATGAGCTACATGCTTGCGCAGCTCTGTGTGCCACACATGGAAGCGCAGAAATATGAACATGCCATTTTCATGTCGAGGTGCGCTCTGCGTGCCCCTTTGCCCGAAATTCATGGTAATTCATGTTTATCATAATCAGTATCGCTGCAGGTAATTCTCTGCATCGGGCACTCGTCCGACGCTGCAGATCTTTCCACCATCTACCAGGTAACAGTGGACTCATCGAACCCCACTACACATCATTCAAAGCCGCCCTGCATGGCCTGGTCCACTGGCTCTCCCTGTGGTATGCCAAGGACGGAATCAAATCCAGTGCTATTGTGCCCGCACTCATCGAGGATACCGCCACAATGGCGAACCTGATGCCTGAGATGCGGAGCAAGATCCCCATCGGGCAACTTGGGAAGCCCGACAAGATGGCCTGCAGGACATGCTGCAGTCACCCTCTTCCCCACTCGTACTCGCGCCGATGCCCACGCACATGAAGAGCAGCAGTCAGAAGCTGGGGCAGGACTCACGTGGCGGGTCATGCAAGCATATCAGCATGCAGTCCCTGGTGCCGACGAGCCGGCGGACAAGCCAGCAGCAGGTGCGGGAGCGCGAGAGGGAGCGGGAACGCGAGGGAGAATGCGATGTGGGGCTTAGCCTGCACCCATATGTGATGGCGCCGAGCCCGGGTGGGTACCACGCAATGGCGTAAGGGCGTTCGTCACCGGTGCCACTGAACACTGGTGCGCCGCTGGTGAACGGGAATGGCACGGAGGCACCGAACACAAATACGTCCGAGCCCTTTATGTATGCGCAGACACCGCGGGCAAGGGCACGGACTCACGCGAGGACACAATATTGGCGGGGGCAAACCGCATGGAGCCGAACGGCTTTGGCGTGGGGGCGCGCGGGATGAGCATGTACGACCGCAAGCAGATGATGAGGGTTGGGGAGCAGGAGACAAATACTTCTTGCAATGTATAATGGTAGTAGTGGAAATGAAAATATTTGCAAGAATTTTGGCATATATACTATGTAGTGGAGCTCGTCGTCAGCGATGATGAGCTCGAGCCGACGCACGGCGAGCACGACGTGCGGCAAGAATTGCTAAAGAAAAAATACTAGTGCACGTAAGGGGTGACTGAGGTCTCCTGGATAATCCACGTGAGGGCCACGTGTCGGCATCACGGCATCTGTCCTTAAACGAACCGTAACCAAACGACCTCCATACGGCCGCGCCGCTAGGTTAGGTTTTTCGAACACCGCTAGGACCTAACTACCCTACCACTATAGGGAGACTGCCCCCTCGGCAAGCTCCACCCCTCGCTCCCGCCGCTTCCCACGCCTCCCAATCGCCATGCTTCAAGCCTTGCTCATCGTTGCTAACAATGAGCTCGAGTATCTCCTTATTCCCGACTCATTTTGCTTCGCTTTTTTGGTATACTCCTTATGCATCTATGTAGAGTCTTTCTGTGTAGTTATTTCGCTTAGACTCTGACTGTGGAAGGATGTGCTGGCAAAACAGACCACCGTTTAACTGATGTAATTGACTTCCCTTTTCGGGAGACATGTGCTGTATTATGTAACACAATGTGTAGTTATTTCGCTTAGACTCTGACTGTGGAAGGGTGTGCTGGCAAAACAGACCACCGTTTAACTGATGTAATTGACTTCCCTTTTCGGGAGACATGTGCTGTATTATGTAACACAAATTTCCTCCGCGAACTTGAGCCATCTTTCTCTTCCGGGCCATCTCGGACTTACCACGAAACGTTGGTCGTGGGCCTACAACAGGTCCGTTCTGGTCATTGCAATCGGTGAGAAGACGTTCTTTCGTCTGCTTCGTTCTCGTCTTCGAAGATGAAACGCACTGGGCTCTGACTTCAGATGTCTCGCACTACGCTCCACGTCGAGCGGCGGCCTAGAAAACCGTTAACTGACAGTATTTCGCTAATGTCTCGTCCTGCTTGTGAAGATGTACTGACAATGTGTTCCCACTTCGAGGGCAGATCCTCAGAAGATATTTTGGACTTCCTTGGAATGTCTACCGCTGTGGAACAGAGTCAAGCCCCAGCTCCTGGAAGTGATGAAGAAGGAATAAATGAGACTGAGTTATCCGATTTCTGTGAAGTGATGGAGACCACAAAGCAGAGCTTGGCCGCGGTGCGCAAGACGATCAAAGCTCTACGCGAGAAGTGAGTATATGACTTCGTACCATTGAGATCGCTCATTGATGGCTGAGCTATGTAGGCAGAGCACGACATCAGATCTCGATACCAAGGATGGTATATCTCTGCTGTCGTTGAAGCATCATCTCCTGCTGTCATACCTGCAATCATTGGTGCTCATGATCTCCCGCCGTGCCCTGGGTCACTCTCTGACCGAGCGAACCCCTCCACTTTCCACATTCAGTGCCCCAGATCGCGCTGCACGGGGTACCGGTTTGGGCGACAGGGTCGACTCGATGGTTGAAGCCCGTGTGGTGCTCGAGAAGATCAAGGTGCTCGAGGGCCGGATGCAGTACCAGATCGAGAAGTTGGTGCGAGTCGCGGAAGAACCGTCTTCCGCAAGTAAAAATGTCGTGAACGGTAAGCTTGCACATTGATTTTCTCTGAGATCTCCGCTTATTGGACTTGCGCGATCTTGCAGACCCATTGGCGTTCCGACCCAATCCCGAGGCTCTCATGGATCAGGAGGCCAACTCTGAGGGTGAAGGTGAGGCGCATGATGGACAGGACAGAGCCGACGTGTATCGTCCTCCTAAACTCGCGCCGGTGCCATACACCGAGTCACGGAAAGACAAAGACAAGGACAAGTCGCGTCGTGCGCCAATCCCGACTGCATTGTCCACCCTTGCGCATTTGGATCCATCAAAACCCTATGTCGAATCCACGTCAGGTCTCGGCTCCACCCCTGCATTGATGTCGCAGCGGGCGCGCGAGTTGCAGCGCATGACCGAGTTCGAGGAGGAGAACATGATCAGGTTGGTGATGAAGAAGAAGGAGGCGAAGCGGCGCAAGCAGGACGAGGCGGATATCGCCTTGGGCTTGGGTGCCGCGTCAGGCAGACGGGGCCGCAGCGGCGGCGGATTGGAGGACGAGTTCGGCGATATCTTACGGTCGGCGGGCCGGAACCGCGGCGGAAATGTTGGAGATGGATATGAGGAGCTGAGGCAGAGGAGTCACAAGGAAAGCGTACTCGCTAGGTCGAGAGTCCGGAGTCGGGATGATACGTCTGATGACCTGGGGAATGACGGTCCGAAGCAGAGGAAGAAAAGCAGGTTTGAAAGAGAAGTCAAGGCAGCGAAAAAGAGATCAATCACCCGGCGTAGATGATATACATAAGAATTCTCTACCTCGATGTGGACCCCATGATATCATCGATCAGCCACCAAGGTGGAGCGTATCTGTACCAGGGATATCTTGGCTAGCCTGGCGAGCTATGTTACTTTCACCCATATACTTCCGCCGTGGATTTTGGCCCACCTCTGGGACAAGGACCGATAGTTGACTATCTCACTATCAAGGTAAATGGCGAGTGTGGCTTTGGATGTACTTCCAACAGTCAATCCATCTAACGAGGACAGTGGCCTGAAGATGCCGACTCGCTCGGCATCCGCTCAGGCATGTGAAGCTTGCGCCCTTCGCCACAAACCACCGAGCAAGTGGTTGACACGATGCAGGGCTGTATATAAGGATGCGTTCTGCATCAGTGGACACGACCAGCGCAACTTCCGCATCATGTCAGGCTCCCATTCTGAACAAGTGCGCCAGAAATCTACACATCCACTATTGGACCTATGTGGGGAACTCGGTTGGGAATTCTATAAAATCCTCCCTGTTCCGAACAGCCCACAGAAACAGCCGCCACCGAGCCAGACGAGGAAGAAAGTGAGACAGCGAGTCGAGGATGGGACGAGCAATGCACCATACTAACTGATATATAGGGACAGCCCACACAAAGGCTAACCAAGATCGACGGTATGATGCTGCCAATAATCCATGCTTCGTGAAAACTCATTGAGGGTTGCAACTGGCGGACAGAGATAGAGATACCCCCACCCAATGCGTCAAGGGCCCATGTACCAACGCCCCTGTACGCAGATATTTGCACGCCCACGGGACGGAAAGCCCCACTCCCATGTCGAGATGAACCCGAAAGGTTGGGCGCCCATATAACCGTTAACGTAGACGGGATCTGGGTGGTGGATGATAGGGAGGAAGATTAATATTTCACAGTCACAGAGAAGAGGATGCAACCTCCGTCGGCCTACTGTATCATTATTACTAATAAATTCCGCTGTCAGAAGTTTTGGGAATCACTGAACCACAAGCAAGTATACTTGCAGCTGTGTTTCCACGATGAACGTTCGCATCCGTAACCGACCACCGAAACTACATCCAGGAATAAAAGACCATCAAGCCAAATGGCGGAGTGTCAGTCCATGTAAACGAGACGAGCAACCTGAGAATGACCCCGACATGCTGGATATGCGCGTTAGCCATTTTACACCTTCCACGAGCCAAGCATGTGGATATCCCGGTGCTTGGGGTATAGTGCCTCCTGCGTTGACTGACTTTGCCGGCCCTGCTTCTCCGCTGTGCTAGACTCGCACTATAAACCCCAACAGCAGTAACACCCACTGTCCCAATTAGCGCAAGGAGTGAGCGCACCTATCTTGGATCATGTAATGGACCATTACTGCCGCGAACGCGCCTAAAGGGACCTCAACTCAAGACTGACCGTATAATGTTTCCAACAATCCATACTTGCCCGCAATAGCTCATTCAAGGTTGTGACGAGCCGGGACGTCATACAGAAGAATAAATTACACACCAATTTGCCCATCGGTCGGATATGCTGCAAAGTCTGATAACATTAGTGCTTATGCTTAGATGGTCGGTAGAACCGGACATTGCGACATGTACCAGAGCTACATTTGAATCATATCTCGGAGGTTACCTTCTGGCCAGTGGAAGATGAGTAGGAGGCCGTCTGTCGCAGTTGTCGATCGTTTATGCAGCTCTGCTAGAGACACTCTGTCAGAATTTCAGAATCTAAAATACGATGTGTTACATACCTAGTACTAATACGCGGCTAACTAAATGGGAACATTGAGGAAGACATCACGTCGGCACAAATAGAAAATTTTCAGAACGTACACATTAGTACAGAAGTAAGTTGTCTTCTTACACAACTAACTACACTAGTGTTTCAGTGTTCTTTTTGATGTTAAATGCAGTCGCATGGCTCGCCTCCAGGCATGGTCCAGGGCGTCATGAGCGTGAACCGGGAGATGGTGAGAGAAACATCAATGTCAGGCTGAGGAACGAGAAGGGAAGCAGGGTCCGAATCGCAAGCACTTGGGCATTCAAGATTAATCATGCTGCACCCCGCCTCATCGTTCCACGGCACCTGTGATGCAGGAAAGCGCAACTTCAATTCACCCAAATTTCATAAATCCCAAGATTCTTCTCGTATCTCGAATTGAGAAACGAACGCACTCGGACAGCGGGACGTACTACAGCATCAAAAAGCGTGTTATTATCGTCACGGTAGCAATGGAAGTTAAAGCGATGATGACGAATATTTGCACGTAGCGAAACAATGGTGGCCTTCCTGAACAAACCGGGCTGCAACCTAAAAAGAAGTTAGTTCAAGTCAGGCACAGATATACCGAGGAACGAAGCTCGAAGAAGAGGGCCACCGTACGATATGCACAAGGCTGATGAGAAATAGAGTTCTTCAAGTTATTTGTCCCTGCATCTAAGGTGCATCCAGCGCATTCAGCTGATGACAGACCTTCTGTGATAGTTCGGTGTTATGCTTTGTTTTGGTCATCTTGTAGCCACAAAAAGGCTGTTCAAATGGTTCACGATCAGATCTGCGCGTTCTTTCGTCTAACCAACAATGGATCAGGACCCACCCAACGACACAACTCGCACCATGGAAGACACGTCTCGCACCATAGAAGATCGCACCACGGACGACACATCGGAGTACACTCGTTGGCTTGACAGGAAGCCCTATGCCACAGAGTCTCATTTATCTGGCACGAGCGCCTCCAATGTTGTTATGGAAGCCATAAACGATACAATAGTCGTTAGTGGGGTGGACAGCGATGTTGACGCGGAAGGTGACGCGAACAGGGAATGGAGGGAGCCTAAAGTTGTGCGTAGCGGTCATTCGAGGAGCCACAGAAAGAAAGGGTACGTCGATACATGAACGCATAGAATGATCTGACAGGGCCACATTACAGTTCTATGACAGTAGCTTCAGGGCAGTTGCAAGTACAGTCACCGAAGAAAGTTCATTTCACCCCTTCAGTGGAGGCCGCAACGGCTAGTCCCATTGTCAGCAGTCCTGCAAGAGATGCATTCTCAGCGAATGACGACCATTCAGGACAGAGGGCTGGGTTTCCGGCTTCCCGTACGTATGGCCACAATTAAATATGAATGGCTCACGAATGGTCCCCTGCACAGCCAATGCCCCTACTGCTTGGAAATCCTCGTCAAAGCAATCGTCTGGGGGTAACGTCCAATTCCCCTCAGCGTTAACAGTGGAGACCCGCGGCCGCACCAGTAAATCTCTTGCACGCTCCAGCGATCCAGGATATCCGGCACGCCAGGATCGTGATAAATCGTCGGGAAGATCGGCTGCGAAGAGAAGCAAGAGCATGGATACTTTAGAACACGTTAGCCGGCCACAAGAAGTTGACAAGCCCAACGACAATTGGACAAGGGAGAAGGTTGCTCGTCCGCTTAGGTCTTCTTCGTCAGAGCGTAACTCGCAAAAGGCTGTTACAAGAGACGCACGTTACAGTCTTCCCGCTCTGACAACCGGTCCCACGGATGCTCCTGCTTCAGGGGCGCCTAGGAAGTCGTGGGTGGTCAACCTTCTTGGCCACGCACTGTGCTTGACACAAGATCAAACTCCCATTGAAACACAACCGTCTTGGTCATCCACTTCCACAAATCTGAGAGAAAGACGTGGTATCGCCGGTTCTCTTGTACTCCCCGCTGCATGTGATCCTGACTCTGAGCACCGGCAAAGCAGTCTATCGTCGGGTGGTCGAGATGCGAACAGAAGCACATTTCACAGTCATGGAGAACGTACTCGCCGTTCAAGGGAAGCCGACAGGTCCAGAAGTGATGTCGGAGGTCGCCCCAAGATCTTCCATCCGACGCTCGAACCGGGATTCCAGGAACGCCACCCAAGAGATAGTGCTACGACGCACCATCAGCGTAGTAAATCTCTGCCAGCAAGGGGTCCTAGATCACCCTCACAGATGAGACATTCGTGGATCCGATTCAACAGTGGACTGGACATCCAACTGCACGCCAACTACCACCACCTTGGTGGAGATTACAGCTCGCAACGTGAGATGCAGCACGTATTCGGTCAAACTGGAAGCGCTCAGGAAGATACGCGTCAAGAAGAATCGTCTCCCCAAGAGAGAACTGATTCTGAGGAGCTTGTCATGATTGGTGCAGGTGAGGCAGCGTTGAGGACGAGAGCCAAAGCTAGACGGATTTATATGACCGATCGAAAGCGTACTATATGATAACTTCATGTGAGCATTGAATAGGTTGAACAACTGAAACTAAGCAAAATCCAAACAACTCCTGTGGAAGAAAGATGAAGTTGTACCAAAGCGCCGGAAAACCGTCGCTCTCGACATGTTGCTCACCATAACTACGAGCCCCTTGGGACAACATCAAAACACCTCCGATAGCTGTCATACCGACCATCCAAAGGTCCAGGAGAGGTGTGCTTCAGCCTATTACGACGGCATTATTTAATTTGCATTCGAATTGCATCCTCTAGTTATCCTCAGACGGGACATAAGGAGAATTAGAGCTCGGCGAAAGAGTCCAGCCTCGGTCCAGACGAAATCTGATTCAGTGCTTGGCGTGTTTGCGAACTTTGGAGACCTTGTGAAACAACGACAGAACAAACGGATGATTCCGCGCTTTCGCTGCGCGACGTAACCACGTGTAAAGGCAGTGCCGGATATAGCAAGCTGGGTAGTTCAGAGCAACACAACTTCAAGCTGAACCGCAGCTGTCAGTCTTCCAAAGCGTGCCAAATGAAGTCTGCGCTGTCTGTTTATCGAGACTGTCATTATCTTCCCCGAAGATGATCAAACACATATCCATACTTATTCGTCTACTCTCAGGTGGCCACACCACGTGTGGCAAAATGCTTGCCACCGTATAAGAGAGAACTTGAGCGATTATCCACGCTCTCATCCTGATAGTAACTCTGTCCGCCAACACTGCCAACACATCATGTCTACCTCCTCATATACGCCTTGGATTCAGAAAAGGCCGCGTATGTTTTCTATGTGGTATCCTAGCCCACCTCACGCTCTGATCGTCTGCACAAACCACCCGACGTCCTGTGGCCGAGCAGCAGCTCAGGCAACCGACTCCATGCAGTCGACGAAACCATTTTCGAAGACTCACTGCCAGACGGCAAGCACAGAGAACATCAGGTATGTTCCAATGGTTGTATGTCCAAGAGTGTGAGAATGACTGGGAATGCCACAGTCCCACAAATACTGGCCCAATCCTTAAACAATCACCACTGGGTAGAACTCCAATAAAGAGAGTGCGATTTTCTCCTTCCACGACGTCACTGAAAGGAAAATGGAACGACATACCTGAACGTACAAAACGATTTGCTCGTTCCTCGCCTCAAAAAGCAAGTGTGGCGAGAAGACATACTTTTGATGTGCGCGGCGACAAACCACAGAAGGCGGATGGTTGCAGAGTTAGCGTCCGGGAATGCATGATCAGCGGTCCCAAGAAGCTCCTTACACGGGAAGAGCTGGAGCGAGAATGTGCCAAGAGGAATCGTGGAAATTCTCGGTTGGATTCTGACGCTATTGGCCCACAGTTTCATGTCTCTAGGTCGGGGTCGTTTCAAAGACTGCTAGCTCAGAGACTCAGAGTGTGGCCTAGCAGCAGGCGGGGCGACCAGAAAAAAGCGGGCGAACACTTTCGTCGCGTCTCATACCCCGAGTGATGCCCTCATATGCGCCAAGTCTGTTGGAGAGAGCGGTGGCGTAAAACCGGAAGATCAAGGGGGCACTGCACGAGCATTATTTGTTGCGCCTCCTCCCCAAGCTCATTTAATGCTTCTGCTTCTCGTACATAGTTGAATGGGTATCACGGTATTCAAGTTTCTGGGTTCCAGAGATCTATGCATCACACGATTCGTATGTTTATGTCGATTTTCCTCCGGTGAACTATTTCATCTTCATGATCGTCAAATGCAGACATTCACAGCTACACGGTACCGCGCCGTGTGTTCGCATACCATTACAGTAATAGGTAAGACCCGTCACATCAAGAACGCAGCCTAATGACGTCCCTTCGACAACCACAGCATGCAGTAGGCACAGTAGTGCAGACAATCCTTCTATGATCCTTGTGAGGGTTGCAAATGCCTCCCGCATGAGTGGCAGTAAATTCCAGGCAACCACCATGAGTGGCTAAGGAAAGGAAAACATCATTTGGAAAGTCTCATACTAAGGATCCTGCACAATTGGTGCAGCAACGGTGAAAACCTACTACCCTGAGTCCTAGTCGGACTATACCTTATAGTACAGTGGGGGGGGGGGGGGGGGACAAAATGCGCTCTCCCCGGCCTCCGGTCCTTGGGTAGTGCTTCATGCTGGAGGTGGCAGTAGATCAGCGACAAAAGGATGGAGTCCTACAAACGCAAAATGATTACAACATACACTTAGTGCTACTAGCTGGATGAAGTGAATCATCCCACAAGAATCACTTAAGAGTGCTCACATGCCTTATCACGTCGCAAAACAAAAGCAATTCGTTATTTGACCTTACAGACGAGCCGGAAAACACCACAGCACCATATGCATGGAGAAAAATGTGCAATTAATCATCGCTCTCGAATCCGAGGCCGCCATCAACGGAATCAAGCGCAGACAGCAGATGGCAGATGGCCAGGGAGAATTTGAGGCGTACTATTGGTGATCATCCTGATATGCGAACTGACCCAGGAGTGCGAACTTCTCTTCCACAGCTCGTTCTGTTCCTCGTCTTCCCTCAGAAAAATAGGATAAGTATTGTATGACCTCTAAAATACTACTGTAAAAGTTTCGAGAGAACGACAGAAACGGCTGCCTCAAAACGATGGAGAGCACTGTCTGGTGGAGGTGTGACGTTTTCAAGCTCAGTTTTGGATCGATAACGCGTCTTTTGTCCTCGTGAGCGTATGCCGTTCGGAGATTGATTCGGCAGTGTGACATTGAGGACACCGGGTTTTTACAGTATGCTCGACGACAGAAAAAAATATATGCTCATAGATTTCAGTACTACAGACGCTACATAATGCATGTGCAAATCCGTGAAGCAAAGCGATGAGGTAGTGAGCGCCAGCGATGGTATTCGCAAAATATCAGGGGTCACCGATAGTAATTGAACCGGAAAGGCAACTCTTCTGGTTGTGGGCTTTGCCACCTTCAGTCTCTCCTGCGTCCTCGGACTGAGCCACAAAGCAACATATCACGAGCATCCGCGAGGAATCCTGCAGATATGAGTCAGTGGGCCACATTGGTAAGCATCATCTTGGATATCCTTCCCCATCGCCACATGTTGAATTGTGGCCACTGAGTCCTGTAATACTACGGACCCTTCTTCTCTTCCGTTTCTCGCGTGTTCATCATACTTGGCTCTGATACAGAATCATGCCTGTTGTTGCTGGCGGCCAGTACTCCATGCCCAGCGAGCTTTCGAGTCGGCAAAGGAGAACCTCATCACCACCACTGGAAGCTTCTCCCGCCACTATCGCGTATGACCTCGACGACTTCGATCTGCTGAGGCCTCCAACAACCTCAAGTCGGCACCACGAGGCGGCATCACATCGACCTATGGCCGGTAACTACAGGCATGTCCTTCTCTGCATACGCTTCAGGTTGTCAGGCTGATACGTATCTCAGATCTGAGGGGAATGTGCCGCGTGTGCGTCGTTCACCGTCTCCTGCGATGACGCGCCATAGGTCCTCGCCACCATCGCGTGTTAGAGATCATGCTCATACGCGGGCACGGGATGACGCTGAACCCCGGCCAAGACGCGCTTCAAGGAGTCATGTTCGCGGCCACTCGTCTGGAGAAACTGCATCGAAGTCCTCGTCGAAGTTACCGGCCCCTGAGTCCTTGTCCCGGGGCATTGCTCTGAAGTCCTCGTCAAAGGCGGCCACCCCTAGCTCTTCATCGAAAAAGTCTGCTCCTGAGTCCCTATCGAAGGCGTCTGCTTCTAAATCTTCTTCGAGGATGCCTGGATCCAGTTCTTCATCAAGGCCACTTCCAAGTTACTCCTCCAAGATCCTTGCTATGAACTCCCCGTCGACGGCGTCGGCTCCCAGCTCTTCTAAGGCGATTGCTCCAGACACGTCGAAGAGTGTGCCTTCTAGTCCCTCTTCCAAGACTCCTGCGACAAAATCGAGGCTACACATTCCAGATTCCTGGTTGCGTACGCTTGCCGCGAAGTCCTCGTCGAAGGCGACTCCTCCAGCACCATCGTCGAGTGCCCATGTTCGCTCGTCCTCGTCCAACGCGTCTGCTGCCGGATCATCGTCACGAGCGCGTGCGCTCAGTTCCCCGACCGGATTGCCTATTCGCCGGGAGCACAGACACAAGAGGTCTGCAGACGACAAAACGCGCACTTCCCGCGATCCGCGCCCGCTATCCTCCTGGCAGACCGCAAACACCCCCCCGCCTATCGATCCTGCACCCAACACAGGGTACGTCCCCCTCGGGAGGACGTCGCACTACGCACCTGCGGCGGATTCGTTCAATGCGCGGTTCCAGTGGTATAAGGACCATTATGGTGATACCGCAGAGCTGGAGGGCGAATTTGATGGTACGAGCGCTCCTGGTTGTTATGGGGTCGGTGCTGACGACGTGGCTTTCTGTGTTACAGAGGATGACCCGATGTTTTTGAGCGACTGGGTTCATGTCTCTCCCCAAGTGGACGCGCAGTTTCCTGAGGCCGCGAGTATGAGGAGCAGGCAGAAGAAGTTGCGGAAGCAACATCCTGCTGCGAGGAAATAGGGACGGGAGACGGTTGCTGATCTAGTTGGGCGTTTAGTTGGGCAGTTCTTCGACCTATGCTGCAGTCTTACTTCATTGGATTACATGGTATTCAGACGTCAGATTTGGATAGCTTACTAGGAGACACCGAGTTCAATCGTATGCAAGTTATTTCTGCTATACCTGTGACATTCCTGGTCTGTGTGTGGGTTTCGCCGACTGGTGCCTTACTCGAATCCGTCACACAAGGCATTTTTTGCAAACATACGTAATGCGTAGATCCTGCGTCGTGCGTACTTGTACTGGCCATGGGATGTACGTTACTCTGGGAGCAGAACCGGAAACGACGCATTATTGGTAAGTAATTGGCGTCCTCGACCAAACTTTCTTAAAGATGGCTCTAGTGACTCCTTGAGGTCCAACGACACGCGCTTACGATCCTTGCCTTCTGTTACAGATATGCGGACAATGCTACCATCACTTCTCGACATCCTTCACCACTTCCCCCAGACAGCTTCGTCTCCCGAAACATGTCCATACGCCATGCGCGCCGCTCCATAAGCTACGTTTGCAGAGCTCGAGGCGTACCTGGCGGCGGTATCGACTGCATAGCCTGGCGTTCGCGTTCGCCCAGCCGTCATCTGTCAAGGCGCAATCTAAGTGGCATGAAGTAATGGCGCAGTGAGACCGCACGCTCTCGCTGGAGTTCTCCTTAAGCGGGTCGATGACGCCTGCGGTCTTGCTGAAATTGCGCGCGGCCTCTTTGTCGCGGGTGAAATGGTCACCCGCGCGTCTGTCGTGGGGTCGGTGATCTGCAACGGCATTCAAGTTAGACCAGTGTGAAGAGCGAAGACGCACGAAATTTGCCGCGAGCGAGACGGTGGGGTTGGCAATGTCGGGGTGAAGGCCTACGCCTTTGTTGTCGCCGAGGCTGACGTCTTTGTCGTTGAGAGACAATATGAATGAGTGGTATCCGTGAAAGACAATATAGGTCGTGGGGCGATGAGAAGATGATTCAGGCAAAGCGTGTGGTGGGGAGCGCTATATAGCGGGGGTTGGAGGCGAATTCTGATACGACATATAACGCAATTATAATTCGCTGCAGGCCCTGGAATTTTGGTGCTCGTGGAGACCCTGCCATGATACCTGTGAGCATGAACGTCGGTTGCCTTCCGGGGTAGGTCTCCTACCTCTTTGGGCCGCACTTCAACAAGTATTTCAAACCTTCAAAAATCTGTATTATGATCATAAGGAACGGGATATCTATGTCTTCGAATAAATGTTTCCGTCAGTAAACAACTCCGGTGAAACAAAGTCGATGGCAAAAACTTTGGGCGTATGTCAAGCGTCAAGAGCGATGCCTCGCAAGTAACAGCCTACTAACAGGTAGTCGCAAGGACTCCACAGAGTGATGAAAAATTTTGAGGGCAAGAGGCCGAACCAACCTATCAACGCCTTGACTGCATCAGCTGAGTTGAGCGCGGCATTGAGTCGAACGTTGGGAGGATGTTCTCGATAGGGTCAAGGTAAGAGCAGCGCTGGATATGCGAGTAATCTAGGACTGCGTACACCACGAACCAAATATTACAGACCGTGGTAGAGCTGGTGGTATCATGAAGTCGACCACTCGCGTCTGCTGTCCGGAAAGAACTTCTCTCTCGCGTCCTTGCTCACTATATGTACCGCGAAGTCCCCGGCATCTAGCATGGCCCAACCGTCACTCATCCGCTTTTTTGTGTTGTGAGGCAGGAGGACCGGCGGCTGCGCGGTCAGAAGCTGATTGAAATCAGATACGAACTTGCGACACCACCAGAGGTGACTTACGACTTTGCGCACAACCCGGACGACGGACTCAATGGCGCCTCGGTTCTCCGTACCTTCCTTCACCTTTCCCGCAGGAAAATAAAATGTCAGCGACCACCAATTGTGCTACAAGCCGTCTTGCCCACCTGTGCGATGACGACCCAGTTCCAGATCCCGCCATCGTAGTCATAGACAGGCTCCCCGGCATATGTCCTCCCCCGCTTCCTGCGCCCCTTCGGCATCGCATCGGGAAGCGGTGGTCCTACAGACGTCGGTACGGGCTCCCGCACGAGCAGCGTCCCCGGTTCGAGATGCGGCGAGGTCCTGAGCGCGGCGTGCAAGTGCACGATATGGCTGTCGGCAGGAATGGTAGCGGGAAGAGGGGCCAGCGGCTCTAAGGAAGACGGTCGGAGGTGTGGGGGCGTGGGTCGGTGGACAGATGATGCTGTGGGTGGGTTAGAGACCTCAGAGGGGTCCATGAACCATGGCACAGAGACGTTAGGCTCAGAGGGCCCAGAGGCTGTAGACAGGGAACGTCTTGCCAGGTCGTAGCAGAGTTGTCTGTGGCATACCCGAGAGAACCCTCTGAATGCCTGCATCTTGTGGTCAAGTTGTAGTACGGGTGTGTCCGACTCGGAGGCGCCGGTCAAAGATCATCTCACGTGACCGCAGACGCGCTATGGTACGCGTATCCGAATCGTCCTACTTGCCAGTCTCGGTCTCGGTCTCGGTCCACGAGACTTGGCCTGAGTCCTCGCGCACAATCCTCCTGAGGAAAGTAGAGCGGGGTTCGGGAAGTTCAATGATCGCGTGGTCGTCTTTTCGTGATCGCGATTAACATCAACACCCCTGAAGAGGAGAGAGCGTCGTGGCGCACAGTCGGGGACAGGGATGAGCATACCAATATAATTATCATTGCCACTCTCTCTGTATCCAATGTGCCATCGCGTTTTCCCCGTATAAAACAGTAGAGCTTATCTTTAAGCTTACTTTTTCAAAAAATAAGGATAATGATAATCTCGACATTGCACGGTGCCAAGCGAATAACATCCTTATCCGGCGCGATGACGGAGTTCTCCGGCACGATCTGCGGTGTTGAGATCATTTTGACAGCTGAGCTACGAGCAAGCTTTATAACGGGGTGCGCTGTGCTCCTGTTCAGGCTCACACCTCTCCTCTCATCCCTACCACCCCGTTCGCCATGGCAGGTCTGCGCATGAGCATCGTCGTCAGCACGACGGCCTTCCTCCTCGGTGAGTGCACGCTTCTTCGCGCCTTGATAGATGTACGACTAACACTCAGTTGCTCACGCTGGTGCTCGGTGCACACACCGACAGGCCTGCTCTTCACCCACTGGATCGCGGACTCGCTCTCGCTATGGAAGACGCCCGAAACGCAGACGGACGCGAGCCTGTGGACCGCCGCGACGTACTACTCTATCCTCTCGCGCATGCCCCCGACGCTCGCATACGTATATGCGGCGATAACCGTACTGGGCGGCGCGACGCTCTTGTGGAGTCTGCGCGATGGGAGCGCTGGCAACCTGATGTTTGACGGGGGCAGCATCTGTGAGTGTGCAGTGGCGTTTCGCGCTGTCAGCGAAATCACATGCCAGTGTCTCCCCAGTCCTGTATGCCACTACGGTATACGTGTACATTAGCTCTGTACTTCCAAGTGAGTCTCTTGGCCCCTCATGTGTGCGTTCCGCACCCTGATCGCTGCGAAGATTTTTTCGCGAACTTCACGTCGCTGTCCCTCCCTCCTCTCGCTACGTCGTCCTCGATCCTACCATTCCCGTCGGCGCTCCGCACGCCGACGCTGGAGCTCGCATCCTCACACCTCGTGTGCAGCGTCACGCTCACCGGCGTGATTATCCTGCAGGCGGGGCGGTGGTGGGCGGAGCAGTCCGATGACGATGCCCAGGAGGACCTGATGGGCGAGGGCGATGAGGAGGCGGAGGAGAAGAGGTTGCGAAGCCGCAGTCGCAGTCGCAGGCGAGAAAAAGGGAAGGCGGAGTCTAAGAAGACGAAGTGAGCGGCGGGCCGACGTGTGGACACGAAAAGTATATGTTGATCTCGAGTGCGCGTGCGCGCTCTTGTCTCTTGGGTGGACTGCTTGGACGCTGGGCATATTGTATATATTTGTACTTGACTAACGAGACGTGCACAGCACCAATACAAGGTGTACATCTACTCGGATGACCTGTTTATGGAGTCGACCTGATCGCGGTTGCGTGCTGCACGGAACAATTGCAAGCACAAAATGTGCCCTTGGTATACAAGCTCTGATAAAAACTCGAATGCGGCGACATATTGGGCCAGGGTGTACCAAACATTCAACGACAAGGGGGTAAATGTGGATCCGGTCATACCAAGAAAGATGAGATGGTGGCAGACAGCCAAAAATACAGTAGTTAGTATCGCACAAAAGATGTCAATGTCCAAAAATTTTAAACATGCCATCCGGACTAGATAGCAGTCAACCTTCTGAACCCTTACTGAGGAGAAACGCGCCAAGGAGAAGCGTCGGTCGGGCGAAGGAGAAGCGGCGAGCAGAAAAGACAGCAAGGAAGTCGAGGAAGAGAGTGTAGCAATAACCGAGGACTGCGCAAGATGAGGCTGAGTCTCCGTATGCTGGAGACCGTAAGTCCTGCTGGGCGGCCATCTGTCATCACAAAGCTGTCTTGTCACCACCAAGTTCACCGATGACTGCAAGATCCTCCTGCACTCCTGGGGAGGCACCACGCCGCGATAATTTTGCGCAGGGAAGGCGACGGGCTCGTAACTAACCTCTACGAGATGTTGGCAAGAAATTCTCAGTGAAGGCAACAACCAAGTTCATTAGCTAGTATGAGGACAAGCAGTGAGCAGAAAAGAACGGAAGAGCACCGTGGGTATTGCAAGGAGCATTGACGGTGCAGTCGAAGGATAATGGTCAGTTGTTAAGATGCTTGCACTGACGTTCGAGCTCTGGATGGATCTTGGTGAAAGGCATATGAAAGTGTCCAGGCAGGTCACTTACAGTAATTCAACCTAGCATCCGGCGCACTGCAGCACAAGTTCGCTGTTGGCCATGCCCAGTCTGCAAACCCGAGTTGCAGAAGGTGTTGTTTGGTGTCCTGCAATACTTGAAGTCGCCCATATATCTGATCTTCATTCTTGATGGCCCTGAACGACCTGATCTGAGGAAGGCGAGCAAAGGAGGTCATAAGAGAGGCGTAGCAGGCGGCGGGATCAGTCGCTCGGCGGGGGCGGCGTCGCTGCTCGGCTGGCCCGATATGGGTCCATGGGAGCTCGATCCGTCTCTGAGTATGTCCGCTGCCATCCGTATGTCTTTTCCGATACCCGATAGCCGCCCTCCGACGGCACCTCTAGGGGTGTCTCTACTTGCTCGTCCCGAGCCCCTGTATGCCGGTATATATACACCCTGTGAATTTTAACCAACAGTGAGCTCTCATGCCGCATATTCCTATCTCCCTACTTACCGCCACCATATGTGGAATCTATCCCGCATGGCGAGCTGCCTGCATACAGCCCGCGCGGCGCAAATCGTAAAGTGGAGGACCCAAAGAAGATGCCACTAAGGTATGACTGCCTCCCTTATCTCTTTTGCGGTAGTTCAATCCTTGCGCACCCAAGACAGATCCCAGCACGCTTGTATGACCACTCGACATCCGATCTGTATTCCGAGTTCACGGTAACTTTGGATGAGGAAGGCACATGCAGCCTTCCGGCATTGGCAAGAGCTTGGGGATCGACACGCTTGGTGGTTCGTCCAGTGACAAGTAACTTGAATGAGATTAGAATCTGATGCAATTTGCAGCTCTTCGTTCACTTGACGCCTATGAGGATGCCCCATGAGTATGATGATATTATTACATCGAATGACATCGATTTGTGCTTGCAATTTTGGCCATTCATGCCTTTGTCAGGTGAGATACCAGATCCACTTGCACATACTGCATCGTACAACATTTTCACAGAGTATGATCCCTGGCCTATGCCCATGAATCGCCTCCTCGATCCGAGGGTCACAAACACAAATCCTCGGGAAATCATTGTGCGATGGTACCCTTCGCCATCGAACCTCAAGGTATTCGAAGAATCGGTGGAGTTCTTTGATGCGTTGAACAAGCTCAGCTTGGCGGACCTCGCACGTCGGCATGGGATTATCAATGCACAGGTGTTCGACATCCGGGATCCCAATTTGGCACGGTACAAAACAAAGTTTGTGCGTTGCATCTCCGAGAAGGAGTGGGCATTGCTTGTTGATCTACAAGATGGCATTCTGGCAGTAACACGTGCGTACACGATTCTGCCAATGTATAAATACTCACATTCTAATTGGTAGCAACATTGCCTGGTGTGCATGTCCCGATGAAACATCCTCGAAAGTTGCCTCCACACTCTCATGCTGCAAACAACCAATTGGCGACATGTCGACTGTCTGATCCACATAGGTGCTTACTTCCGGGAGTAGGGCCTTGGTGACTGGACTTGCAGCTGCCCAGACCAACTGTGGTAGACTGTAATGTGGCATTGACAGATCATTTTATGTGATCACGTATCGACATACCCTTTCTTTCTGTTGCTTCTCGTGACTGCCACGGACAACGTTAGGTCCCCGTTCTCTGTTCACATCATCTTCCGCGTCATCGTCACGGTCGCTGTCGACACCACTGATGGCTTTTGCATCGCTGATGGCTTCCGCGGCGGCATTGACGCTTATGCCAGATAAATAAGACTGTATGAGACTTCCTGTTAAGCAACGAATGTACTCCGGAGATGTGTCATCCACGGTACGAGATGCATCGGCTGAGTCTGACCCAGGATCGGTTAGATGGAAGAATATGCAAAACTCATCGTGAACCTTTTCGTACAGACAAAACAGACAAAACATGACACCGAGGTAGAGGTGGGGGGTTGTTGGAGTCATCGCACTTTGAGAGTATCAACAGGCAGGACAGGAAACACCTGTCGCACATTGACGTTGACGCGTGTGGTATGCAGATATTCTGCGTACAGTTCCCAATCTTCGTCCGCAGCGCTGGCTTCTAGGTGAGGCGGGAGGGTGTCCTCGAGTATCCGCGGTACACCTGAGTCATCGAAACCAGAGATTAGAGAGCAGGCGACGTTCACGAAACGCCATACACACCATGGTAGGCTCGTCGACAGGCAGGCCCGGACATGATCACCACGTCTCCGGAACGGAGGAGAATGGGGGTCGGCTCGACGTCTCGTGTCAGGCCGCCTATGAGGAAAACTGCAGCGCAGCCTAGTCTACAAGGCGCAGGGAGAAACATCTGAGATCGAGGGTCAAAAAACATCAGAGAAGACGCACGATATCGAGACCAGCGGGGATGTTGCACAAACTTCTGAACGATCGACGTGGGCCATGAGTGTGTCCTGAGAACCAGGAGATAAGGAGCCCCGATCGAAGGGATAGAGACCGCATACCTTGACTTGGTAGAAATTCACGATTCCGGCATCGGGTTCTACCAGAGCTCTCGTGAAACTCGTATATTTCATACATCAGGATCGACCACCCACCATACGTCTCATTCCACGACTCCCAGTCTGGTCCATCTTCCCCCCAATCACCACAATCGGGAACACCATCGCCGAAGACTTCGAACCAGTCGACCGCATCCACGGCCCTCTTGCAAACACGTTTCACATCGTCGTGTATTTCCACCTTACCTTTGGAGAAATCATATTGCTTGCTTCCCCAGTGGTAGGACCACCCGATATTCGCCCAGCGCAATTTTTGGATGAGTGCAGAAGTGGTCAAAGGATGCACCGACGGAGACGGTGCGAGAGGAGGCTTCGGAGCGGCTGATATGGCTGCGTAGTTGTCTTTGCTCACGGGCTCGTTGGAAATCAATTTCCTGGGGCCAGTTGGCTCGGATATCACAGTGGAAATTGAGTCCGTCGCCATAGTAAGAGATGCTCGAGGTTGTATGAACTCATCTTCGCAAACATGCCGTCGCACATTGACATATTTGTTCCATAGCCCTTCCTCTGGGAGGATGTAGTGCGTGTCGAGGTTCGTTTCGTTAGGAGGGCGGGCGTGATCAGACAGCGCCCAGCGCACGAGATGTCTCTGCTCCTCAGGGGAGACAAAAGAAGGTAGCAGGACAAGTCCTATTGCATCGTGAGAGAAGCGGTATGAATACATACATCGCTTGCATAAGAACACCACGCCTCGCACCAGGTGTGCTCGGGAAGACGTAGGCCGTCTTCCCCTCGGTGTGGTTCATGCGGATCTCCTTGCATTGCAGCGCGTCTGGCTTGCCCCACCAGCCTCCCCTCTTAGTCTCCTCAGCCCTCGATTCATCGAGCAGTGCGAGGTCAAGAACATCAGAAAGGTCGGGAGGGGGAAAGCGCGCCTTGTACTTCTTCTCCGCTGCGCGGAACGGTGTCCAGTCGGCCTCGAGCTGCTCGTCCCTGTTTCTCGTTGTCTTCAGGTGCCTCTTCCTAGCCTTCTTGTATGCAGCGCTCGTTGGATCACGCAGGTCCGCGGCAGACAGCATCGTGGTTGCAGTCGTCGGCATGGGTGGGCGCTCACAGCTGGGCCGGCGGGATGCGGGCGCGCCATTTTGGGTAGTGGCGGGAGAGTCAACATGCGCAAATACGAAACCTACTCGCGGCCGACGGTTGGCGTCATAGACTGATCCGCTCGACGAGAGCTCTGCATGCAACTCTTCTCCCCCCCTTCCTCTCCTTCCCCCGTCGTCCACCACATTCTCGCCGTAACGTGGAAATCTAATGTCGCTATGGCTCCCCAGACCGTCTCCGTCCGTCCTAGCGCGCACCTATAGCCGCCAGACTACCCTTGTGAACGTCCGCATCGTCGCTCTCGTGTCCCAAAACTCGCGGCATCATAGAAACCACCCTCATCTACTCGTAAGGAGGTTCCAGAGCACACAGTCAGGCCCGGATGCCCCGAAAAACGCTTCCACGTCTGCTGGAGACGCTTCAATGCCCGACCCGAAGCCGACGCCCCCCACACCCAAAGAGGAGGTCATCCCGTTGAGCACGAGGGTGTGGAAGAAGGTCAAGCATGAAGCACAGCATTACTGGCATGGCAGCAAGCTGCTCGTCTCGGAAGTGCGCATCTCTTCCCGCCTCATGTGGAAGATCCTCCACGGCGATATCCTCACGCGGCGCGAGCGTAGGCAGGTGCGAGCCGTGCTGGTGTAGATGCGAATGATTTCTGATGAGTTCGTGTTCGTTGTACAGTTGAAGCGCACGACTCAGGATCTGCTGCGACTGGTTCCGTTTGCAGTGATCGTTATTGTGCCGTTCATGGAACTTCTGCTCCCCGTGATTCTCGCGGTCTTCCCGAACATGTTGCCTTCGACTTTCGAAGACAAGTTCGCAGCAGTAAGTGCTTGTATTAACTTGGAATTCCCGCCGCGGTTCTCACTCCATTGCAGGAGGAGAAGCAGCGCAAGCTGCTCCGTGTCAGGCTGGATATGGCCAAATTCTTGCAGGAGACTCTGCGCGAGTCTGGGCTGAAGGCAAATGCGCACATCGTTGGCAGTGACGCCTTCAAAGAGTTCTTCCGCAAGGTAAGACCCTCACTTTTCTCGCCGTCGAATCGGCATGCTGACCCAGTGCAGGTCCGCTCGACCGGCGAGTCGCCCTCCGCCACGGACGTGATTAATGTCGCGCGCCTGTTCGACGACGACCTAACGCTCGACAATTTGTCGCGGCCGCAGCTAGTCTCGATGTGCCGCTACATGGGCATCAACGCGTTCGGGACGGACAACTTCCTGCGGGGCACAATCCGCACCCGGCTGCTCGAGCTCCGCCGTGATGACAACTCGATTCTTGCGGAGGGCGTCGATGAGCTGAGTACGTCTGAGCTGCAGGCCGCGTGCCAGAGCCGCGGCATCCGCACCACCGGCATCTCCCCCGCGCGTCTCCGCGACGAGCTCTCCACGTGGATTAACCTCCACCTGCAGAACCGCGTCAGCGGTGTCCTGCTCGTGCTCGCGCGAGCGTTCCAGTTCGATAAGAAGCCTGGGCTGAACGAAGATGGCAAGGCCGCGATCATTCAGAGCGTGGAGAGCGTGCTGTCTGGCTTGCCGGATAACCTGGTCAGTGGTCTTTCTTACATTGGGCTCACGTGATACTGAGGGTGGTACAGCTCAACGAAGCCGAGCTCGAAGTTGACTCGGACAAGGCGAGCTACAAGCAGAAGCTCGATGTGCTCCAACAGCAGGAGGAGCTTATCGAGGACGAAAAAGAGCAGGAGCAGAAGGAGGAGGATGCCCGGCGTGCGCGCAAGGAAGAGGAAGCGCGTCTCGCCCGGTCTCTCCTGCCTGAGTCTGAGGTCAGTGTGATTTATGTTCCGGCGTTCCGTCAGATCCTCATTTCGCGCGAGTAGTTTGAGCCTGAAAAGCTCGAGGAGGGCGATGCCCGCATGACCACCGAGCAGCTGAAGGAGCTCGCTGAAGCTCTGTCCGTGCTCTCGTCCACGTCCAGCATCAAGAAGGAGCGCGACGAGTTGCGCGCACTGATGGAAGAGAATCTGCATGCCGAGGAGGTACGCCCCAACGCATGACGCCGTCTGCTCGGCCCTCACTACTTCTCTTGCAGGACCCGAAGTCGCCGTCGGGCGCACTGACGAAGCGGATCCGCACGATGCTCACAAAGATCGACGGCCAGATCTGGGACTATGACGCGCGTGTGGGCTCCTCGCTGCAGATGATCTCGTGCGATCCGCAGGGCCGGATCTCGGTCGAGGACCTCGAGAAGGCGCTCGCTGTGATCAAGCACAAGCCGGATGAGGAGGTCGGGCACCGCGTCATCGAGAAATTGGACGTAGATAAGGACGGGTTCGTCGAGCTCGAGCATGTGCTGGGTCTTGTCAGAGAGGAGGGCTTGGGTGAGTCTTTTGCATTCTGCATGCTGCGTGCGGCAGGCTGATCGAGTTCACAGGTACCGTTCTTGACGATGAGGCGCAGTCTATCCTAGGACAGGGAAACGAGCTCAGGAACAGCAAGCCGCGCAAGGAGGACATCGTACAAGAGTAGTGCATACAATCTTTTTAAATTTACCTCATCAAGACTCTACTTGCGATTGTATAGGCTAGCCAGAAGTTTTCAGTGCACATGCAGCAATCTTCTAAAGAAACGGTAGGTGTGTAGTCTAATCAAATACCGACGACAGCGACAGAACCAACACATCTCATAGATGAGATAGTATACATGCCGCGCTGCCAAGCTGCCGTCTGATGTCGTGGTAGTCTACGTCGTGGGCTGTCTCGAGAGTTAGTTGAGAACAATGCACCAAGTATACGAGCCACTTACAGTCCTCTACCTCGCCCCAGAGCTCAATCTGGCTGTTCACCTCGACGTGCGCTGCCTTTGCCGCCTCTTCCACGGTGAAGTTCCGCATGACAAGGGCGAGCGCGATCAGGAACGACTTGGATGCGTATGTTGCGCGCTCCATTGCTGCAAAGGGAAAATCAGCTCAGAGCAGACACGGATGGATAGCGCCAGGCGTACCTGCCATCTCCCAGAAGTCAAACTCGGACATGACCTCATCGAATTTTTTCAGAGTCTCTGGTGGTTGTGAGAGCACAACGAACGAGTCTGTTGTGTGTATGTCAACGCCGAACGTGGAGCGGGCCCAGGCTAGCAGCGGGTCCCAGTGTTTTCTTTGCAGCGAGACGAGAGCCGGGGGCCGGTCTTGATGGAAGCTGACGGGGGAGGTTAGACAACCTTCGGTAAGACAGACTGAGCACGAACCAGATGGTATCTGTCTCAAGGTACTTGAGCAGCTGAGCGCGCGCTTCCTTCCGCATGTCCTCATCCTTGAATGCGTCGATCGCTCTAGACGCAAGAGAGGTCTACGGGAGCGCTCGCTCAACAGAATACGCAGCCAAGCAGAAAGATCACTCACCAATGGAAGTGCATGGGGCTTGAGCAGTGTCTCTTGGCTCTCCCACTCGGCGGCGATGAGCGTCGCGACCAGCCGTTTGTCCTGCGGGATCAAGAGAGGCGTTCCGGAGGGCGTCTTGAGGGGGCGGTTGTCGAGGGTGACAGCGAACGCACCGTCACGCTGCTCTATACCCACCGTCTTCCAGAACCGCTTCAGCGTCGCTTGTGCACCTAGGCGCAGCAGGAAGGTCAGGATCGGGAAGAGCGTCAACTTTAAGCCTTCTTACGATTTGTTGCGGTGACCGCTGGGCCGGACGTGGCGACTGTCGCCTGTCCTCGGACGACCCATGTTCTGTGCGGTACGAGTGCTCGTCTGCACGAGGACCGCAAGAGAAGGCGGACGGGACGAGCGAAGCAGGGGGTCTGCATATGAACGATTCGAATGCGGTGATGGAGAAACGTGACCAAGTCGCGTACGCGTTACACTGCACGTTACCCCTGTGACGCGCTCTGGCTCTGCTGGGAACGTCCTTGACCTCCTACACTCACATACTCATGTCGGCCCTGAGGAATAGGCAGCTGACGAGTCCGAAAGGCCAGGCTATGATATCCTCTTTCTTCTCTCCAAGCCAGGAGTCCCCTACCAGGCGAAAGAAGAGGACTAGCTCACCGATCGACTTGACGGTGGACTCGGGCTCTGACGATAATGCGGACGCGCACCGCTCAAAAAGACTACGGACGACTAGTGCTTTCTTTCAACCAAAAGTTGCTCAGGCAAATGAAATTGCTCAAGCGGGTCCATCTCATACGCAGACGCGTCATGGCGGTGCAGCAGAGCAATGGCGTTTCGACCTCAGTTCATCTGCTGCAGCGAAGCCACGCAGCGTTGCTGAACAGACTGAGCAAAATAAACTGCACGAGAAGGCGAAACATATCCTTCTTGGGGACTCTGAGTACTTTTCTAAGGTCAAGCGTCCCGAGGACGCCGAAGAGGACGACAAGAGCGAGAAGGCCGACGAGGAGCCGTCGGCTGGAGATCATTCAGCCGGCTCCGTGTCGTTTGAGCAGTTTATGCACATGGTTAACAGCTCCTCCGCGAGTAGTAGCAAAAACATGAAGGGCAAGAAGAAGGCCGGTGAGGTTGGGCCTAGCGGCGAGACATATACAGACCTTGAGCTACAAGTAAGCACATCTCCTGTCTCGAGAGTCTGTCACTCATGTTCCCTGTCAAGGTAAAAGGTTTCAAGGAAAAGCACAAAGATGCTATCTTAATGTTTCAAGATGGATACAGATATAGGTTCTTTGGCGAGGACGCTGAGGTTTGTCTTTGTATTTTTCTAACTCTAACTAGCATTGACTTTTCCCTTGTATAGGTTGCAGCCAAGGAGCTTGGAGTACTGTGTTTCCCCAAGAGAAACTTCCTGACAGCTATGATACCTATACATAGACAAGACGTGTATATCAAAAAGTGAGCTACCTACTGTGACGCCCATTGAGAAAAGGATGACATATGCAGCATAGACTGCTCGCAAATGGACATAAAGTCGGTGTGGTCGAGCAAACTGAAACTGCGGCCCTGAAGAAAGTTAGCAAGAACAAAAGCAAGATATTCAGCCGTGAGCTGACGCAGCTGTACACCGCCGCAACGTATGCCCTATCTACGTGCTCTTGTTCCCCTGTTTTCATCGTGTGCCCCTTAGCTACGTGGACGAGTTGGATTCCGTCGACAACACGGATCGGACGTCTGCACCGCCGCTCATGTGTCTCGCAGAAGAGCTGAGAGGTGGCATGGGTCCCGACGAACGCGTACGATTCGGGATGATTGTCATATCTCCTAGCACAGGAGATGTGGTATGGGATGAATTCGAAGGCACGCCTGCCCGTGTTTGCATTATTCGGGAGACTCACTTCGTGCAGATAATCATATGCGGACTGAGCTTGAGGTGTGTTCTCTTTCTCGCTGAGATACTGTGTAGCTGATGGCAGAGGGTAGACGCGGATGGTGCACATCAAGCCGTACGAGATGCTCATACCGAAGGGTGACGGGCTCAGTAAACCGAGCGCGAAAATGATTAACCACTTCATTCAGTGAGACGTATCGCAAAGTGTGCGCGTACGGTGATTTGACCTCTCTGTCCGTTCAGGAACTCAACTTCCGACCACGGCATACGAAAGGAGCATTTCAGAGTCCACCTATCCTACTCCGAGGCCTTCGCACTCCTCACCAAGTTCTACACCGATAAGACGGACTCTGCCACCGCCTCGGACAGCTACAACTCGGGTAATGTTCTTGCGTCTCGCTTGTGATGTCTACTGACTGGTTGCACAGGAAAACTGATGGCCGCGGTGTCAGACTTCCCCAATCTAGTGGTCGTGGCGCTGGCCCACGCCATACAATACTTGTCAGCATTCGATGTCGAGGGCGCCTTCCGGGAGACACGATTATTTGCTAAGTTCACAGAGCGTACGCATATGTTGCTCAATGGCAATACCCTCACAAACCTGTGCGCACCCTTTCCATGTCATTTCTCCCAGTTGCGGAGAGCTTACATCTTTGCAGAGAGATATACCGCAATGAGACGGACTTCACGATCAAGGGCTCTTTGATGTGGATCCTCGACCATACGGCCACCGCGTTCGGGGCTAGGATGTTGAGGAGCTGGGTGGGCAGGCCCCTCGTGGATTTGAGGTGAGAATTGGTCGGAAATGGCATAAGCGATATTCATAAATCTGTTCATGATGTCTAGCGCCCTCAATGATAGAATTACTGCCGTGCAAGAGATCCTCGAGGACAAGACACCGAAATTAACCCTGTTGCGCCAGCTGTTGAGACGTCTGCCTGATCTTGCGCGAGGCCTTTGTCGAATACAGTACGGCAAGGTATGCAACCACTGTGCTATGGGCTCGCAGCGACCCTGACTTCTCTCACCTTACACAGTGTACCCCTCAGGAACTTGCAGTTCTCCTCCCGGCTCTCGGCAAAGTCGCGACAACGTTCACCCCTGCAGAAACTGTCGCCGGTACGATGTTCAATTCAGTCCTTCTAAACGACGCCGTTTCCGCGTTGCCGAAGTTGAAAGGGCCGGTGAAGCAGCTCCTAGGTGCCGTCTCGATCAAGATGGCTAAGGAAGGGAAGAAAGAGCTCCTGTGGACCGACCCGGACAAGTATCCTGACTTGGATAGTTTGCATACGGTATGCGACGGTTGTGGTGCTCAACGGTTGAACTGAACTGACATGGTGAGGGTTGTAGTCGATCCAGGTGGTTGAGAGCGAGCTCATCGACGAGCTCAAGAAGAGTCAGCTGATTTCTTTTGCTGTGCGAGGTTCGATTCGTTGACGTCCTCCTGCGCAGTCCGGAAGGTCGTCAAGAAGCCAGCGTTGACGTATACCACTTGCGCAGGAGAGGAGGTATGTCTGCGCTGCATTAGGCCTTGATGGTGCTCATGAAGGATCAGTACCTCGTTGAGATAAATAAGAGCGATAAGCGTACAATACCCATCAATTGGACGAAAGTATCCAGGTTCGTTGTGACTTTGCGGTCGCACTTACACGGCTCACGCTATATGCCATCGTGACAGCACGAAGTCCGTGGACCGATTCCGCACCCCCGAGATACGGGTGAAGCTCGACGAACGCGCGCGCTACAAAGAAGCGCTCGAAATCGCCGCGAACAAGGCGTACCTTGCGTTTCTCTCTGAGATCACCCAGAACCATTACGCCGTGTTGCGCGACGCCGTCAACAAGCTTGCCACGGCGGATTGCCTACTCAGCCTCGCGGTCGTCGCTCTGCAGGAGGGGTATGTCAAGCCGGAGTTCACCTCGGACGACACGCTCGAGATCTCCGAGGGCAGGCATCCGATGGTGGAGGCGCTGAGGTCGAATCCGTTCGTCCCGAATTCCGTACGAATGGGCGGGGGGATACCTGGGAGCAAAATAATAACGGGTCCGAATATGGGCGGGAAAAGCTCGACTGTTAGGATGGTTGCCCTCTGTGCTATTGTGGGTGACTTGTTTTTCCAGGGAGATGCTTATTCGCTTACGTCTGATCCAAGATGGCCCAAATTGGTTCATATGTTCCGGCCAAAGCAATGAAGATCGGATTGCTGGATGGTATTCTCACCAGAATGGGCGGTCAGCAACTTCTATGTTGTTTCCCAAGTTTACCGTTGACGAGTAATATCTGTAGCATCGGACGAGTTGGCTCGTGGGCGATCAACGTTCATGGTTGAGATGCAAGAAACGAGCGACATTATCAAGCTGGCGACACCCCGAACGTTGGTAATACTGGACGAGCTGGGCCGAGGCACATCGACTTTCGACGGCGTAAGCATTGCGCTTTAAGCATCCGGGTGCATGGCATTGACACGGCTCCGCAGATGGCGATAGCAGGCGCCGTCCTGCAGCATCTCGTGCAGACGACAAGGTGTAAGACGCTTTTCATCACCCACTTTCCTCAGGTTGCTACGGATATGGAAAAGAAGTTCCCGCTCGACGTGCAGAACTTGCACATGGGATATGCAGAAGACACGCGGATCGATGGCAGCCGAGAGGTGACCTTCCTCTACAAGCTCTCAAACGGTATCACCACGGAGTCGTTTGGAGTCGAGTGTGCTCGCCTTGCTGGCGTACCTGAATCCATACTTGTCGAGGCAACCTCACAATCAGAGAATATGCGTGCTGTAATTGAGCAGCGTGTGAAGCGAAATAAGTGGGTCGACCGATTATCTTAACTTGCACACTAGTGCTAATCCTCGTTATGCAGACTTCGCAAGTCCCTCCGACTAATCTATCAAAGCTTGGATAAATCACCACTGGAAGCATCCATACCCCTGGAAGAACTCAACACTCTCGTCGCATCTATGGACATTACATCCACATCTACACACAACATCTAGGTCTTCACCTTCGTCACCTTTTGTCGCTTGATTTTCTTTGATACCTTTACAGTATCCTCCACATCCTCCAATGTATTAACTTTCCGCTTTGCCGTTACTGTAGCATTATTTGACTTGGATTTTTCGGAGCTAGCTTTGGCCTTGATATCTGCTTGTGCAGTTTCACTCGCCAATTGGGCCATCTGCTTGCACATGGTCTGGAGACCAGTCGAGGACTTGAAGCGATCGCTTGCAGCCAGCTTGCCCGCGAGGACGTTCCAGGTTGATGGGTCCCACGACGAAAAAACCTCCTCAGGTGAGGACGCGAACCGTTTCGTTTGGCGAACGGCTGTTAGCCCGAGCTTGAGTAACTCTTTCATCTGCGCCGGCGTTAAAGTGGGAGTGTCTCCGCATGCGTTGGAAATGACGTCGTGAAGGGAGCGGCGTAATGTGGGTATGAACTTCAGAATATCTGCCCGATGATCGCCCTGATGAGCAAAATTAGCGTCATAGACTCAGGATGAGGAAGACAATACTCACACTCGCCGGAACTTGGCTGATCAGCGTATGAAGGATTTGGAAGGCCTGGCATTGACGGTAGACATTCACGGCCTTGCCGGATACCTCGATGAGATCATTGCGCAAGGCCCAACCCGCTTCTGGATGGCGGCGGATGAAGTCTTGGAAGAAGTTGCTGTTGAGCTTCGATGCTTTGCGCGTGACAAAGTCATCCAACGACTCCCGGTAGACTCTGACAACTGTTTCCGTGAAGCCAGCGTGCAATAGTGACCTGGACAGGTATATGCTACACTGGCTCAATGTTGCAAGGTTGTCGGACTTTCTTGCTCGAGTGTGCAGTTCTTCGAGAACAACAGTTGCTTCGTCCGTGTCAACGATGGACAACACTTCCTTGGACTTGCCTAACCGAGTGCGCAGAAGCCCTGTCGCTTTGTCCGCTAAATGCTTCTCATCCGGACCTGTGCTCACGACCAATTCTACCAAAGGCAGGATCAGGCGTAACACCAACGGATTTTTAGGCTGCTTCTTGATAAAAGTCTCCAGTAGATCCAGTACACGGTTTTTGAAGTGGGTAGCTTCCCGTTGAGCATCGACATCTGTATATCCAACTGAGTCTTTCTCGACAGAACAGAATTGCAGACAGATCTTACCTTTGCCCAGTTTTTTCTCGCCGGCTCTGGCCCTAAATGCCGCAGAGAGCTGTTCGTCGATCGCTAACATCTGGTCGTCATCCATCAGGTCTTCTGACTCTTCGTCCGAGTCGCCGGTGGCTGCCTCTACGCCGTTGACGCGGAGTGCCTCCTCGATCTTCCTGCGTACTTCCTGAGCCTCGGCTTCGTCCATGTCATCCTCTTCCTCATCCCCGTCGTCATCGTTCGACGACTCACCCTCGTCTTCGTCCTCTTCCTCATTCTCATCTGAGCCTTCATCCTCCTCGTTGTCTTCATCCTCATCGGCTGCAAGCTCCGCAGGGTCTCGCCGTTCCAATTGCTTAATTTATGGAAATACATAAATGAGATTTCGACCGATGATGCAGGGAAGATGCAGACTCACCGTCAGGATGAGGTCGATGGTACTCTCCTTCACGGAGCCCGAAAGCAGTGAGAAGACCTGATTCGCGACGGCGCGCATGTACGCGGTAGCTTTCTCCAGGAACCCAATGAGGGAGTCCACGAGGACATCGACCGGTTCGGGGACCTCATGTTGGGCCTTCTCGTCTTCCGCGCCCATCGATTTCCGCGCCTTCTTGCTCTTCTTGTGCTCCGCAGGGAACATGCGCGATGCTCCGTCAATGCAACTCTGGATCGACGCAATTCAATGAGAGTCATAACGGTATCAGTTGGTTCTTGTGGAAGACGTACCTCTAGGGTATCAGAATCCATCTCTTCATTCATACAGTACTGATGCAGAAGGGTGGCAGACAAGAGAAGCTCGGCACCCATGGCGGCTTCGCGCTGATCATCCGAAACCTGCACATACGATATTATCAGGCGCCCCGCATCGAGCCCAGGGGACGATGTCATTACATACCTTCTTCAGACGCTCTACCACTTGGCGGGCGTTGCTGCGCAACCGCTGATCCTCCTCATCCGCTTCGACGAGCGGTTTCACATGTTTGGTGTCCTGCTCCAGTTTCTCGATAGTAGACAGCACTCGGGAGATCCAGAGCTCGCCGTCGGACGCGACCGCTGGCATCTTTGTGGTCTTGTTGTCATCTGAGCCGAGATCGTCAGCGGTATGAAACGGTATAATAATGGAGTATTAACCTTTGATAACGGTAGACTGCCCCGTCAATTCGGCGAGACAGCTGAGCAGACGATCGCGGCAGGCGCTCCGCAGCTCGTCGGAGAACGCGGGGTTGGGGATGGACCGCAACTGTATCACAGGTTACGCCCACGTTGAAGGGGTAGATATCGAGAACGCACAGAACTTACCGAACGGAAAGTACTCTTCTCGGACTTCTTGGACACTATGAAGAGGCCGTGTACGACGAACCAGTCCAAGATGGACTGGATCCACTCGTCGCTTTTGGGAATCGCACCGTGGCGGACAAGAGCAGCGAGCTGGTCAATGATCCACGCACGGCGGGCGTTCAGTGCCTGAATGTCCGCACTATAGAGACGGAGATGTCAGTCGTTCTTGGGTCGAGAATCGCCACGATAACGTACGCTTCAGTGCCCTCCTTGTCGTCAACCTGCTTCAGCAAGTAATCGATGTAGTTCTGGATCCCTTCATTGTCCATAGACGTCAAGATCGTTTCCACGGTCTTGGTTTTGGTAAGCTTGTCAAACTGATGGCTGCCGTGCACCCCCGTGAGCTGGAGAATTAGCGTGAAGCCAATGGTGGGATTTTTCTTTACGACAGCTTGGATGTCCGTCACCTGGAATCGTTCATTAATGAATCCTGAAAAGATGCGAGAACTGAGAACCACGTACCACCTGTCTTGCGGCCTTGTGCAAATACCGATCACTGTTGGAGAGGTGATTGATCCAGGAGCGCATGAAATTCTTGGTGAATAGCATGGGCATGTCGGTAGCGCTGACGCGCGGGAGCGCCTTCTGGAATATCTGGAAGCCCCAGTACTTGCGCTCGGGAGATGAGGTAGACGAAAACAGTGATTCTGTCATTGTCGTCAATTTCAAAGAATGTCACCCATAGTGCACATACATACATACCATCGACAACGATGCGGAAAAACTCTGGGAAGGAGCCCTTGGTAGTTCGATGAGACGAGGCGTCTGGCAGAACTTCGTCCAAAAGCATATCCCACACAAAGTGCACTTGGGGCTTCCACGCTCCAAATCTAGGTAAGTCTGATTCCTCGTCATCGTCCATGTTCGATTCCTACAGCACAACGTTCATACTAAGGCACAGAGGACGAGGGGGATGTAACAACCTTCAGTATTTTTGCCAGACTGATTAAGTTCCCAGAACTGAGCAAGTCCGGATGTTTGAACGTGGGCGACAAGAGCTTCCGCCAGTCGCGTGTGGGGGAGAGATGCTGCAGCTTCAATATCAACGCAACCTTTTCTGGCGTCCATGTTCTGCTTTCAATGAATAGCGCGTTCACAGTAAACCCGATTGCATCTTCTTTCCATGAACTTTGGGAGGCACCGAGTGCATCGAGCCCAAGGCCGATTGACCACCAAGCGCTCTCACGCAGCCAAGACTTCTTTTCACCCAGAGCAAGCAGTTCTGTCAAGAGCTCCTGGTAGCCGGTAAGACTGGAGGCAAGTGTAGAGGATGACGCTGATGTAGGCAGGGGCGTGTCCCGCAAGAGCAGACCTGACTGAATCACAGACGTGAGACCGAACAGACGCGCGAAGAGGACGTCGCGCTCTTCCTGGCCGGACATCGAGCCCTGCGTCTTGGATGAGTCCAGTATCAGTGCAACAATCTGCGAGCATGTCACGGTGTCTAGTCTGGACAGCAGCTAGGTATGATACATATATTATGAGAGCAGGATGGGTCTGGAATCCTGAGACGACACACCTCAGTCAACGCGACTGCGAATCCAAGTCTGCTGCTCTCCCTCGGGCTTGCCAACCCTCGCACCAGCCGGCGGACGGAGTATGAGACATCCTGCGCGTTGAGCGCGTCCAGATGATCCGCCTTCGCGCTCCCTGCCTCCTGCTCCTCATCATCCGACGTCTCGGGGGACTCCTTCGGGACGAATTGTGCCTGGAAATGTTCGAGCGCCCCGATAAGTTTCACCGACGCGTCTATGCGCTCCTTTTTCGAGGCCGACGAGAGGTGCCAGAACAGCGGCAGTGTCGTCGACATTTTGTGCTAGCTCGACGACCTGCTCGAGTCCAAAATTTCTGAAAATGGATACAGAGCCACGTGATGTAGCGCGTGACTGCCACGCGAGTTTATTTGCCACAGTTTGGTTTTTGTTCAAATCTGGGAAGCCCGTTTTCCTCCGTCGACTGCGACCCGGAATTTCACTCGCGAACACGTCCCACTGGCTTCCCGCCGTCCAGACTCATTGGCATGCGCTGTGTTGTGCTCGGCAACTCATGCTAACGGAAGAGTCAACGGGGGTGCGTATGCGTGGGTACCATGATGCATCAACTACCTTTGCAGGACGAATCATTACACTCGTCTCGAGTCGAGTTCCCAGCGACCCAACGTTGCAACGTTAAAGCTTCCCACCAACTCATCCGAGACGTCCCGTCAAACTGCTTCAGCGACGTTCTCATCGTCCATGACGCGTATGACGCACAGCTAAATCTATGAATTCTGCGAGGTCTGGACGGGACGTTCGACGGCGTTTGCCCACACTTATTGCGCGCTCTCCTTTCCCGGCCGTCGCACATCCCCCAGGCTTCCACCGATGCAGATAGCAATGCGCTGACGACAGTCCATATCCACGGTCGCGGAGACGATCTGCGGTGCATCTGCATATAAAGAATCTGTGTCCGAGTGCGACGACGTCAGAGGCGGCTCGCATACGGAAATCCAGAGGATCTGCGCTCCTGCTAGTGCTGCGTCTCCATCTCATCGTTACTTGGCGACCTGCGGGCTGGCCCATCTGCGGCCTTCCGGTGGCTGGCGTCTTAGAGCTGACGTTGCATGCATCTCATCTGCTTCGGCGTCCCGCTGGAAAGATGAGCGTGGGCTAATCGATGTACTCTCCGCTCCTTGGGAGGTTCGTTGGCTTGAGGGTCTTGCGGGACGAACTGTGCATGCACATGATGGTGCGGCGTACGTACGCCTAACGTACTTTCGGACCGTTACCCTGAAGCAAGTGACTCTGGAGCTTGAGGATTGAGCACTGATTGTGCCATTTTGGCTGAGTTTGCGGCGGGCGTTACGGCTCCGGCTGTTGACTGACGTTTAGTTCTCGCGAATCGTATTTAGGTCTTCTGCGCGTCTCTGTGGGACACCGGTACCTGTGCAGGAACGCCGTGCAATCCGGAAGGTTGCGTGTGCTGCACATTCGGGGTGCGGTGTATTCTAGGATCTTCTCCGGACGAGACTTACTCATTTGCTTTGAGGTTCTTAGGTTCGCACCTACCGGATTGACAATGGTCCGTGCGGGGGTATGGAATCGCATTCATGCGATCTAGATCTGTTAGGAATGTCAAGTGCCTCTCCAGACAGTCGGAACAGTGCGCAGGTAATGCAAACGAAGTCGCAACGCCTTCGCTGTTACCACATCGTGCATGCGCCTGACACTTGTTCCGTCCGCGCGACAGGATAACGGGAGGTGGGACCTGACAAAGCCGCTTCGATTTTAGCTATAAGCCTTCTTCTGTGTCGCGAGACGCCATCTACGGCGCCAATCCCGTGCATCGACACAACTCGTGGGAGGCCTTCACCTGAAGGCAGGCGCATTTGACTGGACCCATTACTCCAATCTCCAAGTCCCCAACGAGCCGACGCGGGTTACGACGACCCATGACCAGCGGGATTCACGGCGAACATAAGCGATAGAGCCTAATGGGTGAGGACGAGGGCGATTTCGGAGGGGGTGTGCCATTGTTGGGTGGCGGCGAGTGAGACTGATTGGGCTCGGGATCGTGAGTGCGCGTTCCAACGGTAGCCCGCTGACGGCGATGCTCGTGCCCGTGGTGTAATATCCGTAGTATGGCATACCTCGTGCTCGATGCATGGATGTTGCTGAGTGTATTATCAAGCGCATTTTGACGGTCGCTATTGGTTGCATGGTGGAAAGTGCGCGAGCGGATGTTGTACAACAGGGTTTGGTGCCGGTAAAAGAGGTTATTTTCTGCTGATAGGCTTCCCAGAGAAGAGTGAGATTGCAGATTTATTGTTACAGGAATTTACGTCTGGCAAAACATGTGACTTTGCTCTTGTGTCCGACGCTCGATCCGGCCGACTCTCCGTCCGTCCGCCATGCAGGCCACATCTCTCCTCCCTGCCTGTATATATAACCGTTTCTTCTGCTCTCCGTTTACCTTCAGCTCACCCACCATCGCGTCTGCACCAAAAGCCTTTGCGTTCCACCCTCTTGCATAAGCATACCACCTCGCATCGCCATGTCCCAGCCCGTCCTCGCATCGTTCGACCCGCTCGCGACTCACCCATTCACCAACAACTCCGGGCTGTTGCCCAAGCCTGCTGCGCCTTCGCAGTTCCCCCTCCCCATCTCCTCGTCACTGAGGACGGCGGCCACGAGCCCGTCGAGGCGCGACTCCACCGCGCCACCGCTCCTAGCTCCTCAGCCAACGCGGGCGTCGCCACGCTCCAAGGCGGCCAAGTCTGCGGCGGGGAGCACGCACCGTCCCATCTTCGTTCCTTTCCGCCCAGAGCGCTCCTCGCCGGAGCTCGATGACATCCTGCTCAGGAAGAAATTCTCCGACATATTTGCGAACAAGCAGTCCTGGAGCATCGACCAGGCCGTCGTACCCCTCCCGTCTCACTCCGCGCAGCGTTGAGCGGGCATGCACATACCCCGGCCATGTCTATACCCATCGTGCGTCGTGTCCTTCCTGCCCTTTGCTGATCTTGCTGACCCCGCGCCCGCCGCGTAGTGACGACTTTACGAAGACTGCTGTGATCGGGGACTGTTGGATTCGGAGGGAGGTTCGTAATGTTGGGTCGCGTAGCTGCACGCGACGACGACTGCGCAGAAGCGGTGATGTAATATCGTACTGGATATTGGAGGACTAGTGTAGCCACACTTACGGTAATTGCTCGTTGTCCGGATGCCGACTGTTGAATGGATTTGACGCTCGCTTGTTTTGCTTCCGACTCATTTCGCGCGACGCCAAGTACGATGAGATCACAGGTCTTTGTCTGCTCTCATCATGTCGGGTTCTGATTCTGGTCCGAGCCCGAGCCCTATCCCGAGTGCCGCCATTGGAGTTGCCCGCGGGTGGCGCGATGCTAATGCGAGCCAAATTCCGTCACCGCCAGCCCTCCCGGCCGACAGCGTTTACACGAGCTGCTACTGCGAGGAGAATGTGTACTTGCTCGCGCAGGCGTTCACCGCGCGTAAGGAGACGGAGCGCGACTGGCGTTGGGACGTCTACGCTGTCTTCGTCTCCAACCCCGGAAAAACGGTCCGCATCTGCTTCTCACTTATCGAGGCCGGTCTGCCCCATCACTGCGCGGTGGCAGATGCATGGCGCTCGCCACCTTTTTACCTCTTCCACTTCTCGGATCGCAGACACGCTCTCTCTCATGCTGCTTGCTATCAATAGGTCGCGCTGTGGAAACAGAAGGCCCGAGACGACATCGTCGTGTGGGATTATCACGTTGTGCTCGTCCTCCGGCCGACCCCGCCACTGGCGCGTGGGCGGGCGGTAGACGAGCTGAAATTTAGCAACCCAGAGGTCCATGGCCCGGGAGCATGGGTGTACGACTTTGACACTCTCCTCCCTGTTCCGTGCTCCTGGCCAGGCAGGTCTCCACGCGCCTTTCGTCCGTGCACGCACACCTGATCGTCCCCATGCGCGCTGCGCATCTGGTGCGCACAGAATACGTTTCCGGTACCTTTCCCTACACGCACGACCGCGCACTCGCGAACCTGTTTGGAGAGACATACCAAAGGTCCGTCGTCTGGGCCTTTCGTTGACAGGAGGCCGTGCGTCTGACTGAACACTCTGCCTGATCTGACTGCACCTCTGCTGTATTTGCGCGGTTTTCCCTGCGCGGGCTGCATTTCACGCTCTGCGCCGCCCAGCCTGTTCCGGGTCGTCCCAGCTGACGTCTTTCTCGCCTGGTTTGTCTCAGATCGGTCTCACATGGTGCGTGCCCCCTTCTGCTTTGTGCCTCTGCGATGCCCCCTTCGGCGTGCAGGCCGATCTCGACTCTGTCAGATTGACTCGCTATTGAATTATTGACTGGGTTGGTAGCTTGCGCCCGCGATTGACTCGTCCTTCTCCGGGGCCTCTCCGCGATCCGTTATGGGCCTCGTGCCTGGTGCAGTGCCTCCGGTGCGGTACACCGCGCCTCCTCCGCCCTACCCTCCGCTGTGTGGAAGGCGCGCGCGTGAGGCGGGCGTAGTGCACAACCTCATGGAGTTCGTGTCGATGTCCCCGGACGCGGAGGATCTGGAATCATCCGTGGCTCGGCGTGAGGGGTGTTATGGCAAAGTTATGGACATGGAAGGCTTCGTGCTGTGGTTGGCTGGTCGGGACAATGACGGTGACATTCTGGCATAGGTTATTGCGGCGAGACCTTAATTTTTAGCTCATTCAAGGCTGTATTGATAAGTTTCTGGTTGAGATTGGTACTCTCTTAAGAGGTTCTCTGGCTGTAGGCACTGAAAAATCATGTCGGCGAGCAGCTGGGATCTCCAGGTTCCAGCAGAGGTGACATTTGTAGCAGCTGCAATTAAGTGGTCTAGATTGCACTTGAAGCATCAGTTTGAAAAGCAATTCAAACATAGACTCCAGTGAAAAGCCTTGAAGCCAGGAGACTTAGTGTGATGTGTAGCTTAAGGTGAGATGCTGGTCTTACAGATGAGTATCGCCAGAGGTATTTTAGACCATATCAGATACATTAAAAGTGATGTGAAGGATCATATGTGCTGCAGGAATCAGACACTGGCAGAACTATTCTTAGACATATGGCACTACACCTGCACATTTATTATTTACATGCGCAGTGATGTGATTGTATTTTCGTCACAAGCCAGAAAGGTGGAGTACGAGCGGAATCAAGTCCGTGTGAGGTCTGAGATGCAATGAAGGAGAAAAGTCTATTCCAGAGGTATGAGGTGGGTAGCCCAAAGGCATAGCTAGGAAATCTTTGTAGTCGCAATAATCGCTGAAAACACATCGGAGTAAAATCGCACTGCTCTAAGAAGAATGCTGAAATGCGGAAATGCAAGACTGCCCAGAAAATGCACAAATGCAAGACTGCCCAAAGACGCACTAACTGGATGCAGTTGTGGGCCACACCTCTGTATACAATATCCCCAGTTGACTGGGGGAGAAATTGTGGAAAAGTGTGTATACAATAGTGGCTTATGTAAGCATGTGCCAGGAGGTCAGGGGTTTAATCCTGGCTGAGTGCAACTTCATTTTGTACATATTGTATACAATGTGCACAATGCATGTACAATCTTAATGTATACAATATATTTACAATGCATGTACAATCTGGGCAATATTGTACACAATGTGCACATTACAATGGTGGCCAGGTTGTGCACAATTTCTCCCCCAGTCAACTGGGAATATTGTATACATAGAGGGTGCCTACTAGTGCTGGATGGGATGAGAATGTGAATGAGGCTTTCGCAAGCGTACCTTCTGAGATGGTGGGTTCTACCCTGACCTCTTCTCCTGCCCTCATACTTAAACTGGTCCTGACCTTTTCTGCCCTCCAGATACTGCCTGCATTTGCTTAACAATCACTCCACTAAATCACTGCCCATCACGCCATATCTCGCCATCCCGTTCGCTCACGCTTCTACTCAATCTGAGGGGTCATCCATCACTGGGCCTGCCTGAGTGCCTAATAAGCACTCACCTGCCTCAGAGGCATATCTCCCATCCTGAACTCAATCTTCCATTCATGAATGCCAGTGTCATTCTTCGCAAATACACCCTCCGGAAGCTTTTCTTCGCATTGAGGTCTTTATCGAGCCCTTCGACGCGATCCTGTGGAAAGCATGGGCAGTCTGGATGCATGTCCTGCTGGTGAGGCTCCTGCAAGTATATTTTCCTTTGCTGTCCGATCCTCACACGTCCCTCAGGTCTTCATGGTGCAAGCCCAGTCTGAAGTGGCCAGCGTGGGGATCATTTTACCCCTTCCGTGCAATATTCCTGTTCTTGCCCAAGTGAAAATACACCTTGCAACAGCTCGCACTATGGAAGGCGGTCGTTGGATGATCCCTCAGATTGCTGACCACCTCCCTGCTGTCATTCCTCATGGTTTGACTGCCTGCATTCTATATGATGACCCTGCCGTTTGTGAGGACTTTGGTTTGGGCCACCCACCGGATGGTCTCCCTGACATTGGTGCACAGTCGTATTATCCCTATTTTCCTGAAATCGTGTTCCTTATCTTTATTGCCCTCAGGAACCTTGCACCTTCAGGTTGAGACATTACGTGATGCAGCCTGCGAACTGTACAATGTCATGCACGGAATCACATGAGTTGGCTGATGGTACTTTGAGATGGCTGCGGATCGTAGTTGAGGAGTTGGAGGTAGCCTTCGGGCTTGTAGTGTTCCCTCCTCCAATAACTAGCTTCCAATTGGTGTCGGACTAAGGGCTGTTGTGTAGCACCATGTAGTATCTCCAAAATGCGAGATTGCTTTATGGATATGATTCTCACTTCAGCGCACTATGCGTCCCTTCAGCGGACAAGATTGCGAGATATGGTGTGATAGGCAGTGATTCAGCAGAGTGATTGTTAAGCAGATGCAGACAGTATCAGGAGGGCAGGAAAGGTCAGGACCAGTTTAAGTATGATGGCGAGGGAGGAGGTCAGGGTAGAACCCATCATCTCAGAAGGTACACTTGTGAAAGCCTTATTCACATTCTCATCACATCCAGTTTGTGCGTCTTTGGACAGTCTTGCATTTGTGCATTTCTGGGCAGTCTTGCATTTCCGCATTTTATCGTTCTCTTTAGAGCAGTGCAATTTTACCTGCGATGTGTTTTCAGTGATTATTGTGACTACAGAGATTTTTCTAGCTACACTATCGGGCTACCCACCTCATACTTCTGGAATAGACTTTTCTCCTTCCTCGCACCTCAGACTCCACGTGGACTTGATTTCGCTTGTACTCCACCTTTGCGGCTTGCAACAGAAATACAATCACGTCACCGTGGAGGATGTGGAGGAGAATCCAGAAGATATTCAAGAGGAAGTGTTGCCAGAAAACATCACTCTCCTGCTTCCTTCCTCACTTGGCATTAATTAATGCAAGACAGTGAAATGGGAGAGCATTGCACAGCAGGAGTTACATTTACAGATTGGCCAAGCCAATAACTGTTTTGAAGACTTGCAACTCTTGTTGAATCACAAGTATTTGCTTTTTCAGACCAAATTCAGGCATAATAAGTCTCAATGGCACAAAACCTGAAATGCAGCTGAGCTCAGGAAGATTGGTCAGCAAGAGCACAAAATTATTAGATGATACAAGCGTGCTCAGAAAGCTCTGATCTGTTTAGGAGCAAGTGAACAGTTGTTGACACAATATCTTGACATTCAAAAGGAAGACACAAAGATGCCTGGAGACATTGTGGAGGAGAATAGAGTTGGGCAGAGGAATGATAGATTGGCATAGTTTTGGAAACTTGGAGGTGAGAATGCTCAAAATGTATGGGTGAAAAGTGTGGACAATAATACGAAAGATGTCGGTCGAAATGCCATGAAGAAGGGTGAGTGACTATCTCTTCATGCCTGGTTAAACTTATTCACAAATGGTAATTACCATGTCAGTTGATCGAGTTAACTGACTGAGAGCAAAGGCATAAGACACAAGGTACAAGGAGGAGGTATCGAAGTGCGACACGAGATGTTATGGAGTGTCCTGTGGTTTGAATGCAAATAGCAAGAGTGGCAGACTAGAGAGATGGAGGTGGTAAGTGCAGGTCTACATGGTCATACATTCAATGCAGCAAAGCAAGATGCAATGTGGAAGGACTTTGCACTTTAATTGCAACAGGCATTTAATGGTCAAATGATTGTCAGATAGTCTGCGAGTTGCAAAGGTAGATATGCAAAGTAGTTAATAAATGTGTGTGACTGGCTATTTAAATTTGAATGAGTATATCCTCCAGGACCTTAAAGAAGCATGGTGTCAGCAAGATCATTAAGTTTAGATGCCTTAGCCTGGAGCACCATTTGTGTAAAAAGCTATATGGCCAAGGCCAAAGTGTGAAAAACTCTCTATAGAATGAAAATTTCTAGATCCTCGGCTGAGGCCACCATTTTCACAAAAACTATATAGGGCATCCTTGGTCAATGCCAAAGTTCAGAAGACCCTATATAGAATAGAAATTTCAGGATGCTCAGTCGAGGCCACCATTTTTACAAAAACTATATAGGATATTTTTAGCCATGGCCAAATTTCAGACAATCCTATATAGGTTAGACATTTCATGACCCTTGGCTGCAGGCATTATTTTCACAAAAATCTATATAGAGCATCCTTGGTCATGGCCAGATTTCAGAAAATGCTATATAGGATTTAAATTTCATGTGCCTTGGCCAAGGGGACCATTTTCACAACAATTCTATATAGCTCCACTTGGCCAAGGCCAACTGTCTGCAAACTCTATATAGTATTGAAATTTTATGACTCTTGGCTAATGGCTCTATTCTGACTAAAATCTATATAAAGAAATAACAGCCAACCCAAAAATGTCCGACAACCTATATAGACTTTAAACCTCGGTTCTTTTGGCTAACTCCCAAATACATGACTTAGCCTATATAGCTTACTTCTCTTGGCCAACCCTATATCTCCATTCTATATTATATTCTTGGCCAACACTCAGTTTCATGGAAATTTACACAAAATATTTCACCTTGGTTATACGGACTTTTAGGTATATATTGGCTAATAGGTGTGATCAACTACCAAGGAGTAATACAAAATGATTAATGCATGTGAAAACAATTAAATGATGAGAGAAAGGCAGGGACACAGAATCTCAGGAATCATTCCTGCTATGCGAAGCAGTGGCCCACTCTTCACAAGTTCTTCAATCTAATAATAGAGAAAACTAAAGTGTCATGCACAAATAATGCTTAATAACAGCATCATCACATATCAGTATAAGGACATTACCTCACATTTATGTGGACCCACACTGAGTTTAAGGCTTCCATATTAGCAATAACAAAATTCACTTACAGCATGGACCAAAATACACTTTTATATTAGATAAATATGAATAGAACAGGTTAAAATATGTCAGTTGTGATTTTGAATATTCAGAATAAAGTCCAGGAAAATCACAAAACTGTCAGAAAAACTGTGACATAACTTTATTACTTGCTTGGAGTGGGCCGATGCTAATGCACGGCAAGGACAATTCCTGATTTTAATATCTATCAGGCCTACACTTCTAATATATGTGTTTGGTCTTTTTTTGCATTCATCATTGAAAAGTATTATAGTTGTACATTTTTATAATTAAACATACATTTTGCTATGTTACAATCTAATAGAGGAGGAGGAGAGCAGTGAGTAGTGAAGACGAGAAAAGGTGGTAGAGGCTTGTTATTAGAGGGTCTGTACATGGGCTAGCATGGTGACTGTCAGCCTGGTAGAGCTATCACGAGGTGCGACAATTTTATTAGAGAGGTTAAAGAGCATCCAGGAGAAGATCAGGCAATAGGTGGTCAGTTTGTTGAGTTAGTGGGTCATTATGTCATGAACTCATTATTTAGCCCAGTTTCAATGTCCTTTTCCTGTTGTCTTCTCCTGCGCCCATCAGTTTTCCTCTGATAGAGGTACTTGTCCCCTGGATCATGTAGAGGTTGGTGCAGGAGGTCCCATAGTGGAGGGGACCACCATAGGTCGCTTTTATATTCTTTGTTAGTTGCAAGGTGAGTGCAAGCTGTTTGTAGCGAGGGCATAGTTAAACTTTAGATCGTACAGAAAACAATGATCACATGAGCAACACGTTTGCATTCAGTAAACATTTTGGACTCTGACTGATGTGCGATTAACACAACAATAGAGGAGTAAATTCAATATGAGAGTGGCTCTTGAACGTATTATATGACAGATACCATGGTGTCTCTTATTCGCTCTGCAAAATCTGCTCATGAATGGACTAATTATAATTTGCAGTCATTCCAGATCATATTTTAACATATATTACAACAGAACTAATCTTTGATCTACACTTTGTCAGTGCAGTTGAATTTATACTCGCTATTTGTCCCTCTAATATACAAGTCTGCCCAGTTGTAACCCCATCATTAAACCAGACACTTCCAGTCTTTGTAATAATATGTGCAGTAAAGTGGAACCCACCATAATAAACTATACCACAAAGTCCATACTTCTGATCTGGCAATTCTAACTCAGATTTCCAGTTAATCTGCAGACTGTTGGTGATGAAACACTGAAAATTTGGCAAAGACTCATATTTTAGATTATAAAACAATGCACTATTGCAGTTAGGACAAACACGCTTAGAGCCTCTGGCAAAAATTGCATCCAGTCAGTCTATACTTGATCTATTCTTGTAGGACCCAAGTTTGAATGGACTATCTTTCCATACTGCTTTGCTACAGTCCCAAATAACTTGTCCAGTTGTATCACTCTCAAATTCTATATCACAATGATCACGTATAAGTTTGTAACTCAGAATATCTTCAGAGTGATTCAACATCTCCTGGCATAATGTATAGATATCAGTTCCTTCACTTCAGGATACCCAAGGTCCCCAGCAAGTAGCTGTAACAGTTCTGGAGTTTGGTCACAGCTAAGAGCTGGCCAGGGATAGGTCAGTCCAGGTCCAAATGCTACAGTGCATTGCATAATAACGTGCAGGTCACGAGTCACGTGGAAACTTATTTGGCCTGGAAAAACAACCCTTATGTGGTATACTAGTGGCGCCCTGTGGAGTTTGGCTTAGCAGCAAGCTCACGAGCGCTAAGTCAAACTAGTGCTTACTAAGTGAGAGGCTGAAGGCAGAGGAATAGGCGCCGTAAGCACCAGTCTGTTCCTCCTGCACCTACAGCCTCTCACTCATTTTTATCCTGCCCACCTCTCCTTGTTGATTCAAGCATCCTAGCTCAGCCGTGTTCTCAATGACTTTCCGCCACTTCACGCTCGAGTTAGATTCTGCAATTCTCTCCGCTCAGGCTCCCCTCACATTTCGCCCCTCTGCTGCTGGTCGCCCGCTGACTTCTCAGGCCGTCGCAGTCCTGTGAGGTGCCTATTGCAGCCTGTTCCGAACTTGAGCTGCCACCGGAATCCACCTCTCCCCAACCCGTGAGACTAGTAGTCTACATTGCACAGTGAACATGCTATCTTAGTGAGCCGTGCACCCTCCACTCCGTAGCTCAGCTACCGAGCACTTAGGAAGCAACATTCTCGACAGCAGTACACTGAGGTATTCCATAGCT